ACAGCTAAAAGTAATCGTAATAAAAAGTAATCAAATTAAACGAAGAAAAAAAGGTGTTCTGCGATTATTTAATAACGAATACAAAAAGGAATACGAAAACAGTAGATTCTATGTCGGTACTGCGAATTAGCGAGCTACTGCATCTCAAAACAACGTATAAATTGTTTAAATATGTATATTCATTCGATCGATTTTCTTCAACAATGTTGGCGTTCGAACGTCGTAATAATACGGTTGGATAGTAAAAATAATCACAAGTATCATTACGACTTTAATTTTGAATTTAAATTAGTGAAAATTATAAACACCATTGTTTCAAAAAATTATATTAAAAAAGATAAAATGCTGAAGGGCGTATCACTGTTATAGGTGAAAAGTTTGTTAGGAAGGGCATAGTCATTTCATTCATATGTGTATGCAACGACAAGACATTGCTAACAAATTAAAATTCAAAGTGAAATCCAGTTGTACACGATTTAAACATGCTGGTGTTATAAATGTTAACTAATGCAATATCGTTAATTAACTACAACTTTGTATAGTTTAGATAAGTATTTTCAACGGAAAAATTGGCGAATTGATTGATATTATTTAGTAGAGAAATTGAAAACAATTATAAGTTATCGTTAACTAAAATTATAGTGACCTTAAAAAAAAGACGAACATACTTCGCAGGATAAGTGAGACACTGTTGTAGATGAGAAGTTAGGAAGGTAGGATATAGAGAAAGATTGAATATATATCTGTATCTAATGATTAATCATTGCCAATGAAAACGATACTAAGCAAAGTTTGGTTAAAAAAAAAAAAATACTTTATTAAACTTAAATTTTTCTTGTTGGACGCTATTTAAAACGTAAAATGGACTTTATTTTATGTGGATTTTATCCACACATAACCTTTCAATAATTAAGAAATTAATTATAATATTTAAAGAATAAAATATACGTAAAAAACTTGCAAAATAAAAATGTATATAAATAGCTCATATATTTTAAAATTTTACCACGTCTAGAAAAGAAAATATAATTTTTTTTCAGAATTTGAATTTTTTGAGAATATTTCGAATTACACCAAAAAAAAACGAAATTTAAAATAATAAAAGCATTATTTTCGTAAATTTTCCTATTTTCCTACTTTTTTCTCACTTTTCTCATTTATTATGAAAACCTTTATAAAGTTCCACGCAGATAAAATTTCCTTTTAAAAATGTGCTAAAACTTGAAAATTTGGACAACATTTCTGGTAGATATTTTGTACACAGTACTTATGTAAAAAAAAAAAAAAATATTTAAATTAAAAATCATTATAAAACCAATATAATCCATGTTTGCTTATGTTTAGTTGGAAAAAAAAACATCGAATGATAGCTATAGTAATTATTAAATATAAAAACAAACTTAAAATATTGAACAGAACAAAAGTCAATACATTTTACAGATCTCTGTGTCACACCCTGTATATCTATGAAGATATTTGAAAATCATGTACAATATATTTTTATTTAAATGTGATAACGTCATGATAACTCGTAAGAAATTCATATTATTTATTTTTAATTTTCGTAAACGTCAGCTTCAGTGTCTCTTAAGTTTGTTTGTATTTATTTTTCTACGAAGTTCAATGTGTACCTATACCTAATTTTTTTAAAAATATCACCGATAAAAAATAATTACTGATAGTTGCTCGACTCTTTTAAACCTTTTTTTTTCTTTTTTGTAAGTTCAAATAACTAAGGAAATCCAAAATAACACGAGTAATCAAGTGCTAAAATATCTGTTCCGTTTTTATATATAAATCATAGAATTATTTTGTTTGGCATAGATACCCACCAGATTTATGGCGTCACTTAAATATCTATTTTGAAGAATGATAATAATACACATTTTTTTTTCTTCTGTATTATGAACGACGATCGATCAACTCGTTTCGATGGCTGGTCCCAAATTCAGGTACATTATAGTAGACATAATATACATCAAGAGCGTAATTTGTTAAAAGTATCCGGCAGGACCAAAAAAAAAAAAAAAGAATAAATAAATTTCCAAATTGAAATTTGTCTACTATGAAAAATAAACAATCAACAACGCTAAAGTCGACATTTATTTGCTTTCGATTTCTTTATTTTTTTGTGATTTAATAAGTATAAAAAATGTATGAATAGTACCTAACTATAGGTGCCTAAAAATAAAATAAAAAATCATAGTAAAACCAATACATTCCACGTTCCATTTAGAATCTAAAAAAGTTAAAATACATCAACACTATAAAAACAAAATGATTTAAAATATTCGATAGCGAAGAAATGCCTTAATGAGCAACATGATATAACATTGAACTCTGTATGTGATATAAGTAAAATTTCTATGATAAAGACAAGCTTCGAATATGAATTACCGATTAACCGTTTTGAATTATAGTTAAAATATTAGTTTAGTATTATATAATTATATTATTATTTTACAAAAATATGGTCTGACGAAAAGTATGCCGTTTAGAAAAATAAACTAATTTTATTTCACTCGGAATAAATAATCATGAAATAATGAGCGCTTCTCATAAATTATTAAAGAATTATATCGAAATTTCCAGGCATTTTATAACATAAACATTGAAAACATTACTTCATAAATTATACAGATTATAAACTGTATTACAACTAACTACCACCCAGTATGAAACCGTTATAAAAATATTTGTTTAAAACTTAAATTTCGTAATTCCCTAAGTGTTTTGATAAACTCAAAAGTACTTATTGTGTTCTAGAGAAAACCATTTTTTTTTTTTTTTTTTTTTTTTGAAATTCTACAAAAAAATGTCATTCAAACAAATATTTGAACATCGTTTAACCGTAGATAGAAATAAAATGGTTCTGAACTTCATAACAATAAGGACATAATGTTGTGAAGACACATAATTAATGAGCAAAGTACTTATAAACAACATAAAATTGAAAAAACCTATATATATTTTTTCTTTTTGCACTTAATTTGAAAAAAAATAGTGGACATACTTCGCACGATGGGTGGGCCACTGTTTTAGATGAGAAGTTGGAAAGGAAAAGAGTAAATAAAATATATATCTGTACAAAACGATTAATCATTACTTACGAAAAAAGATTTTAAGCGGAGTTTGAATTTACATGTTTTGAAATTCCTTAATGTTTACGATTTGAAAATAAAATATTTCGAAGATTTTTCCGTTTCATCTACTTATTATGAAAACCTCTGGAAAAAGTTACCTCTCTGTTGTACTACCCCTGTCAAAATTCTTTTTAGAAAAAGTGCTACAGTTGAAAATCAAAGAAAAATTTCTTGTAGAAAAGTATTTAACAGGAAAGAAAACAAAATAAACATCATTTTAAAATCAATATATCTATTGCTCTTTTTAGAATCTAAAATAGTGTATGCCGAAAAAGGTTCTTCACTATTTTCACATACGATTTATACTAAACAAAGTTTTCTCAAAATATAGTATTACAAAGGTAAAACATTATTGTTATTTTTTTTTTTTTTAGTTCGTATGATTTGGTTTGTTCATAGATAAATGCTGAATTCAGTGACATAATCAGAATGAGGAGGCTAAAAGAGCTATTCCCGACCATAGTTCATATTTTTACACATAAACAGTGGACGGCGTTTATACGGCTTACTGGTATATGATTTAATTGCATATAATCACTTAAAACGGTCCGAACATACACAAATACATTCTACTTTTTTCCCACTTGGCCCATGTTTATTTAGTAAGCAGACTCACTTTGTGTTGATCCTAAAGTGATTTTTATAATCGGTGTCTATTGTTTTATTTTACGATTTGAGTCACAACTAATTTTTCACTTCTTTCTTCTACTCTTGAATAAGAACATTTTCCATTTGGAACAGTATTAAAACGTTTCAAGGATAAAAACTATGTTTAAAAATATCTAATCAATGGGTTGCATAATGGTTAAAATCAATTTATGTTTAAAGTTAACTAAAATCCTTTTTTAAATTTGTACTTGGGAAGGGTTTGACCTTTTACACCATCTATATATGTTCAAGATTCAAACAAAATATATTTAGAATCTCATTTTTCCCCCATTTAAAATCTAGGTGATGTCACTGTATAATATAACGACATTAATTGCTATTAAATTATTTATATAAAAATAATAAAAATAATAATTGTATTTAATCATAAATTACATACATAACGTACGTTATACAATAATCCTCCTATTTGAATTTAGGGTTTCTCAATACCTCCTCCTTAAATTAGTTTTTAATTTGTTTGTTTGTATTTGTTTAAAAGTTTTCAGAATTTGTTCGGCCTTCCTACGACATTTATAACCTAAACACTGAAAAAAGGCTGTAAAAATGTTTCTGCCGTCCCCAGATTTTTAAAAACTACACATTTCGTGTTTTTTGGCGGGTTATATAACATGAAGTAAATTAAAACTTTTAGATTCTGAGTGGAATGAAGAAGCTTATGGTATTACAAAGATGTTTATTTTTTTTTTCTGTGGACAACTTCTCTACCAGTAATTTTGCTCCAGCTTTTAGTGATAGCAATATTTCTAAAAGGAAATTTCAAAGAGAAGGTACTTTAAATAAATTATTTTTTGATTTTCCCACGAGTTTTCCCAGCAAGTGTGAAAACCCGGGATAAAACATGAAAAAAACTGAGAAAACGTAGGAAAACCGGGCATATCAGTACATCATTATACAAGTATCATTACAGAAAGTCATCACAAACAAAGCATCACTATCAATTGAACTCCACTCAGAATCTTTTTTTAGTAAGCAATGGTTTAACGTTGCTTACACATCTACAATAAATTCCCGTCTTTATTCTACCTTCCTAACTATTGATCTACACTGGTGGCAGCACTCATCCCCATTATCTTACCATTTGTTTTTGTATAAATTATTAAACACGAATAGAAATAAATGATAAAACAGAAAACAAAGTTGATTAACACTGTTTTTATTAATGTATATATAAGAAATTTATAATTACACGCTTTATATTATTATTATATAGTATAAATTCGCAATTAAACTGTGTTAATTTACTGGAATTGTTTTTTTTTCAAATCATCGTGGATTTCCTGTTGTCAATTGCCTCGCTTTGTGTACCCCGTCTAATATTTTTTTCATTGTTCTATTATCATAGTAGTCGTAGGAAGGCCATTCAAATTCTGAAAAATATCAAAAAATAAAAACAAATTACAAAATTATTCGTGATGGTATTGAAAAACTTAAAATCCAAAAAGTAAAGGGACAGAGTAGCGTACGTTCATTTTTAATAAACGAGCTTATATTTTTCGATGTAAACAGAAATTCGAGAGTATTAATACAAATATAAACATATATATATTTTGGCTGTTGTCTTGTTTACCATTAAAATATGAAATATTAAATTGAACAGACGTTATGTCACTCGTATTCATAACTCACTTGGTTTTAATACTAAACACAGACAGAATAAATACTACTTTTTATATATATATTAATACATATTTTAAATATTTAATTAAACTGTCAGAGGGGTCTGGAAAGTTTAGGGGTTAAATGCTTTAATTCCTCCTGGTTTCAATACGTCATTTTCCGCAACACAAAATAATAATAACGAAATACAGAACTTCCATTGAAGATTCTTAATCTGTTTTTTATTTTTTACCATTCCAGGAATTTCTTTAATTTGCTTACAATACTGATTATTTTGAATACTATTATTTTTTTTTTTTATAGGAATTTACAGTCTACACAGAATAATATCAACATTTTTTCTTTATTTTTATAAATATTTAACAATATAGTTAGTATTTGATTCGAATAATCTATAGCTATTGTGATACTATATAATATACAGATGATTTTTTTTTTTTTTATCAAAATACGTCGATTTTCTCGGAAGACTAAATTTCCAAATTTAATTTTGAATTCTTAAAAATTGAATGGGTTTTCATTATATTGATTATGTTATTAAATTTGTAGCTCATTTGAAAATATTGTAAATAAAATAATTTAATAGTTCTATTTAATGACTAGGTAAAAAAAAAAAATCACCATATAAATTTATAGTATAAGTACGTTCTTTGAATTTAGACCAAAAATAAATAAAATATATGTATACGCAGCGGTTGATTTACGGTGGTTTCAGGGAGTCTTTAGCCACCCACCGACACCGATATAGTTTCAATAAATTATCGTCCAAAAAAGGGACATCTTTAAATAAAGATACCTTTTTAAAACATATGGTTTTGCAGGGCCTCTCCCAGAAAAATATAGATAATCCACTATTGTGGTAACAAAACTACGCGACTCCATAAATATGAGATTTCAGAGTACCCAATTCTTCTTCAAATAATAATTTATGACAATTGCGTATAGATATAATAAAATATAAAATATTGTAAAATTATAGAATAATAAGCAGTAAGCATAGTACCTATGTATACATTAATAATTTAGTGGCGATTTAGTAATATTAATTGGGGCTCAAAGAAGAAATAACGAAATCGTGAAATCATGAAATCATTACATAAAGTGCTGGACAGACATAATAAAAATATTTTATAGTTAATAATTTGTATTAATTATATCCTCCTTATATTTATAATTTTCTAATTAACTGATAAACTAATAGCCTGACTTACGATAACAGTTATTATTATTAATATTTGATAAATTATGATTTATTCTACACCGTCGGTGGTTCTACCGGATATATTATTTGGGTCTCTAACTGTTCGCCACTTTTACTGTCAGCCCAATGGTTATCAGCTATCCTATCAGCTTTTTTCCGTCAACCATACAATTGTCTCCTAAGTCCACATACGTAAAAATTAAAACGCCAAAAATATGTTTTTTTTATCAAATTAAAGCTGTAATAATGTGGTTTTTATCGTAACATGAATTCGTTATGATCCTATATTTATACCGGTGAGGAAATATATGTTTTTTTTTTTGATTTTTTATCTATTGTACGATGTCTAGGAATTTAATATCGGCCCACTAACGATCGAAACGAACGAGATCAAATAGTATAATGTGCTATCAAATTCACCGCGGCTTAAAGGAATTAGTCATCTAGCTCTGCGGTTATTCTCTAATAATAATATCCTTCTCTAATCCGATAGATCAATAGTAATAAATCCTTTAAGTTAAACCGATCCGGGTGTATTCCGCCATGTAATAATAATTAATTCATATTAGGTGTAAACACGAGTAAGTATTATGCGTATTTTAGCTTTGTAGGTACGTGTAATAACATACGAAATGTTTTTGTGATCGTGTGCTTTTGAAAGCGCACATATAGTATGGTACGTCGTGAATGATTATTAATATATTATATGAAATACCTTTATTAATTAAAAATATTCCACTTCAAAAGATACCGACTAGAAAACTCGAGGCAATTGACATCGTTGAAATTCCCACGTGGCACATCGTTGAAAAGGAGATAATTTATGGTCTTGAGCGCGTTTCAGGTATGCTTCAGTAGTACTAGTCAAAAGTGGTATGACGTTTAATTTTAATAATTGTTTTTTTGCCACCGTATAAATTCCATCGTTTTTTAAAAATTAACACCAAATACCTACTATACACAGACGAAAATAATAAATACAAGTTACCTAATAGCATGTAAATTAATAGAAACGAGTATCTGTATTTTATATTTTGGTTTCGTATTCAAGGGTTTTTTCACTCATCAGTGTCGTATCTCTAAAGGGATCTTTATGGCTAATATATGACCTCCCCCTCAGAATTTTTTTTTACTTGTTTGTTGTTAAAAATATTTAAAATTTGGGTATAACAACTAATACATATCGATTCCCCTCCTACAAAATTGAACTTGAGTTACGCCACTAACTGGTGGTAGGACACTGTTACAGCCAAAAATATCCTAATGGGTCGTATTTAAAACAAAAAATTTATACATTCAATTAAATATTAATTTACGCAATAAATAAATATGCTAAAAATAAAAAGACAGTATTTTCTTCCATTTTCACCATCAAAAAACTTTCGTGATTTCCAATATTGTTGCATTTGCTTCGCTATTTATATTTTTCATATACAAGTCATTATTCAGCGTTTATTCTAGTATTGTTGAACTGAAGATGGCTTTAAAAAGTCTGTCTTCTAAGGACAGAAAACACGCGATCTGGAGTTTTACGAAGGAACAGAGATAATATGGAGAACTACTGAAAAAATGTTTTAAAGTTTGTTAAATGGTAATTTAGCCAAATTTTTTATCTCTGGTATTCGATTCTGATAGATATTGATTATCGTTGTTTTTAATTTATTTTCGTGAATTTTATAAATTAAAAAAAGTTTAATATTTTTGAAAATGATGATTTAATGGTACTCGAGTACTGTTTTAAGATTATAATATTTTAATTTCAATTTGAATATACTAATTTCAAATAAAATATGTAGACACAAACAAGTAATAAATATGTACATCAACCGTTTAGGTCATAGGAACGAAATTTCTAATTTATTTTTTTTTTTCGATAGTAAGAAAAATTCAACTCCTAAATGGAACTTGTGGACGATAATGTTAAAAACTCGTCTGTAATATTTTTTCATCATTCCGCCACTATCGCAAAATCCAATTGGAAAGCAAAATTGAAAAAAATTACCCGAGTGTTTGAAGTATCACCCGCATCCAATTACTTATCTACAAAGTTGTTGAATGGAACTTTCAAAAAAATAATTTTTACTTCTCCAAAAAGCGTTTTCCGGGAAAAAAAAACACAATTGTTATAAAACAAATATTGTTCAGGATCTAATATTAACTTTTGTAACTTTTTAAATTTGAGTCGACTTTATACACATTTCCCATCGGAAAATAAGAATCAAAAACTTGAACTTATATTTTGCTCACCATTTTAACCTTGTTTTAACCTTGCGTATAACTCCAGGTTATTATAAGTAAGTTACATTTAGAAAAAATCTATTAATTTAGATCAAATATGACCATTAGATTAACTAAGATGTACACTCGAAATATTTTTTTTTATTTTTCATTTATTATTTACTTATTTTTTATTTTTCTTTAAATTTATTATTGTTTGTTTTAAGTTAAATATTATTCAAATTGCAGGAACGCAGGTTTTTTTAGGAAGTATTCTTCTCATTTTTAAAATCATAATATTTTTCAACAAATAAAACTTGAATTGTCCACTCAACTGTGACACATATTTTATATTTTTTTTTAGGGTTTAATATTTATTGATCAATCTTAAATTATTATAATTTTATTATATTATCTGTATTGCGTTTTCGCTGTGGGTATTAATAATGTATAAAAAAGAAATAACCAAAATCTATTGACTTTATGAAAAGAAGAAGCGATTTTATAGAAAAAAATAAATACACACACCTATACAATTTAAATATATAATTACAATGTTTAATATCATGTCACGTTTAAGGACAATTCAAATTTTTACTTAGATTGCAAATTGCAATTAATGCTTGGGTTTTTTTCAGTTTTCGATAATTGTTTATCAGTTTATAATTTTATTTAAAACATATTATCCATTTATCTCTTTTAGGCACCGGAAAACTCACATTAACATAACAATTTATTTAATACATTTAAACTACCTTAAAGGGGAATGGACTGGTACATAAATCCATCCTATTGGGTGCACCACAAGTTTAACCGTTTCAAAGGACACGGTAAAATATTATAATCACCTGTGTCATAATCACCGAAACCACCGTAACCACTAAAATAGAAACTTTGCCCGCAAATGATTTATGTATAGATATCAATGTTCTCGCAGATGTTTTAATGACTTAATGATTATAACGTTACTCGGTATAAACAACGATTGAAATTTAAAAACTTAACAAAACGGAAAATGAAAAAATAAGATATCACAAAACATACCATAATATTAAACGAAAAATTATTTCATTAATAGTCCAGTCAAAATAAATATTCAACTATGGAAGAATTCGCATAGAACTGAAAATTGGTACACACCTCAAGTACATCATTATAAATGAAATGTCAAAGTCCCCATTGACTTCACTGCTTTTAAACAATTTATTCGAGGTTATAGGTCACAAAAAATAAGTTTTTTTCACATATCTCTTAAACTTGAAGTATTTTCGTAAAAATAGACCTACATAATTTGTAGATCCAGTAATTTCCCAAAAAAAAGTATTTTTTTTTATTTTTCTATGAATAATGTTTTATGAGATATTGTGGTTTATAAACGCCTAACGGAAAAAACAATGTAAACACTGACTGTGACGCGACGACTGGCTGTTGCAAGTGCAATTATTGTTTTCTAATATTTTCTAATATTATTTTCTAATTATTTTAATACTTCTTTACACTATTTTAGTATTTTCCCGTACATAACCTCATTAATTCGTTCGAAAATCTGTGTGTAAATACAGTTTAATGTTCTGCATTTGGTTAACGTGACTATGGGTGTACTAATTTTCAGTTCTATTCGAATTATTCCGAAGTTAACTTTTTTTTTTTTGTCTATTTTGACTGGACTATAACATAAAATAATACAAAACAAAATATCAAAAATATCAAAACAGAACGTAAAACGCAAAACGAAATAATATTTTTTAATACCACTTTATATTTTATATTTGAAATATTTTTACCTACTAGATCTATTTTTGTCACTTACTTTTACCCAACTGAGTTTTATCAGCAGTTTTAACAGCTGGATGCATTGTTGGCAATTTTATTTATTATAATTATTAATAAAATATTTGAAAATTATTTGAAAAAACCATACATTTATGTTTACCTAAATTGGCTAAAACCAGTTGGCTTGTCATTAGTCTATGTTATTTGATTTTCACTATCCAGTGCAGTGTGTGCAAACTGCGCGTGCCAAAATTAATAATCAGTATTCACTATTTAGTAGGTACCTCTAGTAATGTTACTAGTTATTACTAATAAATAATAATAAATCGATGATGGTACGACAGAAGAGTCCTAGCGACATAATACATAGTTTTCAGGAGAGTCAAAAAACATTTATTTGTGATTTTATATTTTTTTTGTTTTAGATTCTGAGTAGAATAGAGAAATATAAGCGTAGAAGTGTATGGTTTTACAAAGATGTTTATTTTTTTTTCTGTTGACAACTTTTCTACCAGAGGACTTGCTCTGATTTTTACGTGTAGCAATGTTTCTGAAAGGAAAATTCACTGGAGAGGTAGTTTAAAGAGGTCGTTTTTTTATTTTCCCCGTAGTTTTTTCAGAAAATGTGAAAAACTGGAAAAAAACTGGGAAAATCGGTAAAACATTAAACAAATATTATTACTATTTATATTCGTACTATTGAAGTCACATCAAACGACGTCCATCAACAATATACGAAACGTCATAAACTCATATTAGTCATAAATATTGTTGAGAATACGTATAAATTTGTTGTTAGTGTAATATTTTCAAATATTCCTTGTCCCCATGCTTTATGCAACGTCTGACACCAAAAACGCAAAGGCAAAATCCTCTTTAGCTAAAATACCTAGTTCTTTTCGAGTTTTTCAATTGTGTAGAATCCTATTTTATTGACTATAACCACTCTTTTCCAACGCTACAATCATTATTTTAATAATCTATGTGTAATGTGTAAAAAATAGTTGAATTGGCAATGCTTTACTATTGCTAGATAATACTGCTAGTAATAGTCAGGACTTGTTATTTTATATATGGGACATAGGTATAGATAACATGTCTTTACTGACTGACTGACTTACTGATTCATAAACGCACAGTCCAAGCCAATGGACAAATCTGGTTGAAATTCAACATACACGTAGGTATCCGCCAAGAAGGATTTTTGAAAACTTAGCCTCTCAAAGAGTAATAAGAGGTTTTAGGCATTTTTGATATTGTTCATTTTTTTTTTTTTTTTTTATTCGTGGGTTACTTTGGTGACGTCAACTCTTTATAACATGATACCGTTTTCAAATATTCCATTGTTTTAATTCATAGTTTAGCGTCTAAACTTTCATAAAAATTGTATTTTTGAAATATTACATGAAAGTTTTGTGTAATATTTCATGGAAATATTGTCAAAATTTAATTTTGATAAAAAAAATCCATATAATTTGTTTTAAAACTTTAAACTCAATTAGTATGACAATAAATATCTAATTAAGACATTGAACGATCCTGAACTGCCTGAAAAAGCTTTTCAAAAACTGTTAAGAACAAATTGAAAACAACTATAATTAACAATAATGTCCCAACTCTAAGCAATTGATAGTTAAATCAGTTTTAACTTTTGGTATTATAGATTAGAGGTCTCGATAGAAAACGTGAATTACTACGTACGTGAATATGAATGAAAAATTTGTAATCACGTATACTTAATACAAGTGAATTCACTATCCGTGTTTACGTATTTTAGCGAAATTTACCACGTATTCTTGTCTTCCCGGATGTTTTGTATAAAAGAGAGCGTACTGTAGTAAATTTGTTGTGGATTTTGTATATATATATTAATTTATTCTATTGTTAAATTAAAATGTTTAACAATTTTATGAACATAAATTATATTTAATATAATATTTATTATTTTGATTTTCACGATTTTTTTTACTATATCAAATATATTTTAATAAATAATACAGTGGAACCTCGATAAGTCGAAAATCTTGATTAATCGAAATAAATGATGTTCCCTTGCGAAAATCTCGATTACTCACAATAAAAACTATAAATAATTCGAATATTCTGTGTTCCGATTACAGACGGATAATAATGGATAATATTTATAATAATTTGCCTAATCGGCTTCTGCGTTCCATAATTTAACGTAATCGCGTTTATCGTGTTTATTATCGAATTTTTCACTCGGTGTATTGTCACTACATTCGGTATATTTAGTAACACAATTTTAAAATAATAATAATAACAATAACAATACGCACTGTAATTATATGTACATATTATTAGTGGTTATAAATACTAATATTATTTCTTACCAATGATATTTTATATTTTATATTTTATTATGGGAAGTTGAGAAGGTGGAATACAGACGTGAATTTAATCCGTAAATAATGATAAACCATTGCAAACGAAAAAATGATTCTGAGCAGAGTTGAATTGATAGTGTTGCTTTGTCATCAATATACGAAGTGATCATTCTATCATAAGACACTAATTATTTCGGAAAGTAATAACTTTTTCCGGAGTTTATTTTTTAGTACATTTAAGAAACAAACAACGAATTTGATATTTATATTATTTTTTGTCACTTTTATTTTTCGGTGTAAAACCACTACCTAATTCTGATTTTCAAAGGCAACCTGTCTTAAAAATTTCATAAATAGACGGAGTATTAGTTAAAATAAATTTTAGTGTTGGCGTTTTTGATTTCCGTCAATCCATTGACGAGATATCCTACTATCGAATATATGTTAGGAAGAGAGTAGTGGAGTATCATTTGTGTAGTGGTGCGCCACGTGGCGTGTTCATAGTGCATCATCACTCTCCCCCAAACCAAAATTAAAATTGGTAAATCTCGTCAAAAGATTGACAGAAATCGAAAATTTCAACGCCACAATTTATTTTAACTAATACTTCGTCTATTTATGCAATTTTCAATATAGGTCGCCATTCGAAAATTAAAAGTAGTTCAAAAAAATCAATAATAAGGGTAACAAAAAATAAGATGAATATAAAGTTATAGAGCAGCTTGAAAACAAATTCCGAAAAAAAAGTAATACTTTCCGAGATAACGAATTTCTTACGATAGATTGATCACCATATTATATTAAAATAATTACATGTGCATTAAACATTTTCTTTAATAATATTTGTTTAATGTTGTACCTATTTTTCAGCTCCCCCGTTTTTCCTTCGTTTTTACCAGTTTTTTTTCTATTTTTTCTAATATATAAAGAAAACTCCTGAGAAAATCAAAAAATGACCTTCTATAGTACCACCCAAGTCAGATTTTCTCGCAAAAAAGGTTTTCATAGACACAATTTACTTTTTTTTTTGTGTGTGTGTACCAGTAAGGTTAGGTTAGCAGCTATAGCAGTTTACTTAATAAATGAAAAAAAATAAGGAAATTGTTTGTATAATATTTGTTGATTTCCGATTTACTTTAGAATCAAGGGAAAAACACGACTAATAAATGTGCTGATGAAAATCATTTTCCTTTAGCAATGGTTTACCTTTGCATACGAATATAAATTAAATCACTCTCTATATTCTCTTTTCCAACTTTCCTACTGGAACATTGACACAATTATTATCATTTTTTGTTTACTACATTTTACCATTGTTTTGTAGGTACATATTTGGAAAGGGTAATACTTTGATTAACTGTCACAGTTTTCGATAAAATCAAACGAAACCGCTATATAACGTTATTATATTTAATATGAATATAGTGTAAATATGTTGTGACTTACCTACCTTGATAATAAAAAAATTATAGGTATAGGATGTATTTTCAGTAAGTACAGTAAAAACAAATTGCACACATTTTCTTTTATTGACACGCCTACTGGCCTACCAAATTCATACATTTTATTCGTACAAAAAAAAAAAAAACGCAATAATGTCGTCGCTGACTGATTATTATTTGACCTATGATTAAAATTGATCTATCTATTATTAGCCATATAGAACAATCAATATGTGACCCGACTACCGATTATAAGTCTTCGCTAAGGGGAAAAACGAGTCGAGAATATAAAGGATTACGATGATATTTGCACGGAACAAACATTTCGCTCAGTAGTTATAATAGTTATACGCGTTCTGTGTTTTCACGTAGGTAGGTAGTGTTGTACGTGTCTGGAGTTTTAAGTGATTTATTGTTTTTCGACGGTAGTTGCAGCGCGAATAAAATGTCTCGGGAAATTAGATTATATCATATATTTACAGGAAAAAAAGTAATTTATGACGGGTCCAAAAATATATTATTTTATGTATACGCGTCGGCCGATTACAAAATTACCTCAATTGAATAAACAAACGGAAATGTGAAATTCATTCAATATACATTATACAAGCACAGGTATAGTAAATTAATAAGATTACTAACAATACAATATGTGGACAAATAGGTCACGTGATGCCGCTTTTCCACCGTGTCGGTTGCGGGGTCAGGTATTTTATCAATAATTGCCGTCATTAATAGTGTTTTGGACAATAACCAAATGTAACCCGATGGTGACTGTGTTTTATAAATAAATCGCTTTAGCAAATTCGGCGGTAACTTAGGTACCTTTGGTAGGTACTTAGATAGTAACCTTTGGTTATATATTACTAATGATATTTGATTATTGATACAACAATGTCGAATAATCGAATGTATAGTAATTGCATACCTAGGGTTAAAATATTGTATTACCTAAGTGATGATTACAAGTATAAATTTAAAACGTATTGTTAAATAAATATAGTAATTTCCATAAAAAGCAAAGATATATTTTTATCGCGTTTGAAAAAATATGTATCATAATTAATGTTTATATTATAATTTAATGGTGTAGGACGGTTTAACTTACAATTATATTTTAATCAGACTGATAACGCAATTCAAAGCTGGCAAAATTAACATGCCAGCTTTTCAGCTTCTGCTTTGTTATCGCCGGGCAGCAATCTACTTTATTTTATCTAAATCTTTGTAGGTACATAAGCGACGGAATCGTGGTTTATCTTTATTATATAAATTGTGCAATGCCATAAAATGAGAAGAAAAGATTAATATGCTTCCTACGAGTTCCGAGAGAACCGTTTTAAGTAGGTATTATAAAACTAGGTCAAATGGTGTAATAAGTTTAATATAAAATATATTTTGAATTTGTTGAGATCAGGTATCTTCGAAATTAAATTAAATAATCTTTTTTATATTTACTAATCGATAATTTATAACTAAAACCCACTGAAACGGACCATGTGAAATTATAAAAAAAAAGTTGATAGATTAGGAATTTAGGATGAATATAGTAATTTTATTTATAACTGTCGATAAGCAATGATAAATCATTTATAACGATATACGATTCTGAGCGGAGTTCAATTGTACGTATATTAAAATGGTGTATTTTTTACGATTTTCGTTACAATATGAACTTTAAAAAGCTTATAAAAATACATCACAATATTGCACTCAACATTTTTTGTTCACTACTAAGTACCTTTAATAGCATTAAGCAATAAATGTACATTCTCTAAGTATTTCTGCTAAGATAAAAGAATTTTATCCACAAAAAATCGAATAAAAATTTAAAAAAACTATAAAGTGTTAAATGCCATTAAATAACTAATATTAAATTAAAGGTGCTAATTTAATTACAGAGCTTTATGATTATTTTTTAATGGATAACACCAAAGAAAAAACAAAATCTAAAATAATGATACTGTTATTGCCGTACATTTTTCTATTTTCCCTACTTTTTTCTCAGTTTTTCCCAATTATTAAGAAAACTACAAGGATTATCAAAAAATTACATTTTTACGCATAAACTAAATTAAAAGTAATACATTTAAAAATCAAATAAATCCAACAAATTTGACTGTTCACATTTGCAATAATTTATAGCTCAATTAAGTTTTGAAAAAGCCGAACTAAGGAACTGGTAATTTGAATTTTTAATTTTGGTACATAATTAGTCCACGACTTACTGATGAACATACTATAAGTCTTGTGGGATAATCCTATGGTAGGTAAGATTTAAACAATGTGTGGGGAATCAGCCATCTACCATTCAATAGTGGTGTTTTTGACTTTCAAACTAATTTCACATATAACTAATTAACTGTTGCAGAAAATTTGTGTGAAAAAAAATATTTAATTGATTAAAGGCTCTTGAATTAACTACAAAATTATGGTATATTTACGATGAATTACGGTATCCTTAAAAATATATCAGAAAATGGTGGGATAAATAATTATAAATACCACTCTTTTTTTTCTTAAAATGTTTTAGCAGCAAATTTTGCTTAGTATAAGAATTGTAAAAATAACAAGCACTAGTTAATAATCATTGTCAAGTCACAATTCATTACATAATTTATACACATTATACTTTGATTTTAATAAAATTGTAAATTTATGTAAGCAAATAAGAATTCTGACAGAAGTAAATTGAACCAATTAAGGTTTATGTGCTCCTTAACTTTGTAGTGTCCTTGATAACTGCCCATTTCTGCACGTTCAGTTACGGCACTGTACTTAAGGACATGTCCGCTGTAGTTTTTGTATATATTATACATGTATATTAATATCTATAATAAAAATGTATTAATGAAATAGCAAATCGTATCAAGTATTTTTATGCAAATTTAATTTGTACGATACTACAATAATGAATTGTTCTTTTTTTTTTTTGATTTAAATAGTTAGTAATTATTTTTATTATGGAATAAACTATACTACAATAGTAAAAATATACATAATGCATATTTTTTTTTATTATGCGGTAGGCTAATATATTACTTAGGTTTACATATTTTTCTCGAATTATTGATATTTATAACATCGTAATGATTATTTGATAGTAGTATTGAACATAGGTAACATTAAAAAAATTGGTGACTATAGTCGGTGGCGTTGACAGAACGGGGAGAGGGATGGTTAGGATGTTTAAACATTGTCCGGATTAAAAACAAAACAAAAACCTATTAAAAATATAATATACATTACAGTAAAAGAAGAAAATAAAATTACTAAAAACCCAGAATAATATATTTTCGTACATTCGTACAGTATAATAAATTAATATTATTGTACATATAAAAATATAAAAATACTAAATACGATTATATTGCCATCAAAGTTCTCTGTGAGGCAACCACTTACAAGTACTAAGACGTTTGGTCTCCGGGAAGGAACTGTTTGGTTTCGTGCCATCATTGTGTAACTTTTGAGTTAAGCTTTTAGGAAATACTCTTCTTAATGGAGGAAACCGCTAAAAGGTTCAAATCTACCTCCCCGTAGTTTTTTAAGTCATACGAAAGTGAAAATACAACAAATATAAACAATTCGGAAGAAAATTCGTATTTTACAGAAGATTATTTACCGTGTACACGATATTTAAGCCCACAGAGGGCGAAACACTATCAAAATCAATCAAATTCGTTTTAATTTTTTGGCATTGTTTGGAATAGAATCAGTAAAAGTGACGGTGGTAAATTTGAAACATTCCTAGAGTGAACAGGGGTTCTAGTAAAAACCGTAAAAAAGCCCAAGTAAAATATATTAAATTCGGCTCAATAATTTGGCATATTTTTTTTTGGAAAATCGGACAATATACCATCATCGTATCAATGCATTTGAAAAGTTTAGGATACCTAGCAAAATTTATCAAGTTCCAAGATGGTTTGTTGATACTGGTTTTGAATAATATGCATGTGCGAACTTGACGGACATGACTATTTTGTTTTTTATTTATTCCACCGGAATGGTTTTGTGTACACATACCTAATAACCGCGTAAGCTTGAAAAGAAAGAAATATATGCACTCGGCTTAACTAATAAATCGGTAAGACTCGTATAAATATGCACGTGTGTTGTTTATGTGTATAAATCCGCAAGGTGGCGAGAAAGCTCGAAAATTAAGATGTTGACTATTATAAGACACCTACACCTACGCCCTTCATCGTTTGCGGTACCTTTATACATTATAATAGTTTGGCGATGCCGCGGTAAACGTCAAAAACTTTATTATTTTCACTGATTTTACTTAGAAACTATAACACATTATCGTATTTTGTAATATGCTGTCGTTATTAAAGACTAATATTAATTATTTATCATATAGATATTATTATATTTTTTTTTTTTTTTTTTTATCCCTAAAAAACTTTTTTTTTAAAAATCTCGCTCCAATAAAAAAAAACGACAATAGAACTTTTTTTATGCAATTTTTGATCTATTTGGTGCATCATGATGGTAAATTTTTGTATTTCCAAGTGAATATTTTTCATGATAATTAAAAAAAAAAAACGTATAGAAAAAACAGATAATTTACAAAAATAAAAGTTTCATTGTTTTCAATTTGTTCAACTTTATATTGGTTTCAATTCCTAAATTGTCATATTTCCTAAAATAAATGTATATGTCTTTGGTACGGTTAAAAAACAAACGTACAAGTAAATATCTGAAAATATCTGGGAATTAAACGATTCGTTAATGCGAAAAGGAAATGTCCGATAATTATTTATGAGAGCAAGGGGATGTTATGCGAATGGGAATGGATACTACGGTTTTCATAATAAAAATAAAATACACAATAAGTTCTCGTAATTCGATGAAAATATATAATATTATATTTTTTCGTGCGGGATTTTATTCAATGAGAAAATTTTCTGATTTTTTTTTTTTTTGTATTTTTGTTTTTACGAATCGTTATTTTTTAATAATTTAATCGTGTCGGTCTGCTATTCTGTGTATTCTCACACTAAAAATCACCCCTATTCGCCGTTTCGCTACACTCATCATTTATAATACTCCGAGCATTTCTCCAGAATAACGGGTATTTGATAGAAACCAATCGCCGATTTTCACTAACCGTTCTGTAGGTACCTACGACTCTTTGTCGAGTGACTTAAACACAATATAATAAAATAACGGTGTGACCCGCCCGAGAGTTTTCCAATTTGCAGTATCGTTGATATCACGAACGCGCGAGTAAATTCAAAATAGCGACGGCGTTGGCGGCGACGATTACGGAGGCGTCGGGTCGGCCGCCGTCGCCTACCGATACCAAGGCGCGGACGTTTGGGAGCCGGTCAAAGAGTCCACGACGAGCGCCACCGTCGTCGTTGGCATCATCGCTGCAGGGTTCTCATGGTAAACGTTTTGCTGGCGGGGACGGGATGAAGGGAAGGGGTCGAAATGTGCGTGCGTGCGTTTTCTCGCTCGTGTGTTTTTCTATATGTGCTCACATTCCCGTCCGTGCGTGTATGTGTGTGTGTGTGTGTGTATGTGTGTATGTGTGTATGTATGTGTGTGTGCGTATGCGTGTGTATGTATGTGTGCGTGTGAGTGCGCGCGAGCGATTATACATTTGTCTTTGTACCCGTGTGCGTACGTTTCCGCATACAGACAAGTGCGTGCGTATACCTGCAACCGGCGCGTGTGTCACATAATATTGTAAGCGCCTTTGGCAACGGCGGCGTGCCACCGATGCCGATTGTGACTGTGGCGTGGGCGGTGACGGCCACATGGAGGCGAACCATAGTCGTCGTCGTGGTCGTCGGCAAAACGCTCGAGCCGCCGTCGCGCTAGCGGTTCGGGGTGGTCGCGGACTAGGATTATACGCGCAGGGGTGCAAGCGGCGGGCTGGACAAACGTTAAATTATTGATTCGGCGGCCGGCGTGGTATGGCGCGCGGGTGTCTGGTCGGTGGGCCGGGGGTATGGGAGCGTCTAGCGAGAGTGTATTGTTATAACGTGCGATGGGACGTCGGGTACGGCCGCAGGAGCGGAGGAACGTATACGCGGACTTCCACGCGCTCATCGTCGCAATGTTATCGCTCTATCTCGCTCTTCACCACGCGGCGACGTACGGAGCGAGCCATGCGTGCGAGCGTGAAACACGCGCGTGGCGGGAAATTATTATCATTCCTTCGCGCGAAAATTCCCGAAAATTTTCCGCGCCGTGAATTCGCGAGTGGGCCACGATAAAGTTTTGCGGTTTCGTCTAATTCGGTTTTACGTTTAATTCTTCGCCCGTCTCGCCTCGGGCGGAACCGCGGGCGCCTCGCTAAAGCCGTGTAATGCGATTTTCAAACGATGGCGGTTATCCAGCGTGCAGCTCTCTTCACCGCGGTTTTTTTAATATTTGATTTTTTTTTTCTCGCGAGTTTCCTCGCCTCGCGTTCTAATCGCGTAGGAAGTTTCACTCACCTGCATAAAGCACCGCCGCCTCGGTCCGAAATCCCGCTGCCAAAAGAATTGTTTGGAAACAAAAAAAAAACCGCATAGTATAAAAACCGCCACCACCGTCGTCGACGACACCGCCGCAGTCGTTCGATCGGCGACAGATTCGTATATTATACGGAACTAACCGACTCACACGCACAAAAACCTCCCTCAAACACACGCACATGCACACATACGTACACACATACACACACACACACACACACACACACACACACATATACACTCACACAAATATACACACAGACGTCCGCAATCCACATACCCGCGCACACTGTCGCAGCACACACACATACGTGCACATACGCCCACACATACGCGTACGCACAATATTCACTGTCCGACACCCGCCGCGCTCGGTCGCGTTCGTACGCCCACTCGCGCTCGCAATTCATACAAAAGCGGTCGTCGGTCGTCGCACGATTTCCGTCAGTCGTCGAACGCAGTTTACTACGGTACGCTGTGCTGTTACGGTCGTCCGGCGTCCCGCTGTCTGTCCCGCGCTCACGCACACGCACACACGTTTACACGAAGTATAATATTATAACACGCGTATTATTTCAACGGCGACGCGTACCCACCCCGGTCGCACCACTCTCAGAACACGCCAAAGACCTTCTCGGCTGCACCATGTTCGCCCTCCGCACGTTCCGTAACGTGTTTTTCTCAGGTAAAAATCGTATGACAACAATAATAATAATAACAATATTTTTTCGATCGTACAACTCGTAAATCGCGCATAATTATACTATACCGTTAATACCGATAACAATATACAATATTAATTCGATTTATTTATATTGTTATTACTATTATGCCTTACGGCTGCAACGTTATTGTTACCTGCCCGTTGTTATTGCAATATAATTATTGTTATTACGGCGGTCGCACGTGATCGTGACCGGCGTTTAACACGAACGTTTTCCATTTTTGCGGACAATGTTTTATTGAGTATTGTTATTGTTATTTTTACCGTATTATTTTATTGTATTTTTTGTATTTTTTAGGTGGGTTTATTAAAGGATTTTTAGGGACTGTACTGTTTTCGCGGCAAAATTTTCGCGCCCGCGTATCAGCGATATAATTATAATGTTATGATAAAAAAAAAAAAAAATAAAAAAAATATACGTCGCACGTTGCGGCGGCCGGTCCGGGGCACAATAACAAATATTACCACAATATTATTGTTGTTGTTATCGTGTGGCCGGCCGCGGGAACGCGGTTCGAACCGCGTGGTTTAATTAACGGCATTTTCCGTTTTACAGCGTATTATTATTGCGATCGCGATTATGATAATTACGTTTTACCCGTAGAGCACGTCGTTAATAACGAACAACAATGCAAACGCGTTCGGGTACGTAATTCGTTATCCGATCGCCGACGTTTCCGCTATCAATCGCGTTTATAATGTTATACAGGTATTTTTCGTACGAGCGCATACATTGTCGTCTACGCGTGTCCGTGGGTCGCGTTTGAAAACCACCACGAAATGAAAAGATCGGTAAATTTTAATGTTTTTTTTTTTTTTCGATTTTGCTTCGGTCACTATATTGTCGTGCAGACCGACCGGCACACACATGCAACTGCTGCAGTAGGTACCGCCGGTTATTGCACACATTGTCGTAACGATAATATTATATTTTGTTCGCGACACGAATGCGTCAGTCGTAAACCGTAAAATAGAATCTCCTGTGCGACCGCATCGCCGAATTTTTCTTTATTTTTTTTCAGTTTCCGATAAGATTTTTTCGAGTTTTTTAAAAATAATTTTTTTTTTTTCGTAGAACGTTATTTAAATTTGTATTATGTTTATTAATAATGAACTTATTTTTACGTACGTATACAAATATACGATATAATATTGTATAGGTATCGATTGCGAAACGGATAATTCTCACGGAGACTCGAAGGTTTTTCTTGGTGAATTTTTTTTTTTTTTCATTCACTTTAAGTCACCGCTATTTTTGTTCGTGAAAAATTAACTTTCCGACGACAATAATGTTATTAATAATTTACAGTATAACTGATGACTACACGTATACATTGCGTATACATAATTTTTACTCAATTTGAATAAATTATAATTTTTACTCGGTTTTTTTTATTATTTTTTTTTATTTTATCACCCGCCTATTTGATTTTCTTTTGAAAAATATCGTATATTTTATAGTGGATATAACCGTTCGTCGTTTACAGACGATTACCTCGGGAATTTCGTTTTTTACGTTCTACTGTCCCTATACCATACTAGAGATCTGAAAAAAAAAAAGTTTTCCGAAAAATAACAAGATTACCCCTTCTAAAAAAACTGGCGTTTCTCGAAAAAACTAAAAAATTTCCTAATGGAAAATGGTTTTTTCGGAATCAAATTTTTTTCCTCGAAGAAACAAAAAAGTAACAGAAACTATCCAAAGAATAGTGAAAATTAACGATGCATCAATGTACAATGACTTTAAAAAATTGTAGCGAACGAATCTTGCGGATTTTATACTTTCCGTATAGTATAAAATTAAATATTATTACCTAAATATCCTCGTTTGTTAATCAAGTGTAATGCATATAACTATGCGCCGTAATAATAGTAATATTTTGTTTATAACTCGTAACTTTATTAAAACTATCGAATACGCTTTTCGAATATTTTCGAAATAAATTACATTTTTCCCGCAATTCAATTAGTTGATGTACATTGTTAAATGCGAATTAAATTAAATTGACTGTGATATTAAACGCTGCAGTTTGTTGTTTTTTTTGATTATTCCAAAAATATTTCGACCGATTTTTTTTACGCTCAGACGATTTCAAACGTTAACGAAAATCGTTTAATTTTCCGAAAACGTTTTCTTACAATATTCTCCGATACGTCCCTTATAGAGGACTGGGGAAAAGGGTTTTTCTCCGATTTTTTCTGAAAATTTCTCGGCATTTTTTATTTTTATTCTAATTATTATACGTTTACGTGCTTATTATTACAAACATATTTTCGTAAAACGTCGAGTTCCGCAAATCTCAATTATACACGTTGTGTAACGAAACGAATAGCGACGAAATACGACGATACAAATACGAACGTTTTGTCAGAGTTTAATGCGAAAATAATAATAATAATTCGTCGAGAACGTTTTTATAATAAAAAAAAAATATATTATAATATTATTATCGCGGAATTATCACCCGCAGCGCAGCTCTGTTTGTTTTGCTTTTCCGCAAAAAGTATCTACGGAGGGGAGAAATAAAAAAATGAAAATCGTCGTACTTAATCAACGGGTCGGTACTTACCCGCTACGATTAATTTAAATAAAATAATATTATTGTTACTTCTCGGCGCGGTCCGTTTTTAAGAAACAACAACAACAACAACTATAGTCGTCGCCGCTCTACAACGATAATTAAAGCGCGGACATTTACAACGGGACGGTTTTTTTTATTTATTTATACAAAATGTTAATTAGATAATATTATTTTTATTGAAAAACGCATTATTCGTAATTGTATTATAATATGATTACTAAGAGAACCCGCGTTTTCAAGCGGTCTCCGCCGCGCGATATAACAAGTTTTCGTTCGACGGTGTCGAAACCGTGTGCCGTTTCAGTTTAGTGATTCGAACGTGTCGGCGCGCCAATACGACCGTGCGAAATATCGCGGTTTCGAAAAAAAAAATAAAAAAATAAATAATAATATTAAACATTCTCAAAAACGAAAATCACGCAGAAACGGCAATGTTCTTTTGTCTTCGGTTTTTTTGCCGGGTAGACACAATGGCGTCCCGAAACACCGAAAGCCCTTGGAGCATTTGTTTCGAGGGCCGGGGCCCTTTTATCTGCGGACAGGCAGATGAAAAATTCAAGGACGGTGAAAATCCGCGCGATAACAATAGGGTCGGTAGATGATATTTCCAAAAACAAGGGTTTCACGGCGTCACGCGTATGGCGAGTACCTACTAAATTTTAAACACGTTGTATTCGCAAAAGCGATTTTCAGCGACATACCAGTTTTCGATATTCCGCTCGTAAAGAATACTCGTTCGCCAATATTGATTGTATTTTATTATTTTACTGCAGTCCGCAACGCAGTACACGAAAATCTACACTAGGGTGACTAGGTGACTTCCTTTTTACGTCCTTTTTTCGTCTTTGTGTCCCGTTGTCCCGACGAATTTCTCTCACGACGCTTTTTGTCCTGTTTTTAAAGTCCCAATTATTCCGTATTAATTCTTATTCCATTCATTTGGATGTAAATGAATCGATACCGGTGATAATGCATCTAAGATTTACGGTTGGGTATATTTAAAATGGTTAATAATATAGACGTAATTATATAAAAAACCTATAATAATTAATAAATATTACTTCGGATGTATTAATGAAATTATTTTTTTTCCTGTATTTTATATTTTAAAATATGATTGCCTTAGTGGGTTAGTCCAAACAGTCGAAACGGCCAGTAGAGAGTTATAACAATAACGGTAATCTATAAATATGGTTTTATAAATCTTTGGGCCTAAGAGGCTTACTGACGGCCAAACACGACCGGGGGTCCCTGCCGGGTTCACAAAATAGCGACCACACAGTTGAACCGATACTGCACAAGTCATTTCACCCGAAATTATAACTAACGGCACAGAGTCGGGCATGCCGAACGAAAATTTGTCAGGTCACGCGTTAATATGACGGAGACGGCCGGTTCCCGTTCTCTTAATAACCGATAATGAATATTATTGTACGACGGGATGAACATTGTTATCGATAATATTATTTTTTTTATTCTGTGTCAAGTCGTTGAAAATCATATGGATGGTGACACGGTTGGAGGGTCTAAGCGACACGGTTTCACTGTTGGACGGAGAAATACGTATTTCGTCCATTGCGCGTGTGCAAAAAAGAGCCGTGACCATTATTCAACTAATAATTTGAACTATACGTTTGGGTTGTAAACGATACTTATTTTATTTCGTCTTCTCAATTATATAAGGTTTAAAAGACAATAAAAGCTAATCAACAATAATGCGTATTCATATTTCAATCGACAAAAAGTTATTGCAAACCTAAAAACAAAAAAACAAAATGCTAAAATCACAAATAAATGTTTTCCGACTCTCCTGAAAACTGTGAATTGTGTCACTTACACCCTTTCACTGTGTCGCTGTCGATACAATTGTTTTTTACGTTTTGAACGCTGCGGTTCGGTCGAATACGTATTTTATGTTCACGCGATATGGTAATAAATTAATAATGTGTGCCCAGAGTATGTCAATGACGATTGTAACGTGTGAATATTATTGACAGTTACATTAGAATTTGCAATTTTATACCGATACGCCGGTACTTGTGTAATATGATACATACCCGGAAATTTGTACCTTATAACGGAGTAATGAATTTCTCAAGATAATACTTACATACTTTTTTATCCTACGGGTAAACTTTATATCCAAATTTTCGGTTCTTAAGTACGCGTAAATTGTTCACCAGTAAACCACTTGCGTCGTTTAAAAACGATTCAAATGTTTAATTATTACAATCGATATTATATCTTCTTTTAAAATCTCTGGTAGAAATGTTTTACATTATAGAGGACTAATGAACACGTAAAAAACTAAAACTAACTTAACATAATTCACGAAATAATCAAAAAAATAATACCTCAGCAATTTCGCATTCATAAGCATATTTAAAGATGTATATTTTCAAAATTTGTTCTTTTATACATATAATAAATCAAATGAGATAAAATATTTGTGAATAAAATATATAATAAAATATTAGTAAGTAACTTTAGAATAGGGAAATGCTTTCCGAGTATATATCATATTAGACGAGTAACCGATACGTCTATTCAAATATAATGTTATATAAGATAATAATCTTATATTCGTGAACTCAGAATATATCGATATCGATCGAACCTCATTTTTTTCAGAATAAACAATTTTATTGTCGACCGAGTATTTTATTTTCAACTAGCCTAGCCGAATTCCCTGACTCATCTAAAAAAAAAAAAAACGTTACATTTATTTTGCAAAATTTAAAAAGGGTGCTTCCTTGTTTGTGACAGTCAAATTAAATAATAATGACGTGTTTTTTTTTTTTTTTTAATTTCATTCGTGTCACCAGGGTGACTCAGAAAAAAATTTAAAAAATAATAGTAAAAAAAAAAAACAATCGAGTGTGAGTCACCCTTAAACGTCATATAAACGTCAAAATAAAAAACAAATAAACATTTACCATCTTTTTTTTTGAACGTCAAGTGTACAAAGTATTACCGTGATTGGAATGAAACTATGAATTTTAACAGGAAAGACATACAAGAATTTTAATTTCATTTAATGTAAGATATTAAATTTTTGAATTTGCAATATCAAAGGAGCTAATACGAAATTCCTTAAGAGGCCGTCATAGTGGCATTTTTTGCCTCTGTATTTCTATTGCGAACAACATAACATAAAATGTGTTCATATAAAACAGGCGGAAAGGCTTTTAAACAAGGTTTTTGAGATTAAACATGTCTTATACAATTGTATATAACAGAATTTTGAAGATAATATTTTTTGCGTTTTTCGAAATATTAGATAATAAAAAGTTTTTTTTTTTTTAATAAAGGAAAACATGATTTTTTTAATTACAAGTTGAATATTTAGACAGTCGTACAACTCGGACGTGTTTTTTTCTAAATGTTCTTGGATAATATATATTTTAAAAGAGATATTTTATCGCTAAAAACGATTTCAAAGGCCTTTTCGTTTGTTTTAAGAGAGCGCATTTTTGCTAGACTGCCGGGAACTGTATAAATCGATTAAAGATTAAAGGTACAAGATAATACTATTCCGGAATGTTAATTACATAGAATCAATGGTTCCCAGTCTATCTTATAGTTGATTTTCGGACTTTTAAGCAAAATTAAATCCCGACTTATTGCGCAAAACCATTTCAAGTAGATTATAGAGAAATCAGATAAGTAAATGGGTAAAAAGTGCAATATGAAAAAGTCTTCTTTACGAAGTAACAAAAATATTTTAAAAATCGATGATTTTTATTATTATTTCCCCGATTATTACGTTCGGTGTTTTGTGCGTACCCGCAAAAGAAATTTTGTTAATACCGTGAATTGGCCTCATTAGAAGCAAATGAACGTGCATTTGTCCCGCCTACCAAGGATAGGCATTTTATAATTGGCAGTATATTAAATATATGTTTTCGAACTTCCAATAGCGTACTTAGGCCTCATTGGTCGTTTAAACTAGATTTTGCTGTCAAAATAAAACCTGAATGTTTTACTAAATATGTGTACAGAACATTAATACAAGAAGTTGTACTCAATTTTTCTATACATAGAATATATTTTTTTTCTGGTCTTGATAAATTATATTTTTAAAAACCAAAAAATAAAATAAAATGAGTTTGAAAAAACTGATCTATAGATGTTGAGACAACTTCTTGTATACATTTCGGTACCCGAAACAACAGTTTGTACTTTTGTACTTGACTCTTCATACGACCGTCGAGCCACGAGTACTGATTAAAAGACAAAAAAAAGAACATATTTTCGCTATTGTAATAACACCATTGTTTAATCCATTAATCCTTTCTTAATTTCCGTCGTAGAAAAAAAATACGTGCATTTTGTCCCGATTTCAAAACATTTCCGTTTACATTTGTCTACGTATAAAAATTTCTAAAGATTTATCGCTGCGGGATATACGTAGGCGTATTAAAAATAAAACTTCTTTTATACGTGAGTTGTGATTGAGTTTGAGAGACCGGTAAGTAAACCCGGGTGGATCGATCTCGACGTAATTAACTTAAGGGTCCGTCGATCGAATTTTCATTTTTACGGCGAATTCTGGAGAAGGAGGGTGGCGAGAGTGACAAGTTTCCCCTGTTAAAGCGTAGGTCTCACGGATGACGTTCATCGTTTGCAACGATACCCTTCGGTACGAGGAAACTTCGATCGCCGCAAAACATAATACACCTAATAAAGAGTTTTTGAATTATTATAAACCCGTCACGCTGATGATAAACGCGGATAAATAAATCGTGTAAATAAACAGTTTTAATAATTAATTTAATAGGTACACAAAACTATTGGTATGCATAAATAAATATAATTACCGTTAATTATTAATCGATAAATTATCGCCTGTCCAAAATTAAAATTAATCGATATTTTTCCGTTGATATGAACGACGCATACATTTTATAGTTTAAAAAATTGCATGTGTTATTACTACATAGAAAAAAAACCCATAGTTATTAAAGTAATACATAATATACCTCACTAGATTACTAGAACATTTATATAACTGCAATTATACAGAATTTATCATATTTTAAAGTTTGTCGATTCCAATGATCAATGTTCTTTGATTCCGAGCGTATTAGTTAAGGCGCATTGGTTTTGCTTTTTGTAGTTCTTTTAAACACATTTCTTTTCTATAAACCACGTTCTATCAGAAATCTTTTTTAATCACAAAGTAACGGGCCTTTGGATTCGAAGCGTAACGAAGGGATTTGTCGGTTTTACTAAGACGTGTGTGTTCATTTTTTTCTTTTTCGTGAACGACTTTCTACCGGAAAACTTGCTCCAAAGTATAGACTATAGCACCTTTTCTGAAAGTTAATTTTCTCTCGTTGGTGCATTGAAAAGGCCATTTTTATATTTTCTAGGTGTTTTCGAAATAATTGGAAAAACCCGAAAGAAAATTAGAGGTGAAATGGTGAATTTATTCATTGCACGTTACGGTGTTGAAAATGGTTTCACTGTTTCATTGTATTATACTAAAATTTTCTACCAGAAATATTACTTCAATTTAAAAATAATAAGACATTTATATTTTACGTAATTTGTATTTGTATTATTGTAAATTCTGATAGAAGGTTAATTATAAGTCTTATTTAGTGGTAAAAAAAAAATGAGTTTAGTATTATTCTTTTTTTTTTTTTTTATAAGTTTTAAAATAAAATGTTGACGAAAATTAAAAATATTATGGCCTTTAAAAACATATATAAATGAGCCTCATTCTGAATCATTTTTCTTAACCATTATTTATCGTTAGTTTCAAGTATAAATTACATAACTTTTTACATACCACCTCTGCAAATCACCTTATGTACCTAATATCTTACCTTCCCAACTTCTCATCCACCCATTATTGTGTAGTACACCCATCAGTATTATCCGCTCTTGTTTTTTTTTTTTTACCACTAAGACAAACTTATTATTAACCTCGTGTGAAATTGCATGGTATTTCTTTTTGATCAAACAATTGTATTCACATTAAACTAGGAAAAAAAAAATAGGTAAACATAATAGTTCTAAAATCGCCAAGAGGTTTTCAAAACTTTACCACATCTTGCAATTGTATATACAATATTAGTCTGTATAACGTTTGTACAAATATAACTTCCACAATTCGTTAAAACACGACAAATTTTTAATAATTTTGTCATATTACCATTATTACATAATGGTATCGGTAAATAACTCCAGGATTTTAATTTCTCTGCCGTATTATTCCTCTCTATAATTGTCGGACACGATCTCATACACCGATTTTCACGTATTGATTTTATAAAAGATACCTCTAGTAATTATAATAAAAAAAAAAAATCAACAATTTAGAACGTTAAAAATATTTCAAAACTATTATTTGAAATACCAGACATTTTATAAGAAAAAAAAAAATACACGATAAAAGCCGCATTAATAATATTGTTGAATACAAAATAATGTTTAACAAGCAATTCAGACAGTCATTTCTTTATCTATTCGACAATAGCAATAACCGTTGCATTACAAAACATGTACATTCGAATATGAAACGTGTTTAAGATCTTATCCGATCAAATAAGCGTAATCGGAAATAAACATCAAATTAAAAACCGTACCGATACGTCGGTCGTCTGTTATTAAAAACCATCATAGATTAAGGTCAAATGTCCGCGTTTTGATTTTTGATTATATGCGTTTGACATGCCTACTCCACGATAACGGTAACAAAATATTCTCTAACATCGGTAACAAAATAATAATAAGTCGGTAATTGCATTATAGAAACGTGGGATACAATCTATACATGGGTATTTTTATATTGTTAAATAGTGTAAAAGCAACGATAAATCGAAAAAGACGCTGCGAGAACCTATACCGTAATTCAGCATTAAAATGTCGACGTTTGTTATTTGTATCGTTTAACCTCCTTTTTTTTTTCGGTAGAGTCCTGCAATCCAAATGTAACATTTACAATCTCTGTAGTAATTATCTACGAACAAAAAAAAAAAAGGAAACTTTTTGGATTAAACTACTTTATATCGTATTTATTGGTCCCCCGACTTTACGGAAAACACTTTTGTTTTACCAAAAAAAAAAAAAAAAAACATCAATGTGAAAATCTCTGTTTGCAATCCAATAAAAACAATGCTGTGTTTTTCATAGGCTATTAAATGTATGTTCAAACGTATGTTATTATACCTGTTAAACTTATCCTTATTAAAGCAAAAAAAAAAGCTGATAATGCTGACTACACATCAGCCACTGTAAAGGGCGAAAAGTCAGGAAGGTAGGATAGGTGGGATACATAAATTTATTGTAAGCAACGATAATCCATTGCAAATGAAAAACGATTCTAAACGAAATTAGTTTATACCATAAAATTATATGATTTGAGAGTCCGTAATATTTACGATTTTCGTCAAAATTTGATAACAACTCATTTTTAATCGAATAACATCAAAAAAACAAAACAATAATTGTCTGTAAGGAAATTGTCCAGATTTTTGACATTAATTTCCCGGCTTTTCCCAATTATTAATGCTGTTACAAGGAAAATAAAAAAAAAAATTACCCACTCAATACACAAAATATAATTTTTAAAAATACAATACGAAATATAGTTTTCTCTAAAGTTGATTATTGGAACAAGATGTCTGAAAAAAAATTATTTATAAATCGAATAACAAAAAAAAAAAAAAAAAATACATCATAGTGAAAATAATACGATCCTCGCTTCGCTCAAAATCTAATAAAATGCATAACTCTTAAAACGTGTTGCAATGATGAATAGCGCAAGTATACATAAGAGCGAGAACAATTTAAATTTTGATCGATTGAACCAGAGTACTTTTAATTTTAATAAAGTCGTATGTAAATATCGGATTAACTTTTTAATCCCTTAACAATATTTGGTTTGAAACATTATAATATCATAATCTATAAGGTATACGGTATACAGTATTATTATTGTACATCATATTTCGCTACAATCAATTTTATTTAATTTTATATTGCATGTTTGAATGTCGTAAATGTATCGTTCAAACATGAAAACCTAGATAAACACACTCGATTTAATTTACTTTCCGATTCAAACACAACCACAATTGGATTTTGTTTTTTTTAAATATTTTTATTCAAATGTAAACCTACGGAAAAATATATTTATCTCGTTTTTTTTTTTTTTTTTTTTTTTTTTTTTTTTTTTTTTGTATATCGGTCGGGCTCGTCTAATGAGTAATCTTCAATCCTACTTTGATGACTTGACTGTCACGCACAGCTGCGTATTTCATTGCGTTTAATGTAAAAATGTGACATAATGTGTTATAATTTTGTAATTTATTATTAATGCATTAATTTTAATTAAATTGTATTATAATTTTTGGGTCGGACCCTTTGCACGATAGTATGAATGAAATTCGCCGGACATATACATCACACTTCCGGTAGGCGCCGTACCTATAACGGTTAACAGGGATGCAAGCCCATAATAATACATTGTATTATAGTTTTTAATATAATCATATTTGTAAAAAAGATTACGAGGTGAAAATCGGAATTAAATTTTAATATGGTTGGTCGTATTTCACGTGGCGGATAGGGAAAAAATGAGTTTTCGCAAATTTCCGCGGCATTAAACCGGGAATAGATTTTATTAAAATAATTCGTTTACCTGTGTACTTTGATATATAGGCGCCTATTTGTAAAAACCAATATTTCAGTACAAACATTTTTAACATGTGCATGGCCGTACTTGTAGAAAGTTTTTTCGACAAAATTAAAAAAAAACTGTTACCGCTACTGTAGAAAGTTGGCAAGGTAGGATAAATATATGTATTTGATTGATAACTGTACGAAACGATAAACTATTGCTAACCAAAAACCTAGTATGGTGAATATCGAGTAAAATTTTTAAACCTTTTTTTTCAATCAAAATAATTTCAACCCCGTATAAATCAAACAATACTACCCAAAGTTATGTGATTTTACGATTTCCATCAACACTTAAATTTTAGACACATACGGTTAGGTATACAAAAAACTTACTTCATTACGCTTAATTGTTTTTTTCACAAATAACAACTTTTAATGAACCTCGTGTTAAAATGTCAAACATTTTTGTTCAGTCAAACAAATAAAACAAAAAAAGATAGACATGCTTCACACAATGAGTGGGTCACTGTTGTAGGTAAGAAATTGGGAGGATAGAATATATAGGGGAATTCAATTAATATCTGTGCGCAACCATAAACGATTGTTAATGAAAAATGATTCGGAGCAAAGTTTATTTTATATACGTGTACCTACATTATCCCGTTTTTCTTATGTTTTTCACAGTTATTAAAGCTATTATGAAAATTTCTCAAAAAAAAAAAAAAATTTTAGTAGAACTGTATTTTTCGAACATTAAAAGAAGAATAAGCATACACGATAGTAAAGCCAATACAAACCAATACGATACATAACATACATTTAAAAAAAAAATAATTTTTATTTAACTGTTTTTTGCTGCGTTCGAAATTCAAAATCACAGAATATATATCTGGGTATATTATCTATGACGATAAACTGACGATTACTGTCACGTCGTCTTTATAACGATAATTTATAAGTGTCCTTAATTTCTCTTTTCATCATGTTACACAAAGTTCTTATTTCTGATTGGCTCATTTACCATTATTTTAAGATACGTAATTACCATTTGTGGTGGATATATTTTGATCGTGATTACTGAGACGTTACTGTTGGAGTAAAATAAACTATTCAAATCATGGACGTTTTAATCAAAGCGTTTATTATGCACTTATTATTGAATAGATATAATAGATATAATAGATAGGTATGGCGTATTAATTATTCCAAAAGGTACAATCCAATTAATTCGATTGTACATGACCCGCCGAGTTGCGAATCTTCACTTAATTTTGATGATCACAACAGAATTCATGCTTAATTCATAGTGGCAGTACAATAACAAAAAAAAAAAAAAAGAAACATAAATTATACTAATATTACGTCAGTTTTTGGTAATATTTCAATTTTAAATCTAAATTATTATTTGTGTAAACATATTTAAGTGTAGCTAGGGTTAGTACTTGTTTATGAAATTTGTAATGTGTCTACTATATTTCGCTTAAAAAAACCCACAAACTATCGTCATAGGTGGAGTTCTCCTATTTCAATTTGTTAATTAGTAATTTTACTCCAATTATAAATTACAACATTATAACGGTACAAATATGAAGCTATATTTCTCCCTTCTCCTTAAGTCCAATGCAATGAGGTTCAGTGTCGGTGTGGCATCGAATCGAAATATAATAATATGTTGTTCTACGTTGCACGGGAATTTGTTTTTTTAAATGAAATTTACTTCAAACATTTGTTCTGTAGTCGAACAAGTTGTTTTAACAATTTATTGGCACCTAATTTAATTTATTTTTAAAACCTACTTACGCGTACTTAAACTTTTCGTTAGTTTTTTAAGTGTTTGTATTTTAATTTATGTTGGCCTAACTAATCAGTTACATACAATCTTAATTCTCAATGGATTTAAATGAAAATCTAACGGTTACCGCTACTTATTGTTCAAAATTTTCCTAAATTATTATTTGTTTCATATGTTACATTTTAATGTTTTGAAATTTAAAATTCACCACTATAATAAACGGTTTCTTATCATCGCAGATGCCCAAATTATTGCACAAATGCAGTTTTACACTTTATGCTATTGTTGTTTTATATTTTGTTCTCTATATTTCTTGTCATTTTAAAAATTATCTGTATTTTTTTTTTTTTTATGACTCTCATCTTCTCTTTTATATATTATACAGTAAAATAAATCCTGAACTAGTCGACTATACTAAAATATTTTTATTACCAAAAACATAAAAAAAAAAAAGTTCACAGATGAAAAGAAATAAAATAAAATTTTTTTTTTATACACCTAATAGGATATACATATATGTATATTTTATATACGGTTATAACACTCGGTTTTATTAATTCTACGAATGTTTTAAACATTACTCGTCGTATTTTGAGAGATCCGCACATACGTTAAATTATGCATTTAAAACTCACACGCACACGCATCGAAAAATGGAAATGCAAATATTTAATCAAATCGCGTTTAAAACCAATATGATTTCAATCATTTGAATGTATTTTATCTATCGCCAAATGCATGCAAATGTTTACGTAAAGATTATTAGATTAAATTATTCCATCGTAAAAACCAACTTAATATGTTGTTTTATATACCTAATAAATATATATCATAGCATATGCTTTTTTAACTCAATTATGAAAAAAATATAGGTAGGCACCTATCCTATTTGTATAGCAATATTCCTATAAAAATAGTATAATCTGAACGCAATATTTAAACACATCAGTATTTTTTTTAAATATATTTGTCTACGTTTATAACGATTATAACCTAGTTTTTAATAATGGTTACAGCACTCTGAAGCCACTTTAAATTGCAAATATAATGTTAATGGTATAGGTATTATATAGTTACGGTTATAAGATTTCATATAAAATTCAACGGTCTCATAAAATATATATACATATAATATAATATGTTCTGTGGATTTTAGTAGAATTTTATTTTTACTTAGCAAGCCTGATAATTTTTTAATGTTTAATGCAGTATAAATAATAAATTCTCTTTGTTAATTTTTCTTTTTTAGATTCTGAACAAAGGACCTATTAGTTTTAGAAGCATATTTTTGTTTTTGTTTTCTCAGAAAATACTTTCGATTAGTAAAAGTGCTCTGATTTTTCACGTATTACCTTAAGAGATTTTTCGACAGTTAGCATTTTTTTTGACAATATTATCAAAATTATCAATAGTTATTTCTAAAAATTGCTTTAAATAATTTTTTTTTTTATTTTTGAAAAACTTTTTTAGTAAGGCTAAGCTTTTAGACAGTAGCACAATCATTTCTGCCAGGTAGTATTTTGTTTGAAACATTTATCGAAATTCTAAGCAGTTTATACAATTACATTCCAGGTTGTTTTATTTTTTTTTTCCGAGTTAGGTACCTAATAAGCTATAAAAGAAAAACACGATTAATATTAATATTACTACTGACTAAGAATGATTTATCTGTGTATATGTTTCATTATTAATACTTGATGTGATGAAATGAACGACAAATTATAGTATAAATTTATTATTATTTATTATTTTTAATAAATTTAGTAAGATAAAAATATGTAGGGTGTGTGTTATACATGTGTTTGTTAATTTTTTGTGTATGTTGAGTTATCACGTAAAACATAATAGATTATGTAGCAGTGATTTCACATCTTTCATTTTTTATGAAAAAAAAAAAATATAATATAATAATTGTTAAACATAGAATTTTAGAATATAATATAGTAAAAATAATAATGTAAAAATTCTTCATAATAGTTATTAAAAACATGGAATTTTATAATAAGATATATAATAATTAATTAACTAATTTTACAAAAAATATAATATTCGGGATAATATTTAACTTAAATAATAAAGTTTACTTTCTTCTTTATTTCATATTTAATTATTTATTTTATCTTAGGATTAGTAATACCTAATCTAATATGTTGTTTATCTTCCTCTCCATACTTTGTAACTACAGGACTTTTAATGGTTGGATTTACTTTGTTTACCTTTTTATTCGCTGATATATTTCCCTCATACAGTAATGATTTTCTTTTCCTTATGCGAATAACATTTCTCCTCAATAGTCTTCCTTTGTTTTCTAATTTAATAAAATGAGATCTGGGATTTTATGACTTATTTACTACTTCACCTTTTCTCAAGTATTATTTTTATAATTTTATTTATGTTATTATAAGCATTATTATTAAATATAGATTTCATGTTTTCTATAGTGATAGAATTTGGTACGAAAATTACGGTTCTATAGTAATAATGCAAGTGTATAGTTTAAATTAGCCAATTTTGAGTTTATATAATTTAATAAATAAAGTTTTATATTGAGGTTTTAATCTTAAAATCCCATTCCTTTGCGAATTTGTAGAATTAAGTACTTCCTAAAGGCATATTATCAGTTTTAAATTCTAAAAATGTAAAAAAACAGTGATTTTAATTCAGAAATTATTGTTGCTGCATTTTTATGATTATTTTTTATTATTTCAAGCCAACATGAATAGTAGTCTACTACTATCAAATAGGATAAACACCGCTATATCCATTCCAATATTTATGACAGGCTTTTTTGGTATTTTATGACATAAAAGAATTTGTTTGATTTGAGATCATTTTAATTTTTGAATTTATGATAGATCATACAATCTTCAGTTAAATTAATAATATCTGAGTTAATCCCTGACCAGTTCAAAGTTAGCTTATTAGCTATATAATTTAGTTTGTCTGGACTTAAATTTGTTTTATGTATTAGTTCCAAAACTGTTTTTCTTAAATTCTTAGGTATTATTATTTAATTATTAAAATAAACTATTTTATTATCTAGGTATATTATCTCTTATGTTAAAAAAATACTTTTAATCTTCTGAAATTTTTGTAATTATATTATTTGGCCATTCTTCGTTGTTATATCTGACAACTAAATTAAACACTTTATCATCCTGACTTCCGAATCTTTTTATTACATTTTTAATAAATAATCAGTGATGAATAATTTTGGTCTAAGAACATATTTTAATTTTGTTTAAAACATTTAATCGAGACACCGGGACGCTTTTCACAAATACGAGAATATCCCATATAGTACGGAACGTATTGGGATCCCTAAACGGATAATTTACTCTTATTTTTGTTGACGTATTAAGAAAATAATTTATTTCTTAATAAAATTTAAATTCATTTTTTATTCAATATGATATAACTATTCAAAGTGAATTATTAAGGTTAAATTTTGTTATGGCTGTTTTATTACTAGAATATTATTGTTATTATTGAAAATGGAGTTTATATGACAATAATTCTTGAAATTTGTTGAGTTGTTTTTTTTAGTTTTACTAAATTGTCTAGTTTATCCCCACGTATTTTTGATGTGTACATATTTTATCTAATATCTATATTAAAACTTCATTTTTGATTTGTTATTCCTATTATGTCCGAATAATTTTTGTAATTATAATTGAGCTACGAGTTCTCAATTTCGAATCTATATGATTCTTTAACCTAAAGTAGCTTATATTTTAGCAAATATTAAGTTATGATTATATTATGTAAACAATGATACGTTGATATTATAAGTTTGGCTGTTCTTAGGATATTCCTGTCTGGGACCAAAATCCGCGTTTGTTAATCACAGCGTATTGCTATATAATGCATTAGGAAAGGGAAATTCGGATAAATGTAGGAGTTTGTGTTTGACCGAAAGATTGCAATGACCCATGTTATATAATTTATAGATTCGGTTTCCGTGTTCTGTGTGGGTGTGAAAGTCTTGATGTGTGTGTCTATTAAGTATTCAGGTGTTCATAACTTCCTCGTACTCTGTTGACTTTGACTAAAGGATTCGATTAGATTTTACTTGAAAAAGGTTATCTCTTTTTTTTTTTCCTATCCGGATCACCATAAGGAGTAACATTTCGTTTTTAGGCCTTGCACGATTTACTCGGACGATACGTGCAATGGGTATGACATAATAATTTAAAAGTTGTAGATAAAAATTATTTCTTACCTGTTAATTGGAGAATTTTATATTTTTTACATAGTTTCAACAAAAAAAAAAAAAAAAAATTAAAAATGCCTTTACCTTTTTAATCCAAGATAATTTCTGCAAAAGTCCCTGTGACTGTATGTTCACAATTCGTGAATTTTAAAATGAGTATATTATTTATGGTGTAGGCTCGATAGCTAAAGCAGGACACACCTATAAAAACTTTGCGTAGATATTCCTCTGCTGCAAATAATATAAGCAATATATATTATTTAAATATTAGTAAAACCTTATCTGAAAACTTCGTAATTTGACGGCAGCTTGTGATACTTGTTGGACCGTTATTCGAAATGTTCTCTAATCTGATTTAAAACATTAAACCCACCAATTATCTACAAAAATTAAAAATTAGTTTCATTATTTTGAACGATAGAAAATAAAAATATCAAGTGAACGAAATGGCACTCATTTAACATCAAAACGCTTGAAATAAAAATTACAAGGTAATCTTCTTAAAAACTAAAACAAATACATTTCCGTCTAGTCTTATATCGAAACAAATATGTTTTAATAACTATTTATTACAAGATGAATTGTATGTTTAAATGCCGTCTTATTATTCATTAGGACTATTATTTGTTTCGAACTTTCGATTAAATTTGATAATAATCGTTCAAATAATAGCACCCACTTATAAAGAACATATTAATTATACATAACATATGATTTTTTTTTCAAATACAGTTATTTAGATCAAGAAATAAAATAATTTAGAAAATCCTCGTATTATATAAACATAAAATTATAAATCAAGTACAAATATACATTACTAAATAATACATTTTTCCAATAGATAATTCGACTATTTTCATAAAAATGTAGATGTGTAATCTATATTAACATGTCGTTTATTTTTGTGTTATTTTAGCGATTGTGATATTTCATCTTTGTTTTATCACGAGTGCCTGGCGAATGGATCTTCATAACAATACAGTAAAAGGATCTTCGCTTTCTCTATTTCAAAAAGAGGTAAGCAAATATTTTTTATTCGACTTAGGGTATTTATTATGGTAATTTCCCAAAAAAAAAAAAACGGTTATAAAACAACATCCAATGTAAGTAGGATATAAAAGCTGGTACTAACTCAGAATTATGAATTGAGAATCGAGGATTGTGGATTGAAAATTCGGGATCAAACTACAATGTCCATCACATACTCGGCTTATTTTTATCACTGTAGGCCCCTTTTTTCCGATGCATAATAATATATCATTGTATTTTTATTATTTTTTTTTTTTGAGGGGGGGAAGGAATTTCATCAATGATCATATGATATCATTTACAGATATTTGTTATATACTAGGTGCTTATATAATATTAAAAGGCATATAACATATCATATTATAATAAATATAATGTCTCCGAACAAATCGTGGAATAATAAAAAAAAAGTTGAAAACTTATTGATGACAAAAAGACAAAGAATGGAAAAACTTTATTTTTTTTTATTTGTAAGAAAAGATGTCAACGGGAAATGGTATTATCAATCTTTTGTACTGCAGGAATCCGTATAGAGTTTAAAAAATTATCGAGTAGATTTTAATTATTCCGTTTTTCTTTTGTCTTGTATATTAATTTAGTGCGTTAATAAGATGTCAAGAAAAATGCAAAGTAGCTGTTTTTAAACCTTAATGCATTTTTCAATGTTTTAAAAAACACGGCGCTTAATGCGTGTTTGTACCTTTAATAATAATAAAAATAACAATAACAATAATAATAATAATAATAATAATAATAATAATAATAATAATAATAATAATAATTTATATATGCAAATATTAAACTATTATCCGTTACATTAATAATAATATAAGTGTTCATGTTATTAGAATTTATTCTTGAACATTCTGATAACGTGTTATCCCTTTGGTTTACGAATTTCCAAAAGCGTTCGAATATGCATATTTAAAACGGTTCGAAAAGGGGATAAGAAATATTAATCTTATTGAGCGTCAACCTCTTTCCGACGAAAGCGTAAATATAATCCCGAAAAATAATATATACGAAGAGGTTGTCGGGGTTTGTAGTTTACAAAACGGCGGAATTATGCTGTATCGCAATGTTAAACGCGGTATAATTTTTTTTTATTAAATTATTATTTCTTTGTACGTGTTTAGAGACAATTACAAGACGAAAATCATCTAGATCCCGTAAAGAACGCAGCGGACAATGAAACACAGAGGTCAGTCAGAAAAAGTGCTGCGATATATAAACCCGAAACCACCACGAGTAAGTATTATTTTTTTAATCTTATTATTGTAAAATATCGTTAGTTAAAATGCATGGTATAATTATATTCTACACACCCTAATAAAATAAATATTACAATTTATCTATAATAAAATGGATATATTAATATAAGAATATAATATTATTTATTTATATGCGAAAAAGCCCGAATTTAAATATTTACAAGAATATTAATTTTAAATATATAATACATTGTAAATTTGAGATTTTAATACACTTTATAAGAAAGTAAAAAAATTTTTGGAAGTTATGTTCAACTTACTTCATAAACTTAAGGATAATAATAATGATAGTAGTAATGATAACAATCCTTAATCCGTTCGTTAATTTCATATTTCTACACAGACTTCTATGTGTAGTATAGAAATATGTGTATTTCTATAACACATAGTTATATTATTACTTCATACGCGCATAAATTGGTTTAATAACGTTTTTTATTTATTTTTTTATTTGTATTTATATATTTATCTTTTTATTAATATGTAGGCAATTAAACCAAAATTACAATGTTATCTGTAACCTGAAGATGGTAATATACCGAAACTGTGAATTTACCAAAATATAACTTAAATGTACACTTTAAGTCTAGTTTTTTATAACATTTTTTTTTATATACATATAATATTTTATAATTTATTATGCATTTCTTAATAATTCAACATTACCTTATGTAACCGCGAAAATTAACCATCGTGATATTTGATTGGAGCTAAATATCATTCAGTGAGGGGTTAAAATTTCTCTATTGAAATTAAACCACCCAGCCACCCTCGGTATCATAGAATCAATAATAATTTTCATACTGAAAATATTTTAATATTATAACCTAAAAAAATCATATTGAATGGATTTGAATAAAATTGTACAATATTGGTTTCTTAGTTTTGTGTGTGTGTGTGTAAAGTTATGCGATAAAAAATAAATAATACTTTTTCTTTTCACAGGCCGTTAATTTAATATCCTCAAAAAATACTGTCGGTACATTTGTTTAGGTAAATATATTTGAGGCGCTTAGAACACAAGGGGTTTAAATTCAATTTTTAAAAAATCTGAATTAAGAGCACGGCTGAACTAAAAATATTCCATGTTGTTAAGAAATATAAAAAAAATATTTGACATATGCTGCAATCTAGTAACAAATACTAGATCTCATAAAAATAGTCTAAACGAAAATGTCGTAACATATTAGAAGTAAATTGGTACAAGGGTCGAGGCAAATCGCAGTCGTCGCAAAAAATACGTTGCCGATCGGTCGTACGAGTACATTTTAAAAGGGTACATTATATCCATTACGTAAACGAGGTCGTATCAAATAAAATATGTATTAAACATTTCGCTTATTAGGTACTCGAGTTCGTATATCGAGAATAAATAAAACAAAAAGACATTTTAAAAAACAACTGCACGGAGTTAGACAACTTCTGACTGACATAAAATTTGTCTACGAAGGACATTTCAATAGTAATTTCTGTAGATACGAGTAGTATGGGTGCTACTTTGATAAACGCATGATGATGAATACTCAATCGATAATTCTATCACCGATTATAAAATTAGGCCTGTTATTCAATTATTTTGGTTTTACGGCTAACTAATAGAAGGAACAATAAATATATTTGTTTGAAAAATAATTGTTTTCAAGTCGTTTCTTTTTAATTCGTTATCCATTTACCATTTAAGTGTGACTGTTAACAAGTGTGATTATTTATTTGTTCGGTTCATTTTTAAAATTTAAAGTTCTAGTATTTTATTCATTAAATTCTCATACTCGTGAACAGTTGAACATTCTACGCTACGTATTTCACATAATTATAACAATTCAATTATTTTATTTTCGTTAAAAAAAAAAAAATAAATGGATGTGATACAATATAATTAATAAGATTAGTTAATAAATTATATTATTGAATCGTATAAGGATAAAATAAATAATTGAAATTTGGTATTTACAATAGTTTGCAAATTATACAAAAATCCATAAATTCGATTTTTAGTTCGTCAAAAAGTGACCAACAAATTAAAAAAAAAATAAAATTTAAAAGTGTAATATTCTTGTAATAATAATTGTAGCACATAAAATATTATAATAAGGCAAGATATTTTACTGTATAATTATTAAGAAATATATAAAATTAAGAAAGAACAGAGGTGATTCTTAAAATGCCAAGTCAGTCTTTTACACAAATATGGTTAGACGCATATAATTGTATGTTTTTTTCAATTTGAAACAAATGTTCCTTGATATTTAAATCGACATAAATATATAAATATATATTTTTTTTATTTAGCATTTTTGTGATTTCTGGGTTCAAAAATTTTGTATTTGCCACAGTATCTATAATAGTAATTGCATAACGGATAAAAATGGTAACGTTCGCATATTATAAAAAAAAAAAAACATGCTTTCAAAACCTATACGCATTACTAGCACTTTATTACGACGTTTTATTATTAGGCTATTACAGCTCCTGGGAAAAATTACCGAAACGGCTGGCATATAGAAGTATAATAATGTTTTATTTCATTGAAAACCATTTAACTATGCATAATAACGTCAGCTACAGTCACGTGACTTTTTTAAATTATATACCGTAATGACGTAAACGGAAGCCAGGAGAAATAATCCGATTTTAGGGGATTATAGCGTTCGGTTCGCTATGTAGCCTCTTCTCGAACGGTCAGGTGCATTTTCATGAATACTCGATAGTTTGAAATTCGACGATATCGACAAGGAGGTAGTGTATATATGTATAGGTAAGTTATTCCACAAAATTCGAGTGGTGAATAGGTGCAAAGTGGTGAATAGATAATCCTGTAGGGTCGATGAGGTTTTGCCCTCAAGGGTATAAAACGGAAGAAGGAAACTGGACTATATCGAATAATATATTAATTATTGCTTGAATACAATAAATTCGCAAAATATTTATCTTGGCTTTAAAATAGGTGAAAAATCTTCGCTTATTTAGAATTTTCTTATTTTAATTGATTTCATTGTTTTAAACTTAAATAATTTTCACTAATCTGCAATTTTTTAACATGAAATAAAAAAATAGTTGATACTGCCTATAGTTGTAATATTATCGTAAATAGAAAAGTAGGATTTATTAAGTAATTGAACTATTATCTATACGAAATGATAAATAATTGCTAATAAAATATGATTCTGAGTTTGATTTGTTTATGTTTGTTTAGAAATGGATTTATTATTACAGTTTCCATTGAAATTTGAATTTCAAAAAACGTTAAAAATAAAACTTAAGATATTGGGTAGCTCAATTTTTTTGATCGACTTTTCAATTTGTGTTAATTTATTAAACATTTGTGTTCAGCCGAAAAAATTGTATTTGCATAAAACCAAATAGAAATTAAAGAAATTCGAAAATGTCGACAAAAATACATATAATAAAAAGATCACAAATCACCAGAACGTTTTGAAAAATGTTGCTATGTTTAGAATAGTGCAACACGAGAATTCTGTGACAGTTCTAAGTTTTACAGTTATTTTTTATCTAATTACAACAACAACAAAAAAAAAATCAATCATACTGAAATGGTTTTTTTCCATAAACTTTACTGGTTTTCTACGTCTTTTCTGAGTTCACTATTATTAAGAAAACTGCATATTTATTTAAAAAAATGACTTTCTCTTGCATCAACTATAGATTCAAAAACTAAATCCAAAATTTCAAAAAAAAAAAAAAAAACACTTGTATTTTTTTTTTATTTTATCCATATTTCTGGTAAAGAGTTGTTTAAAGAAAAAGAAAGAAAAAAGTCTCACACATCAGAGTAAAATCAATACATTCCTCACTGCGCTCTGAATATAATATATAAAACTGACACTCGTTTGGTTTCAACATTTTACTATTTGTCTGTTTTGTTGATTTCGCTGGTTTCGTTTACGTTTGGATTACAGTAAATCACATTTGTCTCATTTGAATTATAATTTATTTTAATTTTTAAACGTTATAATGTTAAATTCACACGGATTTATCGCTCTTTATTTAAATAAACCAAACCGTAATATACATAATATTAAAACTTATCTATCGCATATCGGTATTTATTATTCATAAAGTTAAATACATAAATGTTTAAGTTTTCAAATGATGAGATAAAGTCTGAAATGTAATACTAATGCGCGAAAACAAAAGTTTAAAAAGATTCTGAAAACGTGGTGGTATCCATTTGTTTCTTATTATGGTTTCCGCTGCCTCACTAAAAGCCTACAATTAATCTACACAACGTCCTATCTTATAATATCATTCCGGAATCCGAAGTAGGGTGAAACATGATTATTTAAATGCGTTTACTGAAAACCATTGCCGGTGGGATTTCTAAGGTGACGCGAATATTCGATTTCGTGTGAAAATGACGATGGAAAGCCTTTGCGCCGCGCGCAGTCGACCTTTCAGAAACACAAAATACCTACCGAACGTTAACGTCTCGTTAACGACCTATTTGATATTATAATAGTATTATACTTGTGATAATAATAAATTATTTGATAATTATTATGACGCAATACAAATTGTTATAATAATATATACACAGAATCTTCCAAACTGCCTGTACAGTTAATTACATAATGGAATAAATTTTTTTTTTTTTTGTTTTTTTAATGCCGAATATGAAAATTGTATGTAATTATATATTGCCCTTTTACTCCCTCTTATGTTTGGAAATAAAACCATTATCGCATTTTATTTTCGCAGAGGCTTTTTTGAAAAAAATAAATATTTCATCGCAAAATTGAATGAATAAATTAAAATTAAGAAGGTAACAGTTATTACAAAGCGGCGAAGACCTACTGCTTAAAATTTTCGCGATCATGTAGATTTTAAATACATACACGATTTTTCAAATTTCATATACATGTACACGGTTCCGCATGATTTCAAATACAACGTTGCTATGTATAAATAGGTATACTACTAAAAGATAATTCATTACAAACCGCGTTTTGTGTGTCCGAACTTTAAAGATATATTTTGGAATTATAACAGTATAATAAACTTTAATTAAGTCAATACATATAGTTTTGTCGATAAAACATAAAATCAATGACCTTATTAGGATGTACAAATTATCTTAAAAAAATGATAACAAATTGTTATTTCTTAAAAAAAAAAAAAATGTTCATAAATGCAGTCACAATAATGTTTATTTAAATGCACCTATAACCATTTAATATTATTATCAATTCCAGAGTTTTTTTGTAAGAGAATTAGTCCCACCTTTTTAGGAGATGTTAAAATGTGTACAAATTATTATTTATGTCGTTTACTGGTGTTATGTCACACATTGAAGTCGTTTTTCTTTTATATTTTTAACTAGAGCAAACAAACTTAATGGCAGCGATTTATTTAAAATTTTTTATAAATCGTATGCACAGATTGTCCCACGAAGATATAGCCATTGCAGTATTCTCCTGAAATAATAAAAATAAGTAATTAAATTCTGTTTCTTTATGTTACTCGCAGGGATAAGGGATAGTGCTTTTCAGTATAATTAAGAAAACAAAAAAAAAAAAAAATGATGGCAATGGCGATTGAATTATTTTAAATTTTTCGGGTTCTGTTTTCTACCAACCAAATTATTATGAATTTCAAAAATCTCATTTTTTTTTAAATAGAAAATTGTATTGTTAGTACTTTACATAGTCTTTGTCTATATAGTTTAAATAATAGTTGAGAAAAACTGGAAAAATAGCAAAGCTTACGACTTTACAAATTCGTTATTATCGTTATTGATTTTTGTTGTAATTCGGATAACCATAAGAGACCTATAATTTGTATAGAATAGTTTAATAATTTAGCCTTTTCTAAACGAATTATAAAATTCTGACATCCTTGAAAATGCTTGAAAATTAAATGCGATAATTATTTTATTTTAAGTTAAATTTTGTGATAAATAAAAGTTGAGCGTTATGTAGATTTTTTTTTATAAGGGTTTTAAGATTAAATTTTGACGGGAAAAAAAATAATTTTGACATTTAAAAACTCGTGTAACCACATTTAGAATCTTTTTTCGTTAGCTATGTTTCTAGTTGAGAATAGCTATAAATTAAATAAATCTCTAAATTCCATTATCCTACCATATTTAAGCCGACATATCCATTAGCAGTATCCACACTCTTTTATTTTATGTTTAACGATTGTAGATTAGTGAAAATTAGGATAGTAAAATTTAATAATACAATATTAAATACCATTATACAATGTTATATTAGGGTTACCAAGTGAAAACCAGATGTTATAACCATTTAAGAATTCAGCGTGTCCAATGAGAACTTAATAATAACTTCTATAATATATCATTTTTCCAATGGGAAACGATTTGAGTTAAATTTTGAATTTTTTTTGTTTCTGATAAAAATTTTTTTATACATTTCCATAATTTCCAATTATTTTTCTATAATTTTTTTAATAATGTCTATTATTTTTGTATTTTATAAATTTTCAATTGGTTTTTTTTTTTATGAAATTGGTTTCAGATTTTCGTCCTCAGGATCAAAGAATAGAGACATATCATCGATATTAAATTAGGTTTTATTTAATTATTTATCATATATTATTATTACTATCATGTGACTATATATTATTGAGAATATTGAGACTTAAGTCTTAATATTATGTTTATCGGCTAGAGTAGGTAGTTAATGGTTGTTAAATAAAACGAATGTTTGTACCGTAAGTATATAATATAATACATTACAGAAAACGCAATATTACAATTATTTAATGTTTATTTTTTGAATATTCAATTAAATGTATCGAACAGTTAATACTATAATATATTTTCTAGGTATAGCTAATGTTTGAATTATTAAAAATGCCGTGTCCATTTACACAACATCGCTATTGTTTTAATTTTCTTCATTTATTTTTATTCGAGTCAGCATAATATTTTACGAAGTAACAGCCAGCCAGTCGAATAGAGATATCTTTCATTAATAAAAATGATAATAATAATAAATACAAGTTTAAAATTGATAAAACAATAATTATATTCTTTATAATGTTTTATTAAATCCATGTAAACCTTAAAAAGGACTTATTATATTGCTGATGGGTGTGCCACTATCATAAGTGGTAAATTAGGAAGGCAAAACACATACAATTATTTTATTTATATCTGTTAAGAAAATGATTCTTATAAATATTCAACGAAAAATGTTTTAAATATTCATAATTTTTACGATTTTCGCTTTTTTTGAACTATAGATATTTACATAAAAATGAGATCTAAAACGCAACAAAAAGCTCTTATTACTTTTTTTTTTGAAGCAATATTTCTAGTAAAAAGTTGTTCACTAAGGAAAAATTAAAAAATATAATACATAATCCACTCTGTGCGTTGCTTTAGTGCAATTTACTTTGGTCAGCAATACCAATTCTGTCTAAAATACCTCTACACTACTGTCTACAACCACCCCTTGCAACTTAATTGAATCACACCAGGTCGCTTTATATTATATTGCACGATTTAAACATTTAAAATGCCTGTAAATAACTCAAAAAACGTTAAAATGTTCTCAGAATAGTATTACATCGATAAAAGACTAATATATTAAATAAATATTATTTATTTTATGAAAATCTTTAATTTTCAATCGAATAATCTTAAAAACAGACTGATATACTTCACATGATATGTTAACAACTATTATAGATGAAATGTTGAGAAGGAAGGATATAGAGAGGAATTTAATGTATGTCTGTATGCAAAAATCAATCATTGATAACGAAAAACGATTCTGATTTGAGATTTTTTAACGATATATATTTAATATTATAGTAAATAAATTTATATTGAAACAATTCATATAGACCAGTAACTATATTTGTTTCACATAATTTTTTACTAAAACGATTTTCGTCAAAATTCGATAATAAAATTCGTAGAAAAAAAATAAACTACATCAAATTAAATATTTATTTTTTTTACCATAGAATACGACTTTCAACTAACCTCCTGTTTAATTTCCAAGCATTTATGTTTAGTTTAACGTTATCCACTGTCTACTTACTAAATAAAAATTTAAAAATATATTTAAAATGTTTTTAACTGAAATTTAAAATAATTATTTTTGTAAGTTTTCCTGTTTTCGATATTTCATCCTAAGTTTTCTCAGTTATTGTGAAAACCATTTTGAAAATCAAAATTACCTCCCTTAATTACCTTGTAGATAAAATTTCCTTTCAGAAAAGATGCTGCACTTATACATAGGAGTGAAACCGTACATTTTCCTGTTTATCTCGTTTTTTTTTCATTATTCTCAATTATAAAGATAACTGAAAAAATATGTATATATTACCTCCTAAATGCATTAATTATATGCTTATATACATATCCAACGAAAAATACCATTTTCTTTTTTTTTAATAGAACAAGATGATTGATAGAAAACTTATTTACAGACACTAAAAAAAAAATCTTTCGTTAAAATTTGAAATTAAAATTCTTATAAAAAAAATTCTACAGTATATTTAATTTTTTTTTTTTAGACAACTGCGTTTGAATTTTAATGTACCCTTTGATAAATTGTTAAACGTTTCTGATTAGTCTAAAAATTTTATCTGCATAGTACCTACCAAATAAAAATTTCATTAAAACCTCGCATAATTAAGATGTCTATGAATAGTTTAAAAACGGCTTAAATGTTTTAAAAAATAAATTTCCTTTCAGAAAAACTGGTATCATTGAGAAAATCGAAAAAAAATGGACGGTAGAAAAGTTGTCTACAGAAAAAATATAAACATCATTGTAAAACTATAAGCTTTTTCGCTTTACTCAGAATTTAAAATTAAAAACAATGAGATCGGTAACGCCATGTTTCGCTATAAATATTTACTATCTTGCCTACAGTTTTGTTTCTGGTTTTTTCTTGATTATTTTTAAAATCCCTTGGTAAATCAAAAAATGACTTTTTTTTATAACTAGATAGATAAAAATTTCTTTGAGAAAAGATACTACACTTGATACATGGAACATGTCTCTGTACGTTAACAGACACACACACACACACAAACACAAAATAAAATCATACGTTTTTAAAAAACATTTAGATCCCCTTACTCTACTCAGAATTTATAATTATTCTTTATTGAAACGAAAAAATGCTATCGTACAGAAAAAATTGTATTATTCATATAGCTATGCAGTATGTATGATATTATGATTTAAAACAAAAAAAAAAGCAGCATTAACCTAAAGATCATTTTTACTACCTATAGGTATATTTTTCCAGAAATTTTCATTGAAAAACATCGATTTATTATAAGAAATTATTTGCAGTATTGATGTTATGAGTAAATCATTTTTGAATTAAAATATAACTTTTTTAATTTTTTTTTTTTTTTGTCTTACAGTGAATAATATCGTTGCATCTCTTTTCCGATTGACCCAGGAAGAAGACAACACCTGCATCCTTTTGAGGGTGGACGCTGTAATCGAAGTTAAATTCCAAACTAAATTGGGTTCTAACGACGTATGTGTCATAATATTATTTTATCGTAGTTTTAATATACGTACAAACGTACATATTTTTATAATAATATTTACTTATTTATGTTATAATATTATTACCAAACTGCAGCAAGCTGATCTGTATGTGCCCGACGACGCAGAAGTAAGTGGTGACTGTAGCAATGAAGATGAGGCAAAATTAATACTGAAATGGAAGAATTTCCAATTTACTTGGGAATTTTCAAAGGCAAGTATTTCATAATTACTATTTGTGTGTGTAAAATTTATAAGTAGTGTAGTACTAGTATTTTTTTTTAATCAATATATATTATAAAAAAACATATAATAATTAATAACTATTCCGAAACTAACAGTCTTTGTTGATTGTATAATTGAATTATAAATGATTATATTTATAATGGATATTATACAATACATTTCATGGCAGGTGAAAAAAATTTCTAAATCAAAGAATAATACACACTGTTGTAGTTGTACCAGTGTACTCTGTTAATTTCATGAATTAATCAAGATCATATATTATTTAACATAAATTAACTAAACAGTGCTGTGTTAAAAAATAAAACGGGCTCGAACTATAATTTTCCTTGAAACATTTGATTGACACGTTTTCAATTTTAATTTTTTGTTTGATTTCTGAATTTCCGATTTGTGAATTCCAAAAATCATAACAGGCAAATCGATTCATATTATTGATAACGTTTATTGTGAATGATGTCTAAAGTCATAATGATAATTGATATTATAAATAGGTATTTCATATATATATTCTATTTTAACTATCATTCGTTACGATTTTGATATTTTATAGAACAGTTATCCGTATTTTATAGCATATATTTAAGTAAGTATTCATGCATTTTTATCCTCACAGAAATGTAAAATTTATTGCCATCCACCAAGTTTTATTCGGTAACGTGCCGACTTAACCCGGCCTTTCTGAGAAATGAACAATCATATTGTTTAACCACTATAAAAATTACTTTAATGGTGGACAGAAAAAAAAAAATAATTACGCCACAATATGGTACATAAATTTGAGTTTACTTAAACTAATAAAATAATTACAATATTATCATAATATATCAGCTGCTGAATTCTCGGACGGTCAATAAATTAAATTTCAAGAGTCGTGTGGTCATGTGAAAACAGTTTACCTAACCACTGAAAGATAATAAAATATTAATATGTTCAGCCGTTTAATTAAACATATGAAATATATGAAATAACTTTTCGGTTTTTCATAAACTTTAAGTTTTTAATATTAATACATTTGAAATGAATATTTCCAGGAGTTTGGAATTTGTTAATCTTGATGCGCTATAATAATTAATTTCAATAAAAAAAAATTCACGTAATTAAAACCACCTATATAAGTATATAATTATAGTAAACATAAATTATATGAATTAATTAAACTATAAGGACATATTGTATTAATTAAAAATTTCGCAGTAATACATACGACATTTATCATTTCATAATATTGTATGTAATAATATACGTAATTTAATATATGAACCATACATTTATTATTTTCCACATTCTCTACATCTTATAATGTTATAATTTTAATTCGAGGCTTAAACCGAGATTCCATTATACCGTGCACCATATCCCGTGCATTAATCTACGTATTCTGATTGGTTGAACAATTTTGTTGATACTAGGTACTACCTGATTAATATTTATTGTACGTCGTCCATATAAATGATACCAAGAAATTTAATTTGATTCAACTTTTCACGGTATGGTAATAGAATTTTGTGATGATAATTATTATTTCGTTTATATAATGTAAAAAAATAAAATAATATCACAAACACTAAAATTATAATATGCTAGTAGATAACACAGTGGTTGATGTTTTTAAAATATGGACAACATGTGATATAAAATACACGGGATACAGAACACAGTGTAATGGAAACTCGGTTTTTATAGCACTTCACGAAGCAATTGGAAATTATCATATTTTTTATTTCAATTTATGTATTTTATATATAGAATATCAAAGAAATCAACAGGACGATAAACAGATTGTAATTGAATTTAACTAAAAAGGGGTGAGGGGGGTTGTAGAAATTTTGAGATTGGGCATACAAATACATGCAAATGACATATTATATATTAAAGTCGTTATTTTACGTATATTTATACATTGGAGGGGGAACAAGAGAGACGTCTCTCCAGCCAAAAATTCTAACAAAAAAAGTTATACAAATTCCGGGTGTGACTTTACAAATACATACTTATTACTAAATATTGAAATGAAAAAAAATAAAAAACAATTCCCAAAAAGGCGGGGCCTTGCTAAATAATGCTCTGTAGGATACCTCAGACGCGCATAGGAACTTTGTACTTGTTTTTGTGTGTTATATACTAGCACCACAACATGCAACTCGACGCTAAACGTGCCGCTGTGGAATCTGGCCTAACAGTTCTATTTTTTTCTTCTTTTAATTTTGATTATTTTGGTTTTTTGCATATTTAGACAAATTTACAGTTAAATTAACACAGACAAGAACATAAGAGTTGGACAACAGAGTAAAGAGGTAAAACTATATAAAAACTGTAAGGCGTAAACAAAATCTGGGATTTAATTGTGGCTTACACTAAATATCAAATATGCAAAGAACAAAAAAAACCTATAACTTTTTTTTTTTTTAACTATCTTAATAAGGAAAAACCACTTAAATCAGTTTGAAATTCTTACATATTGTACAACGAAATACATTTCCGTAGAACTCTACTTGATTTATTGACACGCAAAAAAAAAAAATGAATAATATTAATAATAACAAAGAATACGCTATAATTCCCTGGTACATAATTCTATATATGGAAAAACGGTACGAGAATTTTTTGCGTTACTTGTCTCCCAAAGTGTAGGTAAAGTGTGTCAGAACGTAGAACTTTGTATATATTTCAGTTGAGTGTATAATATTATTACATACTAGATTTAAATTTATGTTGGTTTTTTGGAACTGAATTTAATTTATTGTTTAGTACAGCAGTCGGGTTGAACGCTATAGATAACAACTGTTACAACTACGCAGTCCGCAATTTAAAACCGAACCTCATTACGAAGACTCCGATTATCCAAACTCCCGTTAAAATTTAAATATTTATTAAGCTATTACCTGCTATTTCAAACTCAAATAATGTTCGCGTTTTTTTTTTTTGTTTGATAAACTATCAATGTATAGGGGAATATTTTTTATCTTTGATCTTACCGGATACAAAGTTAAACTGTCTAAATAAATATCTTTAATACATAGGTAACTATAATACATTTTTATAAATATAATATGTGAGTTGATATTAAATGGTCAACAAATATGTAATAAATATATTTTCTCTCCTCTTTTTTGTTATCAATACTCAAATTGGTCGGCAGTATATTAAATTTGATTGACATCTTTGATCCTTCATGATCATATTATTAAAGATTTGGGTCCAAATGGTTCTGTACTTCAACACTAGCGCTTATATTATAATTAATTTCAACAGACTTTCATATTAGATTATAATATATTATCTGATTATTAGGGCTCGAAAATGATGAAAGTTGCAAATTGTTCTGTAGGCTCTCGATTTAAAGCAGCCCAAGATAGAAATCCATTCTATAAAATAGATATTTTAAACATAGAACATTTTACTAAACGAATTTCTTATCAATTTTAGGGAAATGTGGATAGTACATTTATCCATTTTCATTTGTATTTATATGCATATTATATATATTTTAAATTATACAAATTAATTATATTTTTTTTTTTTAACAACATGTCCAACATATTAATGTAACCTTACAACTCTTTAACAGCCACAGTCATTGAACTTCAATAGCCATAATTCTGAATTTTTTCTCCTAATCCGTTATCCCTAGATTTTTTATATCTAGGCACAATCCACCGTTTTTTCAGCATATTTCTGAGTCTTCTTCCCGTTAGAACATACTCATTTATCACCCTAACTAAATGGTCATGCTATACATTATTTATAATAATAGAATTATTTTGTTCCGCCAAAAAATAGTTTTGATTTAAAGTGTTTAATCAGTACAAATGCTCGTTCCGTTTTGAGCTGATGACTGACTTTTTTAAAATATGTATTTCAAGTAATATTAAGTATAAAATTCAATATTATTTTAAGTAGGTATTCATTTATTTCTTTATTTCAGTGAAAGTTATCGTTTTATTTAACTTTCAATTTTATTTTGTACACAATATACAGACAAATTTACAATATTTTTAGATTCGGCGCTTAACGAGAGATCCGTTGATTTTATGATGTATGTTTTTATATGTTTTTTTTTTTGTGTGTCTATGAGCATATTTCTACCTGAAATTTTCCTCTAATGTATCAAACATTAAACAGTGTTTTAAAGTATATAATAATTTGGAAAGAATGAAAAACAATTATTAAAAAGGCAACAAATATTTACGGCACGCCACGATGTTACCTATTTTATTTTTTTTAATTTTAATGAACTATATGTTCTCTACCAGAAATATTGCTTTAATCAAAAAATGCCTTGCGATCTTTATTACTGAATTTCGAATCGAGTTGCTGAATAAGTAACTTACTTTTTGGTTTTCCAAGTAGTTTTAATAAAACGTAAAATGAAAACTGACAAAAACGGAGTTTCTATTCATTATTTTAAATATTTGTTTATGTTTTATGCTTTATGTTTATGATGAAGAATAGAACCGTATTTTGATTAACCGTGTAGTTTATTAAATAATTAAGCGAAATTGAAAAAAAAAACGGGGAAGATTACAAAATTAATGCTTTTATTATTTTGAATAATTTTTTTTGTTGTAATTCAATTTCAAATATTCATAGAGACTTGAAATAACGACAAAAACTTATGATTGTTTTTTTTAAACGTGGTTTTATTTTTAAAACATTTGAGCTATTTTTAATATTTTTAAAATAAATTGTACGTTATTTATTTTTGGTAGGTACTATGTGGTTAAAATTATTTTTGAATTACAGATGCTTTAAATTTTAACGGGGGATTTATTATAAATTTTCCCCTGTAAAAAAAAAAAAAAAAAAAAAAAATGGCGTTTTATGCAGTCTATTTTTTTTATACGTGTTTTAATATCAAATTTTGAAACAACCATTTTTTAATATTACGGCTTTTTAAGAATGTACAACACAATTTCACTATCAATCTTTTTTATTAGAAATACTTAATTGTTGCTTACACGTACAAATACGTAAATAGATAAATTAAATAATTTTATGTACCACGGTTGTAAGTGAGAAATTAGGAAGGTGAAATGAATATAATTATTTCATTTACATCTGTTTTCAACGATAAACCATTGCTTGATGAAAGACGACACCGAGTGCAGTTTGGTAGTGCATAATTTGTTGTGCCGTAATTTGTTTTGCGATTTTCGTTTTTAATTGATTTCAAAACGCTTATTTAAAAAATAAAAAAAAAAATTCCTATGATTTTAGAAATTTTATTTCGTCTAGATAAGTTCAATATAAATATTATTACTAAATTCAAGTACGTGTATTTATAACTGTATTACAGCAAAAAAACTCACAAAACTTAAAATTCCTTTAAAGCTTAAAAATAGATCAAATATTTTGGCAATGATACCGTAAGAAATTAAATCAAAAAGGCAACAAAAAAAGGATCCTGCGATTCTTCGAAAAAATCATTTTTCTTGTAGAAAACGACGTCCATGTGTCTATGAAAAAATAAAATCGTAAAATTGTATGTTTTTCTACGTCTTATCCCAATTAAGTGCTTTTATTTAAAAAAATGGCGTCGAAAATAATAAAATGACCCGTTTAAAATACAATCTTATTTAAGAGATTGAGCTTTTAGAAAAATTGCTACACGTAGGAATCGGAGAAAGTTTACTAGGATAAAATGGGTTTACAGACTAGGAGAAGAAAAAAAAGACATAAATATCTTGGTAAATCCAATAGCTCCCTCCTAAACGCTACTATCCGCATATTAAATCTTTTTTGTTTTTTAAAACTGTTATTTTGCAAACCTATGTGATATAGCCACATAGTTTCGTTAACGGTTTCACGTAAAAGTCATTATTAATGTTATATTTAACTATTATAGTATTTAACGAATACTATTAACTTTTGTTAGTGCCATCTGACACAATTATTTTTGCAACATAACTTTCTCACCAAAGAGCATGGATAGTATTAACTATACCTGTGCCAAAGCCGCGGCCGCCGTGTACTGAATTGCCTATACGTTTGGAACAAAAACCACATGTTTATAATGTAATGTCATAAACATCTCGGGAAAATTGTACACAAAATGATTAACCCTCCCACTCCCCAAAAAATACCCGCTCGTCAATTCAAATTTGACCGCGGTGAAAACGTGTATGTTGTTCGCGTCGTACCGTTTCGATATATTATCGAAATGAACTATGTGCAAATAACTTTTCACGTATAGGTACAATACACATTGGTGGGTATAAACTTTTGCCTATACCCGGAATTGTTGCTTAGGAGTTTTCGTATCGCATCATCATCGCCATTGTCATAATAATTTCCTACGCAAATTATATTTCCGGAGAAAAGATACTCGCAGAATATTATTGGATTATATAGTTGTTCCAAGGAATATCCGCGATTTAATACGTTTCCAGTGTATTTCACTAAAACTTTCTATAATATACTCTACCATTCGAGACCGTAATCCCAGAAATGTATGCAATAATAGTACGGTGTTCCGTCAGTTGAAATTCGCGACACCGTGTGCCAAAATCCACTTCGGAAAATTACTCAAATTTAACATAAAAATACACATGATTTACGTTACATTGTAAAAATCGGTAGTATCTTCCTAATAAATAAATATATTATCGTATAAAAACGAATGAATACATGTGTAATTTCTAAGAATAAAATTTGTATTTATATTTATACAGGATGATTCACATTATTGGAAACACTCATGATCTCGGAAAGTTTTAACTTTCTTTGAATTTTTTTTTTTTGGAAAACCAAAGAAACAAATAGTTCTAAAATTTTACGTCTTAATTTTTTTTTCACCCCTTATTTTAGGGGGTGAAATGACTACCTACTTTCGATTTTCAACTGGCAAACTATTTTTAAAATGCTTTAAGTATATGGAGTATTATTTAAAATAAATTTTGGTGTTGAAATTTTTGATTTCCGTCTACCCGTTGATATTTCACTTTTAGGTTTTGGGTGGAGGGAGAGTAGTGACGTAAAATTAAATTTCTGCGCGCAGTTCGTTACACCGAAAGTTTTGAGTATTACACCGCGAGTTTTAATAATAACCAGTTTAAAAGTCTCCAAGGCTTAAAAAAGTGATAATTTATAAACTTTACTGCATACAAATATTGACGCCATCTTCTTAGGCCGATTAGGTCAACCTCGATTCAAGATACTATCTTAGGATTAGTAGATTGTGATGATAGCACGTTACTTACTGACACAACGAAACAATATTTTATCAAACCCTCAAAACTACGGTCGCATATGGTTGTAACCACGAACCGCGGTTATAGAACTATATCCAGAAATTTGGAATGTATAATCGGTGAATTTACCCAACAGTCACCAGTGGTGACTGGTAGAAGTAATTAGGAAAGGTTATTAAAAATATTCATATTATATCAATTAATTATACCTGAGAAATAAAATAAACAAAATAAATATTAAAAGTCCCGCCTAAAATTCAAATATTGTAATTAATATAGGGGTAACATTATTATAGGTTGTTGTAGTGGAGGAGTGAATTGTCTCACCATACGAGCGATATGGTTACGAAAATCGTGAACGTTTAAGGCCAACACCGTCACCGGTTACCGTACAAAATTTCTTTATTTTTTATTGGTTTCAATTTTAAGGGAGAATGTTCACTGGTTAAACATTCCGAATTAAAAACTACGAATAAATCTTAATGTCCTAGAGTTTTTATTAGGTATACGGAAACCAATTTCGCCCAATACCTTAGGACAGATAATGAGGTTGTTTAAAATATTGTATACTAATATAACATCTGTTAATTTATGTCTTGCATTAAGTGAATGTAGGTTCAATAATTTTTTTTAAAATAGTATTCCTAGTGATATAGTATATTATATCGGAAACATATGCAATTTTCTATAAAAATGTATAATGAACATTTTCAAGACCTTTATATATTTTGAATAATTACAAGACCAAATAAATGAATAAAATCGGAGGTTAAATTTTAGTCATTAAGTGTATAAATACTATCTAATTTTTTTCCAACGAAGTGAACAAAATCATCTACCTCTACATTTATACAAATGACAAGTAATATATATTACACGTAATAAAAATCTAATAATATTTATTTATCAAATTAATAACTCTTATCTTGATAGAGTAAATTCGATTAGACTTGGGTGTAAGATTATAAATGATTTATCATATCATGTATATTATCATTTGGAATGATAATATACAAATCATATAAAAAATACGAAATACAAAAGAGTTTAAAAACACTTTATGTATATAAATATTTTTGATGTAAACCGGGCCCGTTTTTATATTAATTACCATAATCACTTGAAATTTTACTATAATTTTAGGTCAAGACTATGGCACATATATTTCAAATTTAAATAATTACAGTTTAATCAATATTGTCGTCCTGCAGTTATGCAAAATATGAGTAAAGATCGAACGGTATTAAAAAAATTGAACAAACACTTCAATAACCTCACACTTTAAACAATAGTAAAATTAAAAAAAGTACTTATAATATTACATTGATTACTTTAGTAGTACAGTAAAAACTCGATTAACCGTCACTTTCTGTTATCTGTCATCAATCACTTTTTCGTAAAATATGAAACATTGCCGCTTAAAAAACTCATACTTCACAAAAATTGAAGAATATGACGGATTATTTTGTTTAGTATTTTTTAGTGTGGTATTATTTTTGTTATTAAGTATAATTATTATTTATTATTATTTTTGTCTGGAAATACACATGTAAAATATGTCCGTTTATTGCAAAATGTTTGTTAATCGTGTATTTGATTAACCACCTTACTCTCGGTCCCGTGACTGAGTGTTAATTGAGTTTCTACTGTATTTAATATTTAATAACAAATAGGTTACAGCACCAATCATTTACAGAAATAATCATTATAGGTATTATCTAATATAATAGGTAGGAATAATTTAAAGTAAGAGTATGTAACAAATAGCATACCGTTTACATGAGTACTATAACTTAAAAAATAATATTATTAATGGTTTATTATGAATATGGTCATACTAATAACTACAAAGTTATAAGTTTATACATTTTCAGTAGTTTTTTTTTTTATGAAAATTAGTTGATATCAAACTATGTTTTAAGTTTAAATGATTGATATTGTAATCTTCTGCAACTTAACTAGAAAATAAAACATATGCTATTGTTTTGATAATAGTTTTCCCCTTTGCGGTTTATTGAACCGCAAACATAACAATTTAGACACCTAATGTTTTTAATCTAGTCAGTTTTTATTTGATCCATTCTTTTCAACGGTACAACTTATATTATAGTTTTAGGTTCTTTTAGCGAGGCAAAATAATGTTCCAGAATTTTCGATGCACGTATAATTAATCACGTTTAACCAGTGACGACGGTTTAATAGGAATTTATTAGCATTTAAAGTTTGGATAAGAAGTGTCGGCAGAAAAATTTACTTTTCTTAGTGATTTATATAATTTGTTGTTCCAAACTTAAAATGCTAATTAATTTATTACATAATTACATTATTTGTGGTGTAATATTTGATTTAAATGAACCGAAATTATAAGATATTTTTTCTTTAGTTCAAAAGTCGTAAAACGCTAACTACGATTATAAATAAAACCAATAAAAAAAAATGATTTTCTTTAGGTACTTTACATACAATTTCGGATTTCAAAATTCATACGCATTTAGAAGAGTACAAATAATATACACACTATATGAAATATTTTTTCGGCTATCGTTACGAAATTTGATGGTTGAGTTTGTAATTAAAATTCACCGTGAGCTAGTCATCATATAAATGTATGATCAGAGGAGATATTTTAAGTACGCAGAATTCTTAGACAAGAGTAGAATAATAATTATTAAACTACGAAATTTGAATCATAAATTTAATCATTTTATGTCTATTTGTAATATAATTCATTGTAATAATATGTATAATATATTTACGAATATAGCGGCATATAACGTGTAGTATATTTAATTTACTATCTGAAACAATATATTTTAATTATTTTTAAATATTACAAATATAATGTTTTTTAGTATACGAATTATTGTTAATAATTATTTTTTATTTATCATGATTTATTCGTTTTGAATTGCTAATTTATTTATATACGTGGCAGTGTCATTATATTTATTACACGTATAAATTTATTAATTAAATGCTTGTGGGATGGCAACAGACTTAAACAGCTTATAGCATAAAATTCTAAAATTAATAAGAGTAACGGAAATTACTAACTCAGGCAAAGTTAATTGGCGTGTTTGACTCATATTGTTTATCAATTTATGCGTAAACACATTTTTATAAATAATTTATAACTGTTTTTAATTGTTTTATGCATTGATTATTTTTTAGACACTTGGAGGAGAAAGATGGTATGTAAAGAAGTTGGAGCTCATAATCAATACAGTTGACAAACATTTCGAGCATATCAAAACTGATGGTAAGATTATGCGATACAGTTTTTTGATAACTTACTTTTTGATTTATCCTATTTTTTTATTTTTTAGATAATATTATTGCAATAATTTTACTATTCCTATAGTGTCATAATTTTTTTTAATGAACAAAAATAGTGATACCTAGTTAAAAAACATAATTTATGTTTTTATCCCTATTTAACATTAAATCGATTAATTACAAATATATTTATATCAACAATCTGGGACTTAAAATATATAGTACATGAGCCAAAACAATAACATTATTCAAAGATGCAGAGTCATCACACAATGTGTAATATTTTTAACAATAATAGTAAGTCATGTCAGGACTTAGTAATAATTCATGGAATTCAAAACATTTATTAAGTTTTATTTAAACCTTTCGGTTGTCATTTATTTCTTTTTTCGGCCTTCAACACAATAAGTTTCGAGATCCCAAAAAAATTGATTTTTTACAACTAAATATAGTAACACAATTAATTAAAATGCTAACATTCATTAATTCAATTAATTTTTTTTCAATTTTGACCTGACATATCTATTATGTGAAATAATATTATATATCGAGCTCCATTTCAAACTCTTAATGAAATAATACTCTTTTATTTTCTCGTAGTCTTTAATAAAAACACGAGTAAAAATATTCTCTTAAATATTGTAGACGTAAATAATATAAACTATAAATTCAAATTATACAACGGCGTCATGTATAGGCAATTCACTAGCGTTGATGTTTTAAGTATTAATTATATCTACTTATACTATTAAAAGTGTAAATACAACATTAAAACTGTGACATAAATTTTGTTTACTTAAAGTTTAACAGACACGTTTGATCACGTCTCGTTCGATTTATTATAATAATTTTTTGGAATATTCATAATAAATTCCGGTAAACTTTCTGCAATATTATTTTAAAATCTTGACTGCATTTGAATCATGTTTTATATGTTTATTAATTTACTTCAAATTTATTTAACAGTGCTAGACATGTCGTTATATCCCATTTCGTAATTCCCCCAATTCCCTCTGTCTATCCTGATCAGTGTTGAGACATATTTATACCATTTTTCGGTCGCAGTGCAGAGTGGCTCAAATCAATCTTTCATACATTTCAATATAAGCAAATTGTATTTTAATAATTGCTTAGTGACATAATGGCATAATATTGCATAATGGCCTAGCTTATGACGTCCCTAAAGTCGTACTAATCACCTATATGTATGGTTTATGCATTTTAATAAACAAAAAGTACACCATAGTAATTTAATTCATTTTAATTCTGATTAGTATATGTATTAGAACAGACATACACATAGGTCATATTATTGAAACGTAATGAAGAAAAAATTAAATTAAACTAAATTATTAAAAGAAAGAAATAAATTAAAATGTTTTATTTTTTAAATAGATCATTTCAACTATATATTTTAGTATCTGACATAGGTAATTTAAATATATTTTATCTAGATGATTATGGAGCTATTTCAAACAAATCATTTTTTTATTTATCTGCGTTTTGTTACTTACCACGATATATTAGATTTTTGATACTAATCGAGCCATCTACATTTGATATATATTTGTTTACCCTGTTATATGACTACCGCTGAAGGCGGAGTCTTCCCTTTAGCTGGATTTTGTTAGGTTTTAATATAACTTTTTTTTTCTTGTATCATTTAGATTTCAATTGTATCTATTTTATTCTGTTCATTTTCTATAACATGTGTGTACAAATATAAAAAATACAATAATTATATGTAGTTATATCATAACTATTATGGTAATTTTTGTCATACTCGTATTTTATATTTTTTTTTTTTTTTTTTTTAACATTAAAATATTATAGAGATATTAAATATTTTTATTTTATACGGTTATATTAAAGTTTATCGTATACTTACCTACACGTGGTCGGTTTTAATAGGTTGGCACTTTTGTTACGCATTTAATGTCATATATACATTTTACACCGCATTGTATTATATTACATTTTTATGTCTTGTTAATGTATATATATATGTTAAAACAATAATAAAAACAAGTGATTATTTTTATTACACAATAACAATAGATATTTAATATTAACAGTATAAAAAATTGGGCAGGTTATAAGAGGAGTGTAATCTATTGCAGGTATACAGACGATATGGTTATAATTATAGCTAGCGACATAAATAACGAAGATCGATGATAATTATATTTATCGTTAGGTAAATGAATTGTCACACGATAATTATATAAGATAAATTCAAAAACTATGTTTAACGTTGACTATAACGAATAAAATAAGGTAAAATAAAAATATTGTTTTTAGATATATACAAGCTGTCCTATGATGATATACTCTTTGAATATCTCCAGGACAGCCTGTATATAATCATGATTCCTCTGAAAATATCCCCCGACTTAATTTTTTCTTATTAGAAATATTCCTCATTGAAAATATCTCTGGGTTAAAATTAACTCCGGGATATATATTTCTTATTCAAAATTTGTCAATTAAAACTGTGACACATAAACTACTAATGTCTGAAAATTTAACAATAGTAGTCTAGCGATTTTTATTTCATGGAATACATTTAATAGAAATTACAAAATAATGGACTACAGGCAAAAAAAAAAAAAATGATACTCAATTTTAATTTCAAGCAATATACTCAATAATCCTATTAGATATACTTCGCTTAATATTGAAAAAGGAATATTTTAAATGGAGATATTTTTAACATGGGATATTTTTAATAAGGGATATTTCTAATAAGGTTATATTTGAACGCGTACAAGATGCAATTTATTATTTTATTGATGCATAATGCACCATGTATATATAATAATATTATACTATTGTACATTTAATACTTATAATATAGTGTGACGTTTTATTTTAATGATAATGGTAAATATTTCAGCCTGGCAGATTTTTATCGGAATGGGGCTTTTTTATGAAGTGTATAAATGCTAAAATAGACGATGTAAAGCGATTTTAAAAATGTTAACCCTTTTGGCGTACTAATACCTTAATACAGTATACATTTTTATATAACTTAAGACGCTTATGTTTATCCTAGGATTCCAAAAGTCCTATATTCTAATTTCTATGAGAACTACAATTTTCTTTCTGTATCTCCCAAACTATCAGAGATTAAAAACACGTTATTAAAAAAAATGTGAAACGTATGATATTTACATAATATACGTATAATGTATATATGATGATTAGGGCTCGGATTAAAATGCACTAAAAATCATCAAAATATGCTCTAAAATAAAATGCATAGTACTGCGAAACTGTCCTTAAAAAATGAAGCATTATTTCTTTTTTTAAATATATTGTTTTATTGGATAAATTATAATATTTTTATTTTAATAAAAAAAAAAACAGAAAATTGAAAATTTTGAATTGAAACCAGTGACGATAGTAAATATACCAATTATATTTAATCGTATTATGAATTAATATTGCAAATTATATCATTTCCATGTAATGTACAAATATCTAATGAAACCAAAAAAAAAATAACCAAAAGTGTCTTAAAATGAAAAAACTTTAAAAAATGCATAAAAAAAAAATATTACCTTTGAAGTCTCTGTGTTAAACGGATCAAATTTTGTTCTGGAAAATCACTGTCTTCTATCATTAAAAAAGATGCATTTTGCATTGAAATCAGGGCCCTTCTGATAATATATACAACGGTTATCTAAATGTCTAATTTCTCTTCTAAATCTTTTTCGCGTTTTCCATATTTTTTCTCTATATATCGCAAAAGTCCATTCAATGTTTTTTTTGTTTTAATACGAATGAAACCCAATGTTTATTATTATTTAAATATAACGATAATAATGAAAAAATTATTCTTATTTCAAGGTTTTTTCATTTCATTTACTATATAAATATAAATACGTCGAAATAACAATACTAACGTAATGTATAGCTGTGGAATATTAAAAATTAAGTTCAAATATTTGATATATTTATATGTATTTAATATACAAAACTTTATGCTATTAGGTAGGTAGCATAGTTTGTTATTATTTTGAAAGCGTAAATAAACATAAACGATGTTTCAGCAATGTTTGTTCGTACAATCATAGCAGGTGTTAAGTGGGCATGAGCGTAAACATTGCAGAATAAATATTATTTTTGCAAGACATTCCGACATTTTCTGTTGTATTATAACGATGTAAATGTTAAAAATTATTAAAAATATAAAATTATTTGTTCTGGTAACGATCTAACCGCAATGTTGCAATGTAAATAATAATTATATATGTATTGATATTTCGTTTTTTTTTTTTTTATCTCGATAGTATTTTTATAGTGCAATATTAAATTTGTTCATTTATAGTTATAAAAAAAAATTAATAAATAAAAAGCACTCATAATCCCCGTCACTAAAGTCAAATTGTCTCAAGTCGACTTTTCACCGTTAAAATATTTAATTTTTCTTTTTAATAATTGATCTTAAATATTTATGGATTTCGGAGTTTTATCACATATTAGTCTATAAGGGTATTTTAACCCCGGTATATTTCGTAAAAACAAGGTTGACAGTAAAAATCACCAAAAAAGCACATTTTTGGTAAATACACCAATCATACACAAATTCTCATCAACCTAGATAAATTTGAAGGGTCGGTAGTGATGTATAAAGCTATAAAAAAACACTTTTCGCCCGCAACATCTTAATGAAAATCATATTCAACCAACATTTTATCACTTAAATCCTAAGATTCTTTTATTTTATTTTGAATGTTTTTTTTAAGCATGTGTTTATGTGTTTCAACAATTTATGTTTTCTATGAAAAATATTGCTCCTTTAGAAAAACAACAAAATGAATTTTTTTTGTTGCATTCTGGGTCTATATGCTCATGCAGAAAGTCGTTTTTTTACTTTCCGAGTAGTCACTGGTAATAGTATAGAACAAAATAATTTTTTTTTTAAATACATAATTTTGTTATTATTAATTTATATTTATTTATTTAAGGTATTACTAGTTCCATTATTAGATGAAAATATTAAAATGTGATCGTGGATTTGGTAAATGTCTGATTTATTTTTTTTAGTTTTCATAAGTACAAAGCTAATACTTAGTCCATTGTCCATATCTGCATAAACACGATAACGTTTTAATGATCATCCCGCTTTAAAGCATGATCGTTTTTAGAGAGTGGTTTCTTGGTTTAATATTATTATACTTAAAATTTAATAATAGTGTGGAAAATCTAAACTGATTAAAAGAATATAAGAAAAAAGTAAATTGAATTACATTTTTTTTCCTTTGCTGAATAATATTTCTTATCTCTTTTTATAGTAACGTCAGTTAAAGAATCTTGGTAGTGCAGATTAAGTATTTTTTTTTTTTATGAAAAAACGTTTTTAATTTACTTTATTCCCCCCTGCTCTTATTTCTTTTTAAGTATATTGTTACTCAACTATTCACCACTACCATTATCGGTCTTTGTTCCATGGAATCCATTATTTCCAACTCTTCACTCCGTCTCTTCAGCCGTCTCTCTTTAACAGTCAGAAATTCAATAATGCTATATTTTTATTTTTTATCGTTAACGCTTCAGGTTTCTTCACTGTATTCCACTGTTTTTTTCCTCACCCATTTATTATATAGGTTGTCTTTCCGATAATACCGAAATATTTATATGCATAAATACATATAATCATATCATATACGTATATATAAATATATATATTACTTTTTCCCACTACTACTATTAATTTTGTTTATGCTTTTGCATTATTTATTCTAACCACCGCCACCACTACCTTTCATAATTTATATTGTTTAAAGTGATGGCAAGAACGGCATAAAATTAAAACGGTTAAGTAATAACCGTGGGGCGAATTCGCACCGTGTCAGGCATATTTTAAATTTGCTTAATAAAGAATAGTGTGAACTATTTTACATTCTGCCAATTTTCGCAGCCCTCACGTTTATAGTGCACTGAAAAATCCTTTGTGACGTATTTATCAATTTTCGCAGACACTATTTTCGTTCAATAATGTTGTTTTGTTCTTCAAAATATATAGAAATATATAAAATATAAATAATATATTCTTGATGGTTATATCTGATTGTATTTCACCCTGGGATAAGTTTGTGCCATTAAAATCTACGTTTGAGATCCACATGTAGTAGAATATAAATAGGTCAACAGAAGGAGTAGTGGGGAATGTAGGAGCAGAGGAAGGAAAAGGGTAGGAAAAAGTTTGGGGTTATTAAAGAGTAATAGACTTAGGTAAATTCATAATCCTATATATGACATATGACGTAAACGCGCGGCGATCTATCTACCGATAGGATGATTGACGGCGGTATTGCCACAACAAGCAATCGGTCGGATAAGACCTTGAATATATTTGCAGCGTAATTTGTTGACAAAATTTGTATAGTATGTGTGTAAATAGTTCTATGTGTGTGTGTGTATGTGTGTGTGTGTGTGTGCACGGTCGTTCGGATTGTATTGTTGTATATGCACGTATACCTATATTTTGTTGACACAAACACGTACCTATTTTATTTATTGAGGGAGGCTATTGCCTATCGTAAAAAGTTGTATTTCTCTTCTGCTTATTTTACTGTCATTAATATTCTACTATGGAAATTTGTAAAAATTACACTCACCTCATATTTTCTGCTTGAAAATCGTATGAAGTTCGTAGCTCAAAATATTAAAAACAGGATATACAGTGTATAGGTATCGATGAATCGTTGCAGTATATACACCACATTATAGGTATCCAGTAGAGAATATATCGTTATTAAGCTACACCGATTAGAGATATTTTAATGCTTTTGACGCTCTTAAATTTTGGTCTTATTGTATAAGGTTTAACATTACTGTAAAATATAATATCCAGGTGTCTGTTTAAATAATAATATTATTTTCTAGGTACTACTCGACTATATTATAATTATTGTTTGCATAACAGAAATAGAATCCTAATTAAAAATAAATTTAAATTTATATTATTTTACTACCGATACTATGTTAAAGCAGCGCGCTCGTATTGTTAAAAGTACCTACTTGTTATATAGCACTGAAAGTGCTTGATGAAGTGGGTTTGTTCTGAGTTTATAAGTTGTTTACTCCTATTACATCACTGCGCCCACTTTAGTTTTGGAATATATAGTAATATTTCGAGAGACGCCTTACCACAAGCAAAAGTGGAAAAATTGAAGACATGTGTGCAATGGAAGGTTTTTAGTTTTACTGCATTATTGTTCATAACCTCGCGACAGATCTCCTGTTCTAAAGATTTAAAATATACATCTTTTTCACCGGACAAATGAGTTCAAGTTTGCTAACCGAACTTCCTTAGTAAATACCATTTGGATGTCAAAATTATTATTTATCAAAATTGATTACTTATGTCAATTAGAATATTATCAAAACAAAAAAAAAAAAAAAAAAAAAAAAAAAAAAAAAAAAAACAAAGTACAAATTAAATATAACACATGAAAACTCTTAATAACATCTGCAAATTAATATTTATGGATAGATAGTTAATATAAGTATATTGTAAAATGCATAATTAAGTTTACGAATTACGTTTATGTTTTCAAAGGGTCCCCGAATCTTGTTTCCGCGTTGGAAATTGTTTTAACCATAAAGGAATCCGAGAAATTTTCGGGAAACCTTTTAAAATTTTATATACGTCATTTAATATTCTTGTTGTCATCTAATACTACAAATGTTAGTTTAAAATCACAGAAATAAAAAAAATAATGCTTTAAGGTATTTTTTTAATTAATTAAAAATATTCATACAAAAAAAAATATTTGTTTTATTAAATAACATATAACTACCATAATTATAATATAACAGTAATACCTATAATACATTTATAATTGTATATATTGATTTAATATTATAAATACAATATGATTTCTTTATGAATTACATTTTAATCTAAATGTTTTAACAAAATGTATTATTATATTGTCATTAATTTAAGCAGAAATTATACTTTAAAAATTATTTTGACGTTTATACTCAAAAATTTGTTAATTAGTTATTTATATTCTTTTATCAACTGTTCAGTTTTCACAACTTTCAAAAATATTGAACTTATAAAAATATTTGTTTAAATTAATATGATATCTAATTGTACTTTGATGACCTGTACCAATAAAAATGCTGGATGAAACTTTTGCACATTTTTATATTTAAGAGAAGTATTTGCCGAGGAAAATACATCTATATACATTGTACATTTCATAGCGTATGTATTTTCTCCGTTTAGAATTTAAAATGGAGCAAATTTTTGTTATTATAATATTTAAAATGTACAAACTTTCAATGAACTCTCTTACGTTCAAAAAAGTTTATTACCACCTCACAGGCAAGAAAATCATAATCCGAAATGAAAATGTTTTCAGAAAGTTTTTTAATATTTTAAAAATGTTCTAACGAACCTTTTGACTGGAAAAAAAAGTTTTCAAACATATAAAAAAATGACTTAATATCAAAAAACGTGTTACTCTTTATAAATATTATTATTTTATTTGGTTTTCAATTTGTTGTAATATAATTCAAGACAATAAATTAACATTAAATAAAAGAAACTTTACAAATGTAAAATCTGGATTTTGTTTAAATTAAAAAAATAATATTAATATAAGTATGAAGTCGTTTTTGGTTTATTGAAATTAATTAAGAACCAAGATAAATAATAACGTTGTTTTATGAAGTTTATTATTCGATCTTTGTTGGTTTCTTTGTAGAATCATATATAATAAAGGTACTTTAAATACTTGTTACTTTCCATTATTACCAGAAACAAAATGTTATTCAGATTATTATTTTAAGTTAAAGTTATCTGGTATGTATTCTGCATCTGGCAGAATCTTCATTAATATTTCACAACTTAAACTTCTTCTATAACAGGAGCACATGTCCCTATTAAATTAATGTCAGTCGAGGTGAATGCTAGTAATAGTCGTTTGAGTATTACATGATAGAACATATACATTTTAGTAATATAATAAATGATAGATGATTTTATGCTACGTTAACATATTTAAACATATTTGTTTTTAATTTCTTAACTTTATGAACACAAAGTAATAAGTCACCCAGAAAAAAGTACAAACAGAAACACTAGCTGAAATTAATTTAATTAAAGAAAATTCCATTAAATTTGAAACCGCTAAAGGAATTAAAACATAGAATTTAATATTAAGGTTTCAACCAAAATTCAAATTGTAATAATACTGAATCTTTACTACTATATTTAAGACAAATTGGCAACAGATATCAAAGTAAATTAATGGTTAGGTAATTTTAGGCAAATTTAAAGTAAAATTAATTCATCCATTTTAAACAGTTGGCCTAATAATTAATTTATTATTATTAATAACAGATCAAAAATATGTTCAATTTCCAGAAGACCTGTGTATTTTTTTTTTATTTTTTTTTTATTTTTTTTTTTATTCCCCATTTCAGGTTCTCCTTCTATCTAATATCTTTTACTGTCCAAAAATCGCAAATAGAATAATATATTCAAAACAATTACTTTCCTTATCTCCGTACAATATATAATATTTATTATTATATTATTTAAATACAGTTGTATTTTTCCCAATGGTTAGACAAATTTTAAAATATAGATTCCAATAGATATTGTAGTTAGCCTATCGTTAAAAGATAACAATAATACCTAACTCGACTTCCTAATGATTGATTAACTTCATATTTCAATTTTTTTTTTTTTCAGATAAAATTGTCACGTTGTCGACAACACAAAATTACGGTACATTGTTGTTCATGACACCGGTCGGACAGTCATATTCATGTCAAAAAGAAATTAGCGTGGTGGTAAGCAACGTAAACCAACCGACAATGAAAGGGTACGTGTTGCTCAGAGCATTCACCGTACAACCGTTTATATTCAAAAATGACGAGTTTGGACCTGGTAAGTCGTAAATTATTTTATTTCAATAATAATCGTGTATACCTATATAGTTTATACTATGAATAATTTTGACGCAATTCGTAACCGGAAAAAAATAAACTGCAGTATAAAAGAAAATCGTTCGTATGATTATTTTAAATTTAGAAAAACCCGGGATTATATTTTATCATTTTAAAATGATTTTATTATTTAACTTTGCACTGCTCGCACAAACGACAAAAATTCGCCGGTGGTATACCTTCTAGCTACTATATAAGTCCATTATGTTAGGCACATTGTATTGATTATGTATCCATATTATAATAATATAAAAATTTCAAATACACCAACAACATTCAATTTATCAAAAAGTTATAGAAAATCGCAAAGTATTAAAAAAGACGAATATGTTATTATAATATTATAGTCATGAGAGTAAATGAATACCGTTTTTGATGAACTTATAGCGCATAAATTGCCAAACACAAAACGTAGTTTGAATGCTTGCTTTATGTATTACAGTGGGATATCCAATTTGTCAAGTGCCACATTTGGGTTTTTTTAAATTTTATTACAGACTCAAAATATGTTCTAGACCTTTTTTTTTATTGAATATTTAATTTATAGTCGTAGTTGGACCAACACACTCAATACCTGCAAATCTACTAACCAAATGCCCAACATTAATTATTGTGGACATGTTATTATTATTATTATTATAATTTGTCGTATTACGTTTTGGGATTAATAATGAAACACAGATGTCCCCGGATTTTTAGTCTAAGAAATCAAAATCAGTTATTATATCTGGCCAAGTTATACTCAGTCTTCAATTAATTTAATTGAACCAACATATTTAATTTAAAAATTTAAATACCTAACTTTTCTTTTAATTTTTATTGTCATGTAGTAAAAATTAATTTACCTGGAGTTTTGTGATTTTTTTAAAAATAAATTACATTTTCCCGATCAATGTAAAATAATTGTCGTGTTTAATCTTATGAGGTACACAAATTTAGCCTTTAAACTGGAAAAAAGTACAAAATATGGACAGAACCTTATTTTTTATTTGATGTTATTCAAATAAAGTGTCGATATGAAAAAAAACATCTATTGTGTTAAATAAAAAATAAACATAAATTAATTTAATATGGTATGAATGCAATATAATGTATAATTAGCTCGTTATTAATTAAGATAATGGTAAACAAAGAAAGAAAAAAAATTAAAGATTACAAGCTAAATTAAAAGTTAACATAAAATGATCGATTAACTTTTTAACTCATAATGTCTCCATATTGAAATGTGAAATTTACAATAAATTAATCTTTAAATCTTTAAACAAATAAATTAGTTCCACATTTCATTGATGAAATCTAATATCACTACATCGTAAGTCATTTTTCTATTTTTAATCATATTTATATAATATATTTTTTTTTTAATTTTACGTATGAAAACAAATCTGTGTATAAGTTATATTGTTTTTAAAACAATATTTTTAATATATTTAACGATGATCGTAAGATATAAGTAGGTTCTTATTATAGTATTGTATTAAATTAAAACAAAGTATTACTTAATAAATTCATAATTTTACAAAAGTTTGCTTAGGAGTTTTAAACGCTTTTGGTGAACTTTTGAAGAAAATATTTAAAATTGATATTTTGTTGAACATTCAAACTTTTAATTGAATAGCACTTTATATTGTTTCTATAAAATAATTATTGTTACGAAGCAAACAACTACACACAACTGTGACTTGGCTAAAATATATTTTAATGGTACTATCTAAACTCAGTGGTGCTCACAGTAGGAGGATTAGGGGGTTCAACCCGAAATTTTCTTCCTTTCTGCATTTTTTTAAATACATTTTTACATTCAACAACATACTATCTTAAATTATGAAACAAATTAATATTTCATTTTATCAAAATTGATTTAATCAGTAATAATAGTGATAGTACTATATTGATAATATGTGCAATTCCCTATCTAGAAAATTATTAAAAACAAAACCTCTCCCGAAAATCTTGCATGCGCTACTGCTTAAACTGATATAATTCCACATACACTAATAACTACAGTAATTTTATAAACACATACTTTTATACTATAATAATGTTTAATAATTCATTCCTTTGGGGCTCTATCTTGATAAATACGCATTAAATCAATGTTGACCACGATATTTTCAATTTTATGTTTTTTATCGATTTTGAAGTAGTCATTGGATGAACAAAAAACATATTGTCCACCTGAAATAAAAATAGTTAATGAGTAAGTAAAAAAAAAGTTTAAATGATGGCATTTTCCCCGAATATATTACAATATGTGAAATAATACACGCATTTAGTCATTTAGGTAGGTCACAAACCATTATGCATGGCAACTGCTATTAATATTGATTTCTTACCAACAATTTGTAATTTATTATCTGACAAAACGTATAATAAAAAAGCAGTCCAAGGAAAATGAGAACGAGTGCAGTCACAGTTATAGTAATTTAATATACTGCGATTAACCATTGCTAACGAAAAAACATTTATGAGCGGAGTTCAGTTGATAGTGTTGTTTTGTTAACAATATATTATATGCCAAATAATGGTAAAATAGTTAAATATGCATTATGTATTTTCTTAAATAATATTTGTTTAATATTGTACTTATTTTCTCGTTTTTCCTAAGTTTTTCCCATTTTTTGAGAAAATTCTTCGGAAAATAAAAAAATGACCTCCTCAGTCTGATTTTCTTTTAGAAAAAATGCTATCATTGAAAATCCAAGCAAAATTGCTGATTGAAAAATTGTCTACAGAAAAGAAATAAAAAAATAATCATCATTAAAAAAACCATAAGCTACTTCGCTCGCTTCACTCAAAATCTACAAAGTATACGTAAAATGTTTACATCAAATATTCGATTTGAGCGTTTTCCTTTTAGAAATTATCATAATAATTATAAGAGTTGGTCTATACCATAAAACACTCGTGAGCAGTAGAGGTTCACTAATATAATATATTGAAATCGAATTTTTTCCCGTCTATTTGGTACTATAGAAATATTCCTTTACAAATACTGAAAATCACCGAATACGTTAACAGTAGTATTACTAAGTACACAAAAACTAGATTACTTAATAAAAAAAAATACGACTTACAATGAACCTCATGTTAGATATTCAAACAATTTAATCCATAGAGTACTGAATAAAAATTAAGTAAAAACTTGTAAAGTTGAAATTTTAACAAAAATGTGTTCGTGTAAATATTTCACAATAATATACTATTAATTAATGTATTTGATAATACCAAAAAAAAAACCTTTTTTCCTAAAATATAATGTGTAAAACACATATTATTATACACACGTTTATATATTGGTCACCCATTCCTATATTCATGATATTCTATATTACTATAAAATAATTTGGTGGTAACGTGTATTGGTGGAAAATAGGAAGGTTAATTTTGGTGGAGAACAACGACATCCATTATTATATATATCTACGTTTTTATTTTTATTTTTTATATTAGAAGAAATATAATAATTGCAATCTATACAACAGTTAAAGTATAATAAGTAATGTCGATATTTTTAAATGGCCGGGAATAAATAATGTTTGGCGGGCACCCGGTAGTGCCATCGGTCAGATTTTATTACTAAGCCTCTAGTTTACTACCGTTTAAGAGGTCTTAGAAGATTGTTAGAAAATAAACAAGTGAATACTCGATTGATAAAACGGTTCTGATGGCGGCTTAATTTAGAATAAAAAGAAATATATCGAGATTTGGTTAATTAATTGAATTTGCCGAAGACAGATAGACTGAAAAGCCTAGATTATTCTTAAGTTGTAGGGTTTGGCAGAACTCCAAACCTGGACACTATTGAACCACACTAATCTAATGGCTTTATAAAAAAGTAGTTTATTTCTGAGGGATAAATTGGAATATATGTACTTAAAAGTGAATTATTGTTTTACTTTACAATTTTAAAATCTCCTAGAGCCTATTTGTTTATAAATAATATAATATTAGCGTAAAATTATTTCGTGTACTCGACTATTGTTATCCGTGATCGAGTTATAACTTTTTATAATACCCTACGTTCTTGTTATATATTATACTGTATAATTTGATTTTTTCGATTTACCGGATCATTAAAATGTGATTCTAAATTGTTTTTTGTACGATCACGGTATTTCGTTTTATGTTTATGCTTTATATACTCGCTTTTCTGTAAAATTTAAGACAGAAACGTTGAAATAGCCATAAAAAAAAAAAAGAAAAAAACATTTTGATATTATTACGAACCATGCGAGAGATGATATTCTCTATTTTCTCATATAATAATAAAAAAAAAAAAACAACAAAAAATCCACCCAAAAGATAACCCCCGTGTAGTACTTTAGTCATTTAAAAACCTCAGCTGTAAATTATTTTAGCGATATTTACCAAAAAAAAACACTATTTCACCATCATTTCTTCGGGCACATTTTTTTCTACATTTTCTTATACGTGAACCGAAATATACTTCTTAATATAACGTAAATCATTTATTTTAAAATCATAGATTTTAAATTAAGATAATAACTGATGTAAAAAAAAAAAAAAAAAAAAAAAAAAAAAAACATGAAAATACAATAAATATAAATTAATTTTTCATAGGCTGATATCTATAACCAAAAACTTAACGGGGATAGTATTTAAGATGATAAGAATTTACTTATTTGCATAAAAAAATGAATCCTTGGCACATCTGTGTACAAAATAAAAATGTACTTGGCTTTATCCCGACAAACCAATTTCACCAAAATGATCTATGTATGAATTGGTTATAATCAATCAAAGTATAGTAACTAACAATTTTATTAAAGTATATGATGAAAACAAAAGTCAATAAAACACATTTTTTTTAAAATAATTTTCAATAATACACAATATTTTTTCAAATATAATCAATCGTATGATCAATATTTAATAAATAATAAATAAACATATTTTTCTAAAAATATCCTAGTTATCAATAGTTTTTGGATTCGGAGAATAATGAGGGATAACTATTGGTTTTACTATGATGTATGTTTTTTTTACTATTCTTTTTCTTTGTTTATAATTTTTTGTGTCTATATACAACTTTTTTAAAAGAAATTATGCTCTAATGTATTGAATATTGCTCCTTTTCTGAAAATAAATCTTAATTAGTTGGTGCGCTGGGAAGATCACTTTTTTGATTTTTTTTAAGTGTTTTAATAATACTTGGGAAAGACCGGAAAACAACTAATTGAAAAAACAACAAATATTTACGGCATGCTATGACATTACGGATTTCATTGTTATTAATTTTTACAAAATATGTTTCGAACTAGAAATATTGTTTCAACAGAAAAACAATAAAATGCCTTTTTTTGTTTCATTCAGAATCCAGATGCTTATAAAGAAAGTCAATTTTTGATTTGTTTAGTAGTTCTCACAAAAATAGGAAACACCGGAAAAATAATTGTAAGAACGACAAAATATAAGAAAACAATATTTTTATTAGTGTGAGTTTTGTTTTTTTTGTTGTAATAAATTCAATATATTCATGGAGACTAAATTATGACAGAAAACTTATGTTTGTTATTTCTTATATTATGCTAAATTTTTAAAACATTTTTGAACTATTTATAGAACTTTTAATTATGCAAATTTTGTATGTAGATTTCATTTGGTAGGTACTCTATAGATAAAATTGTTTGACAAAACAGATGCGATTGAATATTTATTAAGGATGTTCATTATCAGTTATATTTATTGGTCAGCAATAAAAAGTTGTGTTTTATTTTTTGTTTTTGTTTTTTTTTTTTTAATTTTATAAGTTTCAAGATTAAATTTTGGTGAAAACCGTAAATATTACGTTCTTTTAAAACATGTATAAATGAACTTCTTTCGGAATTAATTTTCGTTAGCAATAGTTTATCGTTGATAACGGGTATAAATTAAATAACTTTATGTATTACACATTCTACTGGCCATATTATTTACATTTTTCGTTAAAATTTAATTATAAAATTGCTATAAAAAAAAAAAATACTTCATTATACCTACTTCTTTTTTTTTTTTTTGTCCACTACTACGTACGACATTTAATAAACCTCCTGTCAAATGTTTAAGCATTTCGTAAATTTCCCTGTAGTTTCTGCGTATTTTTTGAATTCGCTCAATTATTAAAAAAAACCACTAAGAAAAGCAAGAAACGAACTTCTTGGTCACCAGCTTAATTAAAAATTAATTATAAAAGATCTCTTGTTGTTTTTCAATTTGAGTATAATTTTCAGTAGATAACGTAAAGCATACAAATAAAAGAACTACTACATACTTTGCACGATGGTAATTTCGTAAATTCTACAGTATTTCCCACATTTTTCCAGGTTTTCCAATTTAATATTTATGGCACGCTGCGTCGTTACAGAGATTTTATTGTTTTCAATTTTTCCAAACTATGTCTTCCACCAAAAATAAAGCTCTAATCAAAAAATGCAATCTACTTTTTTGTTGTTATATATATATATATAACCACTGACAAAGAATGTCGTTTTTTGTTATCTAATCTAGTTTTATAGTAATTGGGAGAAATCAAAAAAAACGGAAAATAAGATTTTTTTAGATTACGACGCAACGTTTTTATTATTTAATAATTTTAATATTATAATTTTCGATCAGATATCTTTATCCGAATTATAAGAATATCATATTTTCTAAAAGATAATTTTGTATTGTTTATGGGTAAGAAAGGTTTTGTTTGATTTTTCTAAAAATTACTAAAATCCCGGAAAAAAGGAAGGAAATACGGTAAGTGTACAGTATTTTGAGTTTTTCGTTGTTAGTCGGTTAAAAATATTGTAAAGACCTGTAGTTTTTACGAAATACTTAAACTTATATTGTCAATTTTTAGTCGTGGTGAAATTTCCAAAACATTCTAGTTATTTTCAGGCTATTAATATCGATATTTGATATTTTCATGTATTTATATTATGTACTTTTACTTGATTAATGTATATAATTAAAATCATATAACTTAAGAAAAATTCTTGAAAATTTAACACAAGGAACACTTTAAGTTTTACTTAGTGATTTAGAAAACAAAATTGTATAATTTTATAATTAGGTTTTATTTTCATTAGCATTTTAAGATCAAATTTTGTCGAAAATCGTAAAAATCACGACATTTTAAAATATGTCTTTCCTAAGTTTGATCTGAATCGTTCTTCATTATCAGTTGTTTATCGATGCGTACAGGTAATATCTAAATAAGTTTAAATAGTATTTTATATCTTATCTTCCTAACTTACCAACTATAACAGTGGCTACAGCCATCCCTAGTGTCAGTTCTTTATTTTTATTTCAACACAAATAAACTATACTCAGAGCTGGATTTATGTATTTATCTTTTATCAAAAAAATTATCACTTTCAGCTTTTTTTTTCATTTTCAAGTGGTTTTCATAATAATTGGGAATAATCGAGAAATCGTACATTTATAAATGAAATTTTACTCAAAATAGTTTTTAGTTAGCAATAGTTTATCGTTCCAAATAGATATAAACTTAATTCCTCTATATATTTTACCTTGTCAACTTCTCCTCTATAACAGTAGCCCACCCGTCGTGCGAATTACGTCCGTTTTTTTTTATATGTGTACCTTCCTTTTTATTCCAGTGGAATTCATTTCTAGGGTATATTTAATCTATCTATAATCCATAAAGTGGTACCCCACAAACAAGTTTTTTTATGTATAAAATATTATTAACTTTATATTCTGGATACATTTAAATTAGACTTATCTCGTTTATTTGTGTATAACTCATAAAGAACTTAATCCAGTTATAGCTTTTTAACCATTCATTTATTTTGGTACAAATTGCAATACCTTCAGGGTGGTACTAGAGATTTTCTGAGATAAAAAATTGTATAGTAGATCAATTGATCTATTATTTATGTTGAACGAAAAATCTGTATCCAGACCGTTACATTTTATTTAATATTTCTTTAGAACGGTTAAAAGAATCGACATCTCAAAGGGGAATATAGAAATCTCAAAGGGGTAGTAAATACAAAACAATATCCCTATGTATAGTTGTATAGATTTTTAACATTTCGACATTTTACGTTTTGTTTTTTTTTTTTTTTTTTCAATAGGTAAAGTTCTTTTATGACAAAGTGTGTAGCGTTTACACCCGTATCAAAATATAAAAAGTTTTTTTAGGTAGAAACGTTTTCAAGTTTTAGTTTGATAGCTTGAGTAGCAAATAGTGATTATTTAAAAAAAAAATGTATACATAAAGGACTTTGAATTTTATTTACGTACACCGTGTCATATGTAAAAAGTCAATATGACGTGTCGGTTGTGCATTATGGTGTAGTCGTTATTCGCGTTATTAAGTTAGGTTACGTTAACATATCTTATTCTCGTAAATTATATTTATTTTTCTATCAACTGTGCTAGTAAAATACTGCACAACCAAGTTATACGATACGCAAATTTTAAAAAAATCTACCTAACATTTACCATACCTAGTCTGATTTTATAACATTTATGAAAAAAATTATTTTTCTATTGCGAATAACTATTACGAAAAATGTAACTATTTTATTTCGGAATTCATAAAACGTCCTACATACAATATATAATCACGTACATTCAGCAGACACTTATATATCATACACCTATATAATGTTTTAATATTTTGGAAAAAAAATCAATACCTCGGAATGTACCTTGACAAATTCAGTGAAGAACCGTGTTTAGAGCACCCATTATAACCGCAGGAGGGCTTTCATTCTGCAAGAATATCAACTTGTATAATTTATCAATTAAAAAAAAAATAAAAAACAGCTTTAATTAAAACCTTAAAACCAATTGTATTTAATTCTCGCTCAGACACCACGGTTGTTTGTCAAGATCAGCAGTAAAAAGATCCGTTAATAATAATAATAACTTATTTCGCACTTTTGTATAATTTATTGTGTGGTTATACATTCTAGTAAAAAGGCTAGTGCACACAATGATAGTTATTACTTATCACTATGTCAATAGTTATCATAGGTGCAACCATCGTGTCAGTAAATATTATAAATACTGTGTCCATACGGTGATATAATATAATAGAGTGATAGTAAAAGACATTATAATAAAGTGAATTTTTTTTTATATGGAAACGTGTGTGGAGGTATGACATGACAGTAACAAAATATGATTATAGATCCATAGTATATGTAAACACACGGTGACAGTTACCATCACAGTCTTATGGTATTAAAGCTTGATCTACACGATGATAGTTCGGAACTTGATTGGTACGTAATTCAAAACCATAATGGTTACTATAGGTATCATAACCCAAATATCGTCGTGAAAGCAATCATAATACTATTATGCATGAATGATAGTTGATAGCTACTATTATGAGAATAAGAGTTACTCATCATGTGTACACATATTGTTGTTATAATTTACAGTCATGCTATCACATTCACAAACGTTTCCAACGAAATTCATTATATACCTGTCATGTATTCTACCACCACTCTACTAAACATCACAATAATATAGTGATGTATAATATAATATAATATAAAAATAAAAAATATTTTATTTTATTTTTATTTTAACGAATTATGTTACGAGTAGGTAGTGCGATGCATTTAGGTATACCTACCTATCAATCTAACTTTAAACCTTAACTAATATTCAATATTTTTAATAATGTAAGTTCAAAGTTTCTCCCCGAGTGTATTATACATAATACCAGGAATTTTGCAAAATGAATTATGAACTTCATAAATACAACAAAATCATGTATCGCAGGCATTCGGTCAAAAGCCAAATCGTGATATTTTTTAAAATTTTACGGGAGAGGCTAAAATTAAATTATATTTAAAAACACAATGCGTACTTGCAGTGGGCTTGCTAATTGTTTTTTTTTTCTTTTTACCGCTCGCTCGACCGGCGAGTGAAACGTGTTATTAAAATTACACTATTTTTAATGATAATTATTATTATTCGAATCACGCAATAAAGTTATCACGTCTCGACCCCCCCGGGCGCCAGCTGAGCTTTGATATGACGGAAATTATGTTTGTCGATTTCTTTAATATTTCACGGGGGGTTAAGCATGATTCTACGGGTGCGTTCGTATAATGGAAAACCCGCTGACCTACAGCTGACGCATCACTGTCGGAGCTTTTGGATTTTATTTAGTCAAATATTACTATAAGTATTAGACCTTATTAACTATCCTAGAGAGAGGAACATATAGGAGAAATGTTTATCAAAACTCACGTTAATATGTGAAAAAAAACCAGTCGACATAAAAACTCCACGCAAGTAAATGGGGGAAATAATTCAGATTTAACAACAGTAACGTACATATATATGTGCGTATATATAGATTTAGATACAGCAATATACACAATCAACAAAATAAAAATAACAATCGGTTATGTTTAACATTGACCGGTTGAGTTGTGTTGAAATATTAACACGAGTTAACAATACTGTATTTTTAAATACATATATGGGTGTATGGGAAAAGGAATAGGAACGTGTCCTTTGATATAGCTATCGAATAATTTCATACTTTATGACTAGAACATTGATAAATATATATATATTTATGTGTCGCGACGCGGTGGTAACGAGTTACGTTCGATTATTTTATTATTCAAGGGGAAATGTAAGATTTGCAACTATAGGTACTCCTTTGGTTTTGAGATTTCAGTTTCAACCGGTAGAGAAGCGAACGGTATGTGGATCAGCACACGTATATTTAATTTAATTGCGGAGACTCAATTCAGGATCGCGCATTCGCCACGTGCGGGAATTATACTTTTATTGTAAAAAAAAAGGGTACTGGTCATCGGCTAGATCCATGTTTATCGTCCGAGTAGGTGGCTTAGCGTAGCGACTCGGCGAGTTGGGATATAAGTTGACACCTGCGGGACATGCCTAACCTCAATACGAGTTGTACCTATGTCTCGGGGACAAATTAAGTCGGGGCGGTTGCAGAACAAAAGTAATATTTTTTATTTTATTGCCAAAAGTTTAACAGCATACAATTTATGGCGTAGTAATTAAGGAGAAACAAACTATCACTTACGTTGTTGAAAAACACGTGGAATAAAATAAAAAGAATATGGATGGCAGTTTTTTTTAGGGGGAGCCGCACAGAAATAAGACATATATTTGGTTTTTGACACGTTTAGGAAAAATGAGTGAAAATAAAATGTTGTTTTTAATAAATAGCCACATGGCACAACAACCGTATTAACATAATCGACACAAGTACAGTAAAAAAAAAAAAAAAAAACAATATACAATAATTATCGTATTGAAATTACTTTACTTAGGGAGAAAGTAAAAAAAAACAAAATAAAGGGAGTACCAGCCAAGGTGTTAAGGAAAAATAATTTATACTCACATTATTTATTGCCCCGACTGAAGTCGCCTACACAGAGGACTTTACACGTGGATTTACTCTGTCATCTTGGGCTAGATGAATGCACAGAAAAATAATATTATAATATTACCTAACCTTGCCGCGATCGACTAATAGTGCCAGCTGTACACTCACAAAGCTCTGTTCACTTCACATAAACGAATTAGAAAACGGAAGCTCTTTGGGTAAATTAAGCCCAATAATTATGCCGGGGAATCTGTTTGCGGTTGTAAATTCTCGCGCCGTAAATAAATGGCTCAAAATTAAACATATTGTTCTGCTATAATATTGTCGCTTATACTACAACAATGAGTATCTTAGTATATATCAATTTCTGCACTTTCACAAGATGATCAAATCGCATTATTTAAATGATTTAATCTCATTAAGGTAAATACCGGAAACGTCCATTTAATATATGTCGCACTAACAATATGTTTAATGATAACTATACAATAAATGCAACCATTGTCCAAGTGTTATTGTCTTATATTTATGTTGGATCAAGGTTTTAATAAAAATTAACGTTTATCATTTTCGTGATTCACATTGTGAACACAAATCTGACAAAATTTAATTTTATAACAAAACAATTCCGAAAACACGTCTTATTTTATTAATAAGGATAATAATGTTTATTTTATAATAATACGTGATGTTGCGAATAAATTACGACAATTAGGTAAATTCAGTGGCGGCTCGTGAATCGAATGAGAGATGAAACAGATATTTTAAAAACGCATGATAACTTGTTCGTTTATGTTCTTGACACAATCAATTATTACTCGCACAGTCTCACAGTCTTACTATTATACTGCTATAGTCTTCACTATATATTCTTCTATAACATGATTAATCATAATTCATGGTCTATAATCATACACTTACAGAAATTCTTCTTATTTATGTCTATAATACCGAAGAACAATATAATATATATTAACTATAATACAAAATTGAATATGTTCATTGTTATTTGTTTGATAAGAACCGATATCTTTAGTTTATGATAAAAGTATTTCAGGTAAGTATACACTTGCACTACGCAACATTATGACAACCTCCCCGTCCCAATATCTATAAGTGGAAGTTACGTCACTTCGACAACTGAATAATGGATAATGTTGACATTACCCTGGGGCAAAAATCGTCCAGCCTCATATCATAATAAAATTCTGAATTCTACCACTACCATGATCAATTTTAAAATCGTACGGCTGTCAGAGAAAAAAATATTTAGCCTCTCGGCACTCTTCGGCTTTCATCAAGACCGTTCTATCGTTCCACGAAAATCTTCGTCATAGTTTTTGTTAACAGTAACGCAGTATACATCAAGGTTTATAGATAATATTATCTATAAATCTTGTGTATACGTGACAATAACAAAAAATTGTCTATTTTGCAATGTATAAATTATTGAATATAATATTCTTAAAATAGATTGGAAATGACTATACAGTATACAGTATATACCTCTTTTTTCTTTACAATTGTAAGGTGAGGCTGAGCCTTACCTGTCTTCCCTGACAAGTCACCACTGATACGTCAATGACCCAAATCGTATTTGTTTGTTACATTCCTACCACACATAGAAAAACAAAATTTTGTATTAATTGTATTATTTATTCATATGTATATATATACGAAGTATACATATGTATATATTAAATCAAAAAGTTCCAAAAAATTGTATTGCATTTTTTTATGCACACAATTTAAACGGTTTAGCTGTAAAAATTATTTTACGCTGGCAAAAAATACTCGTAATACACGAGTAGATCTAGTTAAAAATTACATTTTTACCATAAAAAGAACGCGTGTACAATGTTAGTTTTAATTTTTCCATGTACTATCATACCACTAAATAATATCATGAGAAAAAAAGTAACTTCATATTAAATATATACTAACATAATCAAGTTAGGTATGAAGATACTTTTTTCCAGGAGCAACTATAATAACTAGTTACGTCTTTATTCGAATGACTCGTAGTTATTAACTTATTTTTACAAAAAAAAAAAGTAGAGGATGGTAACATATTTAACTATACTCAATTACTAAAATTGAATAACTTTCTGTGCACTTTTGTTCGATTTCTATTGCGGTACATACTTATTGCTGTTACGTGTGTTTCAGCTTACCAGTGTTCGCCGATCGGCGCTAGAGCCATGCGGACAGAGACCGTACCGTTTATTTTCGGCATCACACTGGCAGCAGTGGCCGTGCTCACGGTTGGCGGCTACGCGGTTTTCAGACATTTCAAAATCAAGAAAGTCCAGTACGATACCATGGAATAAGCGCGGTCCGCCGGCACATAATATCATATAGAGGAATCATAATATTATTATTCAGTAGACGTCAAAAGCAAAAAAAAAAAAAAAAGACTTCCGGTTTTTTGTATTATTAATTACGATAATATATTACCAAAAATACCAAACCACAGCAATAATCACGCATACACGGAGTATTTGCATTATTATTATTATTATTATTTTATGTAGCAACGTTAAATATAGTTTAAACGTAACCATTAATATTATATAAACAATTAGGAGGTATTCATTAGCCACGTAATATAGGACCTTATTAAGGTAAGTAAAACTTAATAAGGAATTATCGTCATTATCGTCGTATTTTGATAGGAGACACATTTTGTGTAGTTTCTATTCACCACCTCCCTGACCCATCATTTCACTTTTTAAGACAATTATTCTTTCATTCGTGCGACCGATAGGTACCTATGTTTAAAACGAGTTGGATTTGTTTTACACAATAATGATCACAATAGTAACAATAATGTAGCGAATATTATGTTCAATGATTAGCCTAGCCTAACCAAGCTTAATCTAAGCACATTGATATTTTCATTGTTTTAATATTATTCGTTATCAAAACCGCGCTTCGATTAATATAGTTTATAGGTTTTTCTTAACTTTATACACTTTTACAATAATATTAGCGATTTTAATTAACGATTATTATTACGTCCTACAGTTAAATTTGTATCTGACCTTATATGATTTGCATGATTATTCATTAAGGATTTAATTTCGAATCTATAATTATATGTAGGTATATTTATTTTAACTATAAACCATCATGACTATAATAGGGCTGTGAATCAAATTCACTAAATAACCCTTAAAAAAATAAATTAAAATCGAAAAATTAGATTCCTCCAAGTCTAAAAAAAAAACAATTGCAAGTTAAAAAAAATCATTGAGGAGCAGAGTTTTGTTACTATACTCGAAATTTCTCCTTAGCTATTTTTTTTTTTTCTATTGAAATATTCTTCGTAAAACACTAAATTACCGTTTATTATAATATTACAATAATATACTACAGTAGGTGAACTAAATTCAACGTTCAAATGGTGAGAATGGGTGTTAAAAGTTGATATCTTCAACAGTCATATAATTGACATCAATGCAAAATATATTGGGTTCGCGGATATTTTTTTTTTTTTGAGATTAAATTGCTTATTTGCAGGATTAAATTTTTTTTTTTTTTAAGGTTTTTAAACGCATTATATTCACAGCCCTAATCGTGTCTATATTAAGATAATAATTATTATAATTATAATTATAATTTCATACCATAATATATGTACCGTTATAAAGACCGTGTGACCTTAGAAAATTTAACTACCCAGAAATTACGTATTAATACATAATTTCTTTAAATTTTATTTTTTTTTTTATAATAACTTAATCAAATTCATCGTTACTATACTGGTATTTTCATGATTATGTGGATTACTCGGACTTATATAAATTAAAATTATTATTAGCATAAGTTTTTCTTGATTTTAATTGTATATTTCTTATTAAATATTATATTATATTATTATAAAATAAATCATTATTATACTAGACTGAAATTAGTGCAGCATATAGTCTCATTTTACAAATAATTATTCCACAAAAATCGTGTAGGTATAATAATATTAAGAAGATAGGTATTTTGTAGTAACGGTTTTTCGCTCATGATAATATTATACAGAAAACAGACATATTATTCAAATCAGTCGAGATAATGTCGAATAGCTTATGAAATGTTTCCACTATCTTGCAGTATTTTCCACGCGGCGCGGCGTTACGTTTTACTGTTTAAAACGGTCTCTTTGGTTATAATATTGTAACCATTTCGAGACACTATCGTGTACTCAATTTAATAGCAAACCTAATAATATGAGATACTGCACATTCGTATGTATGATATTATGACTACTAAATTTGTTGCTGTTCGACATTATTCTCCGCGGGGACGTTTTCGGGAAGTTGGAATAAATTAGAAATTGTCTTCAAATGTTATTCGGTATTGAACGCAACAAAATATCATTTCATTTATTTCTAGATTAGTATCGGCATTTCTATTATTGTTATTTAGTATTAAGTCGTGCGTATAGGTAGGACCGATTGACGAATATGTCGGTTCTAACAATTCGTATATCGTAAGGAAATCATATTATTCAATATTGATGAACACAAATATGGATTATAATTTGTATAGGTATAAATATAGTATTTATTATTAATACTTTAATTATTTAATTACATAATTTAATAATTCTAGAATAAAGAAAAAAACAAAAAAAAAACAAGATTTGCGTTTGTTATAAGGACCATCATTAGTATATTATTATTATTATTATTATTATTATTATTATTATTAATATTATTATTATTATAATTATTATTATTATTATAATTATTATTATTATTATAGTTGTATAGGAGAGCTATGCGTTCTATATAATAATTTTCTTTCATAAATAGTGTCGATAGAATATAATTTATTATTCTAGACTCTATTCGAATCAATTTTGTTCTTATAGAATATAATACATGTAGATATTAATGATAAGTAATATTATAATGTGTATCATACAGTAATAATTATTTAGGTATTAAATATACAGCATTGACATAGCTATGGGATACCCCTTCAATTTATTAAACATAATTTTTAAATAAATTATGTTTATTATAATTATAAATAAGCAATATTGTTATCGTAATAATAATAATAATCTTTTATGTTTCTTCGTGGTATACGTGGTTTATTTCCATTGGTTGAGCAAGTAGATAGTATATTTTTGAACGTACCTAATTGAAGAAATGAACGTTTACAGGCATTAAACTTTAAGTTAATTTAATTTTTTGATCTTCCCTCACCTCCACTAAAAAAATCTGGCTACGTCACCGGTAATATAATCTAATATTAATACTTAAGTATTTATGAATTATATTTATAAATGTGGATCGTTTATCATTGTTTAACGTCAATATTAGATGTCAATATTCAACTTATAGTATCATCTGAATCCAGTAAACATATCATTTGATGATTAGCTTTTAAAAAAATTAAAAATGGTGTTTTAATAGTTTCTATCATGGGATTTCGTTACTAAAACAAGTTAAAAGAGTGTACTGGGTAAGGGAATAACTGTACATATCAGCACATCGATATGACATTTCGGCAGTAAAACAAAACCATATCGGTATTGTATTTACATTTTTTATAAATATAACATACAAAAAAAATTACGGAATGTATGTAACATAGTTTACATGGGTAGGTATATCATCTATAAACGAGAGATTATTATTTCATTTATTCAAGTGCACTCATAGAAACAAATTTGCATGTAAATTACAAATATACTTAATAAAAAAAAAATAGATTACAGTAGGTATACCAAAATCACAGAAGGAAAATTCATAATCGCGTGAGTTAAACAATTGTAGATGAACCATACATATGGATTCAAGGTTAGCGAGACGTCCTTTGGTGGACGGAATTTGGGGGAATTTCTAAAGAAGTTAAAAAAAAAAGTTAAAAAAAGAATCTGAAAAAGAACAGAGGAATAGATATGGTGTGATGGACCACTCTTAAAACCAGTATTCTTGTTTTTTATTATTCAAAACGAGAAGGATAATTTATTTGGTTTGCGTTTAGAAAAATAACATAGGTTAGCCAAAGATTTGTTTTTATAATAATACCTCGGTAGGTAAATAATTTTACGTTTACAGCTATTCAAATTTTGATTTATATATATATATATATATATATATATATATAAATATATGTTTTTTTATTTATTATGTGGTGAAATTAATTTGATGGTATAAAATCGGATTTAAGTTTCGTAAGTGACATTATATTATTAAAAAATGTTTACATTTATAATAATATTTTAATATGACGTGTACCATAACTCAAATAACAACACGAGTTATTTAAAATTTCCTATAATATTTCTTTGGTTTTTTAATTTTCCGTCGCTTGTTGATAGATGTAAATTATAATAAGGTACAAGTTGAGTAGATTTTAGATTCTGAGCGGAGCGATAAATGTATTTTATTTTAATATATAATCAATCTCGTAATAACTAATAATATATAAATATTCGAACAGTTTTACAAAAGTGCTGTATAGACTCTTGTTTACATAGATTACATTTCTACGTGAATTTTGCTTTTTTAAAATAAATAATAAGTATATGGTTTTACGTTTAATGGTTATCGTACCTATATTAGAATAATTATATTTTACTGTGCACTGGCATATAAAAAAAAAAAAAAACTATTGTAATTATTATTATCGCTATCTGTTTTCGATTATTTAGTAAATATATAATTTTTTAAATGTATTCGATGTGCAATCACTGAATACATAATAATACATATTTAATATTGTATTGATAACAATTATTATAATAATATAAATTTATTATTGTAAACGTATGCATATCGACGTGCGTCTTCCATCACAAATTTTAAGTTTTTTAATATTATATTTACGTTTATATTTGTATTTGTTTTTTTTTTTTTTATTGTGAATTGTAATTTGAATATTATATTCGATTGTCAGTGCGTGTTTCTACATCGTTTTTACAACAAAAATAAGATCAGAATATAATAACCTATTATAAGATATTATAGATCGGAATTATATGTATACATATATTACTTATATTTACCTATTTATTTATAATATCAAAACGCATATTTATTATTATAATATGCTATTAATTACAATATTTATAGTGTATTTAGTGTATTTATAATAAAATCGTAGTCAGCTTAGTTTAATATAATATTAATGTCGAGATTACTGTATAATTATTATGTGTGTACGTGTAGGTCGGCAATTTTTACTTAGCTAATAATCCATTCGCCTAGTATACTATTTACTAGGTAGGCACCTATTATTATTATATTATTTGTATACATTTTAATATTATTAACTATTATTATTATAATTACTATTAGAAGATTTTATATCCGCTATTATTACTGCTCTTTATTTTTCCTAATAATTGTCGTGTTCTTTATTCAAAATATAATAGAGCTTTGCATGGTGTCACGTGACGAGTTCCACGAAATAAAAAATCGAAAGATACATTGTTAAAATAATATTCAAATATTTAACGTCGGTCTTTTTAAAATAATACATTTTGTGTGTATAAATATATTCATCTTAAAAGAATACATCATGCAATTTTATACGTTAAAATATATATTATATTATATGACACAACATAAATTTATTATTACTATTATTGTTTATTCTCATTTCATTAAACATAATAATCTCGTAGGTATGAAATCTTCTTTGAAAGGGACAAATTATATTTTAGTTGCTCGCGAATTACGCACTAAATTTATAGTATTATTATTATTATTATTGTTGTTGACACAAACTATTATAACTGTAATAATAAATTGCACGTTAATAAAATTCCGTTTTAATAATTATTTCAGTTCGTTAAAATATTATTGTACATGATTATGGTTTTATTTTTGTATTTAAAAATCGTGTATTTCGTCTTTTTTGGTTTTTCCCAATTATTATGAAAAAACACTTTATATATCAAAAAAAGTGGCTACTTGTTAAAAGGAACAAAATCAATCACTTGTAAATTTAGGTTGAACGCTACGTTGCCGTAAATATTAATCAATTTTAAATTTTTGTTTTTTCCAATTATTAAGAAAACTACCTTAGAAATCGTTAAACTACTGTCTCTGTCAATACTAAAACATAAGGAACAAAATCAAAATCTTATCACTTTTGGATGGGAGCAACATTTTTGGTAGAAAACATCCTAAACAAAAATTAAAAACAATGGAAACGGTAACGCCGTGGCGCACCGTAAATATTTGCCGTTTTACCTATAATTTTCTTTCGGTTTTTCCCCATTATTTCGAAAACCTTTTGGAAATTTAGAAAAATGACCCCCTCGATGCATCAACTAGAGATAAATTAATTTTCAGAAAAGATGCTATAGCCTATCATTCTGGGACATTTTTTCTGGTTAAGAAGTTTAAAAAAATATAGAAAAAAAAAATACACGAACATCATAAGAAAGCCAATAAATTCCTAGCTACGCTCCGAATCTTATAAGAGCTGATACCAGTGGCAGTTATAGGCTGGAGATAGGTGGATCACCTCCCTCTTGGTCCGTTGTTTGTTTAAATTAAAGAATTGAATGAGTACCTATAAACATAACAAACAAATAATATACTATATAAAAATTAATTGTATTTCTCGCTTTTTTGGATTTTCCCTATTATTCTTATTAAAACAACTTTGAAAATCAAACCTGACTTCATGAAATATTAAAAACCGTGTAAAAGTAATTTTCGTTACGTACCTACACGGCTACACCTCTGTTATCGCAATAGCTACCCCGCGCACCGTTGACTATAGGTAACAACCGCATGTTTAACGAAAACATCTTTTCTTGTATTTGAGTTATTTTTAAGAAAGCTAAAAGTTATATTAAAGTTCTTATCAAACATCAAAAAAAAAAAAAATAATAATAATAATAAAATTAACATTGTTTAATAATTCGAAGACAATTTCTTTTATGTGTATGCCCCTTTAAGTATGTAGTAATACAGAAAATAAGGAAAAAATGAAATAACCATAAATATTATACATTATACATAACTTTAGTGTCACGCATGTGCCTCTTGGCCTCTATTGTGCATCGATAACTACGTGTACCTACCGACGGTGTCGCCTTTGGCCGTTCACACGCGTTTTGCGTTTGTCATTCATCGTCCTAGACCGTTCCGCCGCCACCACTTACTTATAGTGGCCACCACGTGCGTGTTTATTATTATTGTCACTGCCCGCATAATCCATTTCGAGAGCATCCATCTATCGACGTCCAGCAGGTTGCCAACTGATGCTACTACCACTCCATCAACCAGGTTTACGGTTAGTCAGAATACCGCTTTTTTAATTTGTACCCCCTAGTTATGAGTAAATTCCCTGTATTTTTTTAATAATAAGCACCCTCTCCCTTATTTTTCCATTTTTGTAGTTTTTTAAGTTTTCTTTTTATCTCAACACACAAATGTTTACGATCATTGCATAAATTCTAACCACGTTTTTTTTTTTTGGTCACCTAATACATCCGTTCTTTCCACCAGCAATAACCCGGTCAGCCAGTAGCCCGTGACATTCACTCCTCTGGGCTGGCTACCAAACAAATACTTTTAACTCGTAATAACTGGTACCACAGGTATGTGACAATGTGTGTGGTAAGATTTTTATAATAAATTAATTTCATTAATTTTTCCAACTATTGGTCACAATAAAAATCATTTTACCAATGACTTACTATCATCATTATCATAGTTTTATAAAAATAAATTATTAATAGTGTTGATTTTTTGTTGGGTTGTAATCTAATAATAAAACATGTATTTTCTGGTATTTATGAAATATGCAGTATAATCTTTCCATAATGATTGTAATAATTATAATTAATAATAGTGACATACTTCTCACGTGGTTGAGCCATTATTGTAGGTGAGAAGCTGGGAAAGTAGTAGAAAGGAAATTTAATGTATATCTGCTAACAACGATAAAGCATTTCTAAAGAAAATCTATTCTGATTAGAGTTCAGTTGATAGTGTTGCTTTATCATGTTATGGTAAAATAAGTACATAGGCACTATACATTTTTTTTAATAATATTTATTTAAAATTTTACCTTTAGTTCCCGTTTTTCCAATTTGTTGGCAAAATCGAAAAATAGCCTCCTTAAAGTACCTCTCCAGACTGATTTTCTTCAACGTCAACTAATTACTTAATACACTCATCAGTTAATTAGTTATAAATTATCTAATAAATTTACAAAACAAGCATTTTATAAACATCATTGATGCACTAACCAAGGGATCACATTTTAGGGATGGATAATTTTTTTTTAGGGAGGGGGGTTTTTATAATGATAATTTTGACTGAAATTTTAAAAATTTTAACATAGATTAATATTAAAAAAATAGTATACTTCATATTATACTTGTATTCTACTCATTTACAATTATTTATAAATTATACATTTTTCGTTGTTCAGATACCATGAAGTATGAACAATAAAACAATAAATTGAGGAAATTGACAGTAATTAAATACCTTATACCCGGGATTCATACTAGTGAAAAACATTTTGAATGCCATATTTGTTAAAAATTATTTAGAAATAAAAGTAATGGTATCACATAAACTGATTCATACCGTTAAGAAAACGTATGCATGCAATTTTTGTAATAAATAATTTAGAACCAATAGTGATCGAATGAAACATATACGAATTCATTCTAGTGAAAATATTCATTTTGGTAATTGGTATTATTATTTTTACGTTTGAATGGTTTTATAATCGTTCAATCAGCAAATAGCTATTTAATTATCTGAATATTTATGTTTACGGCAATTAAAAACAAAAAGTGAGAAATATTTATTATGGAATCAAAATATTAAGAGTTCTTCAACAAATTCAAAGTGAGTAAATATAAGAATTATAAATGTAAATAGATAAGTAACAATAAAATATTAATGTCTATGTACCTACTTAGGTACTATAAATATTATTTACACTGTTTTTAAATGATAAAATAGTACTATATTTTTTATAAATTTAATTACATAATACACTCTTTAGTAGGAAGTTTTTAAATTACGTAATAAATTTACAAAATGAAGAATTTATAAACAACTTTGTCACATAAACCAAAATATTTCACATTATAGTGATGGATAAATCTTTTTCAAACTTTATTATGGTAATTTTTACTAAAATTTTAATTAAAAATGGCCTTGGCCCACAGCATAGAAGTAAATAATTACAAATAATATAAGTTCAGTAGAAGTAAGATACTGAGTAACGATACTAAACATTCACTTGATAATGTATGGACTGTCCTAAATTGTTGGTGTAGGAATGAATATATTTTGAAAACATCATTTTTTACCAATATATTTCTAAATAATTTAGTTACAAATAATATTAAGACTAATTAATTAAACAATTTCTATTCAAAAATAATGTGATAAATGTAATGTAAAAATTTGTTAAAATAATTAATATACATTACATATTTTCTTTAAGGATCACCAGATAACTGTCTTGGAGCTTATGTACTATGTGTGTAATCATTAAAGCATATTAGCATTATTAGCATGAAAAGTATATAAGCATTATAAGTATTAAACATATATAAGCAATATAAACATATAAACATATAAACATTATATGCATATAAGCATTAAAAGCATATAAGCATTATAAGCATATAAGCATTATAGGCATATAAGCAATATAAGCATATAAACATATAATCATTATATGCATATAAGCATTATAAGTATTAAAAGCATATAAGCATTATAAGCATATAAGTATTAAAAGCATATAAGCATTATAAGCATATAAGCATTCTGTGAGCTCGGCGCCTCTATTAAAATCAAGATCTACGATTGATTTATTACAACAAATCGAGGGTTATTATCAATTAAAACAGTCAGAGCCAGCGCAGCAAACGAGTGACCCCGCCAGGTCTCTAGGTGAACCTAAAATGCTTTTTCACTTTTCCCTATTACCTACCCGACGTGGTTTTGCACAACAGGGTTATTTTCAGGATAGGACATACACATAATTGCTAATAAAAAGTTGTCCACAGGAAAAAAAAACACTGCAAAACCATAAGCTTCTTCGCTCCACTTAGAATTTAAAAAGCAAACAAAACATAATATTATGTTTAGACACTGAGCAATATTTTAGCCGCAAATAAAAACTTTGTTTCGAACTTGGTGTAATGATTATTAAAAAATTGATTAAATCACCACGCTACTTTTATTTAGAGACATAACCTTCAACTTTTTAAGTAATTTAATTAACATAAAGTTTAGTGCGGCACCAGTATCCAACTTAATTTTTCTTTCAATACCAATAAATTTGATATTCTCAATTCATAATTTTTATTTAAAATTAATGACTCAGTTAATTTAATGATTAATATTCTATTACAATCAATAGATGATCATCCATTTAATCAAGTTTGTAAAGGGACAATATAATTATTCAAGCACTTATCACTCAAGCAATTAGTAAGTATAATTAAGATAATTAAATAACTATATGCAGATTGATCGATTATAACACTATTTCTTAAATGTAATAATAATACCAATAAAAAAAAAAAAAATCTAGTAGATGGAATTTAAGTAGCAATTTGTTTTTATTATTATCTTATTTAGTGTTAAAAATTGTAAATTATGTTCGATATATCAATATATATATATATATATATATATTTTTTTTTTATCATTATTATTATTCATATAATAATTTTGTTGTGTCACAAATAAATTTGAGCAACTACTTTTATAATTTATTTGCGAGGTTTGTTCTTAAACTGAACCTTCCCCAGTTCCCCATCGCGCGAGAACCACGCGGCCGCACATAAGCATTGCGTACACAAGCTCAGCACCTGTATTAAAATCAAACACTGAGAATGGTTTACTTGAATATACCGCCAAATATTTTATGTAAAATACAATATAGTACATATAAGAATTATTTGAATGAAATTTATATTGCTTAAAAATAACCCTCGATTTGTGTGTAAAACCACGTCGAGTAAGTAATAGGGAAAAGTGAAAAAGCATTTTTGGATACACCTAAAGACATGGTTGTTTTAATCGAAAATAATCTTCGATTTGTTGTAATAAACCAATTGTAGAGCTTGATTTTAATAGAGGTTCCGAGTTCACGGTATGCTTATATGCTTATAATACATGTATGCTTATAATGCTTATATGCTTATAATACATATATGCTTATAATGCTTATATGCTTATAATGCTTATATGCTTATAATGCATGTATGCTTATAATGCTTATATGCTTATAATACATATATGTTTATAATGCTTATATGCTTATAATGCTTATATGCAAATAATGCTGATATAATAATAATGCTTATATGCGTATAATGCATATATGCTAATAATGCTTTTATGCCTTTAATGCTTATATGCTTTTATGCCTTTAGTGCTTGTATGCTTCAATGCATATATGCTAATAATGATTATATGCTTATAATGCTTGTATGCTTAAATGCTTATATGCATAGTACACGAGCTCCGCGACGGTGCGCCGACTATTCTTAAAGAAAATTTATAATGAATATTAATTATTTTACCGTAATATGATGTATACTCGTATATCGTTGACAGAGCAATACTATCAACTGAACTTTGCTCTGAATTGTTTTTTCGTTAACAATGGTTAATCGTTATATAAATATTATACACATTAAATTACCTATAATAGTGGCTTCACCCGTTCCCATTATCTCAGGACAACTTTCTTGTATTGAAATTTGGTTAAGTATATTCGTAAACTTGAAATTTTGTCAGAAAATGTATACTAGATTTTCACAGAAATGTAAAATTGCTTTCCTTATTTTTTTCCTTGTATGTATTTAACGATTTCCATAGTTGCACAGTCACACAAATCAAAGTCACTCAACGGGAATTAAAGAATTAGGTACTAACCTAATCGTACCTAATATCATTGATTATTAATACTATTAGTAGTAGTATAAGTATTTATAATCAATGCTAATGTGTATTAATTAATAACTAATTATGTGTCGTTACCAAATCTTTAATAATTTTGATCGTATGTTTTTCCCAAATAATTATTTTTGTTGTTTTATGGGTTATGATTGACAGAATAATACAAATGACAACAATTAGAAAATAAATTATATTTATAAATAAAAAAGAAGTATCTAACTGTTTGTAACTTTTTTACATATTATAATTAGTCATAATTTAATAAAATAATGATGATATTCTTATATGGGGATTTATATTCAGGGATTCTTTTTTTCGGAGAATTTTATTTTGATTACCGTATTGACTGGATACATTATTTGGTTAATATTTTTACGATTAAATTGTATTATCGTTGAAAAAATTATTTTTTTGTCTGAAATACTGTTCGGCCAACATAGTTTTCTACTTAAATTCTGTGCCTCAAAAACATTTTTAGATTTTGAGTAAAGTATTGGTTTTACGATGTTTTTTTTTCTATGAAAAACTTTTCTACCAACAATTATGCTCGAATTTACAATGATAGCACATTTTCTAAAAGGAAATCGAACTAGATGGGTACTATTGGGAGATAATTTCTATGGAGGCCAACTTCCCACCTATAACAGTGGCTGAACCCATCCTCATTATCCGAAGATAGCTAATTTTTTTCCATTTCATTTTTTGGTTAAAATACAGTTATATTGATGTGTTTATTTTTTCTACTTTTTTACGCAATTTATTTTTTGTTCGTAATGATTTATCGTTGTGCATAGTGTGTTCGTGCCAATAGTGCTCAACCGCTCGTCGCGTCGGTCGAGCGAGCAGTATTAACCGCGGTTTTATTTGAAGCTTCCCCGCGTGCCGTCTATGTACTATTGTATATTTCACGGTTACGGCAACGGAACTGGTGCCCGATCAATGCACGCACTCACACAATCACACACGTACACATTTATTAGACAAGGTAAATTTAAATAATTATTATCAAGCAGGGTACCTATTACGTAATCGGACTCTAAGCACTCGGCCGTCGTGTTTTTTTTTTTTTGCACCGTCCATTGTGAAAAGTACCTCAAGACAAGTATATGTGAAAGTAATATTGTATTTATAACGAAAGTTTTAGCGTGATATCCAGAATTTTGTATAATTGCTTTTATCGGTCTAGAAAAGCCAGCTACTGTTATCTATATCACATTGTTGAATTATTGTTCCTATATTATTGTTTTTCGTATGTTGTATTTTTGTCGAAGATTTTTGTATTTTAGATTATAGGTATTATATGTAGAACTATAACTTTTATAATTCTGGTTCAATCCGTCATCAGTTATGGAATACCTTTTTGTTGAAGTGCTTATGATACACATATAAATAAATTAAAAGTTACAATGAATTCTCTTTAAAGATTAAAATTTTTCAAACCTAGTCGATGCCCAAAAATTATATTTTTAATCAATACTGTTTATCTAATTTGGATAATTTGAATTATAACAAATGATGAAAATGTATGTTTAATTATAAGGAATTAATTAATTACTCTTTGCACTTTTATGCTACCTACTAGATATAATAGTTTGAATGAAATTGTAACTAGTGTGAGAACTGAGATTAATAAGTTTTATCCAATATTTGTCTTCTGTACAATTTGTATGTGGTTTAAAATTAATTTATCTATTTTTGATAATAACTTTTTAAATTTTAAACATTACATTAATACAATAAAATTTTAAGATTTTGTTATTTAGTAATATTCTCATTTAAGTATATGTTATATATAATGAGACTATAGTTCATTGTCCATTAATTTTTAACTATATTTTTGTAATATTTTAATTATTATGTCATATATGAACCCTACTCACAACACAGCCACAGGCTTTAGTTAGTAGACCAACCATATAATAATGCATGTTATCTCATTTGTACAATTTTTTGTTGGTAAATAAATAATTTAATGATTTAAATTAAATTAAATTCTAAATAGTGTTTTATATTAATAATTTAAAAAATAATATCAAGTATCTACCTAAATAAGAGTTTATTAATGAAAAGGTGCTATAAGTAGTTTTTAAAAGTAACTAATATAAATATTATTTATACATATTTTATATTTAATGAATACATTGCATTCTTTCTTAACTTACTAGAATTAAAAGATTTAACTATAATTTTAATTATAAACAGTTAAATAAATTACCCTATTATATTATTATCATAATACATAATTTATAAACAATTGGTTATAATTATTGTTCATTCAAAAAGTTATCTACTATGGAATCATATTTAGAATTGGTGGTAGAGGTAGAGGCAGTGGCATAACTAGAACTTCTAATAGCCTAATCAAATTGGAGGCCAAGTGGAGAAAAAAAAAGTAATCAGCACATCTTGGGCACGAATTTGTTAACTAAATGTTATGGGCCCGTGGTTCTTTGCTCCTCATGCCATCCTATTATTACGCCACTGGGTAAAAGTAGATGTAGAGGTAGATGTAGAGGCAGAGGTAGAGGTAGAGGTAGATGTAGTGGTTGCAATATAAGGTAATAAGGTTGACATTTCTGGTACACTTCTAAGAACATGAACCTTAAAAGGTGGCAATTGGTCAGAAGTGATCCCTCTGAGAGACAAAGTTGATACTGAGTTGTTAATTCCATTATTATGTTTTCTATCAGAATCGCTGGGCAACACCGGATCATCAGAATCGCTGGGCAACACCGGATCATCAGAATCATCATCCATTGGTAGTTTAACTGGTAGCATTAACCGTTTTGCTGAATCCTGTAAATAATATGTACATATGTAATTGTTTTTCAACTATACAAAATAAATAATATAACAAAATAGGATTCCTGGGAGTTTAATCTCCCAATACACAGTTAAGTCTCTCCACCTAAAATCATGACTTTATCAAATAAATGCTCAATATAAAAAAAAATGTAAAATAAATATTTATAAGAAAAAATTAAAAATAAAATAATTCACTGACAATTATCATTTCTCGAGGTGGTGGCGTTACAAATAACATATCACCTATGATACGCCAATCAGTTGATATACAAAAAGAACGACAAAACGACTGAAATGTGTGCGTTTTATTGGTGACACAGTAGTTATCAATAAACATGCCATTCACTACAACCTGGACTATTCTGACCTGTCAGAATATAAAACAAATATTGAATAATTGAAACTCAACTGAATATGATGAAAACAGAATTAGTTTTGTTATATATACTTACATTTGCCAATGATAAATCTACCAAAAAAGAGCCAAAATCATGCCTTGTTGATGGTAGTGAACGAAACACATTTTTTATTTGTTTTTTGCCTACATGAACACGCTTTTGTTCCGTTGATATAGGAGTCCCATGTTTAAATAATGTACCATAGTTAATGGGTTCACCACAATTGTAACTTCAAAAATATAATATAAAAATTATTAAAATTATAATATAGGATAAGGGTGTTTGCATTCAGTTTATTGGAAAATATATATCACAGTTCTACTGACTTTTTGAAACTCCTTGAAAAAATGAGTTTAAAATATTATTATATTATACAAAAAGGTTTGAATAACGCACAAATATTAGTTTTTTTTAAAAAAAAAATATTCAAAAATGTTATTTTATAATTTATCTAATATAAAATTCATGAGTAGTAAAAGTTCAGAATTCTAAAAATGTAAATTAAAGTTAAATTCAAGATATCTACTATAAATGACAAAAATAAAAGAATTAAAGTAGCAAATATAATTAATTCTGTATACATACCCCAAATTATAGCTGCATATTGAAAATTGAGCATGTTCATCATACATTTCAGAAAGATGTATTCTAACCTTTTTATTATCATAGCTTTTAAAATAATTTCTTATGAATACATCTGCTTTATTCTCCATTGTGTCAGGTGATGTTAAATATGGGCTGTCCATGTCTTTTGACTTTTTCTCATTTGACATATTGGATTAAATGAGAGCCAGTTGAATATTATCCTGAATACAAATTTAATAGCAACTATTAAGATAAACTCCTTATCTTAAACCATGTTTATTAGTTTTTATTTTCCATAAATATGCACATTTTTTTAAAAGTATTAAAACTCAATATCAAGAAAAATTAATGAATAATAAGTACCTTAAAATGTACACTTCTAAATGGTATTTAGGGGAGGGGGTTCATAAGGCTACCTAGTGACTTTTAATAATATTTAGTAAGAAGAATATTAATAATTAATTATCTATTCATAAAAATATTTAATAGCCATATTATGTAAAATGTAAAGTTCTGAGAAAACAAATATGGTGTACGGTATTAGACTTATGTCTTAAAGGACAGCATGAATTTCAAATACTTGTTGAGTTTTATTTACATAGCCCCAACAATGTTTTTGTAAATAGCTCAATATTATGTTTGAAAATTTTTCAAACGATCAGTTTTAAAAATTATTTGAATACATTTTCATTCGAATCATTATGAAAAATTATTTTTTTGAATACTATATTATTTAAATAATGCTCAACTCTGGTATGTGGAATGTTTGTAATTTTAACGCAATTTTGGAAAATAAATTTTTGCTTTTTTATGGACAACACCATCATTAATGTTTTAAACAACGCATTTTTTTGGAGGAAGTTAAGGAACCGAGATTCGAGAAAATAAATATTAATACAGGTATGGCACAAGTCGTATAAGTAGTAACTGTGCGCTCGCCTATATATCAGTACGTGAGAGTAGTGTACTCTTAATAATAAATAATGTTTCCTCAATAATAGCATGATTGGGTTATAGTTATAACCCATAACGAGCAGTTGCTCGTCCAATGTCCGTGGAAGGTTTGAGAGTTGTGTGAGTACAAGACAGATAAAATGGAAATTTGATTGGATTACCTGCGTATTCTTGAGACAATGCAATGGCGTCAATGCGATACAAATATAAAAAATTAATTAACATACACTTTAAACCGATGTTTTGATAGCTTAGCTCTTTTGTTTAAATTAATAAGAAAATTCGACCGTATTAAAAACTAGCAGATAGTCGTCTGTAGCAATTAAGCAATAGATACGACCGCTATGCTGTCTGAGGTTATCAACTGATGTCCACATGAAATCGAAAAGTGATAAGCCACGCGTGTGTACTGTTTGTATACCAATGTAAACCTAGCAACGAAAGATCGCTCGGCTTGGCTAAAATATCTATGAAGATAGTTCCGCCATAGTTATCTACACAATTATCTTCTATACAAATTGATAATAAACTGGTTATTACCACATACTTTAAGTTGCATTCGCCAGAATAATAAGGAGTAATTTAATATCGATTAGCTATCAAATTTTAATTGTTTTTACCAAATACACGAAGTTTTACCTATTATTAAACTATAATATTTTTACGGGCTCTGTCCATTCACGTGCGTACATTTTTAAACACGAACTAATATCTCTACGCGATTAAATATGAAATCGGTCGATACATTAAGTGTACGCACGTTAGGGTTAACAATACGTGTGTGGCTATCCAATAACGTTCCCATGCAACAACGGACTGTACGTGTTGATGGGCCCAAGGGGAAATGTGTTCAGGTGTAGACAACGTGCCACTAGAAGACAACGATAGCGGCATCCACCACCACCACCTAGGCCCCAGCCAAAGCGACAGTCATATATAAGACGACCGGTAGAACCACAAAGCAAGTTCTGTCAGGTTCGGTCAGCGGAGAGTATGCCTACATCACCAACGACGCACATGAAGAATGATCTTCTGATAAATCCACCTAAGACATGACCCGGGTCTGGTATCACAACGGCACTACATATATTTATCAACTATTAATCGAGTTTTTGCATAATATTAATAGAAATTATTTGTATACTTAAAAATACTTGTTCATCTTCCAGTCGAAGATGTGTCAGAACGGCCATAACAATAGTGAGTCATACTATTTAGTTATAACTCTGTATAATACTCTGATTTTAATGCACTAAAAATCATCGACAAATTTATTTTAAAACGAAAATATCCTTCAAAAATTAAATACATTTTTTAAATTTATTATTTTATTGGGTACCTAATTTATAATATTTGTATTTTATTTAAAAAAAAAATAGAAACTTGAAAAATTTGACTTGTGATTAGCAACAATATTGTTGACTAAATGGTTGTATTTGACTGATTGACTTGAAAAACTGAAAAACATAGGTAATATTTTGAATTAGATAAATTTAAATTATAAAGTATTTTAGATTAAATACACCAAGTAAATTTAATCGATGGTCATATTATATACGTTATACTAAAAAAATGATTGAAAAATTCTAAAAAATGAAAAATGCAGTAAAATGCAGTAAAAGTCAAAATAAAAGTTAACCCTTTGAAGTGTCTGTTACATGAATTAAATTATGCACTTGAAAAACCATAATTAATAACAATCAAAAAAACATGCATTTTGAATTGAAAATTATTTCTACATACATATTTTTATAATTGATTTTTGAAAAACCTCAATTTTATCCAAATAAAACATTTGTGGGATTTATTCTTGGCCATCTTAATCAATTAAGTTGCTAGATTAAAAACCAATGTACCTAACAAAAATAAAGTTAGATGAATCTATTTGCTCATACAAGGCTAGAAATCATTTCAAACATACATCAGAAATTCTTGTACAATACACAAAGTATAAATTGAACACATAAATAATTAAATAAATCATTAATAAATACACTGCATTTCATCCATACGCTGAAATTATGGTTGCAGTATTTCGTCATATTTTACATATTTATAACTTTTACGTCCCTGGGGTGTCGCATTTGAAATTTGTACCATTATTAGGTCTATTGAATGGCAAATTTAGTATATAAATTCGACAGACATATATTTTTAAGATAAACGTGAACAATTTTATCAAAATACACTGTATTTCATATACCTATACACAGAAATCAGAGGTTGCAGTATCTTATATAGTAGAACTTACTTGTTGAATAAATGTCAAATGTATTATTTTTATATGTAAATTTATATTTCAGAAAGTAAGACCCTTCTACATCTACTTCTCTATGTACTACAATATCTGTCAGAATATTTGGTGTTTCAAATGCTTATTGTCATACGCAAAGTAAGTATGAATTTGTCAATTTAATTAATCTTGTGTTATAACAATAAACGTTAGGTTATGAGTGAATAAAAAGAGTTTTTTGTTTTGTATACTAAATATATAACACGTTAGATAGGTAGAGAAGTGACATCGAGTGTCCATAATCGTATTTATTATGTGTTCTATGTCAATCTTGAAAAAAATAAAATCTGTAAAAAAATTTTTAAAAAATAAAAACATGTTAAATTACCTCCGTATTATTCGGGTGTACGCAACATAATGGACATGACAGTAACAATTTTCTTATCAATCGTATACGAGCTAACAACAATGGAGCTATCTTCACAAACATCTTGCTGAAAAACGATTACTCTGTAGACGTGGCTGAGTTAGTTCATCCTTTAAACTAAGAACGCTTGTGTGACCAGTGTTTCCAAAATGAATTATTGAATAAAATGAATCTTGCATGTAAATCTCGTAAGACATTCAAAAATAATGCACGTCATATGACTACAAATTGCAATTCTCTGCTTCCTGTATATTACCTTTTATAAGAAATCATATATAATATTACAATCGACTATAAATCAATGATAAAGAGTATTCAATGTTTTGCGTAACTACAGACGTAGAGAACACAGTAAACGTTAAATCCGTGGTACAGAATATGTGATAAACGGAATATACTGATTTCTTAAGGTAGGTACACGTAGAAGGAATCCTCAAGGTTTGGACTGCGCAGTCCAATCCTTGAGGATTTTCTTCACGTGTGTAAGATTGGCCTTTAGGCCTATTTAAGCCTGCGCAGTCCGAAAATCCTTTGCGAAATTCAATAAGGAAAAACTTTATAGGCCAGACTGTACAGTTGAAATTCGCACGTTTTGAAGCTCTGTGTGATCTGCCTTGAAGATTACGAATATGAACATTCGCCATAGTAGGTGATTACAATACTTTATCTTAATAATGTACTTCAAAAAGTAACTTTTATTTTCATTTTCAAAGCTAAAAAAATAAAAATAAACACCGCCTTTATTTCAGTTACTTTTGCATAAGTTCTGAAACTGAGAATAGATAAATAAATATGATTAATAATTAATAATAATTATAGGTAATTTATTATTTATTATTTTAAAGTAACCAACTGGCATCTATATACCTAGCTACACTCATAGAATTTACCTACATTATAACATTGATTTTAACTACAAATTACATTTATGTATACAAAGGTACGCACATTATATTGCAATAGATCTACCAAGTGATAACCAAGTTCTTCCACAATTATACACAAATACTTATTGTAAAAATTATGTATTAAAACTTATTAAATATTTCATTTTATTTACATTCTGAGTGCGCTATCTGTAAACGTAAAAGAAGGATCGGGTTAGCATTATATATACGCCGCTAGAGGCCGCTGTATTAACATCAAAGACTAATGTATTATTTTCATAGGAGAGCATAATATTATATTTCAATAGGTACCTACAGCTTTTGTGAATCCAGAGCCCCGAGCTCCTAATAATGGAAAGTCCATCCGGGTGATTCTAGTAAGCATATGATATTGTTTCTTTAAGGTGGAAGAATTTATTTTATAGTTGAAAATGCCATTTTCCTTTTAAAAGGGAATCAGAACACTTTCACACCACCTAGTCTACCTGTCGTAAAAGACAACAACTAGGGTTGCGTCCGGTTGACAGCTGGTGTAAAATTTAATCGAACAGTATGAGGAGTCCTAAACAAGACTTTGGCAGACTGTCCCATATCAAATGTATGTGAGACCAACAAATCAATGAAGTTTTCATGGTACTTGATGTTTACAGATGTTATAGGTTTAATAGAAGAAAACCTGGAAGAAGTGAACAATAGACCTGTGACAATGACGGCTCATGGGGTTCATTGAAGGTAGTGCACAAATATTTCTCCCCTTTTCTACCAAAATTTACCACCCCTAATTTCTGTTAATTTAAATTCGATTTCTATGCATTCGTTGTATATTTGTACTTGTTAATATAAAAAAAAAATTTAATAGACCTAACCTAACAAATCTCACTTGTAAGAGAAAACGTTTAATGAACAAAGAAAAAAGAACGAGCATACAATTATTAATTATTATATCATGTTCCTATAATTTATGATAAAATTATAGTGATTATTATGTGCCGTAGCAGTCGGTCGACGATTACAAACGTAGACGATAAGACCGTTAAAATCTCGTAAATCGTAATAAAAATAGAATCTGGTTACAATCCGCTTGTGCCCGGCAACGTCGTGTAATTTGTGTCAAAAATGGGAAACTTAGTACTGTTGATTGGGGGGGCAACGAAATCACGCCCACCTATATATAGCGTGTACTTATTGTATAATAACATTTTTTTTTTTTTTGATACTATTTTCAAATAATACAGGTAGTAGGTATACCTACTATATTATGGTGGACGTATTACCTATTCAATTTGTATCTAATATTAATTCTTCAATACATTTCTTTCCTACAATTTGGTAGTCGGTGCACGTGCCCGTGCGCCCCATAGCACGAGCCACCACTGGCTTGAAGCATGAGGAATAGTACTTGATGAAAAGGGTCTACGGATAAATTAAAGTAAAACAGTGTATGAGTTTGAAGAAACCGGATAACTAACGGCAATCAGTGGCAATATAGGTGAAATAAAATATTTTAGGACATCTAGGATATTTTGTACAAAAGAACTGCGACTTTCACACAGAATTAAGTGTGATTGGATAAAGTGGAGAGAAGCGTCAGGTATTTATATGATAAGGGACTTCCAATGAGACTTATTTAAGTTAAGTTTTATCAAAGTGTGGCGAGACTAGCTTTCTGTATGATTCGGAGTGTTGAGTGATAGACAGAAAAATAAAATAGAGAATGAGAATGCTTAGGTGGATTAATGAAGTGTCGATAAAAGATAGGGTAAGGAATGAGTTCATAAGAGGTAGCTTAGGCATGTCAAATAGAATTTCTAAATATCTTCATTCTATTAATGCACTATTTTCATACTCAAACATATTAAAACAAATGTACTAATGCGTATTTAGTCAGGTTTAAATTGCAATACGGTCATCTGGCATAGAATAAATAATTGATTTTTCTGAACTGAGAAAAGTAATGGTTAATTTTCATTACAATTTGTATTCACTTTTTATTTGAATATTGTTATCAATATGAATTGTAAAATGGGCTTCCAAAATCACCTACAATTTTTAGCTTCACTCGAATACACGATTAGTATTATAATAAAAGCACTTTCTAGTCTAGTTAATTGTGTATATCTGTAATTGTATAATATGATCCAAGGGGATCATTATAATTCAATTAATATATAATATTATGAAAATATCCTACGTATTATGTTTGGATAGTGAACAGTGAACGCCTATTTACTATTTCATAACGGTTTTAAATTTGTAGGCATTATGTTTGCTACGAGAAATCTTGCTCAGTAAAATTTGCCAAGAAACATATTTTTTGTTGAATTCCAGATCTGATTCATAGGTAAAATATTCATTTTTTGTTTTTCTTTGTAGTTTTTTTTTATAATTAAGTAAAACCTAAAAAATATGTAGAAAGAACGGGAAAACATTTTGACAAAAAATTTAAAGTTGCCTTTTCTAGACGTGATAAAATGTTCCGATTTTCGAGCTATTTAAAGAAATGTTATGTTAACGGTGTTTTAGGTAGTTTTTATTTAGTAGGTAATGTGCAGATATCACTGTTTAATCAAACAAAAATGCTTGAAGAATTTACAAAAAGTTCTAAAAAAGAGAGTTTCAAGTAATACGTTTTTAAATTTCTAACCGAAAAAGACGATTATTTTTTTCATTTTAAATTTAGTTTAAGGGTATGTTTTTCGATATTTTTGTTTTTCTTTGTAATTATATTAATAATTAAGAAAAAACGTAAAATGAAAACTGAAAAATTTACTGCGTTATGATTTCATTATTTTAAATTTGAAAGTCTTATGTTTTTTACCATAAAGATTGTTCCAAAGAAAAACATCAAGATATCTTTTTTATTATATTCTTATTTTAGTTGGTTATCAGGAAAGCCGTTCTTTGATTTTGTTTGTACTTAGTTCTTTTAAAAAATTAAGCAAAACCGAAAAATACATAAAAAGAACTGGAAAACCTATGAAAATAATTTTCATTTTATTTTTAATTCTATCTTTTATGATGTAATTCTGTTTAAAATATTAAATATATATTTTATAATACAAGAGAGTTGATATTGCTGATGGATGCGTCACTATTATAGGTGGGAAGTTGGGAAGGATGCACATAGAGGGAAATTTAACTTATATCTGCAAGTAATGATAATCTATTGTTAAAGAAAAATGATTCTGAGCGAAATTCGTTTTCACATGCTTTGAAAGGCCGTAATATTTACGATTCTCATTAAAATTTGATATTGAAACCATTATACAACGAAATTAAATTATTATATAAACTTAAATATTTTTTTTGATTAATTATACTGAACTTTCTGTTGAATTTTCAAGCATTTCTGTTTGGCAAAATAATTATATCCACATATAGTACCTTCCAAATAAAAATTATGTAAACAAACTCTCAAAATTAAAATGTCAATAAATAACTAAAAAATCAAGTGTTTTTAAAATTTAACCATATTGAAATGACGGTTTTAAAAAGATTAAAATAATACAAAATTAAAAATAACAAAAAATAAATAAAAATGGTTGACAATGGTTATAACCTTATTTTTAATCTTTTTTAACCTAAAGACCGAGGTTTTCCTCACTATCCCGAATATTAATGAGAATTTCAAAATAATGACCTCTGTAAAGTACTAACCAGAGAACCTTTTAAAAAATGTGCTATACTTGATAATCGAAGTATGCTGTCTGATAAAAAAAGAGTTAACATAAAAAATAAATAAATAAATATCATTGTAAAACCAATACATTACTCGTTCTATTCAGAATTTGAAATTTAAAAAATAACAAAATAGACCAACATTTCCAACTAGATAACATTTCTGACGATGATAATAAAAGCAAGATTTCCGATAGATAAATCAACACACATTACAAATGCCCAGTGCTCACCTCATTTGTATGGGTTAGTTATGCATAAATTCCAAGTCTAATTTTTTTGAATTCTTAAGTGTAGTGAAGGACGATATTTAGAAAACTTAGATTTTCACAACATTTAAGACGTACTCTTTTTGATTCTAACTTTAGATTTTCAATTTAAAATGCACATTTTCAATCTGATGATTTTTCTAAAAATGTGGACGTATTATAATTGAAATCTCAACAAAAATTTCTGAATTATTGCGCTTTAGATTACAACCGTTTAATAAGATTGGTGTACAAGCAATTTCTTGTTTTGAATCGTGCAGTCATCGAAAAACTGGTTTTATTATTAATAACATGTATATTGTAAGCCCTATACATGCAGTTTAACAGATAATCACACAAATAACCATTTACATCTCACAAAAAGACCATGATAAAACAGAAAAAACGATCAAATATCGATTTCATAATATGTCAAAATTTTCAAAAAATCATATAATTGAACATTTGTATTAAAAAATACAGGTTCTAGTTTGAAAAACCGAATTTGGTATCGCCACGAAACACTCCTAAAATGTTCTAATAAATCTAAGTATTCTAAAATATCGTCTTTCACTATACTTAAAAATTCAAAAAATCGGAAGTTGAATATATACATAATTAACGCATACAAACTAGATAAGCATGATTAAACAATCACTGATTATATAAAAAATACACACCCATCATATTAAACCCTGTGTATTAATATTGATCACTAACAATACTCAGTTTATAAATGCAATAAAGTAAACGCACATAACATATTAAATACAAAACATTCTCAAAAATAATAATAAAACTGAGACATTGATATTGAAAGTATATTAAACGAGTCAAATAGTCTTTCGACTATTAATTGAAATACAATGTATCGCATCAACAGTTAATCGGAAAGAATAAGAGAACCACAACCGGTGCGGGGTCAGATATTTTTTACAGTAGGATAAGACGTTATATATAATACGAGTAAATATTATTATGCCCGCGCAGCTCTTCCCCCTAAATACGCCACTGATTACCTTATTAACTACATAGTTAAGTTATTAGCTTAAAAGATACACAATTAAATAGAAATGCAAGACCATTGATTTCTTATAAAACAATTTTTAAAAAGAACTTTATTATTGATAAATGTTATAAATTTAAAAACTTAAAATTACTACATTGTAAAATGAAAAATAAATATAAGAGATAATTCAATATAGGTATTGTACATATTCGTTCAAATAGTTAAATTAACAGATGAAAGTTAACGTACTGTTATTGAATACCTATCGTTTATCTTATGTGAACATAATAATATTTTATAATATACCTTACAACATAATTTATTTAAATAAAAAATTACAAACAAAATGATAATCTTAAAGACGAATTCCCTGGTTGCGAGAACGAACGAAGTTTAAAAGTTCATCGCTGTCTTCGCACACGAATGGTTTCAAATGATGGCATGCAACGTCGTGCCATTTTACTCCGTCTTGATAAAAGTTATTTAATACGGCTAAACATGATTCGTCGTTACCCTGAAAATAAACCGTTTTCAATAATCGTATAGGTTCGGTTATATAATACTTAAAACAAATACCGAACTTCAAAACTTGTACAACAACTCGCTCATTTTTACCTCTACACTTGTGAATATCACAAGTTCACACCATTATTACGTTCGAAGTTTATTAAATAAAATTTCTGAAAACATACTTGTGGTGCTTCTCTGTTGTCTGGTTGCGCTTGTCCAAATCCTCCGGTATGGCTCCAGTCGCCAGAATTACGTTGAGTGGTCGGTCCGATTTTCGCCCCCGATCCTGACCAAAACCATCCATTAACATTGGCGGGTACTAAATCGGGTCGGTCACATCCGTTGAAATTACATTTCCGTCCCGAGGTCCAAATGTATCTTATGTTTCCTTGAAATTAAATTTTGTTTAAATAAGTTCTGGAGATCCCACAAAATATAATATTGGGTACCATATTTGCGTGTAGGTTTTATTATTATTTTGGCCTACCTCTGGATATTCTTTGTTTGACGAATTCGTTTTCTTGCGGAGTTTCCAAACTCACCGCGTCCATGCAATGCCTCCGGCAAATGTTTCTAGCGTCCAACCAGTCAACTTCCAAGCTCTTAGTAGGCGCGTGTTCCCAACTGAAAAAATACGAATGCGTGACTCCACGTGCATCTCGATACGTGGCATGGCGAATTCCTAGGAGAATAATTAGGTTTTTTTTAGCAATAAACAAATTCTATATAATATTATTTTCACGTTTCATAAAATTCAATAAAAAAAAAACGTTGAAACTTACTACTAGAACAGCTACGCGGATCGGGCAACGCTAATCTCCTCTGCGCTACGACTAGTGTTAGTCCAAAAACAAATAGAAATATTTGTCTTATCATCTTAAGCTGTAAAATAATAACAATAACAACGTTAACATTAATATACAATGAAATATAACAATCGCCTAATGGGTAACAATTACCAAAGTGGTCAAATGCATTTCCTAAATCCAAATACGAATTTTGATATTTAAAGTATACATAATATTTCGTATTAGACCTATGAATTCGATATTTTATGCTCAACGTTTCAAACAAGCTAGGCACGCGTCAATACGCGCAAAAACAATATTTTACAGAGAATAATTTAATTTAAAACCTGTACAAGCCTTATATCCGTATAGAGCTGACTTGTTACAAAATAATACGGGTTTATGAAAAAATATATAAAATCGAATGTCTGTATAGCTCGTTTCTTTGTATAGTAGACTACGTGAAACGAATTTATAATTTTCCTAAATTAAATTATCTTTTTTCTATACAATTCTATTCGAATCCAATTGCAAATTATTAGATGTAGGTGTTACCAGGAACCGGCTATTATAATATTATTAGAGATTCTAATAATAGTACTTTGACAATCAATTTCGGTACTATTCTTACTCCGGTATACATTAATAATGAAATAATACGATTATCCACTGACAATATCACCCGAGATAAATAGATTAGATACATCTTTAAACTGAATTACAATATACAAAATAATAACATAGTAAAATGTACTTGGAAAAAAAATAAAAAGTACCCCGAGATATTTAATCCACAGAATATCGTTTTGAAAACATATGACACGGTAATGCAACGATCAAATGTACACACAATTGAATGCATTTATTATTATAATACTAGACTACTAGGTCACCATAAAATATATATAATGCACGTTCTAAAATTGTTCAAAGTAACTCAAAATTTCGTACAGGTAAGTTTTATTCGTGTAAAATCACGAATTGTTTTGTTCAAATCGTTTGTATAATACCGCATGCTAATATCCCGCTGCAATACAAATACGGGTGCTTACGTCATTTTTATTTTCCCGACTCGTTCGACGACAAAAGATCTTACCTAACATAACATAACTAAATCCCCTTACGTTTTCTATTTAAATTATTAACGATACATAGTTTTGAACTACACTTATAGTTCTTTTTCATTATTACTTTCTCGCTTACGTTCCAATAACCGAAAAAGTAAAAGCTGAATTTAATTCAATCATTATAAATGGATAATATTCAACTATATTAAAACAATTTACAATATATTACTAAACAACGGTGGTAATAATACAATTATTGTTGTTATCACTTTTGCGGTATTCAAATAAACATTATGAATACAGAATAATATATTTTAAAATAATTTGTTTTTTTTAAATTCTGAGCGGATCAAGGAATTTATTGGTTTTACAATGTCGTTTGTTTTCTCTTATTTTCTGTAAACAATTATTCTACTCGTAATTTTACACCGATTTACAATGGTAGTACTCTTTTGAAAGGAAATCTAATTGAGTTAGTACTTTAGGGTGGTCATTTTATGATTTTTTTCATGAGTTTTCCTAATAAATGGGAAAAACCGGTAAAAAAATAAAAAATTAATAAAGGCCGTAAAAAGTACAGCCTAATTTGTAAATATTACAAAGCAACACTATTAACCGAACTCCGCTCAGAATCGTCTTTCGTTATGAATGATTAATCGTTATTGTACGTTAAATATACCCTTCGCCTTCCTAATTTCTCACCTAAAACAGTGGCCAATCCATCGCTTTTTGTTTATTTTAATTTAAAATACTATATCATCTTTGACAACTTTGAAAATACGGAAGTAGAAATTAGAGTTTTATATTACTCAGTATATGTTATCGCGCCATTCACCTACCCACGTAATTCTTTTAAAATAAACAATGTACCCCAATTACTATTTTAATAATACTTAACGATACTATTGTATGAAATTAAAATTGGTTTATTATTTTCGTCTGATTTTTTTTTTTTTCATAAACTTCTAGCTGTTTTCACCAAAACAGTTATTGTAAAACGGAGAGATCAATTGGTCACACGACCGCATTTCTCTTCAATGGTCCTAATGATAATGATTTTTCGTAATTCCACCAACTAGAAATGTTAACTGTAGAAAAAAAAATATTTTTATTTAACTCAAACATTACACTGAATATGTATAGTAATTAAAATAATAATCATTGTAAGAATAGATAAGGTCAGGTTAGGTTTTAAACTGTACTAATTTTCAAATGTAGGGCATCAATGAATGAATAAAGCTTTAAGCCTAGATAATGCTTAAAAAATGAATAGAATTGTGACAATTGTCTCATTGTTCCGAATGAATTCCAAACTGCTATCTAGAGTTGAAAAATCTTATAAAAACAGCCTGCTTATCGTTTACCTACTGCCAATATATACTTTTTTCCTTTAATGTGTTCTCGCTGACGGCCAATCGATATTCTACGTTCTACTGAAGTCTTTAATAGCATACAACAGCCCTCTAAAGTAATTTAATGCAATTCCTGATGGCTAATTAAAGGTCCTATCGATAATATACAACAGCTCCTGAAACCTTGTTTCGAAAGACGAAAAAAATATCAAACCATGACTAATCGAAATACTGTAGGATACAAAATATTATAAGTATATATAAATATTTAAATAACCTAACCTAACCTAACCTCTCGTTATATTCTATTTGCAAACACAATGATTGTATTATAATTATGAAGTTTTTTTTTTTTAAAAATACCTATAGGTTAGTATACTCTTAAGGTACTCAAAATGCACGCCTAGAAAATTTTTAATTGTACGCAGCGAATTAACACATTGTAAAAACTAAGACAGGAGTCTGTCGTAGATGATGTAAAAAAAATAAATATATACAGGGTGATTCACTAATTAGTATTTGATTTTCAAATACTTAGATTCTAAACAACAATTAAGGAATATCCTGTGGTGATATTAACTTTGGTTTCTCAAACGAAAACTTATATTGAAAATTCCATAAATAGATGGAGTATATATGATGTAAACACTTTTGGTTTAAACCCATTAACGAGATATTTCATTTTTAAGTTTAGATCGGGGGAGAGTAATGGAGCACTAATAAAATGCTTTGTGCCATGCTGCCACGGTCACACAAATGATACTCCACTAACCTCCCCCTACCAATACTTAAAAGTGAATTATATCGTCAACGGGTTAACGGAAATAAAAATGTTAACACCAAAATTCTTTTAATCGTAATATTCCATATATGTATGAAATTTTTAATTTAGGTTCTCATTTGAAAAACCAAAAATTGGTATCGCCACAGGATACTCCTTAAATGGTGTAAAAAAAAACTTTATATTCAAAAATAGCGGTTTTAACTACACTTAAAAATTCTAAAAATCAGAATTTGAATACATGCAAAATATAACCAAAAAATTGTGGTTAACACGCTTAGTGACTAACCTGAGTTAATATTTTTAAATAATACGAATATATTATAAACATAGAATTTTTAATACTTTGAAAAATACAATTTGAAATGTTTAAATTATATTAAAATTATTTATAAAATAGTTTGCAGTACAGATAGTAATAATTGTATATTAATATATTATAGTTAAATGTAGAATATATTTTTAAAAACTACAGGGACTCTAAATTTAAGGAATATTTAAATTCACGTTGGATGAAAATATATTAACATTTAAAGAGCAAAATTATTTTCAGTGAAAACGTGTAAAATACAAAAATGTCTGTGGCAAAAGTGTTATATTGTGCACTAAATTATAGTATACAATATTTAATTTTGTAGTCTGGTGATTTTTCACACCAAAAAAGTTCAAAGAATGTTATTCGTATTTTTACTACCATGATTTTTTTTTTTTAAGTACGGAGAGTTTTAAAATACTCGAGTTAACGAATAAATGCTTACATATAAAAACAGAAAATAAAATAGGCGAATTTTTACGAACCAGCACGTTGTACAAAAAAAAAAAAAAGTTATACTATAACTAATACTTATATTGTGCGATGCACATATTTCTCGAGTTTGGATTTTTTAGCGAAGTATATTGTTAGTGTAATAAAAAAAAAAAAAACCCAAAAAGGCGTTTATTTTATAATTTAAGCTTAAAATATGAACAATTACTACGGGCAAAATAATGAAGATTAGAAAAACGAATTCACTACCGTCGTATGTACGTATAATGTTTAATGTACATACTGTAAATACATTTAAAATTGCATTCATTAAAACTTATCCTATTTCGGTACACCTAATAACAATTTCAAATTTCAAATTTTCGATTTGAACTTTTGGAATTTTCACGTCGGTATAATATTATAATAATACCCGCGTTTAAAACATTTTCAAGAACAAACTGATATTTTTAGCACACGGTAATTAATGTAAATTTTACATGAACACGTGAAAGCGTGTACAATTGTCACTTATTAAGTGATATAGGGATCTAATCTGATCCGAATCAAAATATCATATTTATTTTTAAAAAATGAACTGTTACAATTAGAATGTATATATATATGATATTGTAATACTAAGTTTAGATTTATTTTTTTTAATGACGCAAATCGGTTAGTAATATTATCTTATGCAATTTATCATTACAATTTTTTATCTATGCATATTTTATATGACTAGCCCAACGCACGATATTCAATCAATTCAATATTAATAGAACAAACAAGTAATAACGGCGTAACATGATCTTCATACATTCAAATTTAATTATCATCGTGTCCAGAAGTGGAACACACTCACTTCTCGCTGGGTGATAAGAAAAAAATAAAACGATCGAAAAATCAATTAGACAATGAATCCACTTAAAAACTGATTATTGCATGAATATAATGTAAGCTATGAACCACGGTCTAAAATGTAGTGTTATAACTATGTTTATAGATAGCACAACTCTATATCTACAGCAGTGGTTATAAATGATAACTTATCTATGACTACAGATTTCTATAAAATATTATTATTTATATGATTTAACAACAACAACTCGAAATGAGATCGAAATGTTAAGAGGCCCTACACCCAGGATCGGCTTGGAAAATATCGAGGCCGTGTGCAGTATTTTTTTGCGGGGGCCTCAACTTTTTTTTTTTTGCTTTCCATATTCCAATACCAAGTGTAGGTAAATCTTTATAACACAATTCTTCTTAGTTGCAATTAATTTTAATCTGTATTTTCCTAAATAATCATGTGCAATTTAATTACCATCTAGCTACAATATTGTCGTGACTGGACGCAAGACCTCGAAAAGCGCGGGGCTCTGTGCGTGTGCTACGCCTCTCCCTTAAATAACTGACAGCTATAATATTGATGTGTTAATTTTTTTAATTTCTTTTTGTTTTAAAAAGATTAAATAATTTATTATATTTTTAATTTTACGAACACCGAACTAAATAGTATCCGCATAATGAAATTATTATAAATAAATTTGCATGCTGTTATATTTTATTGGTCCCTTCGATTCAATCGATTATTAACGAAAAATATGCCAAAATGTCCTAACCCTGTTACACTTTGTGTTCGTAAATAATTATGTGAAAATAAATGCGAAAATTCAAAAAAAAAGCAAATCTAGAGTAAATAAACAAAACGAAATTGACTATTATAAATTGCAATGTCATTGAATTCGTTTTTATATAATGTGAAATATTATGTGTAACATTATCAATCTAACACACCAGACAAAAATAACAACAGCATTTGTTATTTAGTCCAAGCCTTGAAATAACAATAACCGTAGAAATATTTTTTACGAATCGTCTAAATTTGTTCATTATTTAATACATATTTTTTTCTAAATAAATCACATTATTATTCTTTCGTTCGGTAAATACATACATCCGGTTATTTGGTATAATATTTTTTAGAATCTAAAACCTAATATTTAATATCAAAATATATTGTTCGATAATCGAAGTAAAAAGTTTGTTGGTCTATTAATATATAATAAATATTATGTGTATATTCGAGTGTAAATTTCCTGTACTTGCTACAAAAGTTTGAACTTGGCTAGTGATTCACCATTTAGGTATACATTAAATAGCTACCTACCAACAAATACAAAAGCAAACAAAATTCCAGATTTCAACGCGATAATATTCGGCTCACTATACTCGTGCACAGACTCGCTTCCTAGTCTATAAATATATAGCTTCGTATCTTTGTTTTCACAGAAGAAGAGCTTAAGTCTAAGAGCTTAATTATATGTTTTATAATTTTCTCATGTAATTTTTTTTGCCAAGATTTTCCATAATTTTCCCATAATTTCTGTAATTTTCCGTCGTTTATTTTTTTGTAATTTTTATAAAATTAAATGAGTCTTTCTACCTCGAAATCAATAAAATAATATATGTATTGATAAGTATACCTAAGAAAGTATACATTTTGTTTTATTCATTTTGTCCGCATAGGTTAACAATGATGACGGTAGTAAACTCCGCAGTTCTATCGTCATTCAAATAAGACACTTTTACATACTACTACAGAATATTTGTCGGTTCGTCCGCAGCAGCTTCTAGGTATAATACAATATTACCGTTAACGTCGATTCACGTACAACGGTACAATTTCCCGCTGCACGAAAATCGACAAGTCAATATATCATTTTTGTAAAATATCGCGTTATTGTTTAGGTTTTTTTTTTTTTTTTTTTGCAAAATACGATAATTTTTTTTTCCATCGCAAATATAACGATACACAGCGATACAGAGCTCCGGGAAGTATAAAATGGGCGGGTTGGTATAAAGTCACCACGAAAAAAATGAACTAACGCACGCGTATAGGTACTACACGTGAATTCCTAACGGGCTCTCCTGATGGCTTACTGACACAGAAACTGTATAATTGGAATGTAACCAGTTAAAGACCGTGTGATGTCTCGTAGGTAGGTACATGTATAATAATAATATAGTCACTGTTATAGCACGAGTTGTACCTATATAATATAATAATTATATGCGGTGTGCCACAAACAACAATTTATTAGGTTACACATACGAGTATTAAAGATTATCGAGTTATCGTTAAACGTCTTTTTTTTTCTATTTACCTTCCTTACTTCCTTCTTTCCTAATACGTATAGACTGCGTCGTGTTCTTGAAAAAAAGTTGATCGTGAAAAGTATATGGGCAGGGTACCTATACATACTCGTTTCGTACGTAACAGTAAAATATAAGTACCTATAATAATACAATGGCCCCGAAAGATGATATTCTTTGTTGATTTCTCTTTGCGTCGATGTTCGAGACGTTGATTAGGAGGATATTATTGTATTATTATTATACACCTAAGGTATACTATACTAGGTATAGGTACTTTAAAAAACCAACAGAAATATTTACTCGTATACGCGTATTATATGTACGTATCAACCTATACGTTTCTCTTGAAAACGAATCGTAATGATAATATTATATTATATTTTGTAAGAGAAAATAATATTGTACGTATAATATGAATTTATACTCGACAAGTACACAGCGCCGCAGTTGAATATTATTTATTAGCGTGCGTTGAATGTTAAAAAAAAAAAAAAGCAATAACAATAACTTTCTAACGAGTCGGATGTATGAAAAATATATAGGTAGCTGCTATAGTAAGGGAAATAATAATTAATAAAAATACGATCACTTTTTGTGTTGATATTTGTTTTTTTTTTTTTTTTAATACCACGGCACGTCGTTTTAATGACCTTGGGACTAATTAAAAACAATTCGGCTAAAATCGGTTTTTTGCGTTTATGGTCTCGTCGTAAACGACGAGGTACTTTTCAACTATATTACACAACAAAAAAGGCCGATACTTTTGATGAGTGTTTGCCACTGTTTTAGGAGGGAAGACGAAAGGAAGGATGTATAGAGTAATCCAGTTCATACATGTTTGCAACGATAAACCATGGACAACGAAAAACGATTCTGAGTAGTCTATTATTAGTCGTGTTTTACACGTGTTGCTTAGGTAACCTAGAAATCAACAAATAATCTACAAACAATTTACATAGTTGTTTCATTTATTAAGAAAACTGTAAGGAAAATCAAAATAACGGTATCTCTATTCTACCAATATTAGATTACAAATACTACACGATAATTCCTATAAAGTTTTTGATTAGTGCAAGACATCTGATAAAAAAGTTGTTTACAGACACACAGAATATAGTAAAACTAACAAGTCATGCTTCCCTCAGAGTCTAAAAAAAGTCTACATGAAGTTTAAATAATAATTGGTCATCATGGTTAATCATCACGGAGCACATTAATTATTAACTGTATAATATTTTTGGCGGGTACCCACACTTGAATTTTCCACAATTTAATTTGTATTATGTTTGTGTTAATTTTGTTAGATTTCCGTTGTTCACAGGAATTTATACGACTATGGAAGACAGAATATTGATAATATTGCTAAGAAGCGGCTGAAAAAAGCGTCGAGAGCAACTTTTATTAGAGATGCCTAGTCGTTCCGGAACTCGGTTGGAATTGAATCGTCAGAACTTTGCATATAATCCGGAAATTGAAAACTTTATAAGGATAGATATAATATTTCCTATTAAATGAATGAACGGCATCTGTATATTTTAATGTTGTGGTGCCAATTTGTATTTTGTGTTCCGGGAAAAAAAAAGATAGTGTAACCAAAACATCAAAACAAAAACTCTTTATGATAAAACTATTTTCCTATTCGTACAGGTAAATAATAAATATATATATGATACTGAAAGACGCGAAAAATAAAATCTATTTGCTATTGCCAATATAAAAGACTATAAAGCACGGTCACTACTGAGATCGGTGCCACTGTTTTAATAATAATATATTTGACGAAATTTCGTTTGTCAGTTAACTCTACAATAGGTTTGTATATTTACTAAAACCCTAATAGAACGAATAAATTAGGTATATCAGACATTACTAACAACAGTTATTGAGAGTTGATGATTTCTCAGGTATCTACCTGCATATCGACGAAACGCTATTAAACCCAGTTAGTGGGATGATATTCCTGCTATTATTTGCTAATATACAAAAACTTTATTAAAAAAAAAATGATTTAACGTTTATCTTTCATTGCAGGCTCCGAACGATAGAAAAAAAAAACAATAAGACACTATATGTTATAATCTGTACATTGATTAATATTGTGAACTTTCGAATATGTGTACCTTATTTTAATTTTGTTTATTTCTACTTATATAATTATATTATAAAATTTACCTACCGTAATCGAGTGTCCAGAAATGCACGCAGAGTTTCTAACAATAGTTTGAAACTTTTTCCCCTCTCTTTAACCCTAAAATTAATGAAATTGTTTAATATTTAATACCTATGTTTTTAATTGTTCAATTATGTTCAATAGTGTCATATTTGTTACCAAGCTAAAAAATATATCACATATATTCGTGTGTATATTAAATATATACACGGGCGCCCGCAGGAAATTTATCAGGGAGGAGCGTAATAAAATCAAATACTAAAATGTGCTTGAAATAAAATTATAATAATAATGATTAAAATTTTTAATTCCGGGTTGAGGGCAGACGTTCCTCCCCTTGGGACGTCCATGTATATACATATAAATGAAAAATATTATTGTACAATTAAAATTGCACTCTTACATTATACTTCCAAAATGCAAATGAGGAAAACATGTTTGTATTAAATAAAATGTATTAATATTAAATCATTTAATACATATAAATGAAACAACGGTTCTGAAGGTTTGACCATTTTGTAATTTACATTTACTCATAGTGTTCTCGAAAATGGTGCGTTGATAATTCTAAAATGCAGGTTCCAAGTGTTGGTTAAAAATATCATAATGAAATATATTCGTAATTTGTACACAATAATATTAAATGTTGACAACATCAAACTTGGAGTTGAAAAATAAAACTTATACAGTTTACAAAGTTTATGGGGAGGAGAGTCGAATTTCTGTTTCATCGTGCGTCCGTGCACACATATTATTATAATTTATAAGTGTTAAGTTGTGGGTGTGTATTGTTTTCACCTAAGGTATAATGAGTTCCGTTTTTGAAATAAAACGTTCGGTCGTCAAAAATATTTAAAATAAAACGTGTTCGTTTCACCGGAATTAAATATCACAGTACCATTATCCATATATAGATCAATATGTCGGTCGTATAATATCCAATCGTACTAAGTTCGAGCTCTTCTACCGCCAACAATAATATTAAAAATACTAATTTCCACTTGTTATACATCATCAACCGAACTCTCTCCAGATATTCGTTGTCTTTCGTAATGCCGGCCTATCATTATTGCATATTTAAAAATTATTTTGTATTTTTAAAACGGCATGACACTACAGGTATTATTATAGATAGTTGCTATAGTTTCGAATAACGTAATCATACCACCGAAACAGTGACGTAGCCACTAGGAATTGCCCACTTAGGGTTTGGTATTGGAGAGGCTATATTCTCTGATAAATGTATTAGATGTATCCTTCTTGGAGTTCCTTTGGAAAAGATAGTAATTATATTAATTAGCATTTCTCCTTAAATCGTTTTCATACGGTCTGGTGGAAAAAACGTTCTTTCAGGATAATTGAAAACATAATTAACATTCCGATCGTAAAATAGTGTGCGTAATAGTATGCATAGTATAGTGTGGTATACACAAACGCAGTCCATGAAAAGGGGCTATAGCCCTTAGTCCCCCTGGCTATGCGTCGAATCCAAAATTATATACAATACAAGTATCGTTGATTATTCGATAAGAAATTAAATATGATTCATTTCACAAAAATATTTTAGATTCTGAGCGAAACGAGGAACGTTTTGGTTTTTCAGTGATGCTTTTTTTTTTTTTTTGTATACTTTTTCTACCGGCAATTTCGCTCGGATTTTCAATTATAACACTTTTCCAAAAGAAAATCTGACCGGTATGATACTTTAAAAATGGTATTTATTAATTTTCCCAGGAGTTTTCTTAATAAATTGGAAAAACTGACCGGGAAAAAACGTAGGCAAAATTTTTATTTAAATTTATTTAAATTATTTTTAAATCGTAAATATTGTGGTCTTTTGAAACATGTATACCGAACTCCAAATCGTTTTTCGTTAGCGAAGATTAATTATTACGTACAGATTTACATTAAATTCTCCTCTATATCTTACCTTCCCAACCTGTGCCCTACAACATTGGCCCACCCATCGTTCGAAGTGTGTCCGTATCTTTTCATTAATTTGTTTCAAAAAAGGTATCAAACATATAGACATAGTTGTCCATTTGACTAGACTTTACGTTACGCGATTTCAGAACGTTGACGATTCTTTATATAAGCAAATTATTAACAATAATATGTCCGGCGGACAATATTAAAACGATAGAAATTATACAACGATATAATAAGCCTATCTACGTATAGACTTCAATAATTTGCTCGTGCTGTTACTCATAAATATAATATACTCGAGGCTGTGCACGATAAGGTACCTGTTATTACCAATTATAGGTTATAGTATAATATCGGTTGTTCTCAACTCAGACGTCCGATGATGTATGGATAAACGATAATATATGTTCGTCCGTGCCCTTCACCGCTCTAAGAAAGCTATTATTGCGGCCGTACTCAGGCATTCCGACAAGTACACGCGAAGAATGAATACGGTATTACGATAAACCAATACACCGACGAAATTTCTCTCTGAATATTTGTTTTCAGCACCGTCCACCGTCTTTAGTGAATCAGCAGTCGCTGTCAAGAGGACGTGATAGCCGTATGTGACGGTAAAGCGAAGACATTATCTATGTATTTGTTCGTCGGTTTTTTTTTTCTTCGATATTTTAATGTTTAAGCGAGAATTTTTAAATCATAATATTTCACATTTTCACATTTTGCTTTAAAATTAAAATACCGAGAAAATCGAAAACCCTTCACGTAGCTGTACAGAAAAATAGTTTTAATCTTGATGTTTGATAATAGATCAATTCGTTCTGATATTAAAACAAACTGCACATAATTATATATAGAATTTTCATTGAAAAATCGTTATTCATTTATTGTAGAAATATTAAATTACGGGGAATCTGACCGGGTGGAACAAGTGTTAAAAATAATAGAAAAAAAAAAATATACACGCGTAACCTAAAGCGTTGTTTGCAAATACGGTCAATCGAATATTTAATTCATTATGATTAGAGATGGGCGTATTGCCACCCCGACATACTGTACCTTCAGTACTTAAGACAGTATCGAATATCGAAATCGAGACAATTTACGGTATCCATAATAATAATAAACACCGACGATTAATATTTCATGGTTAATCATTTGTATTTTGTTTTTGTTTTCAATCACGGAGAATCGGATGTCGTTATCGAATAACGCGTAATGAAACGAGTTAGCGAGTATAGAATTTTACGTTATTTTCGGTATCGCCATCTCTAGGTAAAACGATAGTAAGTGAAAAAGAAACGACGATACCGTGTGTGTGGAAATCTCGGTAAAACGCGTGGTTGGACGGCAAATAAAATTGAAAATAAAAACACCCGCAACAACGAACCGCGGTCAACACGATGACACGGGACACGGCGCGGCGACGCGGAGAAACCTTAAACCGAGCGAAAAGTGCCGTTCGAATCTGTCGAATGGCATCCAGCCGTTGTCCGGCATGAAATTAATACGTATTTTCGCGGAAACCTCGCGGTCAGGACGGGCGTACTCGAATAACAGCACGTTTGGTACGGTAACACGACCACGGGGGGGTTGGCCATAATTTTTTTAAATATTATTATAATAGTCGACCGATTTCTTTTTATAGCCGCGCATACACGCCTACGTCGGTGTCTAACGAAAATCCAACGTTCAGATTACGCACGATTACGCATAGTTTTTAAACGTGCCGGCATACGCGGGTACGCATAGTAAAATTATCGTTATACGGCCGTCATCGACACCGTACGCGACCGTAATAATAATAATTACAACTATATAGGCGCGATATTTTATGCAAAACTTTCTATTCGAATAAAGTTATTGTAAGACCGATATAATGATAATAATAATAATAATGGCCGGTGTCTAGTCTGATAAATATAGTTTTCACAGTTTCGCGATGCGATACCGCGCCGGGGAACTATAATAATGGTACAACGGCTGTATAGGTGGTATCGTAGGGTACGCGTTTTACCGATTTCTCTCCGCGGACCACGTGTATCGCGTTTCGAACAATGTTGCCGTCTGTGATTCGTAAACGTATACTTTTGCATGGAAATCGTAACTTCGTCGCGGCGACATCTCGTTATTACGTAAATTCTATACTATATATACCGAATAATATCTACGGTGTATTGCTGATACCGTGGAAAAAAAAAAAAACAATAATAATTAAAACGTACCTAAAATAACGACTTACTAATTTACATTTTCTCTAGTGACACACGGAGCAACGTTGGAACAATAACAATAATATGGACTCGCGAGTTTTCGCCGTAACTGGGCACCGTATCATTATAACTCTCGACGTTTTATTCGTTATTACACGAGATCTTATCGGTCGTATGTAAACGTGTTTAGACTAAATCGAAAAAAAGGCTGTTACCACTGATGGGTGTGCCGCCCATTTAGCAGGAACGGGAGAATATATAGTTTAGTGTGCGCAACGATCAACTGCAGCTAATGGAAAACGACTCTGAGTGAAGTATTATTAGTCATATTTTTTTCCTGGATGACAATGTAATCCGGAAATCGACGGAAATTATACACAAATCGTCAGTTTTTCCCAATTTATTGAGAAAACCACAAAATTGACCACCTCAACAAACTAAATAGATCAAAATTGATGCTAGAAGAAAGTCAGCATTTTTTTTTTTCATCCGTAAGTTTTTAATTGGAGTAAAACGAAAATTCGGAAAAAATAATATTATTTCATTCACACGATTATATACTTATATTAATTTTATTTGTATTAACAATATTTTTCATAATATATCCTTGATATTGTTCGAATCAAATCCGGGTTTCGGAATATTCATTCCGAACAATATGGTTTACTTTTCTGTGGACAAAAGAAACATTAAATAATTGTAACGAAACCAAATTATTTACTTAAATTAGTTATTTGTACTCCAACTAGATAACAATAATACTTCACTAGACCGTACCAACCTATTAATTTTGCAATCTTTTGTATTGAAAAATGATTTAATAATATTGAATTAGTCGGGTTCTATGTTCTATACATGCCGGTATATGTTCTTTATCATCAAAATAAATTAAATAAAACCAATGACTGATAATTTGATTGTGGTGTAACGATACATTACGAAACCGTGTTATTTGTATTAATACGAATAATATAATGAGACATTCTATGTGTTGATTATTGACGTAATAAAATAACGTGATATTACTATAATAAAATTGTTCAATATTTAACTTTGAAATAATAGCACAGATACGTATAACCACCAGATATAACGATAGATGTTATTTTGTTTACTGATTGTTTTTAGTGTGAAATATTGGGTCATCAATTTAAAAATAATGAATGAATTGGTATCAAAAAAAATTTTTAAAAAGACATCGTGTTCGAAATCACTGCGTTCGAAAAATATAATTCTTGTGCAAAATCAGAGGTGGATTTACAGGGAGGAGTCCAGAAATCTGGGTCTAGACCTCCTCCCCTAGACACCGAGATCATTTCAACAAAATGCTGTATAAAAAAGAGGCATTTATTAATAAATACTTTTAAAATACCTATGATTTTTCAATAAAAATGTTGATCATCCGCTACGGAACAAAACTCAACATTTTCTAGGATTTACCAATGGGAATTTATCGTAAAATGATTCTTCAAAACGACCACGTCTATGAATCATATATTATATTTGATAGAAAGCTGTTGAAAATTCCACGTCTACTGGAAAATATTACTATTGTTTTTCGAATCGCTAGGAAATATTAAGTGAAAAATACATTGTTGTAACGAACCGTAAATTTACAAACGTTTTCATAATTATTACTGTTTGATCGTTTTTTTTTTTTTTTCATGCGCTTGGCGCTGGGAAAATTGAAAGAATAATCTAACCTCGTTTTGCTCGGCATCTAAAAAGGTTATGCATAATATTATTATGGTCTAAGACCTATAAATAGGAAATCGAACCACAATAAGATGGGAAGAGTCCATTGTTCGAGTTTCCCAATGGTTGGAAAAAAAAAACTGCGATACTGCGATAAAATGTCGAATAACATTAAAAAAAGGAACAAAAAGAAGCGTTTAATTTTAAGTTGTGAACTCTTCTCGTAATAAAATAATTATTATTTCGTCGGATGTTCGAGTTCAATTAATAATACACACGGCCATTATCTTTTTGCAACTCCGTGGCTACCGAAAAAAGAGACGGCGATAATGATATCACGTGACGGAATCAGTGACCTAATAGTATTTTTTCGAACTGATTCTCGTATAAAACAAAATTAAAACACACAAAATATAGTTCGTGTAATATGACGCGATGAGTTATTATATGTCATTATAAAAATCGTATAGGTAGTCGTGTTATTGTTATTATTATTTTCCAACGGACAGTTAAATTAAATATAGTAATATTATACAAAAGTCAGGAAGTCAAGGAAGAAAATATTATTATGACTGTATATAATATATTCAACTGTACGCTCGCGTACGTACCGGTTCGTGTATGTAAGCAAAGGATTTAAGAATAAAAACAATGGAGAAACTAGAAATATAATTATGATATTTCTTTTACCGACATAATTATACACATTCAATCAGATGCGTTTCGAGAATTCTTTTACGGTTTTTTGTATAGTTTAATTATTTATTAATTCAACATATTTATAATAAAATGATTACGTTGCTGATAAAAAAAAAAAAAAAAAAAAAAAAACGAATTACAAGTAATACGTAAAATGCGATAGAAATTTAGTTTGAGTACACAATTCACAGTTCTGTTCGTTGGTTTTTATTCTACATACACATATTTATGCTATCTACAATTAATAAATTTGACAAACGATAATTCTTTAAATGTATAGATAAAACTTAGTACAGTAGCCTGTGCACGACCTGTATTTTTTTTACCATGCTTTACAAAAAAAAAGTGTCATAATTCGTTGTGGGATCCGATTTAGAACAATTCGTTTTCAGTTGGAAAGAGGAAATCTTTCCCACGGCATTGAACTTCAATTTTTGATTACGTAACCATAAACCAAGAGCTTAGCTCAGTGAAAAAAAAAAATGGTAATAATTTGTCTTAATCAAACTCTATAAATATAAAGTTTCGAAATTTTACTATTTATTTTTGAATGCTCTTTTTAAAAAGAAAAGTCATTCTTTTTATGACAAAATAAAAAAAAAAAACGATCGAAATTCGTTCACTCTACAAGGCGTGATACTTTTACCTGCTAAGCGTGTTTTTGAGTAAAAACAACTAGCGTGCAGGTCTCTATAAAAAAAAAAAAAAAATGTAGACAATTACGAGACATATGCGATTTTAGTTCAAAGGCATATGTATTATTGAATCTATTGGGTTATGGATTCATTTTGACGGGTTTTGGCGATAAACCTTCGTCAGAACATCGTATAATATTAAAATAATATTGGAATAGTATAGCGGATCAATGAAAGAACATAAAATAACAATAATAAAGGAACACACAAGAATATGGAATAAAACATAAAATACTTTCAGGTAATGTAAACAAACTAGAATATCACGCATAGAATCGTTTAATATTATATACTACGACAAATTTGCTATAGGGACTATCGAGGTTTTTTTTTTTTTTTTTTTATAATTTTTCGTCGAAATAAATTATTGAAATACATATTAAAAACGTTGTGTGAATACAAAAGTATTGTCAGTCGGAAAATCCTAATCTTTTAAGGCGTTTTAAACAATCGAAAAATATTTCTCCAAGAAGAACAAATTGTATAATAAAACACTGGCTATTTTAAATATTGTAATGAAACGCTTAAGGGTAGTGAGAAATTTTTTATCAACATATTATAAATTATATATTTATGCGAAATAATAATATTTGTTTTTCTGTTTTTGGGGTAGGTAGTTTGAAATGAATAATATTAAAAAAAAAAAAAAAAATGCTATGAAAAATTATGCGCCGTCGCTATACAAAACTAAAATGCATCGAATTCGAAAAAGCAATTCTATGAACACACAATTTTCAAAGACATAATATGATCACGAAATTGTATAGAATATCAATTTTAATAACGATTGATCACAGCCGGACGAAAAATCAATTGTAATATTACGCGTTTTTGGGATGCAATATAGCTTATACTAAAACAAACAATGAAATAACAAACTATAATGTTACCCATGGTTTGGAATTTCGTATTATATTTTTGCAAATTAATTTCGTCGAACGCCAATAAAAACGGGTAATTTCGAAATAGAAAAAATACTACATTCGGGTTAATAATAATTAATATTGTATAGAATTGGTACGTCGCTAACAAGTGCCGCTATGAAATTGCATATTTCCATATGAGTATAAGGGTAATATTATAGTATTTTTGGGTACAGCCGGGAATAATTATTTGTAAATACAATTTATTTCATGTATTTATGTATTTTCTTAAAACAAAAAAATAATAATAAAAGTTCTATTATCGTGATAAGGAACAGTGGGCAAACAGGAAAGAGGCGAAAGAAAATTGAATACAAATCTTAAAAAAATATTTCAAAACGTTTCTTCTTACCTAGAGATACAATACAAGGTGCACGCGGATCTTGACGGGAGACCGATTTATCGGGCCTAGAAGAATAAACCACACACTGCCTTGGGTTGCGTCTCGGCACGAATAACAGTTACGACTAAACTGGTCTACGGCATTCCTAGTGAGTTTATAGTCATCGTCCTACTTTTACCGCGATATTCCGAGCCCTCCACACCATCAAGACCTCCTCTCCGTCGGCGGCTTCGCATCGTAACCTACTTGAACAATTCTCTTCCTGCTGTGTAACTGTATCGCTACACAGTGCATTCGTTGTGGCTGCGGGCCCCTTCTCTTTTATGCGGGTACACGAAAATCACAAATACTTATAGGTATACCTATACCAGCCTCAGAATAATAATAATAATAATAATAATAACAATAACAATAATGATAATAAGACAATCGAATAAAACGAAATATATAAGTACAGATATAATGTCATAATATATAGAGTTTCTAAAACACTCGATCTTTTCGTCAATTATATAGGCAGGTAAGTATTTCGGTTAACATTTTATTTTAGAAAATACATCCTTCGGCGATATAAAAAAAAAAAAGACCTTACATGTCGTGCCTGTCCAACGCATCAAAACTATAGTGTTCGCTGTGTAAGAAAATTAATGATTTAAGGCGCAATTATAATATTATTATAGTACAAGATACAGAATACTGCAACATACAGATAATCTTAAAACAACTAATGCAGTTGACATAGATGTAAATGCCCAAATATTTTGGGAGGGAACTTTGCTGAGTTTTAGGTGACTAAGACTACGACCCTCCTCAAGTAACGTATTTGTCTTAATGGTGGTTAATCTCGTCTGGTTTTTGAGCTAGAGGAAAAAATAATAAATAAATATCGAAAAACGTTTCATAAAAAACTTTCAATCGTATTTTTCGGCCGTTTTTCATCACACACAGTTGCTTTTTGAGAATTAAATGGCTCGGAGAATTAAATATGTCGAAACATTGTAAAACGCTCGTAGAACTTTTTCATTCCGGGCCACAAATGTTAGTTATCAATCAAATATATTATTTTTAAAAGTGATAATAATAATCATTTATTTGTTTATTTTGACACATTTCCTGCCAAATATCAATTTCAAATAAAAAAAAAAGACGTTCTAGGATAATAAAGTCGGGCGCAGCCGCTGTAATTGGTAATTTAATGTATATCTGTAAGCAACTATGAACCTTTGCTTACAAAAAAAAAACGATTCTGATTGCAGTTCAGTTGATTGTGATGCTTTGTTGACAATATATATATCATATTATGGTAAAATAATTATGTAGGCATTATATATTTTTTTTGATAATATATGTTTAATATTGTACTGAATTTCTCGTTTTCCCTGCGTTTTTTCCGGTTTTTCACATTTGCTGGGAAAACTATTGGAAAAATCGAAAAATTACCCCATTAGTTACCATGGAGATTAAAATTATTTTTATAAAATAAGCTACAATTTATACATCGAAGCAAGATTTTTGGTGAAAAAGTTTGCACAACAAATTGAGGGGTGTATTGTGATTAAAATAACCCGAGTGAATGATGTCTTGGGTCTCTCTAGCTACACCCAAAATGCATTTGTTTTTTCCTTGTTTAGGTGAAAGGGAATAAAATCGCAAAAAGTTTTTTTTTTTTTTTTTTAAACACGGGCTTGAACTCGTGAACTCTATGATGAAAATAGGTATGTATTCAGCTAACTATTCAGCTATGAGAATCAGACTTTGGAAAAGATAATATTTAGTTAATTAATGTAACATATAATATCCGCTTAATATCAGAACTTTAAAAAAACATAATTTTAAAACTTAGTCAGTCCACTCAATTCTGACTTCACCATCGTTCTTAAATCGGCAATATATATAATACATATGTTCAAAAAAAAAAAAAAAAAAAAAAAAACTAAAAAATTACTCAACGATTTTCGTCAAAAATTGATATTAAAATTATTTATAAAAAAAAATAATACATCAAACTCAAATTTTCTTTTTTTGAAGACAAATTATGACTCTTAATGACCCTCCTGTTAAATTTTTAAGTATTTCTATTAAGTTTAAGAATTTTACCACAGAGTGCTTACCGAATAAAAATTACTTACAAAATTCGCAAAATTAAATAGCTCAAAAATGACTTATTTTCCTGTTATACCTACCCGATGTTGGTTTGCAAAAAAAAGTTCGGAACTCGGGTATAAACTTGTGACCTATGGCATTATATAAGGTAACTACCACCACTAGTCTACGACAGACATAATATAAAATTAACAATATTAATTATATTAAATTATATTATTTTTTATATTATTATGTTCAAAATTGCATTTTATTAGAAATTGAACGTTTCACACAAATATAAATTATAAAACTCTATGTATCTTTTCGTTTTCGTTTTTTTGTTAATATGATAAAAATGTACTAAACCATATGCATATGATTATGATCTAAACGTCATAATTCAACAAGTTTTAGACATTTATTCGAAAAACTATTTCTTTTTATTTTATACGAACTATATTATCACGATTCGCAATTATATATAATTACTATTTCGTTTAATGATGAATTAATAGGTAAGTTGGTATAATTTCGTTTGAGAAATTTAGTGTCGGTAACTGATTAACCTCTAGGTGATATATCCGTAACTGCTTGTGTAGTTTTCTTTTTTTGAAAATTAACTAATCAGTATAATATAATAACACGGTTACATTACCTAATTAATTCGTAAACGTGGTACTTCATTGTATCTTATCGGCGGTTTATATTCATTTAATATTGTTGTGTATCGCATACGAGTATCTATCTACAATAAGGTATTATCCATTCCAATATCATAACAACCTGCCTACCAATTATTACGCAAATACACGAAACTATTTCGTTAAAGACGATTTTTATAACAATTTGTTCAGTATGAATTTTACTACTTACTACTCACTATTTCAATAGGTACTGGAATAGTACGAATCATATTCAGATATTACGTTCGCGGATGACTCTTGTATACACCGGCGTTTTGTACGATAAAATATACAAAAACCCGACGACAAATAATAATTTAATGTGTATATATGTAAATCTATTATGAATATATAGTATAATACGTATACTAAAAAATATTGTATCTATAAGCATTCTTACTTAACTTCAAGATAAAATAAAGCACACATGTTTATGTTAGTGTAACTATTTATATTATATTGTAACGTACGTAGTCGAAGTGTGAAGGCCTTTAAAAGTAGGGCTCGGCTGATTTCAACAATGCAAAATACACTTTTTTTTTTGGCATACTATAGAACAATGCTTTCCATATTATTATTGTACGTCTATAAAATTCCGTTCACGTAACTGACAATTTAAAAGTGAAACTTTTAGGTATTTTACATTTTCGTTTTTATTTTATTTTGTTTATTTTTTTTAAGAACCTATTTTTGGCAAGACGTGCCTATACGCGTATTTTATTCATTTCACGATTTATATTTCAATAATAATTTGAAAAACGTTTTTTAAATAAACACTCGTAAATGCTATACATAAATTGTTGCTCAATTACTGATACGTTTTTTTCTGTATATTTGTGACGTTTCATGGTAACATGTTATAACAGATGATATCCACCTTTCTGTCTGTAACGCTGTTTCTCTTATACCCCTTTGAGGCATACATTAATTTTTTTGTTTGGAAAATATTAAAATTTAGTATACTCATATTACATGAAAAGGACGGACATACTTCGCAAGTATGTGCAGCCACTGTTGCAGGTGGGAAGTTGGGAAGATAGAATACAGACGGGTATTTAATGTAAGTCTGCAAGCAACGATAGATTACTAACGAAAAAAAGATTTTGAGCAAAGTTCGGTTAATAGTCAACAATATGTATGTCACATTATTATGGTAAAATGATTAGGTAAAACAATATGCGTTTCCATGAAACAATGATTGTTTAAAAGATTATTAAAATTGAATTATTATTAATAAAACTTAATAAAAACAAAAACAATTTTAAACGGTCACTAATGACAACCTTATTAATCTTTGAATCTTTTTTAACCTACAGAACCAGGTTTTCCTTATTATATCGAATATAAATGAGAATTTCAAAATATGATTTCTTTAAAGTACCACCCAGGGAACATTTCATTTCAGAAAAGGTGCTATACTTGATAATCGGAATAATCTTTCTGTTAGAAAAAGTGTTCACATAAAAAAAAAAAAAAAACCTCTTTGTAAAACCAATACATTCTTTGCTGAACTCAGAATCTAAAAATGAAAGCAATTTTCGCTTTAATATCACAAAGGATACTTCGAACGTAAACAATGGCATTTAGATTGAAATTAGTGTTTAGAAAAAATCATATAAAGGAGAATATTTTCGAGGAGTATACATAGATTTGTTATAAAATATATTCTAAAACATGACAAATTATTGTCACACAAAAAAGTTACAGCTTTTTTGTTTTACTTTTTTTAAACAGTTTTAACAGCTTTAAATTTTGTTACAAATTGTTAATTTTTATCAAACTTCAATTCCAATTTCAAGACTGTACAATTTATATTCTAAGTAACCTATTTTTGATGCATAGTACGTTAGTAAAACGAAGATAACACACGCGAGTATGAAATCTTTAATAGAAACTATATAAATGCATATCAAGAGTATACTGTTTGGTCCCAAGAAAAATGGGCTCAACAAATTATTAATTAGAAAAAATTATAATGCAATTGTGGAAAATTAAAAATAAAATTGCAAAACAAATTTATGTTTTAAAAAAAACTAACCCAAGCCTTTCTTCCTTATTGAGACCAAAGTATCGATAGTCGCAGTCAACTTTTATTAGATGAATGCGATTGACACGCAATTAATTATTGTCAATTGATCGTTTACATTTCTGTTTATCTATAAATCAGTACTCAGTTGTTGTATGTAATAATGATCGTTTCAATTTTAGCAACGAAATTAAACTTTGATTAAAACATTTGGTTTCATTAAAACTCGCTGGCGTGTAATTATTGGTAAAAAAAAAATTTCACCACAAGCATTTAGATTTACTATCTATTTTAAAAATTTAAGTGGCCGTTATAACCAGGCATGACGGACACACCACTAGCGTAAGACAAAACGCTCAATATAATATTGTAATCATATAATATTAATCGTATTTCATTTTATTTTGTGAATAATGAAAAAGAAATCCAAGTGGCGAGTAAATGATGATTTATTCCAACTGGTGGTTTTGTGTAATTTCGACATATTATAGATTTTCCAGATTTACTATATAGCAGTCGTAGAGGTTGGTTAGGTTACAATATTGTAATGTGTTATAAAATTATAATTATGTATGCAATTTAATGTAATTTAATGTGTACGTAAATTCAATATCATTCGATATTTTTCTTTTAAAATTAGTTTTAAGTAGGTACGCATGAATGAAATATTTTTTTTTTTTACAACCAAACCTTATATCAAACGCGAATTTTCAAACAAATAATATTAAATTAATGAAAATGTATGATTTATGATTAGAATTTTTCCTTAGAAATGTTTATTATTTTATAATAATTTTGTATTGAACTAATACTGAACTTTCAATTTGTTTTCATACTAAACTTTCAGTTATAATGCCTATAACTAGTGCTTGAATCGTGGAGAAGGGACGCTGAAAGACGGATTACCTATCGCTTTCGCTTTTTTTTTATTTTTATTATTTCATAGATTTAGCGTAGACATCACTTAATTTAATTAACCCTGCAGGAACGCTAGGAACGGTTTTGTTGGAAGCGTCCGTCTTTTGTTCAGCACAACTGTTTATTATTATTGTTATTCAAACCTAAAATTCGGTTATTGATCTGAATCAGGAGAAAAAAAATACTGACAAAAATTAATCTAAATTTCTATTTTTATTTCAATTTATAATTTAAGTGTTTATGAAAATTAGTATTTAATTTTTTCTGATTAACATAAGATAGATTTAAATTTATTTATAAAATAATTATTTCATTAAATTTGGATTTTTCAGTATTTTTTTTTTTTCATTTTTGGTTTACAAAAGTAATGATAAATTCCATATATATATATATATATATGTATGTAAATACTTATTCATAATATCAACTTCATATTTATTTTAAAATTCATAAATTCAAATTCAAAAAAAAAAAAAACAAACAAACAAAAATCTTATAATATCAATTAGTAATTTTTTTTTTTCATAAATATATAATTTAATTCCAAAAGAGTAATATTGTTATAAATTTTTATAATAATGATTTTCTATAACTCGTAAATCATAAATTTAATAGGTAACAAAATCGTATTAAAACACAAACAAATCTTTTACAATATAATATATAAGTCTAAAATATTTTATATTTCCTAACCTATAGTCTTTTTATTCTGATGATGTTCTTAATAAAATGTAATATTAACATTATTGGGTATACGTAAAACTACCAAAACAAAAAATGCTTAAACAAGTAAATACTATAATATAGATACAACGTTCATCGCTATTAAATATCCAAAACTATAAGCTGCAAACAAAATATACAAGTAAGTTAACAGTTATAATAGTAAAATGATTTCGTTTGATATTTTCGATAAAACTGCAGTCCAAGCGGCCTCGTCACTAACAAATCATTTGTTTTTTCTGTCTGTTTCGCGTGTGAACTAAAAAATTCCACATTTCCGTGATTGCAACTTTCCGGCTGAGTTCAGGGCAAAGGGACCAATTATATATCTGAAGAGTATGTAATTCAGATCCGATTTAATAAAAAAAAAAAAAAAAACATTTTCATTTCATAATAAGTTGTAACGGTTAAAAGCAAGAGAATTCTAGTTAAATTTAAAAAAAAAACGCGTTTTTTGATAAAGAAAAAAAAAAGCGATTGAACAAATCATTTGCAGGATCCGTAATAAATACTCTTTTTTTTTTATAAAACGAGTGTTGCAATCGTGAAAATGTCGAATGTCTTATTGTTGCTGTCACGTACGAGACAGATGGAAAATGAGATTATTATCAATATTAATAAAACTAGTATTTAAGAAAATCGTTTGTGCTATATATATATTATATTTTTTTTTTCTTAGTCTCTTAATTATCATGGAAACTATAGCATAACATACACATCTATCAAAACCTTGCATTAACATATTAACGTAATTCAGCCATTAATATAGGTGCACAGTGTCAGTTGCGATAGTTGCATCGTGACGATGGAATAGGTCGTTTAAAGCACATTGTTAGCGCGAAATATTACGTTATTAAATAAACATTACCAGTATTTAACTCACGACGGGATTAAATGATTTTCGATCGCCGTGTCAGGATGAACAAGAAGTTGTACAGCGTAAAGACATACGTTGTAGGTATTTGATTTGTACGATTATTGGCACGTTTATTACAGTCCTTTGGCATGGTCGGTGGCGCAGATGAGGTGATAATATTATAGCAACAAGTATAAGTATACCCAAATGAAATACTGTTTTGCGTTCGGCTACACTTGTTTGTGAACTCATTGCATTTGGATATTTTAACAGTCGGAGGTTTTTTTGTTTTTTTTTGTTTTATATGTATATATATACAGAGAATCCGATAGCGGAGAACCGCGGGCGCATAAACAACAATATATTATCTAGATACAATAACATAATAAAATGTTTTTGATTATTATAGTTTCAAAAATATAAATCACGCGGATCGGTGGTTTTAATTTTACACAATTATCGCATTATAGCATTATACCCATCGTATACGGTTACAGTATTGTACGATCTTTCACCGATGACGCTCGTTCGCCCGCGATTGGGTTTTTCGGTATTCGCGCAGGGGCGATAAATGGGGAGGGGGAACTGCAGCCGATGTTCCGGTGTGTCTCGGTCGTATATAGGTACGCGCGGACAACGTGGGTACAATGACGAATTGCCGAGGATCCGGTGTTATCGTGGTAACAATAACAAACATTATAGGTACCTTAAACATAAATACATCATCGGGTTTGTCATTTACACCCCGTCGTCGATGACGTATGTGTATAACAACGTGCGATGTTATTCCGGGTGCGGCGTCGGTGTATGCGGGTGTACTCTCCGACGCGATAGTGACACTCTGACGCGGTTCCAAATACATAATGTTATAATTAGTTCTATATGCAAATAAAATATCATATGAATGATAACACATTAATATAATACTAATAATAATAATAATAATAATAATGATAATAATAATAATAATAATATGATATTGATATGTACACAAATATTAATATGACAAATTATAATAATTCAAACGTTATAATAATATTCAATCATATTCATATAATCTGTACCTATACGTCCGAAATTTAACGAGTCACGCGGGTTTTTTTATTTTTTTTTTTTTTTTTTTTTTTTTGTTGAAACCACCAACGCCGGATATTATCCGAACGGACGTACGTACGAGTTGATTGGTCTAACATTACAATAATAATAACGAGGGGGGGGGGAGGTATGAGTGGTACAATTAGAGTAGTAAAACCGATACGATACGTTCGTACAGTGTTAAATAATAATAGGAATAGATACGCTGCGGCACGTCAACGAGTGGCATCACAATACGCATCTAAGTTTAACAATAAAGTAAGTGGGTGCACGTTAATAATAATCGAATATTATTTTCGAAAAACCGAAGAACGACCGCGGTGACGCCAACATGGCGCTACGAACAAAATATAATAATATAATACAATATAGGCTCACGGATATTAACAAGTACAATGAAACGACTAGATAAGGCCGGCACCATACACAGGGCATTTCTGAAATGAACAAGGACACTAGTATAAGCGCACTCACTGGGATGGCTTAATAATGATTTTTTTGTAATTTTTTTCCTATCTTCGAAACCTGGGATTATTTTTTTTTAAGTCATCAGTGAAACATTGCCCGCGATCTAAAAATAATACTCGAATGATATCCCTTGCGAAATTCTCATACTAATCAATGTGTCGCGTCGTTTTTGCGTTTGTCGCGCGTTGTTCACGCTCGAGTCGCCAGGAATTTTAATCTGCGACTTGGCAGTCGTCATAATATTATACCAAGGGAGCGAATCTGACGATTTGGCCTGTGAAATATTTGCTTATACCGCGAATTGTACAAGAAGGAATACCGTTGGGATACATTGACTTCTGTACTCCGACCCTCGAATTTCCATTACCACGAGAGTTGAATATTTATGTTAAATTTAGTCACGATGAACCAACCCCTTCCCGTACCGAACGTGAATGGAAAAAAATCCAGATCGGCAAATCTTGTTCATGTTTGCGTTTAATTCGAAAAAAATAAATAATAATAATAATAAAACAATTCGCAAGAACATATTTACAATAAATGTATAAATAAACGTTGAATTGCTTATACGCAGTTCCTGAATAATATAACATGGGTAATTTTTCATGGAAAATGTTTCATTTATCTGGGGAAAAATTGATTTTGTTTACGGTAACGTAAATATTCGATAATTTCGTAAATAATACGACAAAAGTTTTCATATAAAAACAAATTTAAATTTAATTTCCGGCAAACAATACATTCAAGATCAATTGCGTTACACACGACCGTTTACCATTGAAATTGGAAAACATTACGAGAAAAATATTTCTCGGGTTAACCGACGCAATAGTATACCTAACCTTCTCGGTGTGTACGGCCGCCGAACGGACTCGTGAGGTAGGTATTTGAATACTTTGAGAATTTCGAAAATTGTTTTTCTAACATTTAAAAAAAAAAAATTCAAGTGCGTTGTGCCGGCGTTCCCTGCGGTTACGGCCACGCGGTAAACGGTTCAGGACTGTGCAATAGAAAATAAAAACCGGACATTTCAAAAATATTGTCTGTACTCGAATATGTTATATTCGGCTGTTTTTAATATGTGTTTTTATTTGTTTTTTTTTTGTTTTTTGTGTTTTATATTGTTTTATATTATTATCTACTATATTACCGTTGTGTGCAATACAAGCTGCGCTACTTTCGCGTATCTCCCATTTCCATTTCGATACGAAATATTATCACGATAAAATACGTAACACATGTACGTATAGGTGGTGCGAGGAGGTAAAAGCGAAACGATTGTACGGCTAATGTGCGCAGGAGAAACCAACCGCAATAGTCGCGGCGGCAAATTCGTAATGCGGATGTTTAAAGACGCGAGACTGCACGGCGGTGCGACGATTGTCGCGGCAGTTTGACGAGAAGAAAGCCTATTTTGACGGTAACATAATAATATGTGATTTAACATTTTTTTTTTTTTTTCTATCTATATAGACGACTCCCGGTGGAGAGCGTTCAACAATTCCCGGGACGATATCGGCTTGGGCTCGTCGATTATCGTCTTGGTGTTCGCGCGGTTGTATTTGTCGGTCAATACCACCGCGGTCGTCGCCGTCGACGGCGGCGTCCCGACGGTGACGGTTGTCGACACCGCGGCGGCCGCGGACCTCGGGTGATGGATCGTCGCGTTGCCCGGTCGCTGGTGCGGTTGCTGCCGGCGCGACGGCCACGGATGACTGCCGGCGGCCGGCTCGTTGAAATTCGTTTGTTGCGCCTGCAGTCGTTTCCGCTGCGGCTGTAGCCAGTTCGGTCCGTTCGGTTTGTCCGTGTACACACCTGTTCATGAGTGGGGAAAAAAATAAAAAAATTCGTGTTTGAAAACGCGTATAAATATAGTACACAGATACGGGAAATAAAAATCAACACATTTTTTAATAAATTCTACCGCGCGGGCGTCCCACCGTCGCAGGGGCGGTCAAACGGGGGAGTAGGGGGGGGATCGAGAGAGATATATCCTCCTCCTCGTTTTTTTTTTTTTTTTGCAAGCGTGTATAGTGTGAAAGACGATATGGTGTCTCCGAATACCCAGATTTTCCGCGGCAATTAAGGCGTATCCTGTGATAACTGCGGCTTTGGTTTTCCAAACGAGAACCTACATATGGTTTAGTGCAAATTATCAATCGGACGGTTTTTCCGAAATTGGTAAGGAATTTGTTATCGAAATTTGAACGAAAAATGTCAGAGTTATATTGTGCTTTACACACCAAGGGATAATATAATGGCACGATTCAATACAACAGGTTATCTACACACGCGAAACAGCTACAGGTATCCAATCCCCATAAAAAGCTATTATCCTATTGTTTCTTGCGATAACTACTAGATCCGTGCTTCCTGTAATTGGTTTTTTTTTTTTTTTTTTTTAAACTAAATATGGAAAATAAAAATTTTTACAAAAACCGTTTACACAAAATATATTACGAAACAAAATTTTGGTGTTAAATCTTATTTACATAAAACGAATCGTTAATTATCTACAGTTTGTCGATAATTCTACAGTGAACGATAATATTTAAATCGTGGCTTTCATTGTCACTGCTAAAATAATACCAATCGATTCCCCCACTATGTCCGTGAAAAATGATTTTTGAAAATTTCAGGTGTCAATTCTTCGCGTTACATCCAGTATGTACAGACTACAAGAGCGATCATTTTTGTGTGGCCGGAGTCAATGAAAAACATAGTAACCGGTCCGCGAATAATTATATTCCGAGACGAATAAAGGGGTACCCCCACCAGACGAAAATGTTGGGCTCGCGCTACGGTTTTAAAAACATGTACTAGGGAATCGCTCGTGTGATATTAAAAAAAAATGATAATAATAATAATAATAATGATAATAACAGCATATCTGACGAAACGAAAAAACGGATTACCGATGATCGTCCGTCGGGACGACTGGCGAAATAAAGGATTTTTGAACCGTCGCCGTATACAAAACGGTTGTGAAACGATCCCGCGACCGATATGTCCGAGGGCGTAAAAATAATCGTACGCTTTTCGGACGAGGTTTTATTTAAAATTTTTTTTTTTGAAATATACACTCTCCTTTATAAACCATACTCGACGTACGCAATACAAACGTTTCGACGGAATAAAATATTAATCGCGAAAAAAAAAAAAATACCGATAATAATACAATAATAAAATAAAAAAATATCATATCGCGTTGGACGTGCTGCAGTGCACCTATATGAACCGATTTCGACTGGATTCGTTGCGTAGCGGCAAAATTCAGACAATTTGAAAACGATTAAAAACACGTTGTAATGAAATGTAATTATTTCTATCGCTCGGAATTATAAGGGAGTACGATCATAATCGTGATTTCCCCGTGTATCGGTTCGTACCAGACGGTGACTTACATTATTGTCGGAACGCGTGATCGAATAATACGAGTTTCGACCGGCGATCGCCCACGATGTTCCGCGTCGGGAAATCGCACGGTGCTGCTAGTTTGAGCACGAATTTTTCGTAATTTTTTTTTTTTCCGCGACAAAATAATTATTGTTCGATCAGATGACATCAATCATTTCGTCCGCGATCACAATTATATACGCACGATAAACTGGATTGCTAACTGGTCATATCCCATACAGGGAAAAAATATTAGACGCGCGTTAAATGCCGTGTGTATCCGTTACGAAATATGTACTGAACGTTCATAAAATACATCATTGATATTCGGTAATATAGATGTATCAATAATTCGAAATTATGAGTATACCCAGAGGTGGACCGGGACTAAAATTTTAGATCTAGAGTAGCCACATACGTATACACACATAAAAAAAAAAAATAATACATTCTCCGATTAATTGTTGAACTTCTTAAAATGTTTAAAGGATGTTAATATGCTAAACGGGCCATACTTTTGAAGAAATGTTGAAGTGTTTGTCCGAACCAGAAATAGCTGTGTCAAATGTATAATTTCAATAGACCATCTTAAATGCGTTTTACCTGCAGTGGGAACTGCTTCGAATTTAATCTACAAACTCTCTAAAAATGACTTTGCTCTGAATCGCGTCGGCTAATCAAACTTCAAAGAAGAATACATTTCTTCTAGACTACCAGATTTCCCCACTTGTCGATACGAATTATTCCGATTTACGTGTGTTACACCTCCTGTAAACCCCGAGAGCCGTAACTGTAACGTCCACAGGCCACATGGCCGAAATTAGGCGCTGGCCTACCAGGGAATTTCCCGTCATCCCGGCGGCCCGGTCGGCCCGTGTGAGTACCCATAGCGATTATGAAATATCCAACACGTGTTTATGCTGCACAAATCTCTATTATCACGCATTTAAACCGACGTATTCCGAATACATCTGAATGATAATAATGTTTTAATGTTTGTTTTTAATTATTATTGTTTTTAAATATCCATAATTTTATACGATTCGGATACATAAATATATATTGACATCAATGTCATCGAATCACTGTTTGGGATAACACTAAAACTTTCGGTTGAAGCAGCAAGGCAGCCAATCAATTGGAGGTCCACTGCCCAATCGTAATATATCTTCCTACCCTTGGAATTTGCATTTACACCGTCGTTACCGCGGCGACCGAGACGGTGATTGTTAACAACATCACACGGATATAACACTCATGACAATATGAAAGTACACGACAAGGCCCGCGAGTCTCGGAACCGAATGGCGGATTGAAACTTTCAGTTAACATTCAGCATGCGTCGGTGATTTGAGATTTCGTAATTTCTCGAATTCCGGACACACGATTTTCGCTCCCCCCCCCGCGCTCCCTTACGAACAATAATATTATACTCGTCTTGATCGTGTTTACCGGTGTCCAGCGCAACCGTAGCGGACGTCGACATGACGATGTCCGGTCCGCCGCAACCGTCGTCCGGGCGATCGGTCGCCGGCCGCAGGACTGCGGTACCGTCGCCCGTGTTTTGTCGGCAACGGCGGAGCTGCTGCTGCTGCTGCTGCTGCTGCAAAAGCGGCGCGAACGCCTCGGCTCGATTACGGTCACCGTCGTCGTCGTCGCCGTTGTTTTCGTCGGCCGGTATCGCGTACTCGGCGGGCCGGCGGCGTCCGGAATGCTTGTCGGCGGCCGTCTGACGCTGTTCCATGGCCGCGGCGGCCAGCCGCACGGGCCCCGGTTTTTGCGACTGAGGCAACGGCTGTACGCCGGCCGTTTTTTCGCCATCACCGACGCCGATGCCGTTTCCGATGACGCCGCCGCCAGCGATACCGTCTCCGCAATCACCGCCGCCGACGGCCCCGCGGTCGTGGCCGGTGTCGTCTTCGCACCGCTGACTGTGGCCTCGCCGGTACAGTATGCCGATCGCCGCGCATATGCCGCACGACAGGGCCACGACAACGGCGATCAGCACGGCAGTAATGACGGCCGAACCGCCTGGCCGTCGTCGGTGTCCGCGCCACAGCCGTCCGTCGCCGTCGCGGTCCGATGGCGCCGGAGACGGCGCGAACACCGAAAACATTTCCGCCAGTGCGACGGTGACGCGGTGCCACGCGTGTCCCGCCGCCGAGTCATCTGAAAAAAGTCCCTTTGTCAATACGTTGTACATCGAAAAAAAAATAAAGCTGTCCTACGGTAATGAGGATGGGTGCATCCACAGTTGTAGGTGGAAAGTTGGGCATGTAGAATACAAAAGGGAATTCAATGCATATCAGTAAGCGACGATGAACCATTTCTAACGAAAAAACGATTCTGAGCGGAGTTCAATTGATAGTGGTGCTTTATTTTCCACAATATTCAAGTCATATAATGGTCAAATAATTAAATAGGCAGTATAAATTGTATACTTTCTTTATTACTATTTGTTTAATATTGATACAATTTTCTCGTTTTCCCGGTTTTCCCAAGTTTTTCGCATTTGCTAGGAAAAATCGAAAAATTATATCCATAAAGTACCATCCCAGTCAGATTTTCTTTCAGAAAAAATGTTATCATTATAAACTAGAGCAAAGTTGCTAGTGGAAAAATTGTTCACAGGAAAAAAGAGGCAGACATATTTTTCGGCTAATACCTACTTTCATAAATTTTCCCGTTTTTCCTCTGTTTTTTTTTTTTGCTTTATCACATTTATGAGAAAACTCCCGGGAAAATTTAAAAATGACCTAAAGTACCAGCCCAAGAAAATTTCCTTTCGGAAAAAAGTCTATATCATATACAGCGGAGTAAGCTTTCTGGAAGAAAAAGTGTTCGCATAAAAAAAAAAAAAATAAATTTCTTTGAAAAACCATGTATTCTTCACTCCACTCAGAATCTAAAACAATATTCACTCCTATAGACTATTTTGTGATTTATTAAATATTTAAATAATACTATACAAGACAGATACTATATTGTGCTTGTGCAACGAGAACAAATCAAATAATTGTTCCGGTAAAAACAATCGCGGAGACCTGAAATTTTCACCGAATATTAATTTTATCGTACGACAGACGTGGTATACGATTTACAAAAAAAAAACATTCTGACACATCTTAAACTGTTTATAGCTGGTTTTAGTTTATAGTTCGACGCAAATTATTCAGGCCCAACCGAAATGAATCCTCGAAAATCGTACACGAATTATAGCCATAAAGATGTAATAATAATTTTTCATTTTTTTTTTCCTAAAGTCAAAATCGAAGCTTAACGAAGTTCAAATTCGTATGAAAATCGTACGGTTCGCTTCATTTCAAGCGAATGCGTTTGTTTTCAGAATCGCTTTTCGTTAGTGACGATCTATATCGTCATAACCTACCTTTTTTTTTGTTTTTTTATTTTTATTTGTAAAAACCAGTCTAATATAACTGTCGTTAAAATAATTGACAGTTTTATCGAAATAAACCGGTCGGTCGCGCGTTCGGTTTGTAACCTTAACCCATTTACTGCAAACGGGTTCGACTGCAGTTTAGCACGTGCAACGTGTCAGTTTGGGGAAACGTATACCCGATTCGTAAAATTGTTAAAATTAATTACGTCCGAAACATATAGATACATATAGCTATACGCCATTTTGACCGCGCGGTATCAGGCCCGGACATCGCTGCGTTGCGTATTATAAAATATAGGTACTAAATAAAATCGTAATTATAGACCGTAATAATATTATAATAATAACACATAATATTACGGTTTATTACCCGGGAGAGTAGAAAAAAAAAAAAACAAATTAAATTAAATTATCTTTATCGGATGACCGCGCCGCTATTTCCACGCCGCCGCCGATTTATTAAACAAAAAAAAATAATAATTTCCCGTCCATTGCGAGTGGCCGGCCGCGTGCGTAAGTCACAGTACAATTTCCAACTTTCATAATATCATATGATTTTTACCGCTGCACAGAAATCGAAATGTTAAAACATTTTATTGTTCAGATCTATAGTGCCTAACGGTTTTACTCTATGTGCGCTTTTATCTTTTTTTTTTTTATTTTGCGCGTGTACGCAATACAATTTTCTACCGGAAATCTTGTTTCGATTCTCAAGTGTGTAGCGTCTTTTATGATGATTTTTGTCTAGTTGATCAATTTAGAAGATTTCCCTTGCAGTTTTTTTGATAATTGAGGTAAGACACGGTACAATTTACGACGTTATTTTCGATTTTGTTTTTCTACAAGTTCCAATTTTCAATTATATTATGTTTTTTGAAAAAAAAAAATGTTTATAGCTGATGGTTTGGACGGAAGACTTTTTAAATTATATAAATTTTAATAGAAATCGTAATATGTATCGATTTAAGTGAAAATAAATTGTTTGACCCGGCCAATTTGTTTGAAAATTTAACACACGAAGTTCATTATAAATTGAACATATAGTAGTAAAAAAAAAGGCCTGCCGTAATGTTTGTTTTTATGTTTTAGGTTTAGGTTAAGGCAAAAATCGTATATATCATGGCATTTAAAAACATGTTTAACCGAACTTCAATTCAGAACCACTTTTTCCTTAGTAATACTTATGTTAATGTTGCGTACAGATATAAATAATTTGATAATTCTATGTATTCTTCTATTACTACTTTCCAAATTGTTCGCCTACATTAGTAGCATATCCGTCTTTCAGTATTTTTCGGATTTTTAAATTTCGAGGGTAGAATAGCGAGGAATGCATTATTGATTTTACTACAATACGTGTTTTTTTTTTTTTTATATGCTTTTGTAAAACTTTTCCACCATAAATCTTGCTCCAATTAAAAAACTATTAGAGAACTGTTTTGAAGAATTTTTGCCCTAGTTGAAGCATTTTAAAAGATCGTTCTTTGATTTTCTATTAAGTTTTCATAATAATCATAATAATTATACCGAGAAACCGAAAAATAACTTAAAAACAAAACAGATAAAAACAATTTTCATTATTTAATAGAATCTTTTATGAAAGAAAATATTATTTTGTTGGTATGGCCGTTTATTGATAATTGAGAAAACTCGGGGAAAACGAAGGAAAAACGATTCAGTTTTCGGTATTAATAGTTTCATTTTTTTTTGATTCTGTTTTTTTGTTGTGATTCAGTAACAAAAATAATCATCGTGTGGATTTAATATTTCCACAGAATTTATTAGTCTATTCTAGACGTGGTCTATTCTAGACGTGGTCGAATTTAAAAAAAAAATTGATTTATTAGTAGTGGATAAAGGTTTGGCCATGCCATAAGTTGTACTTGATGGTGAAAGAAAAAAGTTGAGCGTAGTGCAGTAATATTTTTTTAAAGCATTTATTTTAAGTGCAAATTTAGACTTCATGTATCCTACCTTTTCATCCACCCACCTACAACAGTGGCACACCCATCAACAGTACTAACTCTTTCTTTATTTAGTTTTAGACCGTGAACAACCGTATAGTGTTTGTATAATAATATTTACTGGTCTTTTGTGAAGTTTTTTTTTTTCTTGAACTCCTTGGCGTGCAGTTTCAGAAACGCCGATTTAAGGAAATTCAGATAAAAGGTAAAAGTTTTCGACAAAACTTTCTTTCATGTTCTATATATAATATATTAATCTATGTATTTTTTTTTTTAGATATAAGCATAACGTATGGTTAGAAACTTATAATAAATTAATCAAGTCGTGAATATCGGGAACTTATGTAAGTGTGAGCCGATCGCACGTATAGATTCAACGAGTAACACGCGGTACCGCAGTGAAAGTATATGATAAAGTAAATAAAAATGTGCACCGTAGCTGTCTTGATGTTATTATACATAATTTAAATGTATTCTTTTTAACCATATCGTTTATTTTATTTTATAATCACGTTCACATTTCACAAAGTTATAATTGCAGGTTATAATACGGTTAATCATGATCAAATTTAAGATACAAATTAAAGGTTAAGATAGCTGCCAAACACAAAAACTAATTTGATAAACTGGCGGAGCATCCAGTGTACAGAATGATTGTTACCATACGATACGGGGTGAGATGGAATGTAAAAACGTAAGTGATTTCTTGTTGGGTAGGCACGGACACGGAGCGAAACCGAGAGCACCAACTGTACCACGAATAAGTGATGAAATAAATGAAATATCGGCATCGAAACAATGATATTAAGTGAGGGTAGGAATGCCTAAGAAGAAGCGAATAGTATGGAATAAGCACGAGAGGAGTGTGGTATAATAAGAACAAAATTATCAAAGAATAGAATTTCATTATTTATAAAACAAAAACTTCATTATTTAAACCTCTTAAGGTTATAAAATGTTGTAGAATATATTTAATACGGAATTTATGACTTTGCACGAGTTTACATTTATTATTACATTTTCATTATTATATCTAGTACGATTTGTTAGTTGTGAGATGTAAATAATTGTTTACACATAGTGTCGTTTTGTGAAGGGACGATATGTGGAAGCAGAATAATAGAAATTCTGCAATGCACTACAAGCTAATGTGGGCTAATGTAGGCACATATTATTTGATCTCCACATATTGTCATGTGGAGAACAAAATGATTACTTGAATAAATAACGAGATGGAGATCAGATATTAAACAGTCGAGATAACATTCTAGACAAAGATGGTCAGGAATGGAAAGAGAAGATTTGAGATTGCTGAACGTGATAGTATATAACGAAGAAACGATAGAAGAATGGGAACAAAAAGATCTGCATTGTGTCTCGGCTGATAAATTTTATGCATTACATTAATTTAATCTCTTTAAAAAAGACGAATACACTTCGCATGTGGGTGCAGTCACTATTGTAGGTGGGAAGTTGGAAAGGTAGGATACAGAAAGGAATGTAATGTATATAGTAAATGTGTAAGCAACGAAAAGCCGTTGCTTACGAAAATATGATACTGAGCCAAGTTCAGTTATATATATATATATGTCTTTTTATGGTCAAATAATTAAACATGTATTATATATTTAAAAATATTTGATTGGTATTGTTTCGATTTTCTTGTTTTTCCCGGTTTTCCTATGTTTTTTCCTGTTTTTTTACATTTGCTGGGAAAACTCCTGAGAGTATCGAAAAATTACCGTCTTAAAGTACCATTTCAAGAAAAATTTCTTTCAGAAAATAGTCTACGTTGTATACGTCGGAGTAAGCTTTCTGGTAAAAAAAGTGTTCACATAAAAAAAAAAAATAATACAAATTTTTCAAAACTAAATATCTAAAATAGAACAGGATATCTTTCATGCGATGGATGGATTGATGGATCCCCTAAAAATATGAGTTAAAGCCAGAAAATACATTTGAAATTCACTTATTAAATTATCGTCGAATAGTTCAAATTCGTTAACTTTATAATTGCTGATTATTTAGTGATAGCCCGAGTGCATCCGAATCTTATTGACAAATTGTATTTAATTATCCACAGCCGTATCGATAAATCCGCAGCTGTAGGTACTCACCAATATTATATTTTTCTAATTTGGTATGTTGTATATGTTAAAATATACGCCAAAACTATTTTACCCAAAAACAGCTTTCTACCAAAGCTGTCCCATGCCAAAATAGCTTTACGTCAAAATAGTTTACGCCAATACGGCCTCACCAAGATATCCTAGACCGCAGTAGAAATATTCGAAAATTTAACACGTGGTTATCATAGTTTATATTTAGAAATGAAAAAAAATATATAAATAATTGTAACGTTGAGCAAAATGTAGTAATTTGTTTTATATTAATTTATTTTTAAATTTCCAATTTCCAATCATTCAAACATGGAATTTTGAATTTATAAACAACATATAGGCGTACACAAATAACAAGCATGTAAGTAACATTATTATATATTTTTTTTTTTTATAATAAGAACATTTTTCTTCCCCCTGCGAAGAAATTATTATGTTTATATTATTAGTTTGACGGTATTCATATATTTTGCGTTAATGTTCTCATTCTTTTTTCCATATTACAGCGCAACATAACCGAAAATGGAAAACAAAGTATAAAATAACAATTTACTACCTATATACGTGTGGTTGAGTATGATTTAATATAATTTGCATATAATATTATATACCTGTATAATACACGCGCCTTAAAATCTTATTAAAAAAAAAAAAACCGATATAATACGTATTTATGTCGCTTGTAAATTGATTTATTTTCGGAAACGACTTTTTTTTTAGGATTAAATTTGGAACTGGAACCGAACCACAGATAACCGGTTCTGGAATCCAAACACCGTCAAAATATTAGAAGAATATTCAAGAACCGAAACTCGTTTTCAAACATTTTCATACAAATGACACCTATAATTTCGAATGAAAAGACGTACCTACTTTTGGATTTTACAATGAGTTTATGTAAGTATTTTGTTTTTAAACTTCAAATTTTTATTTTATTCTTTAAGACGACTAGCAAACGATTGGAAACCACAAACAGCACCTAATAAGGCAAATGGGCCCAGTAATAAATCACAACAATGAATATTTTATAGTTTTGTAATCCATGTGTTAATGTTTTACGTTGTGTATTCCTATAAGTTCGAGGTTCTCCCTGACTCGATCACGCCACCGTTGTAATTGTACTCGACAATCCTCTTGATCTCATATCGTCTGGTGTCCACATTGCGTATTAGTCAATTCGCTGCTCACCTAATGTGCTCGGCCAAATTGACATGTAGCCAGAGGGCTGGACCAACCCCGCGAAACATAAGCTTCTTCCCAAAAATTCTGATGTTACCTACTTTGTTTTTCTACCCATTACGATTTAAATTTTTTTCTCGAACAATTATTGGTAGTTGGTGATATATTTTATGTTTGGACACCCTTCTTCAAAAAAAAAAATTCACAATTTCGTGTTTAGATTCAGCTTATCGTTTTGTTTTTTTTTACGTATATCTTCCTCGTTAAACATACTGCATTCAGCGCTGAATTTTCGTTTTTCGTTCATAATATGTTCATATTCTCCTCTTTGTTTCTCTTTGGACTATATATTTTACGTATAATATTTCTCTCGATATTTATTGCTCTCTTAATTCTTGTTAATAAGAAGTTGTTATCCGAATTTATTGACGCCTAATATGCTTCACATGCGTACAATAATGAAATACATCTAACAAGTACTTCATACAGTATTTTTTTCGTTCTTTTAGACATTTTAGACATAGAATAGCATTTATTTTCGTTATTATTCTCGCATTAGTCTTCTCGTCGCTATTTGTTTGTAGTTTTAATGTCAACTATTATAGATATTTTAAATTTGGTATCCTTTCAAAGGTTAAGTTCTCAGCTATCAGAAAATCTCGAGGCTGTTTTCTTCGAGATTCTATTAGATATCTGGTCTTCTGCTTGTTGAATTGTATAACAAATATTTACAGTTTACACCCGGACAAATTGATTTCAATGTAAATGCTGATAACTGTGCGACATTATGTAGATACCTATATTATATAGATACTGACGGCAATAAGGTCTGTCGTTATAGTTCGTTAATGCTATTGTCAAAAGCTATCCACGAAGCGTACATATTACCTATTTAATTCAAAACGACAATAACCGAGGGACGACGAGTACTTTGTTTTTATTTTTTTCTACTATAGCTATATGCAGTCCTTTGCAAACGTACAAATATTACTATAAAAATAAATAGGTTGTATTATTATATATTATAAAAATACTAACTCTCACAGTAAAGGTTTTTTTTTTTACTTATTGAGTCCCTCCTCGTATTCTTTGGATACGAAAATAAGCTAGACAATATTTTTATTTATTTATTTTTATTTTTAGATAATATTCCCTACAACCTAATATGAAGTCATAACCTTTTTCTTAATACCTGTTACTATTCCATAAATCCAAGCCCATATAACAATGTTTTGGTTTATTCAACAATACAAATTTTAAATTTTAAAGAAGAATTCTGCAAATATTTCAGTATCAATTGTAAGTATTATAATAAGTACCTAAAAGTTTTAACTTTATTCTGTTGAGATCAGGTAGTTTTATGGTTGAAACGAAATAACAATAAATTCTAATTACAAACAAAATTTGGATTTAAACAAAATAATAATAATACATTTATTTAGCTATGATTTGAATAGGTACTATTAAAGACATAATAATATTAACTTCGATAATACTTTAAACAATAATATGTGTAACACTACGAGTATAACCTATTAAATATTACGAAGCATCTACAAAAATATCCAAAACACTATCTACCAAAAATTTGGGAAAGTATTAAAAAAGTTGTGAAACTAGTTAAAAGAACAGACATTAGGACAACACTTTCAGAAAATAAATCAAAAAATAATAAATTCCCCATAAAAAAAAAAAAAAATACTAAAGTGGAAAAAGTTATAATGGTGTCACCTCCGGGTTAAAAAATTTAAATTCCAACATAATAAATTATTTTTGTATTTGCACGGACAAATTATATAAAACAATAGATCATATAGAATAGTAAAACTATGGTATAAATAGCACTTGTTATTCCTTCTTATAATCACGATAGCAAAACAGAAATAAAACATTTTCATAAAATACAGTTAAAATACGAGTACATATTGTAATTACTAAACAAATGTCAATTTCGAATTATAAAATAGGAAATATTATTTTAGATACATGTTTGTTTATTATTATATCAAACCAAAATATCTAATTATATGTTATTTCTTTTTTTTTACTATTATTGGTCGGGGTAATTAAATAAAACATTTACATGGTGTACACATAATTTGAAATTAAATTGTATAAAATTCAACGTACAATTTACTTGAAATATTTCTTAGTAGTTCAAAGACCTTGATGGGGAATTTAAAAAATAATAAAAATATCTACTTGAAATAGAACGTGGTTCACGACTACGATAATATAATATGCATAATAAAATATAACACCGTAAATTAATTCATAACCTCACGGAAATCGATAGTATATATATATACCCAGTGTACACGAAAGGAAATTTGTTCGTGACTTTAATGCAATGACGAATTTTCGACAAGATGAAAAGTGAATATTAGCAAATATAAAATGTTGTTTTAACATTTTGTTCGGTTGTTGAGAAAATCTTCACGGTTCAAATATCAATACCATCAAAAAAGTATTGGAGTTTTAATTTCGAGTTTTATATACAATATTATAACGTTGCTAACAAAATAAATATATTGGATAATATATATTATACCACTGTAATATTAATCTCTTAATTCATGTTTTAAAATTTAATTCATTCTTTAAATAGGTAGTCGGGAAAGTGGAGTGCGGAAGAGATTCAACGCAGACCTAAGAGCCTAAGTTCTTACAATACCTCATTTAACTCTCTATTAGCTCAACGAACACATTTATCAGCCAAATTGTAAAATGTCTCGATTGGCCTGTATAGCTGTTAGTGGTAAAACAGACAAAACATATAGTGAAAGAGATAAAACAAAAAAAAACCTCTGCAGCAGGTCAGTAAGACCATAATATGTATAGAGAAATCATGAAGATTCGGTAGGGATCACGTGTCGTGAAAGGATTCGAATGGAAAAAGACCATTTGGAAAACGACGGTTTCGCCAAGAAGACTGCTTAAGGAGATGTGTGGTGAAATAACAGCTAGGTATAGAATGAGACGGTCAGGCAGAAGATCGAAATAAGTGGAGCAGGATGTGTTTGGATGTTTGACCAATGAAGGCCGTAGTCAAAAATAAAAAATAGGTAGGCTATTTTTTCGTAGTCTTCTCTAATGTTTATTTGTTGTTTTTTTTTTTTAGAAATTGCGTTTAATTACAGTGGAACGTGTTAACAAGTTTAGATTCACGTACCTAATGAACGCGATGTGTCATGATGGTGTTAAAAATCAACTAGGAAAAAAACATTTAACATCAAGTATATATACCTATATCACTTATATAGACGTATGAATTTGTTAGACAGCATTAAATAAAATAATTTATTTTTAATGTTTTTGTTATTGCGGTATTAAAATAAAACATACAGTCTTATCATCGTAATGTCTATGAAAGCTCGAAAAACCTTTTCAAATTGTTACACATTTTATGAGTAATGATGATGATTGTCTTGTTTTTATTTTATTTTTATAAAGCAAATTAGTCAACTTAAAAAAAATGTAAAGTAGGTACTTCCGTATATTATGTTTTTGTTGGTTGAGTTTGAGTAGAAATCCAAATAGGAGATATTAAATTATGTTTTTTATGGAACCCAAACTATCCGGGAAATATGTCGGTAGTAAAAAAACAACAAATGGTAGGATCCGACTGTTTCAAGTAATTCTAGGTAGGTATATTAATATTCACTTTTAATTTTTAAACTCTGAGCGAAACTAGAAAACTGATTATACGTCGGTATTTTCGAAATCGTGTACTTTTAATTTACTTCTGAAACCATTTTATAAGTATATTGAACGGGTCGCTCAGGAAGTTTTATTACATAAACTAAAAATTGCTTATCGTGATAAGACCTACGATTTTTAAAAATACATGATTTTCATTATTTCACAACTAATGACAGCAAAAAGTACTTTTGAAATTATATAAATCATTTCTTTTTTTTGTATTTTGTACATTTTCTAGCATTTGAGGAAATATACTTTTTCCTTGTATATCCCGTTGAATTTAAAAACGGACTCCTCTTTAATACTGTAACTACACTATTTTATGGAGCCAAAATGTTTAATTTGCGTTATTTGAAAAATAAAATGGTAAATTATGTGGTTTTTTTACGATTTATATCAAAATTTGAACGTAAACCATGTTTATGAAAACTAATCAAAACAACAGATTTTCGATTATTTTGGGGACTACAATAATTCAAAAAATTCAAATGCCTATAAATAGCTTAAAAATAGTAAGAATGTATTGAACAATTTTACCGTATCTAAAAAAAGTTGGTATGATTTTTGAGTTAAAATTTCAGCTTTTCTATAATTTTCACCACAGCATCCGTTATTGCATGTACCTAAGTGTTGTCGAATTTACCATAGTTTTTCTCAATATTATTCAGAAACCACAAAAAAAATTTAAAAAAAAAAAGACCTCTCTAATGCGTCAACTAGAACATTTTTTTTTTTTTTTTTACCAAAAACTACTATACCGAATTTGATGATCTAAGCAAATCTTTCCGGTAGACAATTGATTTAGAGACAGAAAAATCCAACCGCACACCGTGTACAGTAAAAAAACACGATATTATGTAAGTATAACTAGTATCGAAATATAATTTTGATAAACGATTATGTTTTTTGTAATAATATCTAATGCGCGTTTTAAATGTGTTTAATGAGATGTGTGAAATAAAATCACGTTTCAAAAACAGTTACCCTTCGCCGCTTATAAACATTAACGAATGTCTAATATGCATATATTACGTGAACGCGTAATATTTTCCGTTTATGAAATTTAATCTACCGTGTAACTCGTCTTTTTACCAAAACCGTACACGTATATTGCACATGCATACTATTTACTGTATAGGCAACGCATACATACGTGTTATATAATATCCAACGACAAAAAGTCCACCTTAAACCGTGGCCTATACTATTAGGTAACTGCGGGTTTAAAGGGTTAACGCAAATAATATTGCGTCTAAGGAACACACGTCGAAGAAAATATAAACGACCGTGTATACTTTGTAGTACACTCGCTTATTATCCGAATATAATGAATAATAATGCTATTGCTCAACGGATGGATATTATATTTGCCGGGATAGATTTTACTGCAAAAATGTTGTAATAAAAAAATTTAAAGAAAAAAAAAAAAACATCTACGGAGTTCATAAAATATTAAGTTTCTATAAATGGAAAGAAATCGCGGGCGGGTAGTACACACGTTGGTGAAGAAATCGCGCCGCCTTTTGCAGGACGAAAACATTTTCCATAATAACGTTATTTCGTCACAAGGGGTTTTTGGAATTTTACATTTATCGCTGTCTATCGATAATTCGTGGTGGCGTGTGATGGTTAAAAAACATTTCAGGAAACTCCACTTGGAAATAAGAGGACATTATGTCATTTAGACATTTTACAAGTTTTATTTTCTTGTATTGGAAACTATAAAAAAAAGTGACTTAAAGCACTTTTTTTCCTTTGACCGAAAATATAATAACTTCAATCATGAAGATTGAAAAAAAAACATTTTTTTTTTTTTTTTTTAGAATTAACAATCAAGAACTATTGTCGGACTCGTTTATTTCATGTCACTAAGATATAGATTTACACAACCAATAAAAAAACACCAAAGGATCTCGCTCCATGATAGTGGCTGTACTAACACTTGACCCCGAAGTTTTCCCAGCAGCAATCTTATCCGGCTGTTGACTTCTTTCTCTTTTCTATATATTGTGCAATAAATGATAGAACAATTGACTCGCTATAATAATAATTTTCGACTGTAGTGTTCAAGTTCCGCGTGTCGCAATCACATTTTACCGACCCCGTAATAACTAACTCGATGATGATCGTAAACAAGTACACAACAATGCGCTTTAACGCGGTTAACAAACGCGGGAACATTTTCGAGGTTTGAAATAATTTTCGTGCGAACGGTACCAAGACGACTCATCATTTATCGCTGTACAAATCGCTGTACCGTGTACAAATTAAAATTACCTAATCATAATTAGTAGCCACAACTAACAATGCACTTATTTGCCAATTTATTATTATTCTTATAAGATTTTTTTTAGACAGACACCTTATACTATTCAGTACAGTACTCAAATAGTGACTACTGTTAAAAAAATCACTAAAACTAATTAAACATTGCCAAAGTGCGATAAATTCGGTAATTTATTATTGCGGTATCAATAAAACAGAGTGCTTAACTACTGATTAGAATTTACCTGGTAAATATATGGGTAAATATATGTTTGATGTACTACATAATATACATATACATATTATTCGTATGAAAAATTTTTATTTTTTTTATTGCATAAATACGTGATAAATGAAAATAACGATCAGTTTCACATTTTTCTTAAATATTAAACAATCAAATATTTTAAACTTTAAAATCAATACATAACAATCAATCTTTAAATTTCCAATACATTGCAAATTAAATAAATATTGAAAACTTGCTGGGTTTTTTTAAATACTTTCATCTGTACACTAACACAATTTCATTCACTTCCTATTTTTAATTTAATATAATAAAGAATCTATTTGTTATTTATTCCGAAACTAACCAAAGTAAAAGGTTTGTCCAAATAAAAAAAAAAAAAACATAATAACCCAAATGTTGGGTTGATAAATTCCCAAAAAATATTTAACTGTTCTTTGGGTTTACAAAAAGCACATCCACTATAAGTTGGAATTTCAATGGAAGGAAATCCAGCAAATAAGAATCGTGAATAGATCGTAAAATCGTTTTCTCTTTCCAAATAGACTAAAAAAGCAATGCATCAAGCTTTTCTTCGTAAATTGGCAGACATACTTGTGTATGCATTTCGATGTTAGATTAATACTAGGTTTTTATATTTTAATGCAATAGGGGGGGGAGGGATTATAACCCCTAACCTATCTTGTTTTGCGCATGCCACTGAATTTAATATAAAAAAATGTAATGATATTTGAGCATAAAAACAAAAGTATCTTGTAATTTGATAAAATTGAAAAAAGTGTACCGGCCGATGTAAAGTACACTAATTGTTTATAAATATAAACATATTAACATTTTTCTAATCCAACTACTCTAAGTGTCAATATTTCTGTCAAACGTTCTTATTTTCAGCTTCTTTACGTCCAAAAGTTGTTTGCTCAGTATTTATGAAATCTGAAGTATGTATAAAGTGTATTTTTTAGATAATTTTCGCAATTTCGTGTAGCTTTATGCAATATCAACCAGTTTTATTTAAGGTATTTTACTTTTTTCTCATAGTTCATCAAACTCGAAGAGTACAGGATATTTTCAACAGAGTCTAAAAAAATTGTTGTAATAAATAAATTTAAAAATATTATTTTTTTGTTGTTGTCTAGTTATACAAATTGTAAAAGAAAAATTGTGTTTATACAATACACTGTCTCAGATAAATAATAATATTTTTCATGAAATTAAAATATCTGAGATTTTATGAAGTAAACATTTTAAATTTTATTTGTATAACTTATATTCACGATTTTCATCTAATTTTCCCAATTAACTATCGCGCGTCGGAACTTGAACGTATTTAATTTGAATCCGGATAGTTTTTGACAAACAATTTATTATTATTCGTCGTGATTTTTTAATGAAAATATAAAACTAAAAATGACAATCTTTTAAGACTATTCAATAATCAGTTAGCAATACATTTTAATATGAAATTGACCGTGACAATTATCATTAAAACCGATACTATTCCATAAAAATATACAAAACGCTGAAAATTGATTTAGTTGCCTACCTAGTTGATAATGTCGAAAAATGAATCGCGTTTGCCCTTTGCATTCGTTTATATGACTCCGGGGCCCGTCAACCTTTACATTTTCCGTTAATAATGTGTGCGCGGATACAAAAAGACATATTATGTTGCGTTTTTATTTTTTTTTTTCAACCCTGCTCTGTATACACTCACGTTAGTCATGTTAATGTAGAACGCGTGGTGCGCGGTTGCTGTGACACGTGTGTCACACATACATACATATACAAAAAACACAACAACAACAACAACAACAGCAGCAACGTACCTAAATGGAATAATATCATCACTTAACAAAGAGACGCACAAAAAATAAAAAAATGTAAAAAAAATAAATAAATAAACGTCAGACCGACTGTGCTGAAAAGCGGAACGTCTACATCGATGTAGAATAATTCACTGTTCTTCCGGGCGCGTTCTCATCTCCGCCAGCACACCGATAATTTATCTCTCGCCGAACTTTTAAACCCCATACCCACTATACTTACACATATACATATACTGCAAATACACGCGAAACGTATATGAACGAGAATATCCGTAGGTAATATATTTTACGAAAACCGGCGCACGGCTCGGTGGCGATTTTATGAGCAAGACGATTTAGGTGGACCGTGGCGTTTTACAATTTTATTTTTATTTTTTACTTAGATAAGTAAAATAAGGAAAATGTAAGTACGTTTATACAAACCCGAATGTATGACCGTACACCGTTGACATGAATATTGCATCAGCGGTGTAAATAGAACTTCTATTCCCAATGGTAAAATATTCTAGATTAACTAAATTGGAGGCCAAATCCCCTAGTTAGGGCATAAATTACACAGAATGGAGCGAAAACAAAAAGAGCTGATACTGAGGATGGATGCGGATACTGTTGTAGATGGGAAATTGGGAAACATAAAATTGTTTTTGTTTTCAGAAAAAGGTACTACGCTTACATTAAGCCTAAGCAAAATTTCTGGTAGAAAAGTTATTTATAGATAAAAAAAAAAAAATAAAAATTATAAAAATCATTGTAAAATTACCGTATTACTCGTTTCGCTCAGAGTCTAAAAGAATCAATGCCTGTTTTCATACATCTATCCGTCCACTCGAAATAATGCCTTGACCTATTCAATGTATTACAATTTGGTGCCCCTAAATGTCATGGGCCCGTGATGCCACCGGTACGCAACTGCATTTTATTGTGATATTCAATATTTCAATTATTAATTACACTATACAATCATTATATTGTTTATTAAGTCGTATGCGATATGGATTATGTATGTAATCAATTGATTAATTTTATTTTTATTCTCCTTTAAGTAAGAAAAAAGCTGATACTGTTAAGGTATGCGCTATTGCTGAAGATGGGAATTCGGAAAGGTAGAATATAAAAATGTATTTAACGTATATCTAAGAGCAACGATAAATCGTTGTTAAAGAAAAACGTTTCTGAATGGAGTTTGGTTGAAAAAGTTTTAAAATGTAATGATTTTTAATATTTTCGTTAAAGTTCGAACTTAAAACCCTTAGAAAAAAATATACTACTAAATGCTGCTCAACATTTTTTTCAACTTTCAACTACAATTTATGGCGATTTATTTTTGATAAAACTTTTTTGTTTAACCCTTTGTCATAATGAAATGAAAAAAAAAATAAACATGAAATATTGTAACCACAACAAGTCAGCAAGGAGAAAATTCGACTCTATAGTGACGGAGCTCTGCTGTTCACGTTTTTTTTTTTTTTTCCCCCCTCGGCATTTCTTGCCTAGGACATTTCCCCCCCGGGAACGGTCACGGTTGGCGGTCGTATTCCATCTTTCGGGACGAGGTAGGCAGTCGCCAGATACGCAGCAATATCTCACTCTGAGCGTTAAACATTTTACTATGCCGTCTCTCCGTCGTCGTCGTCTCCTCGAGTCTATCGTACCGGAAACGCACATCACGTATAGTGTAATCATTTTACCGTTTGTTCGTGTCGTCGTTGTCGACTGCACCGGTGTTAAAGGTGCCGAGACATGTATAATATATCTATGGATACGCACTTACTGCGTATATATTTATATACTTATACAACTACTACACTCGAATGCCGCAATCCCGCGCCGCCGCGCCCTTAACCGCACAACAGATTACCATCTATATACCGCGGTTGCGGTGGCGGCGGCGATGAAGGTCGCGGCGGTAGTCGTCGAATGTTGTTTTTTTCCTTTTTCTTTTTTTTTTTTTGTTCGCAAATTATACCTGCCTATATTATATTATTATATTCCGTATATATATATATATTATCATTATTATAACATTCGCGAGCGCACTTGTTGCCGTCATAATCGAAAATCACACGTCGATAAACACGGCTTCCGATTGCTCGTTTAACACAATAATGCGTGCACACGTGTAAATATAAGAGACACGTGCGGAATATTATTGTCGTGTGCGCCGACGACTCCGCGGCCGCGGTGTTTTACGGCCACGGGATACGCGACTGTGTGTGTGTGTGTGTGTGTGTACGCGTCCGCCCGCGCGCCCGCGCAACACGATACAATAATATCCGGACGCCGAGAGGAGAGGACTGCTCGCGGATACCGTGCGGCAGCTGCGGCATCGCGGCCGCGAAATCGCGCGCGCCCGCACACGCACACGCGCGCGCGACAATAATGATAATATTATTATGAACACACGTCGGGGATGTGACACGCACGCGCGAGCACCCGGCGTATCGCCCGGAAGTCGCGCGCGCGGCGCAGAAGAAACGACACGGGATTATCTCGGCTGTTTCCGGTCCGTCGGTCGCGCGCGCCATTACCGGGCGCCGCGCGGCGCATTCGGCGTACGCGCGCGCTCCCCGTCGCCGAAACTCCGCGGCGTTTCCCCTTTTCCACCTCCTGGGGGGAGGGGGGGAGGGGGGGGGGTCGCGATGCCGGGAGAGCGCCCGAAGTCATAATAATTCTTACAATGCGCGGTATAGATTTAATGTAATACGCGTTTTTCGCGCGTTCGTTATAATATTATTGCGACGCCTACTGCACGCGGGTGTTATTTCGCCGTCGTCGTCTTCCGCGCGTCTCACCCAGCGCCGCGTTCGAAACGATAAGCGATAAACGGCGATGGCGTTAACGGCAGATAATATAATAACATTACCAGCTGTATAAGTGTTGTCTGTGCTATCTGTGCGAAACGATTTCCCCGTTGCATAGCTACGACGAAATTTTCGTCGCGGACACGCGTCTCTCACGCGTGCGTACGGCTCTGGGCTTAAAAAAAAAAGGCCGACGGATATGTGTACGGGAACGCGAGAAATGCGCACGAGTCTCGTGCAGTCCGTCGGGAATTTACGGCGACAAATTTCTCCCCCCACCCACCGCCACACGCGAGCGCAACAGTGTATCACGGCGGCACAACGGACAGACGTGCCGTGGAAAAATGGGTATACGCCCAGTTTTCCATATCGCGCGGCGCGCGGTGTACGGGACGACGGCCGTCGCTCTTCTGCGCAATAATAACCGCAGTAAAAACAAACCGATCGAAACATTGCTTTACACGGGGGGGGGGAGAAGGTGACGGTCGTCCGGAAACGATATGCATTAATGATAACGGTCCGAGAGCCTCAAGTTTGTCGTATTTTAATGCAATATTTAAAATCGTAAAATTGCTTCGTCCCGGAGACTTCGTGGAAGCGAAACGAATAGAGGAAATCAATCGAACGCAAACCCCGATTTCTTATGAAAACCATAGCTGCGTGTCCACGGCGGCAGCTTAGGATGCCGTTTTTTTTTTTTTCCGATGGAAAATAATAGTTATCGTAGAGTACGGTTCATAGACTTGGCGCGGAGTAACAGTGTCGACCCCATCCGACTTCGAAAAAACCTACAGGCACCGTAGACGGGTGACTGCAGGAAGGTTTGCCTTTATTATTTTTGTTGTATTATTTTATCGTCAACCCACCGTTCTCAAACATACAGGCATGGCGTGTTCGACGCACGATTAATATCACGTTACACCGTAATAAGTATTCCCGGTTTTTCCTCTTCCGAATTTGAGACTGAGAGTGTTGTTGTTGAAAATGTTGTTTTAAAAAGAAAAAAGGAGACGACGCCACTAATGGAATACGTGTGTGCAAACAGGTTAAATTAATTCAAATCGCTAAATCTTCTCGAAAGATGAAGTCATGTTTTTAAATTTAAAAAAAAAAAAAAAAAACCCCCGAAAACGACGTTGATCCCGATGACCCTGCTTCATGCGTGGTATGAGTAAAAGTATTTATTTAGTAGTTCGCGTTTTTGCGTCGACACTTCCCAATATAGTGTTGCGTCGGTGCCGGTATCGCCCGAGAAAAAAAATAACCGCAACGCAATATTATTCTGAAGGAATTGTTGCCGCGGGACGCATCGCGTATGCATCCCTTTGATTATTTATTCCGAGTGTGCGGAGGCACGCTTCACGTTTGAAACAAATGAATTTTTGTTCCGCACAAATATGTTTTTTTCAAAAAATAATAATTATAACCGTTTTTGTGCGTGTATTTTTTTTTTTTTCGACGGGCAAACATATTATTATAATACAGTGTTTTCGACTTAAATATATATATATATATACGTATAGCTATGTAATCCGGACGATTCGTATTATAATATAATCGAAATACATATACATAAGAATTATTATAAGTGTACTCGACATTCGTGCAATCAATATCGAAAAATATTACTTCGGAATAACTCGCGTGGGTATATCGGTACACATATTTAATATCGAAATCAAACGGGGAGTTTTTTTCTCCTCCCCCCCCCCTCCACTGTATAGTTCCATAAAAGCTGCAGTGCAAACAGAATATTTGTATATACACAAAAGAAAAAAAAAAAAAAAAACAATATAATATTCCGTTCTTTTGATCATAATATAACATATACATATAATAATAATACGGTCGTATCTTTATCTACCGGCTACGCGCCGGGTTTTTTTTTTTTTGTCGATGCGATGATGTTTTACGAACATATTATTATTATTGTTTGTATAATGGTATTTATTTTTTTAAGTTGCGAGTGTAGCGAAGAAGCTATTAGTGTTTTACTAAGATACACGTGGGTTTCTATTTAATTTTTTTTTCCTTTATTCTGTTTATTATGCGCCGCGTACTGTACCCGAATGTCGACCGCGGTGGTACATTTTTTTGATACGAATTCTAAATTCCGAGCGAACACAGACAACAATTATGACCGGCAAATCGGTGTTATTTTCTGGTCACTTATGGTTGTACGAGGGAAAACAAACACGACTATTGATAAGCTCTACCAGTATAACAATGCTACATATTTTTATACTAATAGTCCGTTCAGAATCGTTTTTCGATCGTAACGATTAATCGTTACTCCTAGTGCATTAACCATAAAGGCTACTCTATACCCAAGCTCGAGCTTTACGCTTACTATTCATACGCAATGGCCTATCCGCGTTGCGTGGTTCGTCCGGTTTTTTTTTACGATTTTGCATATACAGATTTTACAAAGGTATTATAGGGGTATTCTAGGGTTCGGGACTTTTTACGTTTGCGTGTTTTTTTCGTAGTGGTCATAGATTATTCTAGGTAAACTATAAATTTGTTTTATGAAATTCCGAAATTAAATTTGAAGTTGTGTGTTTCTGCATATTTTGTCATATTTTAGGAAAAGTGCATGTTCGGGCAGTTTTTATCAAAATGCGTGCGTATTTCGCATTTTCTTTATTTTTATATTCCTAAAATTGCCGGGAAAATCGTTTCTTTTAATAAATTACTTTGGTTAGATATATCGTAGGTACGTATTATTTTATCTTTATCAACCTTCTTATCGACGATTCTTATTATGTACCTATCTATTTTTGAGATTTTTATTTCTATAATTGTAATATTATATTTTATGTTTTATTTTTGTTCAAAAATAAAATAAAAAATTACCTGTATAAGTATATTATGACGATTTTGACTGTATATTCTGATAATTTTTATTGCAACAAGTCCCGAACCCTAGGTATTAAGATGTACAGAATATGCTGGTAAGTTTTTATATTTTTTTTTTTTCTTTCCAAAGGTACGCTTTCCGATGCTCGCGAGACGTTATTCGGCGTGACCACTTCGGCACACAGCCGGCGATTATTTTATATCGCCGCTCACGCGTTGGCGTGTAAAAACGTACGAGCGTGCCATTGTCGGTTCATAGTGTATTTCGTAATATATTTTCTTTGTTTGTGGGGAAAAAAAAAAAAAAAAACAGAAATGTTAAGTACTTTTTCATTATTTCATTTTCGCGTTCACTACGAAACGAAATCGTTACGAAATCTAATCCACCGTTAATCGGTTCTCCGCGATGGCTGCGCGCCGCGAATAATGAACCGGGGGACGTTTAATAGTATAATGTGCACTCTCTTCTCGATTTATCATTATTGCGTATATAAAACACAAACGAACGTCCGCGCCATGATAAACGGGTAAAATATTGTGACGCAGTACAGAATCTTTTCTCCGTTGTACCCGTTTTGCCTGACGTATCCATATGCAATGCCTATACACTGCAATACACGTACCGTATAAGGTCTCAGCGGTACGGTTTAAAAAAAAAAAAAAAAAATTGCTACGAAACGACGAGAAATATGACTGTAAAATACCTATCAGTATTTTCTATATTATCATTAGGGCTTTGAATTAAATGCAGTGAAAATGCACGAAAAATGAAATATAAAAAGCTCATAAAATGGTGTTATATTACTGATATCGATACATCGCAAGCCCACAAATAACTAATCTAAGCAGTACCGTCTTATCTTTACCTACGTAACCCGTATAAAGCTTGTGTACATATTGTTTTATAAAATATTAATTTGACGTGTATACAGTCTGTGTAAAACAAAAAAATATGCATGTAAAGATGTTTACTTGATTTATGGGATTTGATTAAAAATATCGGAAAATAAATTTAAAAGAAAAATATGACCTAAAAAGCCCCCCAAAAAATGACCTTTAAAATTAAAACGTCAAAAAATGCAAAATAAAAGTTACATAGATAAATTTGTTGTTACATTATTGACAAATTATGTACTTAGAAACCTACGTTTTACAATCAGCTGAAAAAAATGCACTTTCCAATAAATTCTTAGCCCTGATTATCATGTTTTAATGTCGTGGTAGGCGTATAGTTAGATTGGGGGGAGGGGAAACATCAATGCCCTCCGGCACAGTACAGTCGGCCGGGATTATAATATTATTATTAATACTTTATTTTTCACGCGCCGCACAGTGGTCTGAGAATAAAATTCAGGTGGCGAAAAAGGGCCATTGAAAACTTTCAAAAATCAATTTCTACAATTAAACACTTCATTTTTTTTTTCATTTTATGCATTGCTAATAGCCGAAAAAAATTAAACAACTATTGGCATTTTTAGTTTCAAAGTAACAGAAAAAACCAAATTTGTCTAGTTCAATCGGCTACAATTGCAATTTGAAAAATTTTACGAAATCAAAATTTTGTATTTACACTAGTAATCTTCTACTACCGAGATTCTAGGAAAAGAAAAATTGATTTTTGATTATTTTTAATGACCTATTATCGCTACCTAAATTTCATTCTCGGATCACTATGCGCCGTACAGTTATAGTAACATTATGATCAACGAAGTAACGTTTTGTACAGAAAAGCGGTCGTTATCGCGTACGGTGCAACAAGAGCGACGAAAAGGAAAAAAGCCCCGCGAGACGCCCGAATTATTAGACGAACCCCGGTGTAAAAATGAACGTAAATTATTCGGCGAATCCGTGAACAACCGATGGGCCGCCGACAATGTACAGAGTTACAGACAAATTTTGTTTGAAGGGATGATTTTTAAAGGCCGTAAATCCCCTACCATAAAAAAAGACATTACAATAATACTTTTGTTTTGTATTCGAAACACGCGCACTCGATAAAAACGAATGGCAAAGAATTCAGTAAACGTAGATAGGTACTTATTCAAATACTTTTGGAATACGTAAATCAATTACCGCAATAATATTATTGAAAGTAAGCAATAGTTTCGATGTTTTAAAAAAAAAAAAAAAAAATCATTTAACGTAAATACTTGAAACAAATCATATTTCGATTGAAGATAAAAACTATGTACACACACATTGAAAATGAATTATGCGTGGCGGTATATCATCTACGGTTTAAAATAAAACAATTTCTTGTTACAAATTTAAAACCATTTTTTAGCGAATACAAAAATACAAATAATGTGGAATTTATTTAAATTTTTGTTTTGATAATTATTTAAAATAATATTTGAATACAATAAAAGTTTAATACTTTTATTCGAATTATTTTACATTACACATTACACAAATATCAGAAAACGATAAAAAAAAAAATCCGAACGTGTTTTTTTTCGTTTACCGACGGCCACAATGCCGGTAAAACTAAATTATAATACGATTTCTTTTTTCGAAAAAGAGTACGAGATTAGAAAATGTCAATTCTAAAATTAACAAGACCGAGGTAACGACGAAAGCATTTTTAAGTTTTAATTTTTTAACGGCAGTTATTATATTATAAAATGCTAATTTAACGAAAATTATCCTTTATTTATACATATTTTGGATTCTGAATGTAGCTAAAGTGCTATTCGTTTTACTTGCTAAGATGTATGTTTTTTTTACTCGGAAAAAACTTTTTTGGTTCGTAAGAAAGCTCCGGTTTTTCCACGAAATACCTAAAAATATGCTGAGTTTCTGACCGGTGGCACTTTATTGGAAAAATGTATTAAAATTTTCGGCAGTTTAAAGTTCAATTCCTTTTTTCGCTTCCTTGAAAAACGCTTTTTAGTTTTTGTAAGAAAGATCTAAATTATTCGCATGGTACGTTAGAAGATACGGATTTTCATCCGGTTGTATATTTGTTGAAATGAAAAATGTCTAGATTCTATTAAATTTTAAATACTAACATTAAATGCGTTGATATATCGATTTTATTTGTATTGATTTATTGTTCGGCAATGGGGTGAAAAAAAATTATACAACTTTGTTAAGAATCGTTTTTCGCTCGCGATAATTCATTATTGCATAAAGTAGTTATATAAACTAACTCACCTTACATTCCCAACTGCCCACCTACAACTATGGCCTATACCCGTGAGCAGTATCAACTTTTTTTTTTTTTTTACATATTTAAGTATAGTTATTTTAGGTTTTTTTTAATTCGTACGATCACGAATTTTACTTTACGGACTTTTTAACCGCAATGAATCGATTACGCAATACATTGCCGCCCGCGGAAGACGTTTCCACGCATAATAGAAAACACAAGTATAGGTACAGGTTGCGATTACAGGACGTGTATACGTGCAGGTACTTCGTAACCCGTATAATAAATCCAACGGTCGTGAAAAGGGAAAAAAAAATTCTTACCTACTCGAAATCGAATAATCGTGTACTCGCATGCCGCGGCCGAAAATAATACCATTATACAGAATTCATCAACATATTATAGTGCGGTACTCGTGTTGCAGATTCCGCAGTAATCTTTAGTACCTACCTGTATATTATTATAGATAGGAGTAAGGTACTCGTAAGTACACGCTGTGTTTACGACAATAGAACAACAACGCGATATCTTTATATACCGGTAATACATCGGGCATGATAATGAGTGAACGTTCGTACACTATTATAATACGGGCGATTACGGCCTTTCACAAACAGCCAATTATTATTCTTATTTATTTATTTTTTTTTTATATATATATATATATAGGGAACGGATTTGCGTGAGCCAAAAAAATAAAAAACAAAACATGCGTCGAAAATTGCTATTTTAATGATAATACCCCCGGTGAGAAAAAAAAGCCGATACTGTTCATGGGTGTACTACTGTCGTTGTTATAAGCGGGATGTAAGAACGATGCGGTGCATACAGGTCGTATTTAATTTATATCCGTACGCAACGATAAACCATTTCTAACGAAAGACGATTCCGAGTGAAGTTCGATTACTCGTGTTTTAGTTGCTTTTAGAAAAGATGCCTCGGTACATTTGAAAATCGGTTCAAGATTTCTGGTGAAAAAGTTGTTTACACGCAAAAAAAATCACACGTTACAGTAAAATCAATACATTCCTCAGTCTAAAATACATAAGACTCGACGTTTTTTTATTTCTTTTTTTTTTGGACATAATATATTATTATAATATATTAAATATATCGCACGACCGAATTAATACGAATAAAAAAACTAAAACTTTAATAACGTTTAAAAATTCTAAATGCGTTTGTTAGTGTACATTTTTTTTTTTTTTGTAAACGTATAATATTTAGTAATCGGTGTTGATACACTGATGATTAAAACTTATCTTGGTAAAAATAAAAACATGCTTAAAAATTATAAATTGAATTGAAATTATCTAGATAACAAATAAAAGATAATCATTATTTATCTAGACAATACAAATACATCTTTTGAAAACAGTGATTATCGAAATTCTATTAGATGTTAAAATATAAACATTTTTAATGTAATAGGTACTATACTAACATAATATGTTATGAAGTTCAATTTACTGAAGTACTTTAATAAAAAAAACTTTTTTAAATTCTGAACAAAGCTAGGGGTTTCAGTTCTCTTGTAAACGGGAAAAATATATCTAAATCAGTTCCTAGAATAACGTAGTTATAAGTATAACTTTATAAGTAACGAAACTGTTTAATCGAATTTTAAGTTTTCAACTCATAAATAATAAACCTTGAAACAAGTATATTAATTATATAAAATTATTTATCTGAATAAATGTATCTAGGTAAGTGGTATTTTATCTCAGATAAATATTTAAATAACTTGGCTATAATTTTGTGTGTAATTTATTATTATTTTTTTTTTTTATTATTAACCACATAACCCAAGAGCAGAATACGAATAAAATCCAGGCCGGGGGATCAAAATTTAACCAGGCTACCCAATAAATTAAGTACCTACCAAATGTATATGAAAAAAACTTAATAGGTACTGAAATAAGACTATTTTTTTTTTTTTTTTTTTTTTTTTTTTTTTTACAAAGTTTTTAAACAATACGAGTAAGTAAAGTATTTTATACAAACATCAGGTCACCGAGGTGTATGTACGTGTGATAAACTGTAAAACAGTATAAATAAATACTCTGAACGACACTTTAATAATTATGATAATATTATCGTTTAGAAACGGCATTAAAATAGTAATATTATCCTTGCACAAAATCTAAGTATTTTTTTTTTTTTCTGTCTGTTCGTGAATCCGCGGTAATAAAATATCGGACCGTCGGTATTATATCGGCAACATACAATATATATATTTAGTGGAATATCGGATATCGGGAAAAAATCGATATCGGCGCACTTCGTAATACCGCGCTGGCGACTACGTGTTATGCGGGTACATCTGAGTTCCGTCCCAACAACCATTTTTTATACCAATTACGTCCCAGATGAAAAAAAAAAAAAAGTATATACCAATATTCCGTCTTCGGTAAAAAAAGTATGTCATATCGATTAGGTCCCCAATAAAAAGACCAACTCAAATATTACAATGTTACTACGTAAGTACTTAAAAAAAAAAAAAAAGTAATAAATTCAGATACGGAGACGCACAAATAATGACTGGAAATTTTAAAAGATAAACAGTATTGTCTTTATTTCTGAATAATACAGTGTTATCAAATTCGATTGTTTAGCGCGATAGCCGAAAGCGATATTATTATCTTTGTTTATAATTAATGAAAAACTGGTATCGTGAATGCAAAAACGGACGGAACCCTTGTAACTGAACAAATTGCACGGGACGGAACTAGCACACGTGTATAATCTTGAATTCAAATTTTACATTTTGCGACGCGACTCGGATGATCAGGTTAGCCTGTTATGCCAGCGCGCACGCCGTACCCGACACGATATCGACAATACGCAAAAAGACGCGACGATAATATAATATTTTACTATCGCCAATAATATCATTATGTACGAATCTGAACCGCGGTTAGCTGGTGTAACAATGATAATGATAATAATTATTATGCGTCATTTTAATTTCGTTACTCGTATTGTTGCGCGCGGCGTATCACACGAGGATGTTTTATTATTATTGTTGTTATTATGTATGTATTTTTTTTTTTCCATACCTGTACCCCGGGTCCGCGTATATCAGGACAACGACCGACGGTAATATTATGGTAGACCGGCAGGCAGACGATCTATAACCGTTACCGCGTCGAAAACCGGTCGTCTCGCGGCACCCATGAATTATTTATTTTATTGTTGTTAAAAAAAAAAAACCATTTCGCGCGTGCACATGAAAAAAAAAAAAAAATCCACACACTAATATATATTATTATATCTGTAGACGGGTTCACGGTGGATCAAGGTCAATAGAAATCGCATTTTTCGCCGGTTAGGCGGTGGAAAAGAAAAAAAAAACAATCATTGCTAACGAAAAACCATTCTGATCGCAGTTCGGTCAAACGCAATAGTAACGTTTTGAAAATTACTATCTGTCGTATGAATATTATTTTTAATTGCGCAACGATAATCAATAACGCATAGCGACAATTGTCATCGTCCGTTGTTTCCCGTCTCGAATTTTCGAGAGTTTCGTCGAAACCAAACAAACTGTATATTCCTTTAAAATCAAATGAAATCCAAAAAAACAAGTCAAAAATATTTTGTTTGTACCGCGTCAAGAAAAAAGTCTGATAAACATAAGAATTCGGTGAAAATTTCAGGTTTTTACAATTATTTATTAAAACTGAGAAACCATTATGCATTAAATATTTCCTTTTTTCTAACGGATTTGCCCGGTTTTTTCCAATGTTTAAGACAACTGTAAGAAATATCAAAAGAAGACTTTTCAACCTATCAACTTGTCAATAATATTCAATCAGAGTCCACCCCTAAAGTCGATGTAATATTTCTGGAAGAAGAATTGTTCACAGGTACAACAAAAAAAAAATTAAAATAAATAATTTATTCCGATTAGTCCGATATTTTTCCTTACCTACCGGATAATCGGCTGTGACCCGATTTCTCGGTAAATACATTTTATTTATTTTTTTGTAGCTACTTTAATACTTTATTATAATTTAGTGTACTTAAAATGCAAAGTGCATAATATTCCCATTCGTGGAACAGAGAGTAAAAAAGTGAAACTTTTATTTTGCATTTTCAACTATTTTTAGGTCATAGTAATTGTTCATTGTATGCATTTTTAGGTTGAATTCTGGAAAGCGTATATACCTTATTCGAAACATTAACTGTTTATGAAATCTTAAAAAATTTAAATAAATCAAATTAACAAGAAATAATGAATACCGGACTTATTCCAAACACGATAAAAATTATAAAATATTGTTATACCTGCACACAATTAATGGTTCCCATAAATATTTATCATTTATTATATTAATAATACGCGAAACGATTTCTACGGACACCTATGTCTGAATTTATAGTGAACCGATGTCCGTGATTTCTTTTCCAAACGAAATCGTATATTCGGTATAAACACGAACCAAGAACCGTCAAAAAATTCAAAATTCGAATACTAAAGGGAGGGCTATGTTTTTTTTTGTTTTAATTTTCTAATTTTTATTTGTCCGAAATTGTTGACTCTTAGAATATAGCGCTAAAATTGATTTTATTATTTTTGCATTATAATATTGACGAATATAAATATTATCATATCATTTTCTCTGACTATACTTTAACACATCCGTCGGTAAATATTGTGTTGCCTATACGTTCGTTTTTAGGGAATCTATCTGTTTTGTTTTTTTGTTTTCTATTTTTCATTTTACGGTCCCGCTTTCAATGAATCGCTGTTATAAAATGGTCTAATGTGTAGTATTTTAAATGAAAAAATCAATAAACTCAATATTGGCCCGCTATACCCAAGGAATTTGAAGTGTAAAACAGTTTGTCGAGAAGTTGGTAACTTAACCAACTAGTTGGTATCCATTGATATAATGATTTTTATTTGCATAGGTATAGTCTGTGAATGAATTTAAACTGTTATCTTCTATTAAATATGAAATTAAAAGTTTGTCTGTCAAACTGCTTTATATATTTACAATTTTATTCCAAACAAGATGGAACTTTGTATACATGATAATATTCAAAACAAGAGCAAGGTTACGCTGTCTACTTTTACTTTCAAAATTTACCCTCTTAATGAAAAATTGAAACAGGGTTTATTTTGGTATTTTTAGAACAAAAATTAGATATATTTTATTAATGGTTTATCTTGAAGGCACAGATAAAAAATTTAATTTTTTTTTAATTTTAAAGATTTAATTTTGTCGTCACAGACAATAAAGCAACCTTTTATCTTGTATCTTTTAAGAAGATAAATACTACCGGGCATCATCAATTGACTATGATAGTGGGATAATATAGGGAACAGGAATACACGTTGATTTGAATTTTTTTAATCAATTTCTGTTATTAAAAGGATTGTGCCTAGTAAATACCGAATAAATTCAGAATTATTCAGCTAGTGACTTATATCTAATATTTTAACATTTAATCCGCCTTACCTGTATCGTATTCATCAATAATGTAGTCGCCTTCGTTAGTATCTTCGAACGGTACCTCTGCCACATTGATCATTCCCTTAACGATTGCCCACGCCGTGTTTCCGTTACTATTGTGTATCCTCCCTCGATAGATACCGGGTTCAACGCTGTCGTCGATTACGAATACCACCCTCTGGACAGCGTTCTCGCGGTCGAAATGATAATCGACCCCCACGTCATTTTTAATGTCTTCGTCTCTTTCTGATTCTTCGACTTCCGGATCGAAATAGTAATCGTCGTCGTCGCCTTCTTTTTCGTCGACACTAGTTCTACCGGTCGGATTTCCTTCGACCATCGGAATCCCGGTCACATTAAACGTGCGTGCAATCGCCGGCGATTCGTCGGTGGGTTTGGACCGGAAGAGTTGAAGAACGTAATTGGGCTGTTGTTGGCGATGACGGTAACTTACCGACGATGACGTATTTAATATGCACGTTATGCAAAATCTCGTTTTTTTAACAGTGTTGGTGTTCACGTCTTTCATTATAGTCCCGCAAGGATAAGTCCCTGTCGCATTGGTACCGTCGTTTAATAACATGTCTTTTCGGGATATTGATCGACAATCCACGATTTCTTGGACGTCTTTACCGCCTCGGTTGATATTTATTCTATCTAAAATACGAAAAAAATACGTAAAAATCACTTTGGAACAGTGCGCTTTAACAAATAACAAAATTTAAAAGCGAATCAATCAAAGTCTGTAAATCTAAACGGCAAAAATTTACGATGAATACGTATGTAAGTAAGCGATCTTTAAATATAATTCACCAATGTCTAAGTAATATTATATAGTTTTCCTATTATATCTCGTCGTTTTTCCTTACACAGTCGCGTAATGACATTTCAATCGCTTCCCTTTCATTTTTATGCAACGACCCGAAAAACCGCACACCAATGTATACATAATATTATCGTCACTGCAGTTCAAACAACAGGTTTTATGAAATATCCTCTTTAACACTATTTTTTTTTTTTTATCAAAAAACGCGATTCTTGTTTCGTTATATCCGTAGCTCAGACCGAAATATACTAGGAGATATCCTTCTCTAAATATTCTTCTCGCCGATATTGAAATCCTTAGTTCTAGTTTTACTCCCCCTTTGAACCGGAATTCTTTATGAAAATAGAAAAGCCAGAAAACTTTGCACGTGGGCGTAGACACTTTTGTAGATGAGAAGTTAGGAAGATACTAGAAGAGAAGTCGAATGTATATCAGTAAGCAACGATGAACCATAACTAACGAAAAAGCGATTCTGAGCAGAATTCAGTTGATAGTGTTGCTTTTTCAACAATATATATTTCATATTATGATAAAATAATTACATAGGCATTATATATTTACTTTAATAATATTTGTTCAATAATGTGCCTATTTTCCGGGTTTTCTAATTTGTTGGAAAAACTCTTGGTCGAAAAATTTTCTCTTAAATAACTCCCCATCCGGATTTATTGTCAGAAAAAGTGCTATGATTGTAAATCGGAACGAAACTGCTGGCCGAAAAGTAAGACAAGTCGCCAACAGAGAAAAATAAATACACCAATACAATCCCTCGCTCCGCTCAGAATCTGTAAACTTCAACGACGGGTACCCGCTCGTTTCAAATCCATATAACATATTATCATTTCGCGAACAACATTATTTTCGGTTTGTAAAAATATTACTGTCGGAAACGTCGCGACGTTTTACCTGTGATGCGATAAACGCACGGTTTGTTCTGTACGCCCATCTCGTTGACGGCACGGCACTCCAGCCGGCCGCGGAGGAAGTCCGGGCGAGCCCCGTTGAACGAGGCCGAAGCCGCGGCCATCACGGCCGACACGTACGACTTGAGCAACGGCGTGCTCGTGGTGAACTTGTACGACGTTCCGACGCCGTCTCTGCCGCCCTGTACGGCGGTCCCCGACAGCAGCGCGTCCAGTTCTCTGGCCGGACGTCCGCCGTAAGCCGTTTCGTCGGACTCGAGCCGACCGTCGTGGCGAGCGTCCCGGTCCGCGGGCGGTTCCGGGAAGAACGTCCATTGGTACTCGAAGGTCGGCGGGTGTCCACGGCCCGCGCGACATTTGATCTCGGGTACGCCGCCGGGTCCGTCGTACATTTTCATGATGATGTTAACGTCCTCGCGGTGCTGGCACACGGGCACGTCTGAGTCAAAAAAAAAAAAAACAAAAAACCGTTACCTTAAATCCTTCTGTTGTGCGTGCGATTTTCGAGCGTACACATACGGCAGCCGAAACAATTTTATCCGCAGAGGTTTGAAAAATTTAATAAAAACTCGAAAGTTTTCAAAGAAAAAAACGATAAAATAATATTTTAGAAATATTATACCGCAGCAAATAATGCTGACATCAACATTGAAATATAAGTACTCGGTGAAATTGTCAGGTCTATAAAAGGATATTTCCGCGCGGTATTTTCATTTTCAATATTCAAGTGTTTGTTATTATATTATTACGGGCTTTAAACTCCTCAGCCGTCGTTATATTATACGTTACCGCGCGTCTCTAATTATCACAAATAACACTATTGATCTTTGACTGCATTAATTAGTTTTCGTCCCTCCGTTCCGAATGCGAAATGCCATCTGTGTTTGACGCGTTTAAACAAATAATCAATCACGTATCCATCAACTCGTCGCCGTGATTCACCGTTACTATTTCCTGGAGTTCTTCCTGTTTTAATATTATCAGAGTTCGATCGTTTGCACAATGGCGTTAGTAAAATGCGCTTAAGTGTATAACAATAATAATAATAATAATAAAAAAATTATGATAAAATTAAGTCGTATTACATTAAAATCAATATGGAACGGAAAAACATGCGATTTATTTAATTGTGTGGAATTGAAAATGCGTTAAAAGAACACGAGCGGTTATTATTATTTTTATAATGATGTACGACAAGTAACAAGTGCCGGGCGGATTTCAAATTATTCCGGAAATTTGATTTGAATGTTATTATTACGCACGCGTGAATTTCAACCATACAATATTATAAATGATCGCAAAGTATTAAGAGATCGTAGGGTTTTCCACAAGGAAACGAAAATCATTTAACATTTTATCATATGTTTAACAATGTAATATTATTGTTCAGATAGAGGTATATGTTTAAATTGTTACATTACAATTAAAATTATGACATGTATATTTAAAAAAAAAAAAAACAATTATCATACAGATTATACAGATAATACAGTTTCATCGCCATTGCGTTGTTCTAAAACGTTCGGATCCAATGATCCAATATTTATCCGGAAAATTTCGAGTTTTCGTTTCTGCCCGCGGGTAAAAATGAATTAATATTAATAGATTATTTATTATTGCGCATTATTCTATTATTATTTATAGGTATAACAGTATGGACAAAAGTGAAATACCGTTTACGATACAATAATGAAACGTGAGCACTTTCGGGTACAAAAAGGTTATGTAGACCACACAATTCAAAGACCCTAATAATGTGATGTATTCGCGGTCGACCGTTGGTATAGGTAAAATCTAATAGTTTAAAAACGAAAATGTATTTTAAGAAGATTAAATTTTGTATGTGTGGGGTTAATTTCGAAACCACCCGACGCGATAAATTCCCGCGTCGACCGTTTAATCGCGCACTAGAATTACCCATATTAAAGGAACCTATTTTACACGATAATTTACTCCTATAATGTCGTCTTGAATCGTCGATTAATATAAAACTATAAAGTAAATCACCATTTTTTTTAATTTTTTTTTTTTTTTTCTAAATACATAGGCAGTAAGTACCTATAGAATACGTATTAGAGATCTCGATTAAAAACATGAATCAATACACGAATGAGCAATTTGTACTCACGTAACGTAAATTTAATACACGTGAATTTACTACCCATGTTCAGTGTTCACGTTTTTTATTTTTATTCGAGTATTCACGTAAGTACGCGAAAATAAGAGAAAAATAACGTGAATTACGTGGATACTTAATAAATATACGAGTAATCGTGAATAATTACGTGTGTACGGGGATTTTTTAGATACACGGGCATGTTGATTCCAATGTTTGTTCCACGTGAATACGTAAGAGCGTGTACACGTGAATTAAAGAATTTTAGTATATCAAAATATTTTATACTCACGTTTCACGTATAACCGAACAGTATTGCTCATCGTTTTGTTCCCTACGGTCTCGTCGTCGATTCCGTTTGTCGCCTGGCACGTGTATTTTCCCGCCGCCGCCACCTTGACGGATTGCAAAACCAAATCGTTATCTTGACTGTACTGTATTACATTATTGGCCAGCCTGTTTTTCTTCTCGCGTTTCTTTTCGCCGCTACCCTCCGTTCGTCTTTTCTCCGAGTCTTCCGTCAGCCGCACGCCCTGTTATGTTGCACACAAATCAACAAACGTTATAGAGCCTGCAGTTAAATGCATATTATACTGACACGTCCATAGACTTATGTATAAATACTCAAAATAATAGGTACATACAACCCCTTTTTAACTCCCCCTCCAATAAAAAAAAAAAAACTCTTTAAAGTTTTTAATATTAAAATTTAGTTATAAAAGTTTTAAAATAACACCCGTGAAAGCAACACCGTCACTATATATTATATAGTTGAATTTGCCCATCATACGATTTTATAAAACCGTAATAGGATTTTCTTTTGTTTTTTCGCCTTTATAAAACACGATGCAATTATTTAACAACATGACATTTTAGCATGGAAATGCTGGGAGAGGAAGTTAAAAACCGAAATTCTTAAAAGGTATATGATATCCTTTTATGATATCCATGACGCTAATTCAATTCATACACAAAATTGCATACACATATCTTCATTTCGGAATTTCTGATTGATATTTACCCAGAATTGCACCAATTCAATTAATTTTAAAAACGACTCCAATATTCACGAGTTTGAGATCATTCGGTTCAATGGGAGCCGCTGGAAATAAGTAACGGAAACATATCCGTGTCTGACAAATTATTACATTGTTGATCTACCTGTTTACAGAGTGACATTTTCGGGGATAATCCAATACAAATTACAATATACGCCTATACTTATAAAATATCAAACTATTCGGTAAATACGTTATATTTTTGGAAATACACATTATTGGATTTAGAAATTCGCTTTAATTTCTATATGAATTTCACCATGCCGTTATGGGAGGAGGGCGGTGTTTTAATTTTGAATAGTTTTTATACACTCCGAGATTAAAACTAGGTGGGTGCAATTTTGTATGCGCGTGCCATTAGTATCAATATATGATGTTTCTTATGGGGGTTTCAGTTCTCACCGCTACTATGTTTATGATTAAATTTCACATTTTGTGTTGGAAATAGTACAACAATTATTTTAGTGACTACACTAAAATACGGACACACGATCATTAATTGTTTTACAAAGAATATATTATCTATAATACGAAATCGAGGGGGGATATTTCGAATGTAGTGACGGAGGATTGCCGTTGCTTTATTTTATTTGATAAATAATATAACATGCTGCCCGTCTCTATAATATAGTAGCTCGTTAACGCACGAAATATAATAATATTATACGTCGGGCGAGTTCCGAAATCCGTGATGATCGTACATCGTGATTTAACAATGCGAAAACGCGAAACGCTCATATTGTGCTTGAGTAAATGCGTACTTAAAGTCGGTTATTTCAACATTTACCTGTCCGTGCGTGGACCGTCGTGCGTGCAATAGAGGGGCACAACGATATTTGTTCAGATATGCAGTTTAAATAGTGTTTAATACACATCTCGTTCAATTTGCGATTTAAACATGTTTAAAAACATAATAACTCGTTATTATATAATACTCTATACTCTATACTCGCGAGAAAGCCACATACCATTACAATATCGGTATTAAAATATTTACAATATAGCATTACTGTTATTTTTTCAGATTTGCAGTGTAGTGAAGAAGCTATATTACCGAGATGGCTAGACGGTTTTTTTTGTTTTTCTCATGTACATTGTACATAATATATTAAGGGTTAAAAGAACATTCGATAAACGTTCATTTAAATACGTGAATGAATTAAAGAAAATGTATATTTCAATATTATAATATTATCAAAATCCATGTCCTGCGTATTGTGTTCTGTTCACAAGTCGTTTGATTCGAAAAAAGTTTCCGTATAGTTAGCATAATATTATAATACGTTAAATATAGTCACGGACAAAAAAAAAAAAACAAACACAAACACAGATAATTAGATGTACACATTTATAATATGTTCAATAAAAACCCAAGCTTAAAACCGTCAAAAAAAAATGTCTGTTTCGATTTTGATTAATAATACCGGTATCAGATTTTTCAGTTTCGATTTTCATTCCGGATTTATATCAGTATCCAACACCAGTTTTGACACCGGTCTCAAGCCCTGCAGATTTAAATTAGTAAGTGCATTTTTCGTAGTTCATTCACTAACTTATTTGTAATTAAAGTAAAGTAAAAATAACACATTTATTTATGAAATTTGACCAGAGTTGTACGTAAATATTTTAACTTCACTAGTGTTTATTGTCCATCCTGTTATCTCACCGAGATATCACTGGGACACCGGCATTACAAATATAGTTAGCTTGTTATTTCTTTAGGCTTAAATATTGTAAATTAGTAACAAACAATAACAACAGAATGAACAAACGATTTTCGGACTTCTAGGTATTATGTGATTAACAAAATATCTCTAGGAACAAACTTACGTATCGTGGCGAAATAACAGACAATAGCAGCGTTTTCAATTTTGGCAATTTATCTACAATTTAATGATTTTGGAAACTGTATTAGCGTTTCAAAATAATTATTAGCGAATGTCGCCAATTGTGCATTATTTTGGCAATTTGGCACAATTAAGCGATTTAAAAATGTAAAAAAAATAAATTATATTTTAAGTATTTTATATTTTTTAAATATTTTATAGGTGAGAAGTTAGAAAGGTAAGGGAAAATTGAATATATGTTTGTATGCAAAGCTTAATCATTGTTAAATAAAAACGATTTTGATTGGAGTTCGGTTATGCATGTTTTAAAAGGTCGTAATATTCATGATTTGAGAATAATAAATTTCGTAAATTTTCTAATTTTTTGAGGTTAGGTTTAACCCCAGTCAAATTTCCTTTCATAAAAGATGGTACACTTGAAAATCGGAGCGAAATTTCTGATAGAAAAGTTGTTCACAAAAAAAAAAAAAAATAAAATCATTATTGTAAAACTAATATATTCCTCGCTCTGCTCAAAATTTAAGAGAGTATAGTACCTTCAATTTTCCTTTTAAACCAAATTATTTTTTTTTGCTATTAGTGTTAAATACTTTAGGCCTGACACACTATATAAACCCCTTACTTGGGTAGAATATATTAAACAAACACGCCTCTTGCACAATTTCCGTCGTAAATCCTTTTTCCCTTTTTTAGGCAAGCATTCGGAGGTAAGCTTAAAAAATAAATTGCTTTTATATAAATTCCTCTTAAAGCCTATATGCACCTACGTTATCTAGTTATGGGGCGTGGCAAAAAAAAGAAAAAGAAAATAATATCCAAAAAATACGAGCCTGTTAGTCTATTTCTTTATATGTGATTACGATCTTACCCTTTTATGAGTGAAACTACATGCTGCATACTGACTTAGTTGTACGGGTCATCTTGGAAGTAACCACGTCGCCAAGTAACCGGCGAACCAACCGAACCCTTTAATTATGGTTATAAATTCGCCCAACATCCCTGATAACATTTTGGTAATCCTCCAAGGAAGCTCAAGAGACGCTTGTGTCGGGATTTAGTTCATTAAAATTAAATTAAAAAGAAAAAAAAATATTAAGAATTATTAAACTAATGACTGCCGAGTGTTACTATTGGGTGACTACTCGCTTCATGTATTGTCGCGTCTCTTTTGAAGACCAATGTGCTTATTGTAAATATTTGTTTTTGAAAATTGTACATACAACATAATATTTAAAAAAATATGTGTATTTATAATTTCTACAACAAAATAATATAGTGAGAATAAATAACGAAAATGTCCTCTCCTATCTTCAAAAACGCGGTGATTAATCGTGCAAAATAAAATACATTTAATTCGGCAATTAATCACCTACTATGTAAGCCACTTAAATGATTTTACTATGTGAAAATTTCAAGTCAAGACTCATGAGTCGTTTATACCATCAATTTTAAACAATAAATTGTCTATACATTTCATATCTTTTAGATAAATGGCACAATAGTTATCTAGATAAGATAAAATAGAGTAATTCTTATCTAGATAAGTCTTAACACTGACAGTAAGTTAGTAAGTAAATGTGATGAGAGAAATAATGCATAAAATAGCGTTTATAGAAAAACACTCAGCAGTGCCACTCGACTGTGAAATTAATAAAAGAAAATTAAAGCAAAATAGGTATCTAGGTCAATTTCTTTAGAGATTTTTAGGTTATAGTTTTGTGGTAAAATAGAAGTTTAACACCTGCCTATTTATATATATACATACATTTTTTTTTAAATCTATATTGTATGGCTGTATTGCGGTCGTCACCACATTATCAAAATCAGAATTATCGAATATTTAATGATATGACAACAACCATATAATGGGCATTATATTTTCATCTGATGTTCGTATGATACCGGTATTACAAATTTTACTGTTTTGACTTCGATTTTGATTTTGCTTTAAAATGCCATTATAATAACACGGGTTATCAGTTTTTTCGGTTTCAATTCCGTAAATAACCGTATATTGTAAACTACTTTTAATGTTGACTTTGAACGTTTTAATACCTTTAACATTTTGACCTCCTATCCCTCTCTTGAAAGTTTTTCGTCCTTGTTTCTGGTTTATCGTTTTAACGCCAACATTTATTTTAACTAAAACTTCATCTGTTTGCGGAATTGTGTATACATGTTGTCATTTAATAATCAAAATGTGTTCGTGGTTTTACTCCTGAATATAAGGGTGACAAACTATAAGGGCATGTTATATTTTAGAACTAATGAGTGTCTTACATTGTATTGCGTGTTCTGTATATTATAATATCCGATTAAACTATTGTAAATTGACCCATAGACATACTGCAGTTATTCGTAGGTATTATTTCCATATTGTTAACCTAAAATCTAAACTACCCGAATTCGTGAATATAATGTACACTTCCGTCGGCTCAACGCGAATTGACCTTTACACAATGCTTGCCATGTTTTACCGATACTCGATGCGATTAACGTTCCCCACTGCAAAGGATTACGAATGCTTGCAGCACCTATTATAGTATGCAGCAAAGGACGCGATATAAATGCTCCTTCTAACTGTTTTCTAGATCCTGCAGAGACAATAATGCGGTCTCGAATTCAAACGAAGCGAACACACTAATACACGGAAGGGTTAAGTTTCACTTTTGGTAAAATTTAAATTTAAAACTTCAGTTAGGATATTATTTAGTATGTGATGTGCGTGCTCTTTTTAAGTTAATTAATTTTTTTTTTGTATTTGTGACAAGGTTCTACTGTAAATTTCGCACCTTCCCTGGAATCAAATTTAATCTTATTGGTCCTTTATGATATAATTTTTTTTATATTATTTGTAGTTTTTCAATATTTGAAGAAAAAAACGTTTAAAAGACTTACAAGTTTACGGTCATACCGGTTTCATTATTTTCGGTTTGGTTTTAATTTTTTAATCTGATTAAAAATGAGTGTAGAGATTTTTATAGGTATCGAAATATATCCCAAAATCAATTATTAAAATTCCTAAATTTGGATATTCATTGACAGTAGTATTGAAAATATAATTTTTGAATAGAGGCAATTCTAAAATGATTTGGTATACATTTATAAAAGAATGAGTAGTAGTCATAGGGTAAAATGTTCAATAAATTTGGGTAACTTTGAAGTTATTTATAGGAATTTGATATTTTCCAGTTTTTTAATTTTTATACGATCTTGCATGGATAAAATTGTATAGGTTGAGTCAAAATACATGGACATTTTACATGAGATTCATTATGCTTAGTTGTACTCAGAGGTTGAAAAATAAATACGAGCGCAATATAATAGTTTTTTATGCAAGTGTTTAAAGTTCACATTTTAATGAGAATTTTATAAATCACGGAATTTCAAAACATGTAATATGTAATCAAACCTCGCACATCACTGTATTTCGTTGGTAACGGTTTATCGTTGCGTACAGATATAAATTAAATAATTTTATGTACGCTACCTTCTCAACTTCGCACCTACCTACAACAGTAGCACACCCATCAGCGGTGTGAACTCTTTTTTTCACATATATATATATATATATACATAAACACACACAATATATTGTACTTTCGGACACTCGCAGTCATACTATAGCAACAGTGCGTCTGTATTTTTGTTTAAGTAAACATATTCTTTTTTTATTTATCGAGGTGCGGATGTACGTGATTTGTCGTTTCCTCTATACACCTACAGTGTAATATAATGGCCGGTAATAGAAACTCATCTAAAGACTAGTAGGTATAGAGGGGAAAAAAAAAGAAACACATGAGAGTATTCGCACATATCGCGCATAATAGTACGGGGTTGATGGTTACATAATATGATTTTCATTTGTAAATGATCCTTTTCGTTACCTACTGTAGTGTCTAGTACAATGCACTACCCGGGAGAATTGTCGCGGTATATAGTGAAGACGACAACGACAAAATTGCCTACTCTCACGGTACATATAATAAATCTACCGACAAGACACTCCCGTTTATAGATGGCGTTGGCAAAAATAAAACTAATGCTCGAAAACGTTTGTTCATTTTTTTCTATACCCCTTTGAATCGTTTATAGGTATCTCAACCGACATTCGTATAATCTATATTGTGTTGTTATAATAACAGTCGCCGAGATTCTTTGAACCATTCATTTTTCTTTGTTAAAACAGGGTTACACATATTTCTTGTTTATGTGCCTATACCCAAAATAGTATTGTACGTATATTTATAAAAGTCTAGATCCGTCGATCAGAAAGTACTGCAGCGTAAAAATGCGCTACATAAGATTAATGTATTGCATTTTAAGTATACGTCGCGTAATCACGGCGTTGAAACACTCGGTCTTTTAACGCCATTTCATTATAAGTTTAGAAATTAAAATTGCTCACAATTATTCGCATAGGTACCTTATTATAGGTCGTGTAACTGAAAACAACAACGATAATTCAAAAAATATAACATTATATTTTCCCTTTTCGGTTATTATTACTAAACCTATATTTTGTTAAACTTTAAAACTTTTGCAATTTGACGTGTTTAATTTGTCTGTATAGAAAAATCGATACTCGGCAAACTATCAAGTTCCAGAGTTATTGAGTATAGCTAATAATTCTTATACACACCGAAGCAAGTCTGTACGTATTGGTTTAAAACCCGCACACACATACACACACACACGCGCGTGCGCGCGCTTGTGTTAGTAAGTAGTGGGTTTAATCAAATTCTAAACGCGTTTAAAGAATTTAAACACATAATATACGTATTACGTACGTACCTATAGGTATACATAGTAAAATAGAAATATAGTTTGTTGTACGAAATCAAACCGAAAAATAATACGTCCACTTGATATTACCTATATATATATATATATGTGTGTGTATGTGTATGTGTGTGTGTGTATGTATAAAACTCGTTTTAAACTTTGTTAACAAAATATAGGTATACTATTGTGCGAGGTATCGACAATTCGAAACCATCATCAATTCGAAATAAATATAAATACTGTATTATAGTATAAAACCGATTACTCACGTTGTGGTACCAACTGTAACGGATGGTGGTTGACGGATTGGCTCGGGCAACACATTCGAAATACACGTCATCTCCAGGACCTATACGTCCGGTGCTCTGCAAACGTGTGCCAAATTGTAACCGTACTATCGGAGAGTCTTCGGACAATGAAAACAAAAAAAAAAAGGAAACAGATTATTTATAAATAAACGTAGGTAAATATACCGGATAAGAGAAAGCAATGACCCATTATAAAAAATGACACACGGAAACTGATTCGATACGTAATTTAAAATGCGTGTTCAAGCGTTTTCTCCTCAGAACCGAAAATAAAAGTTAGGTCCTAAATATAGATTTTAAAATCATAACCCCTAATAATAAATTCCAAGTTTTCGCAGTATGCTAAAATAATTATTATAAACTCGTTTTTTTTTCTCATGCAACGTCTACTTACTCGCCGAATAGCTCGTCCAATGTATTATTTGTATGAATAAAACGTAGTTAAACGTACCCGGGAAAATTAAACGAACACAAATTATAATTTATAATTTTTCTGAAATCGCCGGAAATAAAGAAAACTGCACGTTATTTCCTCATTGTAAAGTCAGAAAAAAAAAAAAAATAAATAATAATAATTATTATTGTTATTGGGATATCGAAACGTGAATACATTACTAATTAATATCGCAGAATTTTTTAAAATAATTTTTTTTTTAGTCAATATATACGATCTTTCGATAACCGCAATATATATATATCAATTAATCTACTAGGTATTGTATTGTAGCTAACATTTTATTTAATGTTAAGCAATAATTAAAAAAAACAGTTGATTTGTTTTTTGTTTAAAATAACTTTAAACTTAAAAAGTTTAAAAATAATGGAGACAATGTTGCAAAATAACTTAATCAATAAAATAACATAATTATTTCTTGCAATAAATAATTTTTAAACATGGACAATTTTTAATAATGTTCATTATTTTGTTAAACATTAAGTTATTTCTAAATAGTAATTTACGAATTTTGTATGAAAAAAAACTGTTCACCAACATTTAATTTTTTCATTTATTTTCAACGAAAATTATATTTTAATCTTTTTTTTCGTAAGTATTATCATCACATAATAAGTCTGGCATGCGACCTATGGGACACCCACACGGGTTCTACAAATTCTTTTATAGTAATTCTATAAATATGAATACAAAATAGTAAAAATTATGAGTGTAGTTACTAATTAAAGGAAAATTAAAAAAAAGTAACTTTTATCTTGATTTAAGTTATTATTTTTGATACCTTGAATAAGTTACACAAATTAATATGTATTTGAATACTAACATTAACTTAACTTAGTTACTTATTTATTTTTTTAAAGAAAACTTTACTTAAACTAGCTAAACTGGCTTAAACAGATTAATTAACTTGCTCAATTTTGTTAAAATTTAGATATTTTATTTTGTATACCGAGTACGTTCAAATTAATTATAAGTATGTATGAAACTATATAAAATAAAATACATATTGCACACGTGCATAATTTGCATAGTTTTCAAATAAACGTAAAGATCATAAGCTTATCGTTTCTAGGGTAAGTCCTATGACCCCCCTTCCCTCTCACGCAATGGATCCACCCCTGTACATATTGTATCGTTTTCTAAGAGATTATATTATATTATTATAATAATATTATCTCGTTTGCACTAGGAAGTGATAAAATCAAATGGATGCACATTCCTGCTTCGTGTTTCATTATCAAAGCAGTGAATTAAATGCATGATTTATTATTCAACCATATAAGACAATTTTCCGATTAATCTTAAATTAATTAAACGTTAATTAAATCTTAATTAAATGTTCTAAAATTAAAGTCAATTTGAAAACTGTTTTCAGAACATTACAAAAATATTTTTATTATTATTTTGCATACCTTTGAAAAATTAGTGCATGTGTTTACATATCTAAAGAATTTTAAGAGTACATTTTTTAACGGATATTTTGTCGGTTTTTTGTGTATTGATTTCACAGCTCTATTTACAACTCTTGTATTGAAATTTTCTTTTACTTTAAAAATCGAACCGAATAAACGAGAATATACATATAATAAAACGAGAATTTGAATCATGCAAAGATTAAACAAATTACAACAACGTACTAATGTCAATTCAAAGTAAATTATTCAAAGGAAAAACGATAGCCGCAAATTGTCAATAAGTAAAACAAGATCACATCGTTGATCAACTAACGTGAATTTCATGTTAATATTATAATATCTAGAGGCTAGATTCAAATACTCTTCATTTTAAACAAACGATAAATATTTGGGTTATTCAAATCAAATGTAAAATCAATCTCCGTATACGTCACCAGCTGTTTTATTTTTAACTTACATTGTACGTCTAACGTGATTTTGGTCTCCACGTAAGTGCGCTCGATTTTAATGGCCGGATTGTACGCTCGGCAAACCAAAGTCGTTTCGTTGTAGTCATTTTCGTGATCCTCTGCGGAGTACGGTGCTCGGAGCATAAAACTAAGAACGCTCGTCGTCACTACCATCTCGTCTTTGTCCGCGGTCACGTCCGGTGTCTGTAACAAGAAAATACAATAATTTAATATTAAAATACACTATCATTACGACAGTATAATACAGTCACCTAAATAAGTTATAATTGTTTAAATACCGAGGGCACCTGAGCGTAGCGAGGAATGTATTAGTTTTGCTATATGGACGTGGTTTATTAATTTTTCTTCAGTCTTTAAATACAATTTTTTTATTATTAGTTGTATCATACTCGAAAAGAAAAAAAGAAAACAATTCAAAATATTATTAAAAACACTATATGATACGTTGCTAGTATCGTAGGTGTGATGTTGGGTGAACACAAATAAATGAATCCGTAGTTGCGTTCGTTTTCCCGTTTTTCCCTAATATGTTCTTAAGAAAACTACCTGCACGAAGAATCAGAAACCAGACATTCTAGATAGCATCCACTCAAGAAAATGTACCATCGAAAACCACCGACAAGGTTGACGAGCTTTAGCGTTGTTTCCGGTACAGAAACTGTTAGCAGACAGGGGGATAAAAAAATTAAAAAAAAAAAAGACAAAAAGTCAATAGAGATAAAAAAAAAAAAAATAAACAAAACGTCGATCGTTTCCCGGACGGCGCGCGCCGCCGTTTCATGCCGTAGTCGCGTCAGGCCGTTATTATTATCGTCTCGATGAGATTTCTGCGCGCGACGCATAAACGGAAAAGTTCAATTTCGCATACACGTGAAATATTATTATTTTATAATTTAAACCGCAATACTTTTGTATTTATCTTTTGCCACCGCTTGTTAGTGAGTAGCGGCGCGAGCAGTAAGTAGTGCGCGAGTAGTTGGAGGTACTCCTGTATTGCGAAAATACAATAAAAACACGCGTATATAACACGAACTCGGGTTTTCCCGTCGTCGCCGTCGCCGCCGCCGTTTTCGTCGTCGCCGCCGCCGCCCGCCGCGGTGCACATAGAGCCGCCACCGCCATCACCGCAGAAACTCTAAAAACTTGTTCTTTATTTATTCACAGTCCGTCGACAAACATAATACGCAACAAAGTTATAATATACACGCACGCGCACACGCACACACGCACAACTACACCGGGGCGGCCGAGGTGGCGGTCGGGGGACCTCATCCACCGGCGTTCCACCGACCGTGCACCCGGTGTAGAAACGGCGCGCGGACCGGCAACGAATATACATATATGTTTTTCGAGCGGAGACGGTCTGTTTGTTCAGGCGCTCTCCCCCCCCCCTCACACCGCGTCGTTTGTTGGGCGCGTACGTTTTTCTACCGCCTCGCGAAAATTTCCGCCGCGTTTACAGTGGTTGTAATAGTAGTAGTAGTAGTAGTAGTAGTAGTAGTAGAATTATATTATATTTTATTATTATTGTTATTACTATTATTATTATTATTATTATTTGTTTACACCGACCCGTCGCCGTAAAACTCTCCAAAAACTACGCGCGCGGAGTAAATTTCCCATTCGCCGCCGTTGTTGATTCGTTCGTTAAAAATGTTCGTATTTGTCTTAATATTACGTGCACATACATATACAAAGTTTCAAACCTTACCCGGTAATACATTTATATTTGCGTTATTTAAGTTACCGTTTACATGCGTACACTGCACCGGTGTTGGTGGGCGTTTGCCGCTGTTCCGTCGTGCACAAACGCAACTCGTGCGGTCCAAATCCGCCGCGTCCCCTTCCCTAGTACTGCCGTAAGTCGTTTTCAAAGTCGACCGACCGGACCGCCAAAAACGGACACAAAATTTACGAATATTTGGAATTCGCGTTTCGCCACTTTCCCGCGGATTCTCGGTGACGTTGACAAGAATCGAAAAAAATTTCGTTACCGAAATCAGTGACTTGTCGGTTCGTTCTCGCGACGCGCGGTGGAGTACAAAAAAAGCGGCCAAGAATACTGTATGGATTTGTCTGTGTGCATTAATCTACATTCTCATCTTCTATTGCATCGTCTATTTCAGTTTCTTAAAAGCCATTGCAAACATCTTTAAGCGAACAATTTCCCCTCCCCCGGCCAAGCACCGCATCAATTTATTTAAAAAAAAAAAAAAAATGTCGACGCGTAATGAGGTTTGCACAAAACAATAATAATAATAAAAAAAAAAAGTTGAATATTTAAGCCCGAATGCTGCGGAAAAAATATTTATCGATACCTAGGCTAATAAATTACGGATGAAAATTGCAATGGGTGTGATGCCCCTGTTTGGCTATCAGAGACATTTAACTCTGATGAAGAAATAACCATAATTTATCAGCTAATAATAATCGCGTTAATGACGAGTAGATAACTATTTGTGGGAATGTTGGACTATTGATCTACAACGGTCTACTTATTGACGGTTATTTGGTGTTTGCGTATATTTTTACATTTTTTCGAATTCCTATTATTCACGAATACGATAACAAACTAGTAAGTTATTGGTTTAAGAAAGGGCACCTTGTTTCATCGTATTCGTGCAATATTCATCAACTCCCATCATTATGTATGTACTTATGTTTTTATACGATGTTCACGATTTAGATCACGTATATCCAAAAGAACTTGAAAAGTATAACATAGCCGATGAAGCAATTGACATTCTCTATTGTTCCGGTCTAACTTGCATATTTAAAATGGTCGTAAGGATGTAAGGAATTTAGAAATTTGACCCAGAGTACAATTATGTTTTTTGTTTACAGGAAATTTTCCCTGAAACCTTGCCCCTTTTTTTTTGTTTTTATTGGTTATTTCGGTGTAATTTATCGTTTAACAAAATACGGTAACTTATATAAAAATGATAAGTGTCCCTTCAAAAAAAAAAAAAAACAAAAAAATAAATTGGCACTGCTTAATATGGTAATTGTAATGGCCAAGTACAATAATAATAACAATTTTATTTAACTGCCAATTGCATTACAAATTATATGTTTTTGGTTTATGTATAGAGATGATAAGTAAATCTCGGTCGACCCGTTGTGGTCTTGGCGTACTTTTAATCGTAATAATATTCGTTTGCATTAACGTATTTTTCGAATTTGGCGATTTCTGAAGTGAATAATCAATCGGTCGTCAGTAACGGTTGAGTATTATTATAAACGAATTGTTGAAAAGATACAATAATAATATATTCATAATATTCCTTAAATATTTCATTTACGATGTTATATTAATAATATATTCACATTATTATTTTAAAAGATATTTATTTGATATACTATCAATATTTATTTAATAATATCATTTCTTTGATGAAAAAATTATATTAATATAATATTATCATTACAGATATGCTATCTGGGTTAACTCGTTAAAATTAATTTAACCATATAAATTATTTAATAACTAATGATATTAGGTACTAATCTTATTAAAAAACAGAACACAAATTTATGTTAAAACATTTTCGTTCTTATAAAATTCTAATTATTTAATATTAAAAAAAAAAAAAAAAATGTTACCTAGATTAATGTATCTAGTTCAATTCATCTAGACAATTTGAAATTATTCACCTACGTAAGATAAAGATTATAATATAAAAATTATCTATCGATAACTGTATCTAGATAGTATATATCCAAACACGTGCTCCTCGAATACAATAAATTATTATTGCCGTACATTTACACGATTTGTAATTTATTGGCGATTTTCGCGACCCCCCTCCCTCCTAGAAAGACCACTATAATTTTATTAAAACGCCGCAGCCCCGGACCTTCTTTAGCGGACCGTCATCACTGGGGGAGGGTAGGGGAGAGAGTTGGCATCATCGTCGTCGTCGTCGGAACGCGGGTAATTCGAAACAGACATTTTGACGATTTGACGGTAGGTACCGGACCGGGCCGATAACACTACAAACACTGCCCACTCTGATGTTGACGGCGGCAACAATAACGTGTTTGTGTTTTGAGATATTCCGCGACGAAACAATGATTGATAATAAATTACCCGGCTGCACAATGATAATAATAATATAATACGACATCACAGTATTTACAAATCCTGTTATTTATTTTGGCCCGTATTCGGCCCGGACAATATTATTATAATGTGTGCGCGACGATGGCACAGGTCCAAAACACTATAGTATTATTACGCTATAATATCCGACCCGATTATAATATTTATACGTATATATTTTTTTCCCCCCTGTCAATAATTATTATTATATAGTAAAGATACCGCGGATACACTCTGCGAGTGATCCGGATTCCGGGTGGCGGAAACATTTTGCGTGTATTGGTTTTACAATAATGACGTGTGCTTTTTTCGCTTTTTTCATCTCGCAAAACACTGTTGTTTTTACGGGTAGCCATTGGACCAATAAAAACCGTAAAATATTGAATTCGTACAATAATAAGCCCGCGTCCATACGGTTGTAGGTGATAATGTATTGAGTGAATTTCAATAGTGAATGTGCCACGACGACAGTAAAATATAAGGACGCGATTATTTATTTACAGCGGTGAGTTGTATTGTCGCTCTCGCGATAATAACTATTAATTATACGCATTCCCGCGGCAGGTAGTTCAATAGTTCTGTTCGTACGACGATAGTTTATAACAGTTGAAACGAGCACGGTGTAGACTGGAGGCTTTTGAGAGACAGTTTTTCGATTCACCCGATAGTTATCCGAATACAGCCAATGAAAGAAACCGCCAATAAAATTACGAAAAATAAATTTTGAAAAATAATGTTCGTATAGTTTTACACGACTCGTGTCCTTTTGCACAATACATACAAACGGGTACCATACAAAATATTATATTATTGATCGAGTATTATTCACATGGTTTTAGAGCTTAAATCAAAAATCCAGTTTTTTATCAATTGTTAATTGATATGTATAATGACGTACATTTGAAGAGCGACCCCTTCACCCCTTATTGGGATTTTTCAAAAATAATTAAACCAATATTTAGCACGTAATTCGCATGAATTTGCACGGCAGCCATATTCGAGATCAATCGATTCCCATCGAGGAAGGGGCTGACGAAACGTTTTACTAGCCCCTTTCCACCTTGGTCAATATTTATATTTTCGAATTTACTTTCCTCTAAAGTATTTAGCACCGTAGTTTTCATGCATTTGCCCGAAGATTTTTTCAAAATGTAAACTCGTTAAATAATATGTTTTACGTATGCCATAATAATTATAAACACGCTCCTATTAAATCTCTAGTTCTACAACAATACGCTATTGCGGAACAAAATCGTAATACAATGATAACTTTGCAAATAACGATTCGATACGCGGTTTTCGGTTCTCGATAAACTTCTTAGTTGTACAGCGTCTTTTGCTCAGTGATAATTGTTACAGTCTAAAACTCTGGTCTGAAGAAAACCAAACATTGATCCGTCACATTAATTATTGAAGCGACATTTTATATTAAATATCAAATTTTTGAAACGGAAAATGATAAAAATAATAACCTACATAATTTGATATATATATGCATTTAAATATTAAACACTTGTGCCCTTTATTATGTCTTACTTCGGATATATTTTAATATCGGTGAAATAAACGATCGTAGAACAATATTACCAGTTCCGTCACAAATAACATTTCTTAAACATTATTGCCACCTAAGTTGACACGCCAACCTTAATTCACAGCATTAACAACGCTTGACACCCACATAGAGGCGCCCCGCGTCAAGCTATTGTAACCGTCTGGCGGGAATCGTTGACGTGGAAACCCGTGCAAAGCATACAGATGCCTCACGCGTCACCCATTTCCTCACTCCTCCGGGTTCGCCCAGCGAAAGCACTCAACTTTTTATTCACTCGCTCCTCCGTACTTCTCTTCTAAATCTATATAATAGTTGTATTGAAGGTAACAGTTTCGTAAACCAGCGGTACCAGTAGATGTGGCACACGATTTCGTAAAAATATATAATTAACGTACAACATGAAAAATGAAAAAATTGGACTTGCGCCTTTTCGCACCAACACCGTTCACATTATTTCGAATTCGATTGCAGAAAGCCATCGATTTCCCTTTGCGTTTCAAACGTGCACCGATATATTGAATATTAAACAAACATATACTTTGTTATAGGTTATAGCTGGTACAACACAACGATTCCGTGGTGCGCGTGTGTGCGCGGGTGATGGTGGGCAAGGAACGAGTTTCGGCGTTTTCGCGCCACCGTCACCGCCATCACTTAAGCCGAGTTTATGAATTTCAAATCGTCTCGGTCTGTAATTCGCTATTTCGGTTTTCCGCGAAAATAATCAACTAACCGTGTTGGTCCGATATTGGATGTTGACACACACCGAAACGTTGCGGAGATGACATGATAATATTGGTGTTACGATAATTTATTTCGAACACAATATTACGAACGGCGCGGGGACAGCGCGTTTTTCGGTAAAAGACGCGAGACGTAGAAAACAATAACAATACGTACGGGAGCGCGTACACGCGTAATAACACATCTGTGTGTACGCGTGTTTTACGGTTTCGTGACGTAATACGTACACGCAATACACATAGATATTATCGAAATGGATTAAAATCCGCAATACGCGAACGTGTATACAGCGTTGGAAATAATATTGTGTTTATATTGTGTCTATACTGCGTGTTCACATACCCATGCAAATCGTTTCTCGAAGACATTCACGGCGTAGTGTATACGGGACAGCAATTATTTTTGGATTTTTTTTTTTTTTTAAATGGTCATTCGCGCAGCTTCGATTAATCGATTCCGTTTTTCTGAGACCGTTATTATACTATACACCGAGTCGATAGTTTATTAATTGTATAATTATGTATTCAATCGTATTGAATGCGGACGAACGAACGACAGTAATATTATAATCGTCGCAGTCGTCGCGCGGCACGTGTCTAAGGAAAATTTTGAATTTGTCAGTAAACTACAACATATAATAATAACAGTCGGTGTCAAAATATAACAATAACTCAGTACAATATATTTTTTACGTTAGTTTCCAGTCGGTCGGTTTTTCTTCACCCGGGGGAAAACTGTAGCGAATGTTTTTTTAGACATATAATTTACTCAGTATCGTAGAAAAACGAAAAAACAAAATTTAAAAAAAAAAATTTACTTCTATATCCAAAAATAATAGGAATTGTTCACTTCTGTTTATATTTTACACTACTCATTATGGATCACTTATCATTAGGCATTCATTATTTACTGCAGTTTACTCTAGTCTGCTCTGTCGAACCAAATTTGTAATAAGACAAAAGAAGTACATTCATCCGACTCCGATGTTTTAAAACTTACATATTTTTAACCTGCGCTAGCATATCAAAAATGTCGACAGTCAACTTACAGTAGGTACGCACAGTATTTTGCGATGGGAAAGGGGGTCGAGGAACGAGGTAAAAAAACTCTTACACATCCAGCATAGTTTATAATCCGATGAATATGAATTGCATACAAATGGAATTCACATTTCGATGAAATTTATTAAATTAATAAATTGTTAGAAAAAATCCGGCACGTGAGCAATCACGAAATAAAAAAACGCCCGAGTGGTCCCGAGTTGAAATCCTGCCATTTGAATTCCATTATTTATTTTCGTTCGGTAATTTAAAATGACTAATACACACCTATAATTTAATAATTTTCCGAATTTCGTTGGCGGACGAAATTTATTTCCCATATGCATTATTACTATCGTAATGTCAATATCCATTTGGATACTATTAATGCGGTAAACAATGCAAAATATATAGGTAACTATTCACCAAAATTGTTTTAAAACTTAGTCTAAGATGTCTTGGATATCTTAAAAACAGGCCTTGATTTACGCGTGTGCATATGGTCCACGAACACAAGGACCCAAACTCTTAGGTTCCATTTCCCTCCCTTCAAAAAAAAAAAAAAAAATACAAATATAATACTTAAAAGATATTTTTCATAGTTATAACAATGAGCAATTAATAAACAATTTGTATTTAACAGAATTTGAATATATTTTTTTAAATCAAATTATAATTTTCCGCACTTGAACGTCTTCTTCTATACCACAAGAAACACCGAAATCTTTATCGTTACGCAAAAACTGCCAGGCTTGAAGACACTATTCGTTTACAAGTTTTTAATTTTTGTCGATTTTTTTTAGATTCTGAGTACAGCGAAGAATGTATTGGTTTTACGAAGATGTTTATTTTGTTTACCTTTATGTGATCACTTTTTCTACCAAAACACTTATTCCGATGCATACGGTGAAGGCCCTTTTATGAAAGGAGATTTTCTCGAAATGTACAATGCCTAAATAATTATTTTACCGTCGTGTGACAATATTATATTGTGTCGCGTTGGCGGGGCGTCGCTACCGACTGGACCGCGCTCAGAATCGTTAGCAGTCGTCGCTTGCGGGTACGATTCCCGCGCGTATCCCGCCCTCCCGACATCCCGCGGCGGCTGCAGCGCCCGTCCCCGTTACCTTACATCGGGGGGTTTGCGTTTAAAAAACGGCCCCGGCACAAGTAGCGCGCGGCCGGCTTTCCACGCCGTACGCCGGCCCGTACTCGGAAACCGAATCGCCCGGGCGTCCGTGACCGCGGCACTGGGCCGTACGTGCGGGGCGTGCGCAACACCGAGCGGCCGCGTAACCGCGCGCAACGTCGTACATCACACAACGTCAATTAATACCGGCGGACCAGTCGGAAAACTTTCGAGAAGTTTTGCCGCGCCGTAAACGGCGGCGCGCGCGGCGACGTTTTAATTACGAAAAAACAAATAAAGTAGGACGCGTGTCTTTACGGCGCCGCATAATAGCGATCCGCGCGTGAAACAACGCGGATCCGAACGTTACGCGTTGCGTTGTGTTCGTCCCGCGCTCGTGTACGTTTTATTCCCGTTTCGACTTTGCCGCTTTCAGCGCGTACGTGCCGGCCGACATACGGACCGCGGGGGGGAGGGGAGGTGGGTTGGGGGGGNGGGGGGGGGGGGGGGGGGGGGGGGGGGGGGGGGGTACGGCGTCGTACACCTGCCCGCGAACCGCGCGCACAACAAATAATCGTTATAAATCAGAAATTTCCGTTCGCTGCAGTTATCCGCGGCGGCGGCGGTTTAACGGGGGTTTTATTAACATTGCAGGTATCGCACAAAGGGAACCCGCGAACTTTTTGGCGAGAAACACAATGTATTATAGGCGCGGGCGCGTGTAAATTATTCTCGCCGGGATCCCGAAACTATTAGTGTAATGTGTTTTATTTGCGCCGCGACACTCGCGCATACGTTTCGCGAACAAACGGCGCCACGGCGTATTATTATTATTATTATTATAATACAACGCGCGCGCGAGTATGTACGCTCCGCGAGACAAAAGTCCGCGCCGGCATAAAGCCCCGGGGGCCATTGATTAGAAATTGGATGCCGCGCGGCGCGGTGCGTTACGGCCCGCGCGCGCGTACGCATACGGGAGTTTTCGACAACATCACTTACGCACGGTGAAATATCGCCGAACGATAATAAACAATAATATTGACGGGCTTGGGGCGGCGACGGATCGAAAGTCCGCTCTTTTGAAATTGTCCGGGACCGGTAGGAACATCCGTTCGACGTCTTCTGGTTTCCCTCGACGGTGCCCGGAAACAATATAAACACAATGGGCATAACTACATCCGTTGTGTTGTTCAAAAACAATCATCCGCGCGCGTTTCGTTTCCAACGTACCGCGATTGATCTAGTACAGCGATAAGTATTCTGAAAGCAGACTTGAATTTGTCGTTAATCTACTTGAGATCGACTTTACCGCATTTTCGATTTTCCAAAAATATTAAAACATTCCGTTTGTTCAATTACTCTTTTATCAGTGTGGCTTTTTTTTTTTTTTGTTAGAATTTAAGTAGATGAAAATAAAGAGTGGAAAAGCCGATCTCAAGTAGACTTCACGATAAATTCAAATATGTTTCCAGAATTCCGATCGCTTCACTAGATTAATCGTTACGTTCGAATTAAAACACGTGTAAATCCTCGTATAACACGCGTGTAAGACAGAAACTCGTCGCTTCCGATCCACTAAAATTGGCAATTTTCAAAAAAAAAGTTTAACTATCTTGTTGTTGCTTCGGTCCTTTCGATTGTTGTGAACATTTATAGTTTCGTCCTTTTGCCGTCGTATACGCATATCGCAGGGACGGGCCGATATCGTTTTTTTTTTTTTTTTTTACCGATATCCGATAATATTCCGACGTATTCGATTTGTTATATGCTACCGATATAAAACCGAGGCGTTAGGTGAATTGCGTCCCACTATTCGGCCCATTACCATTGCCCCCTCCCCCCCAAAAGAAACCGCACGAGGGGGCTGGCCGTATAGTCTTCCTGCAAATATTTAATTTTTTAATTTTTTTAATTTCAAATTCGTAGATGATTTGCTGAAAATCCAATTATGCCATTATAGATTTGTCGTGCATTGATAAATAATTCTGTTGTTTATTAGTTTTTATTTCGTACGTACTTAAATAATAATATCTAGTAGTTCGGAAATGCTATTTGGTAGTTTATTGGACGAACAGATATACGCGTGAACAACGAATATTTCTTTTAGTTAATGCCACATCGCTAGTATTGTTATTGTTTTTTACGTCATTATATTTTTTATTCTATATGCAAAAGTTTCGATGGTTTTGACGAAAAATATTTTTTGTCGATTTAATAATTTTCGTTTCGGTTTCGGATGATTATGTTCTGTAGGTTCGTCTATTGTACTAAAATTATTTTCAAAATTAAAATAACACTTACGCAATGTTAAACAACACCAACGTTGTATATCATTTGTTAGAAGTTTTCGGAATCGACATTTAAAACCATCAATGGGTACTTCCAGAAGCATTCTATTTCAGTGTTGCTGCAGTATTACTTAGAACAGCATTTTTCGTGTATAGTATTTCATACTATTATACGTATCGGGGACGCAATTCACCTGCTTGGGAAAAATATCCGGGCCGCAATCCACCTAGCTGTGTATTCACATTTTATTTTCGGGACGCAATTCACCGAACCCGAAATCCGATACCCAGTGTTTTAAATCGAAAACCGCGAATTCGTATCAAAATCAATCGATCAACTTTTTTAAAATAATTTATTTATACTCCACATTCGGACATTTTTTCCCCGAAAAAAATCGGACGAGTTTTAGAAAAAAAATCTCGACACCACCGGTATCTAGCACCGGTATCGATCCACCCCTAAAAAAAAAAGCCAGTTTCCAGATGCCCATCATATCGTTTAATAATTCTTAAAAACCGATATTTCCATTTATATACGTCGAATTTTGAATGAATTTTCCGAAAAAATGTTTTATAGTTATTGTTTTATGCATTTTACATACATTGTACATACTATATAGTATATACGTTGCCGATTATTTCGGGAATGTAAAATATTTCAAAAATTGTTATTTTGCAATGGCTTTAAACACACGTGGATTTTTTGTTTCTTTTAGAAATTATCTATACTGACTCTCACAGTTTTACGTTACAACCAAAAGTTTTTCGAGATCAATAATAACTCGAAGATTATAACTACTGAAATATATTTATTTTTTTTTTTTTTTTTTAAATAGAAATGTAGGTATAAATTATTTAATTATTATATTGACCTATATAATATTTTTTAATTCGAGTTTATTAATGAAATATGATAAACAATCTTTTACAATACAATTTCAAGTGGGTACCTAATATTTAAAGTAGGTTAATACTGTGAAACTAATTAATTTTACGATATTTCTGGTTTTGTTTGTTTTTGAATTTAACTATTTTAATGGCATTTTTAATTTCCATTTAGAAGTTCTAAAATTGACAATATTATTGAAATTAGGTAGGTACTTATTGTTCTTTGGAACATTGCACAAATACACAAACTATAAATGAGTAATATAATAAAATTGATTCTACCTTTTTCGGTGGAATTAATTTCAACTCTTTTGGAACTCTTTTCAAACATACTATGATTTATTATTTCTTTCGGATTAAAAATAATAACACACAACACTAAAAAGAGTGAGATAATCGAAATACTCAAATAATCTATAACCTGACCGTACTCCCTAAACAAAATCAACAAAGGGTTTACGGAAAAAAAAAAAAAATAAATAATAATAATAAAAATAAGTGCATCGTTGTAAACCCGTGTATCTTCTGTTGAAAATATACGGCACTGATCAGTATCTATGTATTAGAAGACTAAAGTACGATACATTTTCATTGAGTTAGAACGATAAATTGTGTTTCATGTTTTGTGTAGCTGTGTACATGGTGTCCCTTTAAGATATACACATTGTGATATCTCATGAGATAATAAAGATAATCAAATCTGGTATTATTTATTTTTTTTTACTATTTGATTCGTAAAAATATACAAATATTTATAAAACATAGGTAACAGTGTTTTGAATTTTTGTTGAACAAAATGTACTTGAAAATGAGAAAAGATAATTTCAAAACACTATTATAGTATTTAAATATAAATTAAACTAACAAATTAATATTAAAAACCACAAAGTTAATGAAAATAAAATATAAAAACATTGACATTTTCTGAATTATTTCTAGATTCAGACCGGAGTGAGGGATCTATTGGTTTTACTATGATGCTTTCGATAAAATTAAAGTCAAAATAACTAAAGAACACCTAAATATAATAAACGAAAATAACACAGACAATTAAGTAAAACAATTGTCTTCACAAATTTCGTATCTTGAGGCAATAATAAATATAAAAAATAAAAAATATGAACTCAAATAATTAAAATTATCGTGGAAATTTTCTATACTCTAGTAGCTCATTTAATTTTCAACATGGTCAGCCGCATTATGACTAAGAATATTCGAATCAAAGAAATCTTTATAACTTTTCACAGTCATCTAATAATTTTAACAACCAACCTATTAATCATAAAAGCAATTAGCAACAAAAATATAACGACAATCCAAACGGTGGATAATATAAATTCACACGTGCCCGAAAATAATGAACCGTGTGAAGACTAACACACAAATAATCATAATAGTTTAGATTGCAAATGAAAATGAATTTGTAATGTATGTTACGTAAGATAATATTATACCACCGATACCTGGTTTTCTAAAAATCAATATACCAATCAAAAAACTTATTGATAGGTTAAATGTAGATACTGGACGTAATTCACCTTATATTCCAGTAACGACAACCAATGAGACACCAAACTATAATAATTGTCATATAAACAATAATTTTAAAATAATAAAAGAAGTCGAATTAACGTAATAAATGATAGTAAAATAATTGTATAACAATTTATGGAGAGGGGAGGGGCAAAAAAAAAGTTAAATAAAGTGTACATACGTGAAGTAAATTCAAGTGAGAGTTCTATACGTAGAATAAGATTTTTGTGATATGTGTCGTGTGAATCATTGGAAAAAAAAAATATTTTAATGTATCATACATTCATATCCGATCAGTAGTTGCTAAGTCTTAAGAGACGTTTTAATTTCTAGAAAATTGCCGCGAAAACAATTTATTTTCAATAGAATAACACGTTATTCACATGTTGTATACCATTGTCTTATTCGCGGTAAATTGTGTATTTAATGTTTTTTACGGATGTTTTGTGGCGAATTGCGATCGTTGTTTTGAAAATGTCCGTAGTTACTGGATTGTTTATGAAGAAGGCAATTTTTTCTGGTATTTAATTTGTCCATGTTCAATATTCACCAAAGTATCCATAATATTATTTTTGTTTTCAATAGTCTAGTGACTCAAAATATTGAAGAATTTATTGTTCTAACGAGTGGTGGGATAAAGTGTTTCGTGTATTTGGTTCAATTTTTCAATATTATGTTCCATTTTTTTTTTCTGCTGTGAAGTAAATTTAATGAATTGAAGAGATTAATTTTTTATAAAGGGTATTAATGTTTAAACATATTATTTGGGGTGTGGAATAATAGATAGGTATCGTTTATGTATGTAATATTGTGACGAAATTGTATTACTCGTTTTAGATTTAACTATAGTATAATATTAAAGGCCGTTTATAATAACGTTTGGAATGGACATTTATTGTATATATTATTGTTAGTGTATAATTCGTTTGTATTTGTGTGTGTGTGTGTGTGTGTGTGTGTGTGTTAACGGAAGGTCTATAGATGTTTAGTAAAATAGCTATAGGAATAGTGATTATATTTTTATGAAAACGTGATGTATGTTCTTGTATTTGATTTCCGTAGGCATTATTATTGTGGCACATATATATATATAATTATACATACACATGTACACACACAGATACGTATATATAGATATTTTTTTTTTCTTAAATTGATAAATTATTCGTTTGATGATACATTACCGGTAAGGACGGGTATAAGTTTTGGAGTTTGGGTTGTGGTTGAATAACCTGTTTTTGGTCTGTATTCTCTCTTGTTTCTGAATATGCGCTTTGTACTTAATGTATAGTGTTAGGTCAGAAAATATACCAGGCAAAACTCGATAGCTGCAACTAAAGGTATATCAAAATACGAGGGTTGTCCCAAAAGTAATGCACAATTTGCTCTGAATAAATAAGTTTTTATTTTAAACTAAATACAATATTATAGACCTTCGATATAATCTCCCTGCTTGTCTATACACGATTGCTATCGTTTCGGGAGCGCTTGAATGCCGCATAGGACGCCATCGTTGTTGAGTTCACGGTTCCTTCGGCTCACTTCTTCATTTAGTATATCTGAGTTGGGAAAACGGATCCCTCTAAGTGGTTCCTTCAGTTTTGGAAATAAATCAAAGCCCGGGGGACTTAAATCCGGCGAATACGGTGGGTGTTTGAGGCGTTCCCATCCATATTTCTCCAAAAGAGTGACGACCGGTGCTCCGATATGCGGCCGCGCATTATCGTGCAATATGGACACACCATTTTGTAACATTCCTGGTCCGTTAAAATGCGGTGAACACTTGATTTTGAAATACCTGTTTCATTCTCTATCTTTCTCACCGTTGTTCGTCGGTCTTCATCGAGTAGAGTTGCGAGAATAGCCGCGTTAGTGTTGTCTTGAGTAACCGTAGAGGGTCGACCAGAGCGAGGGTTGTTATCAATACTTATACGACCATCACGGAATCGCTGATGCCATCTTTGCACCGTACTACGATCCACAGTATCCGTTCCACACACTTCATTTAACGCGGCATGAATTTCAGGCACTGTTTTACCACGAATCGTTTCGATTTTAATGTATGCGCGTTGCTCNCTCACACATCATCATACTTTACTAAAACAACTAAAACTGAAAACGCACGTGTTCGTTAGACTTCAAGCTACAAACTGATACTAAAATCAGCTGATAATATCACATTGCAAGACAGCTAGAGCGCGCTGTGCATTACTTTTGGGACAACCTTCGTATCGTATGGTCACGTTGAGTGTTGTGTTTAGACGTATCATAATTATATACCAGACACAGAATACGACCAGTATCAACTTGACATGATGCTTCGTATCAACTAATACCCTTTCCTTAACTCATCCCTACAAACCACCCCCATATTTTCGCAAGTTTTTCTTCTACTAGTCGTTCAATTGCGCCTTTGTCTTTAACCGGAATTATTTTTATTCCTTATGACGAACTACTCGCAAAATCGTTTTTCGTAAGCACTGGTTTTGTTGTTGTTTACAGTTATAAATTAAATAACTTTATGTATCCTGCCATTCCAACTTCCCATATGCATCCGTGATTCACCCATGAGCAATATCAGCTCATTTTTTAAAACATTGTTTACTATCACTTATAGTATAACTAAAATATAAATATTTGTTGTCCTTATCTTTTTCTCATATATATATAAATATAAACAGAATTTGATTATATTTATTATCCCAGGGGATATCACAATAAGTATATTGTCTTCGTGAGATATCCTGGATACTGTAAAAAGAATTATTAAATATTTACAAACCCCTTAGCTACATTAATCAAATAAAAATATTTGTGTGTTAATTTAAAAATGTTGTTGAGTCGGTAGTACTTTCCACAAAGTATACGTATATATGAAATAAGTATAATTATATTATTTTATAGTTGATATAGGTATAAAGGTAAAAAGTTCATGGCATTTTTAAACGATTCATTGGATTAATTTCTTTATGTAAATGTCTAAGGAATTTGTCAAACTAATTTTAAACTTTAAGAATTGCATATGCAATATTTTTTTGCATTTTAAAATAACTTGAATATAAAAATAATGTGCTATGCTCAGTCACTTTAACTTCGATTATTGATTTTTATTTTATTTTTCTCGTGTCAATCAGGTCTTTTGAAGTTTCTACCAAAAATATCCATCATTCCCGATCTTTTGTATCGTCAATTCTCGCTTCCCTTCGCTTAAATCTTTCAAGCACTTTGTTAATAGTTCCATCCAATTACAGTTTTCAACTGTTCGGTATTTTTATTTAGTTAACAGATCACTAGTCATAATTACTCACTCCCCCTAACACGTCTTTTATACATAGATAAGTCCATAACAAACGTTTTTATTTTAAAATTTTAGTTTGTGAGAATTGTACGGTCTGTTTTAGTCCGCATTCCATCTCTACTTGTATTCACCATTAGGGTTTAGCACGTAGGTCAATATATTTTTCTATACGTATTTTCCATTTGAAAACCATAAAATATTTAATAAATGTGAGTTTACAGTAATATGAACATACATTCCGAAATAAGAATTTTTTTTGATTTCATAAAATATCCAAGTCAATTTTCGATCAATTCCAAATGTATTTCGACAGTAAAATTAGCAATAGCAGGCAATTGCTGAAATCGTATTCGATTTTTCCACGCTTATAATTGGTACCTATATAGATGGTGCGATATAAAATATAAAACTGTCGGTATTATTACCAATTAATAATAATGTATAAATTGTTGTATACGGAGGTATTAAATATCGTTGAATTTTTTGTTCGTCTAGTTTATGATGGCTGCTTTTAATCCTATCTAGTTGCAGGTTGAAGGTACCTAAAAGTATATATTTTGTAACAATCGAACAGGTTTAAATCGCGTTTATCTCCACGTTATTAATATTATAAATTATACAATGTGTATACAATTTGCATGTTATTAAACGTATAAATCCTCATTTGATTGCGTTTAATACCGTACCACCGTTGAGTTTAAAATGTGATTGTTTATGAAAAATATATATATTACGTATATTACGTGTATACAGTTATTAAAATATTACAGGATTGCCTTTGTGATTTTTCATTTGAGTTATCAATATACAAAATAATATTTGATTAATTCATTATAACGTTTAAGACGATACGTATTCGAATAATTTCGTTTAAGGGTATTTGAATATGAATACAAAAGCTTGTTAAAAATGTTAAAGATACTTTTAGATTCTGAGTGTAGCTGTATTGGTTTTACAAAGATGTTTATTTTTTTTATCTGTGAACAACTTTTTTACCAACAATTTGGCTCCGATTTATAATGATGGCACTTTTTCCTAAAGGAAATCTGACTGGAGTTTGACGCATTGTTATTGGAATAAACAACATCATTTTAAAGGTTAAAAACAATAATATACAGTTTATATGGATGACCTAGTGGTCATTGCGGAATTGATAGTAATGAAAAGGCCGAAAAAGCAATGTGGCAAGCACTAAATAATCCTACGACGACGGGAATACGCTACCGCTCTTTACTAATTTATTTATAGGCATGTTATACATTTTTTACCAATATATGGAAATCTGAGTGGCGGCGTGCACAATATGAAGAAACTTCGGGAAATTAAAAATATTTCCATATATTAGTCTAAACCAAAACTTTAAAATTACAAAGATGAAGTTATTTTAAATAGACTGCGAATAGGTCACTCAAAGATGCTTCAAAGACGTGAAAGAAATTACCAACACTGTGCTGAACTTATTATAATCAAGCAACTTTTAGTCTATTGTCTAAATCACATAGACATTATAGAAATTCTTGACAACTTCTTTGAAGCTCTCAGCCCAAATGAAGAGAAATGCAACAAAATCATCCAATTCCTCAAACACACCGATATGTACTACCTACTCATCTTAGAAAAATCATTGTTTTCACTAATATGTTTATTTATCGTTACTTCTACACTTGTAAGCTAATAACCTAAGTTTTTGAAGTTGAAACACGATTAATAAAAAAAAAAAAAAAAAAAAAAAAAAAATGAAAATATTATAATGAATAATTGTGACACGAACAAAGGTGTTTGATATTGTGGAATAAAAATAACAGAAAAGTCAGAAAATTATTTATAATGTATTTATAATACAAAAAAATCAATTACATACAAATATTCAAAAATTTAACAAAATTGATAATGTTGTAAAAATAATATATGATATACATTTTGATAAAATTGCACACTGGTTTACTATTAAATTGCTATTTTTACTTTGTTTACCAACACTCCAGTAAAAATGATTTCTATATTATGTTGTTCACAATTCAGGTGTGGTGGTTTCTAAACTATACGGATTTATTAATATTTATATTTCAAGAATGAGTGTATTCTCTGAGAGAAGGGGAGAAATGTTGTGTGTTTTCGGCACATTTTTAGTATTTATTCTTACTATTACAATATTATTGCATGTCACGGATTATTAAAATAATAGATTATGTTTTACTGAACGTTTCGATAATCGATAGTATTAATAAATTAAAAGGACGTTATACTCGCATCTACTGTCTCAGTCTAACTACCGGTTAACATGCAAAAACAATGCTTACTCAGAATAAGTAAAGTGTCTATTGTTAAATTTATAGATGACAATATTTTGGAGGGAATGTCATGGGATTTGTGTATTATTTGAAATATACAGCTCGATATAAAAGATACAAATATTTTATTTTTTAATAACTGTAACCTTTTTAATAGTTTATAATTCAAAAAACACCCATGACAATTCTTCCGAAATATTGTTCTTTATCAATTTTACTCTAAAAAAAAAGCTTGTTCTTTTACTTGTTTTGCATAAGCATTGTTTTTGCATGTTCCCGGTTGTTGAATTAAGACAGTGAATGCGGGTATAACGTCTTCTTAATAAAGCAAGTTAAATATACTCATCAGAGAGGAATCTAATGGTTTTACTATAACGTGGGTTTCTTTTTTATGTCCATAAACATCTTTTCAACCAGAAATATTGGTCCAATCAAAAAATGAGAAAAACAGTTTTTCTCGAACCTCAAATCCAGTTGATTAATAAGAAAACCGTTTTATTGAATTTCTTTGTAGTTTTCTTAATATTTGAGCAATATCAGGAAAAAAAGTAGAAAGTACGGCAAAGTTTAAGAAAAAATAGTTTCATTATTTTCAATTTTGTTTTTGTTGTAATTAAGTTTCATATATTCGTAGAGACTTGAAATGTATACAAAATACTCATATTGGCCTTTTATAAATGTGGTTAAATTGTTCAAATAGTGTGATAACGGAACGGGGAACTGCTATGGTATCACTTTCGGTGGAGGATCTGAAGTAATGCACAACAGTCCCATGTACTCTACGTTCCTAAATTTCTACCTATAAACATGGTACACCTATCAGAATTGTCAGAGTTTTATTTTGTTTTTACTTATGAATTACTAGAATAACTAATGATTGTTTTTACTGAAATTATTCAAAAGATTAATAAACTATATTGGAGGAATGGATTGTTAATTTTCAAAACAAATACAAATACTATCGCAATATGATACGACATGACGAAATATTATGTTAATTGATAAATTAACTGCGGAGTTGTAATAGTGGTCCGCTATTGTATTTGATTATTCATTATGATGGCTAGAACCACGTATCTATAATTGAATAATAATATTACTACTAACAATACAAATTTTAGATACAACAGAGCAGATGCCGAGTAAACATTCTGTATTTATAATAATATAATAACAATCAAGTGAATAAAAATATATTCATAAATATATTTACATATATATATATCTAATTCCATAATTTTTTACTGTATAAGTCCGCACATAATATGGTAAACAGACGACTTAAAAATCAAGACATTCTAAAATAGAAGTAGTGGGTTATATGGTGGTAACAGGTAAATTAAAAAAACCAAACAGCATTTTGTATTACTTTAAAAACATTTTAATAATAGGCGTAGCTATTTAAAACTTTAATGTTTTAATGAACAAAATCAAAAATCTAATATACTTTGAGTGGGTATGCTACTTTTATAGGTGAAATAATTATTACCAAACCTAACCTAACGAAATACGATTCTAGGGAAGTTCGGATATACAGTTCAGTTACCCTGTGACCCATATTTGAAATGACGACTTGAAAACTATAACATGAATTAGTTGATAATTTGTTACTCGAAATACATAATTTGTACCTAATTTTAACTCTCTAAAACTGTATCTTTCTTTGTAATTACCATCCCAGTACTTTTATCTGTAAAAATACAAATTCACATAGAAAATCAAAATTGATTAAAGTTGATGAAGTAGATATTGTTATTATTTGAGGTTTGAAAATATTTTTAAAAAAACACTTCATACTGAGTCACACATTATACGAATATGAAAGTAAGTTATTGCGTAAATGACCTGAAAAACGATTTGAAAATGAATTTAATATTATTTTTTACGATCTCTGTGCTTTCGGGGTAAATCTTTTGAATGGTTTCGACAATCTACATTGTGTACAAATTGAGAACGAACTGCGATTTTTTAGGTAAGTCTGCAATTTCTTTTCCGAATAAACGCGAATTTCCACCCTCTCCCCTCCTAAAAAAAATAATAAAATATTATTTGCTCGGTAGTGATGGACTTATACACGAAACTATCGATAAATTCCAAGTAATGTAACCTTTGTAAACTACTCTAGGTCTAATTTTCAATCTATACACAAACTGCGCATGGAACTTTTGAAGTTCTTCTCATATATATCCAAAAACTAAATAATGGACAAAAAAAAAAAAAATGCACATTATAAAAGTAATAGCTTTTTGCTCTACAATACTGGGAATCTGAAATAAAAATTATTGTACGGAAACGTCTATTGATATTACATCATATTATATCGTTTTTAAGAGTATATAATAATAGGTATCTGGTATAATATATATGTGGCATTTATGCGCAGACTTTTGTCGTGTTCTATTTATCGTGCGAAATTTGTCTAACGGTCTCCTTGTCGGTATTAACCATCTCAGCAATCATTCGAATGCTAAACCGTTGATCTTTCCGTATGATTTCATTAATTTTTGAAATGTTATCCTCAGTTTTTGAGGAGCATGGACCACCCACAAATTGTTCGTCTTCGACTTCTTCACGACCCTCACGAAATCGTTTGTGCCATTTAAAAACATATGATCGGGACACGACAGAATATCCATATACATCTGTTAATAAAAGAAAACTTTCGGCAAACTTCCTTTTGTTAGACATTTTTAATTAATTCGTTATTCAATTTTTCCATCGGGTATAATTTTGACGATCAGTATGTAAGAGGTAAATTTAAACGACACTCACACGTAGACTACGAAATGGTAACTAACCAAACTAATATTGTTCGATGCAGTGATATTCATAAATTATAAATATACTATTATTATTCCCTTATATACAAACGACTTATCGCTAAATCGCTAATCATCACATCTCGTAATATTATCGGGCAAAATTGTTTTTTAGATTTTCAAATTATAAAATATCAAGTGATTGTCTGATAATCATGTGTACCTGTGTTGTTTTATATTTTCTTATTAAACTAATATTAATGACTACATGTGAACACCAAAAATTATGTAAAGTATACAATCTTCACTGGAGGAATTTGAAATCACCTCGATGTAAAATAATTTCTGTTGTCAATAACACCAGTGGTGTTGTCACCAATTTTTTCATGAGTATACTATACATTCTGTGAGCATCTTAAATTTGATTTTTTTATATTTTCCGTAGAATTTACGTATTGTGTTTGTAGAGAATAAAAATTAAATTAAAATTTCCAAAATAAAACTACCTACTTTATTTCTTTATTTAGTATATGAGTTTATTTTGTTTAATATTTTACATTTCTTAAATATATAAGTATATTATTTCCTGTATTAATTAATTTATTATGAATAGTTTTTTGCATGTTATTTTATATCCTCAGTTTATTTTATTATTTAATATTTATACATTTCTCTTAAAAAATGCTCATAATACCGTCAGTCCGTAATAATTATGAAATTGGAATTTATTTCCATAAAATAAAGAATATTATTACTATAGTGTATGTTGGAACTCTGATGAGCAGACGTGCGCTTCGGTTTAATATAATGATGTCGTATTTATTTTTATTTACTGTTTGTTACGGAAAATAGGACAATAAAAGTGCTTTGCAAAATTTAATATACTGCCCCAATAGATCATATAAATTGAACTGGTAGTTCGGTATTTAAGGTATGTAAAATTGAATACTTTCTTATGAGTTATAATATTATATGATGTAGCTTATAACTCGTATTTATTATATTGTATTACTTTCTTGGCAAAAAAAAAAAAAAAACTTCATTTGGAAGTCTGTAAAATATTATAAGAGATACATTAGTTTGGTTCCATGGGTCATAAACACGAAATGTATTATTAATATGAACGCATTTGAAACACAACAAATTAAACCTAATAATTGTCGTTATTTTAACAAATAAACAGATATTGCAATGTTACGCAGCTATAATAAATTAACGAGTGTACAATATATTGTGTAGTTCTTCCGAAAAATATATTTTAATATAGTAATAATGTAGATTACATTATGAAGGTGCTCTTGTTTTTTATGCAATTTAACACGGTCTTTTGAGAAACCGTTTTAGAGTATGTTTATAGTGATGCGTATTTCGAAGAATGCCCAAATATTGTTTTTTTTTTTGAATATCTTTTAGTGAAATAAATTACGCTAATAATATTTTGATGAAGACGTAATATAATATTGTTTATACAAGTCGAATATTAATATTATTCATCAAAGACACGTTATGGTGTAACAAGTAAATTTTACAATAACTTAAGGTATCTATGCGGATGACACTGTTTTTTCTCACTAACACTGTTCATCATTTACAAAGAACTATGGATCGGTTTTCTCTAACATGCAGTAAATATGGGTTGAAATTTGAATGTTAATAAAACGAAATTCGTGATGATTACTCAATATCGGTATTTTCCTAGAATTGAAAAACTTGTTAAGGAAAGCCGAGCGCGAAAATTGCATTCCATCATCATACACTATAGTAGAAGAAATTGTTAAATTAAAAATGTGTACCGTAATTTTCTATGCGCCAAAACGAACACAGAATGCGCTTCGATAATCACGGTGGTCCACGACCCGTCGAAAGTCCTCCAAGTGGTCCTGGCACTGTGTAAAATGCCCGGAAACACTGCTGTACATGCAGACCGAGTGTCGTGTATATTCGCATTCGTCTACACTTACTGTGTTTGCGGTGCGAGACAATCAATTCCCGTCCAATCGTTATAATATGGGCAGGTATATTATTATGTATTTTGCGTCCAAAGTACGCCGCAGAGACGAAAACCAAACCGAATACTGACAAGTCTTTATATCGTTACGGGTTGACAGCAAATAATTGTACTACTCTGAATTACATGTATATATATATATATCCGTTAGGTAGCTAACGCAACAATGTCGCATATCCGTTTATCCGATTAAACGACACGTCTCGATTTTAGAGCGCTAAAAGCAGCGGCGGCGGCCGGTTACTCGTAGGCGCAAATCCGTATTCGATATCGGCACGCAAACACCGATAAAACAATATGGAAGTAACGACCCGCATACCCCCGTATATATTCCGTGTTTTATTTAAAAATGAAACAAAAGTTGATTTCTCTCGCGGATAAGTCACTGTTGTTGTGGGCGGTTGAGAAGATATAGAATATAGATATAGGGCGGGTAAACAATTTAGTTTGTACAATAACAGTAACTGTATACAACGGTAGAAAAAAACGCCGATTCTGAACGATGTAGTTTTAGTTGTGTTTTTCGTTCTTGTTGCTTATACTTGTAAGCAAGGTTTTGAACTTCAAACATTTGCTTATTTTTTTGGCTAAACAAAACATCTGGCAGAGTTCTGTGGAAACTAATGCCGTGTTACAACGATTTCAAATACGAAAACTGAAAGTGCTTTTTCAGCTTATATAGATATTATACAATTTTAGATTCTGAGTTAGACGAGTGATCTATTGGTTTTACTATTTGTATTTATTATTTTTTCTGTCTATAAAAAACTTTGTTTCTAGAAATCTTATTCCAATCAAAACAAGAGACCTTTTTTGTTACATTTCGACTCTAGTCGGTAACTATACTTTCATTAATATTCGACATTTCATTTTTCAAAAATATATTTATTTTTATTTTTTTTAAAGTGTAAAAATTCAATAACAATATAAAAAAATTGTCTTCATACTTTTTTTTAATAAAGTAAATACTCTATTATGATAAAAACAATTAAATAAACACATTCATCAGCGCTTATTTGTATGATAATAAGTGCTATAAGTCCCGAACTCTGCTTATAAGGAAGCCAGAAATAAACAAAAGTCAAACAACACAAATAAGGATTTAACCAGAAAAGTATTTAAAAAAAAAAAAATATTGAGCATTTCGAAAATGTAAATTACTATTAGGTAAAAATTCTGCATTTTTTAAGATATGACATGGACATAGTTAAAATATTTTTCCTCACCGTAAGAGTGTTTTTTGAAAAAAAAAAAAAAAACAAAACAAACAAACAAGCTGTTTCTTCGTTATATTCAGTTTCTAAAACCAAAAAATTATATATTTTCAAAGAAATTATTTATCAAAATTCGAGAATACAATTCTTAGGCCGTGCGACCATGAATTATTAATTATATATTATAATAAAAAAAAAAACCTACCCTGTGACGAAGTTTGCATTAATTATATTTAATCGGGTCGAATTTATCGTTGTAATTTCTGTTATAACTTTAAACTAAACGAGTTAAAATTATTATTTTCGTTAACTAGTTACTATTTTTATTAACTTAGCGAAGAGTATTGCTGCAGCGTCCGACTAGACTGATTTATGTTGAAAATATTTTTATTGTCACTATATTTATATTGTAACAGTGCGTATGTCAGTTTTTGTAGTTTTACAGGATAATCAAAAAAATGTTTTAGAATACAAGATTTTTATAAAATCTACTCGTGTAAATAATAAGAGGTACGTAATTATGTTGAATACTAGGTTTTTTATGAAGATCTGACACTTTTGAAATAACCTTTGTTCCATGGTTTTTAAATAATTAATGTCTATTTGTTTTTTTTTTAGGCGGGTAAACTTAAAATAAAAAGTTAAAATTTTACCACAAAAACATTAAAATAGCCATTTCGTAAAATACATTTTTAGAATGATTTTTTTGTTTGAAAAAATTGTCCAGGTATAGTCAGGTTTCGTCAGTAGTATTCTGTATTATTGTATGATATTAACTCATAGAAAATAAATTTCTTGACACCTGATGTGCACGGATTACTGATTAATTATTATAATAGATTATAATATCTATAGTATAGAATATTTAGAAAAATGCATAACTTATCAAATTTAAATTGTTCGGATTCACTGTCAAATATATTTACAAGTACACCCATGTCATCACAAGTATCCATTGTTTAATAGTGAAATAACCGAAATTTTACGGGGAAACCGTTTTGTGCTAGTTGATTTTTATGAAACCAAAATGTTCACTATAAATTAAAGAGGTTTGCATGGGTAACGTTAGTTTCAGCTATTCGACAACGTCACTATGAACATGGTTATTCCAGTTTGAAAAACGAAAAATGATCCGATTTTAAAGCAACCAAAACTTTTTTGTTTATTTGCGGTATCGAAAAACTAAAACCAATCTTGCACAGTGCAAGTTCTCCGGTTTTATGGTAAAAATTTGGATTATTAATCAAATCTACATCCCGATTAGTTTTTGCTTGTATAAAAACAGTTTTTCACAATCAAATTGCTGTCCTTAAGACAAAATTCTAAAAAAAAATATCACTCACTTGTTGTGTGTGGACCGTGCCGTCGATTGTGGCTTCCAAAATCGGTTCCGACGACGACGAAAAGTCGCCTGCTTGATGCTGAGCAACGATTTTGTATTCTTTGGTTTTTCTCCGCAGATACCATTCGATTGTGGCCGAGGGCCGAGATCCCTTCGACTGACACTCGACCAGATAAGTCCGGTCAGCTCTTATAGTGTACTTTTCACGACCGGTTTCACTGTAGTCGGCTCTTGAGTTCTTTTCCTTTAGCGACACAATCTGCACTCCAGTGGGTTTCACTATAAAACGCAATTCGGTATCAATAATTTTTTTTTTTTTTTTAATCAACCAGAAGTTTTTTGAATGTATATTTTTATGTATTTTAATATAATTTAAAAAAGAATACGTATCAAAATGTGTACCAGATATGATATACGATTTTATTTTTGTTCCTTTCTTCTTAGATATACATATCACATTAAAATAATTTTAATAACCCTAAAGATTTCTCAATACAATTTTTATTTTCATTTATTCATAATTTATAAGTTATCCCAATCATCTCTTGTAAAGGACGTCTGCAAGTAAGGTTTTTATTTTTTAAGTTTTTACTAACGACTTCTACGACTTCTAAAGTTGTAAAGTGTACCAAGTCAATTAAAACTCTCGTGTTGTTTTGATTGGAACACGATTTCTGGTAAAAATGTTCAAAACTACACATAAATAAAATTAATTACATACATCGTAAAATCAATACATTCCTTACTCCACTCAAAATCTAAAAGGCAAATTTATTGAATAAAACTTGACTTTTTTGGATCTGGCATTTAAAATTTCATTGTCGAGTTATATTAGTATATTATTAGTATAGTATTTTAGTTTTTTTTGAATATGTTTCTACGGCTGTTATTCGTGGATCGTGGTTATTATTTATTGAATCCCTTTCCTTTGAAAATTCGCTACTTAATATAAAACGTTTAATTTATTACATTTGTTTGGTTTCTTTCTTTAGATTTTATTACTTCTTACATATTTCATGACGATGTTTATTAAACCGGTTATTAGAAAACCTATAGATATCTAATGCTAATAATGTACTAATGACGTTTTCGCAGTATTTATCTAACCCACTTATTTCCAATTTAAATATTGTTACATTTTCGTTTGCTCTGGTTTTTGATTTTTAATTCGGTTATCTATTCGTTAGAATCGAATTTCGTTATCTGTTACATTCAATCAAAAATTTTAAAAACTAAAATATTTTTATATGTATACAACGAGTTTATAAATCAATTTATAATAACGAAACGCCCACAGAAATAAATAATTAAAACCATATTTTAATAGGCATCTATAGGTACCTTAATGCCTAGTTATGCAAAAGTATTTAGATTTTAAGCCACTTTTACCCATCTGTATATGATCTAAGTATATATTAAAGATTGAAAATTAATTAACATTCCTAACGCCTAGAGACCCGAAATAAACTACTCAGGCGAAGGGACATATTATTCAATGACTTTAAAATACAACTATGTGGATGATTTAACGATTTATTTTCTTAAATAATGACTAATATTTACTATATATTCTTAAATTATCAATTTCTAGACACGTTACTATTTGTACTTACTGTGTTCATAACAGTAGCCACTAGTCAGTAGGTTCTATCTTTAATAAAGTCGTTCAAATAAACATATTGTATTTTAAAAGAACATTTTCTACTAAGTTTAAAAATTGCCGACAGTTATTGTGAGCAAAAGATACTTTACTATCCGATATGAAATTAATCAGAATATTTTACGTACAGACATTTCTGTACTTATTTCTAATTGATTTAAAAACTTTTCGTATAGACAAACCACCGGTTGCAATTGAAATGTATACAAATTAATTATCTTGATAAAATTATGACTACATATTATAACGATTAACACAACGCTAAATGGTATTTTCAAACAGTAATATTCAGATGGTATATTGAACGAGTTAAGTCGGTAAAGAGTTCACAAACAACAAAACTGTAGTGTGAAATATATATGCAAATATTTATTAATTTAAAAACAAATTACTTTTAATTTATATTTTTAAGGGTATTAAAACTCCGAAAACCCTCTTGTAAACGTGCCAGTTTTCACTTATAGAAATGTATATAATAATAAATTGGAATTATTAAATTCACCGTGGTTTCAATTCGTCCCAAAAAATATTGAAATAAAAAAATAGATATTATACATTCAGACAATATTGTATCTATTATGATAATAATAGATATTGCATTAAAAATAAAAAACCAATAAAACCATAGATATTAAATTTGTATTACTTGCTCGGAATATTATTGCTAGATGAGAATTTTTATTTTTAGTTATTCGCAATTTTAAAATAAAAGTAAGAAATAAAAATAGTATATACCTATGTAATCGTATATGTCTGCGAAATAAACAGGTTTTATTTTTGTATTTTAAAAACCTATTTACAGAGATTCCTTTGTAAAATACTTGACGCGTAGAAAACATCGTGACTGAGAAGAAGAATAAACCATGATATCTACGAACAGTAACATTATTGACGCACGTGTGGGACAGGGTATGCAAATTGCAAATTTTGCATTATCTATATCAACTATAACTTTTTATCACAGAAAATTAAAACTAGATCTAATCTAGTTTTAATCTAGAAGTACTAATCTTTCGTAGTATGAAATAAATTTATAGCTGATGTAGTGCTTGAAATGGACCGGAACGCAGTACAAAGGTGTTTCGGTTCGTAATATTGACTTTTGCGTCCGTTCTGATTGATTAAAATTGGAATTTTAGAGTTCTGGTTCGTAAATATATTAAGTTAATAAGTTAGTGTTGAAAAAATTAAGACAATTATCTCAAGGTAGATTTTTTTCGATTACAACCAAGGGGATTAAAATAATTAATAATAATAAGTATAAAAAATCAAGTTTTCTTTTGAAAAATGTATACAATAATAAAATGATATCGATATAACTTGAAATTGCGGTATTATCCAAACACGACCGTTTTATTGTGTCAAAATAAAACGTTCTCGCAAAAATCCAATTCTAAGAACTCTGTCTCGTCTATCAACCGTCTGTATCTGATAATTTTGATTGGAAAAATGTAATGTGTATCATTAAAATTGGTTTAAGAGCGAAAGAAAAAAAAGAAAAGAAAAAGTGTTTTATATATTATTAGACACGATATGGCATATTCATTTTGCAAGCGTTCCGGTTCGTAAAAATTTTCCACTTTGAGCACAGAGCTGATGTAAAGCTCATTCGTATCGGACAAATAGAAAATCAAAGGCAACGCGTACAACATCCGAACTCTGGTAGGCAATTAGTTTAGGTTCTCGTGTATTTTACACGCAAGACGCCTGCCGGTTGATAATATATCGTTCGGTTTTGTATTATTTAACGATGATGATAATAATAATAATGATAATTATTATTATTATTCATTTTCGATTACCCGTGATGTAGGTTGTTTACTTACGGTTAAGGCGGATGAACGTGTGTTCCGTGGTGGCGGGAGGCGGTAAATTTCTATTTCCGGAACCGACCGAGTGACGAGGAAACTCTGTAGACGCGACAGTCGTAATGCTGTTGCTGGCCTGACACGTTAAACGTGCCGTGCCCGTCGTCCGGTGTTGCTGACTCATTATATGATGCCACCTGGTCAGGTTGTTCAACGTCAAATCGTTTACGGTTGTAGTGGTCGCCGGACGGTTACCCTGCGCGTTGCGGTAACCGCGGCCGTAATCGTCCGTTAATAGATGGAACGAGGAGTCTAATACCGCGTTTTCGTGATACCACGTCAACCGTGGCCGTGGCCATCCTGTAGAAAAAAAAAATAAACACGACTATATTTACACACTATTCGTGATTTTGTATCTACGATAATTATCCGTATATCGTCACGGAGACATATCATAATCCCCGTCGTGCAAGAGTTATGCGTTTAGTGGTTCGTAAACCGTATGATATTGATGATGATTTTATAACTACCAGGAATTTAACCAAATATCGAAACCGATAGAAAATATTTTACATACAGGATTGTGCTAATGGCGAAGTATCAAAATGTTTTTTTTTTTTTTTTCAGTTAAATAGATATTAAAAAAGAACTGATACTGGGGACGGGTTCAGCCACTGTTAAAAGTGGGAAGTTGGAAAGGTAGGATACATGAGGTTATTCATTTATATCTGTAAGCAACGACAAACCACTGCTGACGAAAGAAGATTCCGAGCGCAGTTCGGTAATACTTAATTTGAAGTGCCGTTATTTTTTACTTAATCACCAAAACACAACTTTACTATTGAAAGTGCTGTTATCATTTTTATCAATAACAGTAGTTTAATAATTAGGCTGGCAGAAAATGTCCCTGATTATCAATTGTCGGTAATTATAGCTAAAATTATCAACATTTTGTCAAATTGTTGATGTGCAGTATGCACTGATGCGATTTAGACAACGAAATGTGAGCATTATGTCCAGTTTTTAAGTCACTACACATATTTTTAACTGAATTACAACAAATTTGTCTTCTTCTAGCTTTTCCGAATCATTATGAAATCAAAAAACTACTTGCGCCATAAGAAACAAGAAGAAACAAAAAAGGTTTCTTGTCGTTTTTCAATTGGAGCCATATTTGTGCTAGAAAACGTGGTAGGTACTTATTTAAAATAACGAAATTGTGAAAAAATAGTATTTTTTCTCCGGTTAATTGTTTTTTATTTTAAATAACGTTTCGAAAATCAAAAAACGAACTAAGTATTTACCAAGTAGATAAAAATAATTTTCAGAAAAGGTGCTACACTTATACATTGTAGCAAGTTGTCTAAGAGAAAAGTGGTCTACAGTATGTATGTATAAAATAAAATAAAGTATCATTAAAAAATTATAAAAAAGAAAAAAAGTCATCCGATGATTTTGAATTTTTCGAGTAAGTAAGTCCAGTATAACTACTATTACCAAGTTTTAAGTCTCTACTTATATTTATAATCGAATTACAGCAAAAGAACTCCCAAAAATTAAAAATTCTTAAAAGCTCAAAAGTTTTGGCAATGATACCGTAAGAAAGTAAATAAAAAAGGTATTTTGTTATTTTTCGCTTAAATCATTTATTCTGGTAAAAAACATCGTCTATGTTTTTATAAAATAATGGAAATCGTGAAATTGTACGTTTTCTTACGTTTTTTCCCGCTTAAGTACTTTTATTTAAAAAAAAAAAAAACAATAAAAAATTACTCCTTTAAAGTACCACTTAGACAACTCGAGCTTTCAGTAAAGTTGCTACACGTAAAAATTTAAGCAAGTTTACTGAGAAAAAACGTGTCCACAGACTAGAACAAAGAACAAAGAAAAAAAGAAATAAACAGCATTGTAAAACCAATAGCTCCCTCGTATCCTCGAAATCTAAAATAGAGTTCATAAAAATAATCAATAATATTATTGACGTTACTTGAAGTCTAAACTCTTGTCACCCCTCTACATTGTGATACAAATTTATTTTCTTTCAGCATCAATTTAGTTCGGTTAGATCGTGGTATTGATTAGTTCGATTAAACGGTAAAGTTATGGAATTATAATCAAAACGTAATGAAGAAATTATTATTACAAATATCACGAGGAAAGAATAAGGAAACGATGTAGGTAGTGTACAATGTAAGAGTTTTGGAAGTCGATGATGACCTTGTGAAATGTTCATTATAAATGTATGGAGAACTGGTACGAGAACAAAATATAAGGAGTTGACTTTCCTTTTAATGATATAAAAAAAAAAAATAATAAGTGACTTATTCACAGCTAAATAAACTAGAATAGTTTGTTTTTTCTAATAATTTTGTTATACTGGTTGGTATTACCATTCATATCATATAGAACCACATGTAAATATTCAGTATAATACAAAGATCTGTCACTTGAAATAACTTTTGTTCTACAGTATTTTTTTTTTTTTTAATAATTGGTATGCCGGAAGGGGACTTATAACTAAAAATTTAAAATAGCTATTTTGTAAAATAGGTTTTTAGAAAAATGTTGGTGGTTGAAACTTTTGTTTAGCTGAATCTTTTATTTTTTACAATTGTTTGAAGTTTTTGCAAATGTGAATATTATTTTAATTTATAATCTATAATTATATTCAATCATAAAAACACATTAAAAATACTTTAGACACATCAAATGACAATGGTTCTTTAACATATCATACACTACTGAATATAGTTAAGCGATAACACTACCGAATGCAGATTAATTATTATTACCTATAGATTATAAACTACAATAATACTCGCATATGCGAAAACTTCAAACAATATTGTAGAAAATAAATGATCTTACCTAAACAAAAGTTTCAACCACCAAAAATTGACAAAATGACTATTTTGAATTTTTTTAAAATAATGATCATGCAATTTTTGATTTTTCACCCCACCCTAAAGAAAATGCTCATATATAAACTGTACCGTAAAGGTATAGATACTAATAATTAAAAAAAAAAATTAAACGGAACAAAAGTTATTTTAATAAGTGGCAGATCTCCATGTAACACTGTATTATCAATTCGGCGAACATAAGAAAAAAAAAACAGGAGTTTTAATGAAAAAAAAAATTTATTTTTATTCGTCTCTAATTATTTAGCCACCTTTTGGTTACAATTACGACAGGAAATTATGATTTTTTTTAAATTATTATCAACTAACTCTTTCTGTACCTAAACTTTTCTTTTACGCAATTATTATTTATCGCTAAAACAAAGATAGGTAGAGTTTTTCTTTTATTTTGTAGCTCTTTTTATTTAGATATTATTATTATTTCGAACTATTTAAAATATAAATAAAATATTGAAAAACCGTGAAAACCAAATGTTTACCCTTTTTATATTAAAAACCGAACACCATCATATTGTACTCTAGAATAATCGCTTAATTAAAAACACACAAAATAAATAACGGATTTCAAATTCGTGTAAATTCTGCTAGTATCTTTATTGGCCGGATTAATTAAAAGGTTTAATCTGAACCTATATTCCATGTTATGTAACAAGGGAAAAATTGTACAACAATAGTAATTTAGGGTTGGAAAAAAAAAAAGTTTGTTGGTGGGAATTTAGGATGGTATAAGATATAGGGCAATTTAGTTTTAAAATTTATGATTCACTGAAACCAACGATAAATCATTAATGAAAATAGACATAAGAGAAAAAAGGAGGAAAGGAAGACTAAAAGAGGGGCGCAGGTTAGATGTGAGGGACCGGGTCAATTGGAAGTTGAGGCCGAGTGTGGCCGACTTTAAATATTTTGAATAAAGGTGAAGAAAAGGAAGAATAAGAACAATAAATCATTAACGCAATTAAAAAACTATTGTATTCGGAGCTCGGTAAACTAGTATTAAAGGTAGTGCTGTAATATATCTAGATATTTTTTTTTGTATCTTGTATCTGTATCCAGATACTTTTTTAAGTAAAATAGGTATACGTATATCTATATATAGATACAAATTTAAAGCATCTTATCACACCAGTGATTAAAGGTTACATAGCGTGTTCCGCGGAGATCCGACAAATACAATAACTTTTTCTCGTTTTTGTTTTGTTTTTTTTTTTTTTTTTTTGTAATAACTATTAAAGCTACGTGAGTTTTATATTTTTGTATTAATTTTATAAACAAAAAATTAAAAATTAAAAAATATACATTTAAACAAAATCCAAGAAAACTGTTTGTATACATTTATTTTAAAACAAAATATTGGTGTTAATAATATTCATTGTCGCTACTAAATAAAAGAAATTAATTTACCAATTTTCCAATGAAAATAATTTTTTAAACTTCGAAAAGTTGTAGAAAATATGTAACACTTATATTCAAAATAAATGTAAAAAAATTATTTTTGATTTTGAAAAAAAACATTTTTATTTTTAATTATAATGTTCTATTTTTAGTTTAAAAAAATATAATATAAAAATGGAAGAATCATAAACTAAAATTTAGAACTAAACTTATTGCATTTTTCAGTCCATCGTGGCATACGATATGGACGCGAGTTTTTTTTAATATTGTCATCGTAACCCAAAAATCAATAAAAATAAAACTAATGTATTGGCATTTATTTCCGGATTTCTTGTTTTAATTTGTAAGAAAAATCTTCGATATTTAAAAGAAAATTTAATTATTGTACTAACGGGTAAAAAATCCGCATATTTTAAGGTAAATTGGAACAATATCAGAGCATTTTTACAAACTGATGACATTTTTTTCTTAAGAAAATAGAATTTACTAGATAATTTAAATTTCAATAAGATTTAGCGACTAAACAGTAAACCCCAAGTAGAATTTCTGAATTTTATATTATTATCTGAAAACACATTAGCAATAGAGCTCCATTTGTAGAACTAAATTTTCTCCCAGTTGACTGGTTACCGGCCGTTACAATAATTTAGTTTTTTTTCTTTCTATAATGATAAGGAATCTAGCAAAAAAAGTTTTGTCAAAATAAGTAAAGTAGTTCTCGAGATTTTTATTTAGGTAACAAAAATCTAACATACACGCAGATAACAATAATATTTTATTTGTATGTACCTACACATTTTAACTGAACTACCTACTTACTTTCACGGATTGCATATAATATCCGGTATTTTTTGCGAAAAACACGATAGCTGAGCACAAATATTGTTGGGGTAAGTGTTGAACGTTGAAACCACCAAACAACACACTCTTAATGCTTACACTGCGATTTATAAAATCTCGTTTCTTCGGCTTTATTCGTTCGTAGATGTGTACAAAGCTAAAAAATACATCCTCCTCTAGCAACAACATATTCTTCACTTCGAGTTGACGTTTGACCAAAATCAATCTGCCCACAACCCCTCCTCTAATTTCCAAGTTAAAGCTCTTTTGGTTTAGAGGGAGTCAAAAAAATTGTACCGAGAAAAAGATATAATATTATACACGGTACGGTGCGGTAGCTGTTTTTACATTCAGCGGATATGCGACTTAAATGTTACGCGACAGAAATAAACCCTTGGTATACACTATAATAGTTAATAATAATAATAATTATTATTTTTTGACGCCACAACGTGCGATTTTGCATATAGTACAAACAATATTAAACAGAATGCATAAACATTAAACTAATACTAGAAAACGGAGATTTAGAAATTTAAAAAAAGAGGGGTTTTCGTTAGCCAATCGCATCATACGATGCAAAGGAATGGTAAGACCAAAGTTCGTAAAATGAATCGGGACGAAAATGGGGACATCAGTGCGCAAAGATCGATAGAGAACTGTGAAGTTTATCCGGGAAAGGGGGGAAAGGGAATCGATGTAGCCATCGAGTAACCAAACCACGTGGGTAACATTTCAATAACGCTTCAGTTTGAGACAAATACTTGTTGTAACACAACCTGGATTCAAACTCAAAGCGCGCCCGAAGATTTGAGAATACATAGTAATAATGCTGGCAACGCGTTAATTTATATTTAGTATGCGCACGTTTCTTATCGAACACAATTTTTATTTTTATTTTTTTTTTAGCGATTTGGAGTACCGAACCGGGAACTTAGATAGAGTACACGGTTGCATAATATGCAGTACGTATACGAAATAAACAATATTTCAATCGAACTGCAATTAAACAGTCTTCGTTCGACGTTGACGTGTGTTAACAAATCGTTAATATATTATGTAAATTATGTATACTTAAGAATGACGTTTCGCGGCGTACGTTGTGTGTATAAATATTATTATCGTGCGTATAGACGCCCCGTAACATTGTAGTTCGAAAGATTAAACCCGCACCGGGTCGTCGGTAAAATGACAAATAATGAGACCGGGCAACCTGCCGTCATACGTATACCTGTGCAGCTACCTACTTTGTTAGTCTCGATTCCGCGCGTGCCTTTGAAGAAAAGTTTCGAGAAGTTTAACGCGCCGTATTTATAAAATAATATGCGTACATTACGCCATCGCATAATATTGTAATATCAAATGCGCCCGCGCGTGTGTGCGCGTGTAATATGTTAATTCGAATTGAACATAATATTGTGCATATACAGTCGCGATATTATTATTTATGTTGTATAATGTGATACTTTAATCTCGTCCCGTCATTTTACGCGATATATTTATTATTTTCGCTAATATAACGCGTGCGGTTTATACACGTCTTTATAAATTATTATAAGTTATAACACATTTCGGTTGTTATTATAGCCGCAGTAACGACTACACAAGCCGCGGTTGACGTGCGTAAATTATATTTGTATTAAAATATAAAAAAAAAAAAAAAAAAAAAAAAAAAAAATAGCAAAATGAAATACGAAATAATATATTATAATAAAAAATTTCTCCGAAAATAATAAAACACATTGTAATGATTGTCGTGTGTGTTTTTTTTTTTTTTTTTAAATAGATAATATAATATTATAATAAATGTGATAAAAACGGGAAAATCGAAAATAATTAATTATCATATTTTGACGTTTTAAATAATTTGTATGGACGTTTAACCGGTTCCCCCCCTACCGTTAATATTATATAACACCGATCGGCATAAGGATATTAGCATAATTTAATAATTATTACCAATCAACTTATCAACATTATAAGATCCATCAACGTAACTCTTACTATAAAACTTCATAAATAATGTCGAACTACTGCAGCGATTGCAACACGTTTGAATTATAAAAATACCTATATGCACTCCACCTATTAAGAACTCAAAATAAAAAAAAAAAAAAAAAAAAAAAAAGATGAAGATTTATTGATTCCGTTCGGTTTTTATGTAACCACCATCGCGGGTAGATAATGTTAATGAATTATTATTATTTTTTTTTGAAAAAATTTTTCTCTCGCAATGCAAGCGCGTAAAATTGTTTTTTTTTATTAATGTTTTTGTATTCAAGTTACAAAAGGTTTGTGCAGAGTAAACGCGTTTTCTTTAAAATAGCCTATAAAAAACGCCGTGGGGAGGCTATTTTTTTTTTTTTTATTGCGGACACTGTCGTTTTTTCTTCGGTCTTATGTATTAATACACAACCCGAAAATTCGTATTGAGCTCGCTATATTATTATTTATATTCCACGCGTATGTCCCATACCGGATGACGGGTTAAAGAATAATAACACCATCGTTCGCTGTGGTTCGGTCGAAAGAGCGCTCTACGCGCTATAGTATACCTACACGCACGTTGATAGAACGCAATCGAAACAAACTGTTTAAAACACAAATAAACCGGCGAAAACGAAACTGCACGCTGATTAAAATAAAATATCGGTTTAGATCGGCTGTCGATTTAGGTCGTACACGCGCGATGTAAATTGCGTTTTCGTAAATTCTCTTTGTAAATATTTGCAATATTCAATCCCGTCGTACGATATACACGCGTTGTACGTATGCACCGTTTTAATATAAAATAAATATCGTTATTAAAACGGAATATCATCCGTAACGCGTTGTATACGAGTGTTTCAACTACGAAAATCCGGTAGACATTCCATAATATTTTCAATAACGATAATAACGAAATATCCCGTTCGCCGTTGTTAAAATTCGCATTCATAACATAAAATGTCGAAAGTACGGTAAAACATATTACGGCAGTATAATATGGTACAAGGCAACTTAATATAAACGATGCAATAATAACATGATCAATAAACGCAATCCATTATCCGGACGACTCTGCAAAATATTTCGTTTCTCTCTAACGCGATATTTATAAACGGGGCGCCGAACGATTCGAAACCAAACATACTTTCGCCGTGCTGGCTGCGCGTATAGCACTCGCCGTTATTATATACGAAATACGAAATACTAAATATTAAGAAAACGCGCGGAATAAAATATATAACGTCCGGAAGTGTAAATGTCCGAGTTTGAAGAAGTTTACTTAGCGGTAGACTGTCAGCAAATACCTATATATATATATATATATACCTAACTGCCTAACCGCCAACCCGCCTGGCCAATATTGACATTTACAATGATAGAAATATTATCCGGACACAAAACTCGTGTATGGCGTTTAAATTAATCGCGAAATGTAATTGATTAGCGGATGAGGATGTATACGAGTTTCGCTATTGGTTGTCAGCGCAAATACCTTCATTTTTTTTTTTTTTTTGAAAATATCAATCGACAGCTGCGATTAATATTTACCGTACAGTCTCGATAAAATTTCCGTACAGAACTTTCTGCGTTAGTTTAAAACATGACGGAAACCGAGATCTCCGTGCAGCACGTTAAAATATAACGCCGCGTACTTTTATTTCGGAAAATCAAAATAAATGAAAAAAAAAAAAAAAATTCAACCCGCGTACGTAGACATTTTTCTCGTTTAAAGAAAAATTGTACACACTCGGATGCAGACTATGCGACGCCTCGCACACGCCATCCCGACGGTTATATATTTACGTTTCTACGAACGGACACGGGCACGTAATATATCTATGGTGTATTTAAAATTTGATGAGAACTATATTGATAAAATTGTACATTGTGCTTTGCGCTGCGTGTATTTGTAATATGATTGAATAGTAATTGAATAGTCGAGCGGGCGATCGAGAAAGGCCCTTAGGAGGAAGGAGGCCCTGTAGCGAGACCGAAGGACAACGGGAAGTTCGTCGAGTCGGAATCACCAGTGGGACAGATGCTGTGAAAAACCGCGAAAGGCAGGTATATAACGGCCAAATGTTTTGCGTTTGGCGGCGTGATCATTTGATACTTAAAACAGAAGTATAGAAGATGAAGGATATTTGTTATACTCGTGTCTATAGTTATTATTAATGTGTTTAATGTAGGCGCACGTATAATATTATGATAATATAATGTACGTGAAACGGAACAGCCGAGCGAATAACTCGTTTATTTAAAAAAAAAAAAAAAAACGGATACATTTTAGTGTCGTCCGTTTTTAAAACACAACCGTTTGTTTTTGTACGATATAAAAACATTATTGTTAAAAACATATTTTCCTGTAGACGGTTTTAAAAACGATTTTAATCTGATCGAATAACGCTTTTATGCAATACGCAACTCAAACAACAGTGATGGTTTGTTCCTACCGCTTTTACTTTTCTCACAACCACGGTAGTGCATTCGCTACCACTCGTTTTTAACAGAAATCTCGCTATTATATTTTATTTGTTATACCGGCTCTGTTAAGAATCATGCACTTTTGTTTTTTAGAAGCCTTTTTTTAGTTTTCAATAATAAATAATTAATAATACATAATTTTTCGCTGAAGTCAGGTGAGTGGGTACATACCCCCCCCCCAAAAAAACTGTTTTTCGTTTATTTTTTAAGAGTGCATTAAAAATCACAATGTCTCTATTAATTAACTAATTTATTTATTTTTCTTTTCTAGATGCGGTCAAATTTTCAAAACATTTGAGTTCTTTTTTGAGCCATTCATACACCTATATATAAACATAATTTACGTAATTTGTTTTCGGTAAAGGGACTGTGTGGATAAAATTTCAAGACCAAACAAAAATACTTAGAAATTGAACCGGCAGTTCATTATAATCCTTCCTTTGTTTTGAAAACATAAAGTTTAATTTTTTTTTTTTTTTTGATAAGAATTTTGATATGAAATTTTGACAAAAATCGTAAATTTTTGGCCTTATAAAACATGTATTATCCAAAGGCACAACTAAGATAAACATTCTGGAAGGCCTATAACCTCAAACAAATTTATTTGCTCAAATTTAAGAATATAATATTGTATTACATTATTGTAGTCATTAAAACAAATACAAATAAATATTATAAAATATTAATATATCTAACTATATTCACCGTAACTGGATGGGGGCTATTTGGAAAACTGGAGGGACTTAGCTCTCCAAAGCCATTCCTCCCAGTTGCAACTATAGAGTTATCGAACCCCGCTCAGAATCGTTTTTCGTTACTAATGTTTAATGTTTACGTACACATATACATTAAATTCCTCTCTATATCCTACATTCCCTACTTTTCACCTACAACAAAGACCCACCCATCATGGAAAGTATACCCGTCTCTTTTAGTATCGATTTTATGTAAAATAAAATATGAAAATATAAGAACAATAATGTCATCGGTTTTTCTCTGTTACAATTAATTATATTTCGTTATTTATAACGTAGTGAAGTATTAATGATGTTATTTGATCAGATCCGAGGATGATCTTTAAATGTGCGATACATTTTAGGTGAATATTTGTTTGATCAAATTCGAAACTGTCGTACACTGTGTATTTCATGAATGGAATAATGGAATTTACATTACTTACCCTACTAATTTAAATTAATTAACCCCCGTGAGAATGTAGGACATCTGTATAATTCATACATATTTTTATCGCATATATATCTATTTAGATGGATATAATACGCGATGAGAGTCAGTGATTTAATTTATGCATAGATACATTTTATTTCATTAGTCCGAAGTTTGAAATATAAAATAATATGATGGTGTTGGTATATAATCTTTGACACTATACTGAACATTCTTCTGATCCGTATAATCAGTATAATAGTCATAGAATGGGATTTTATTGATTATAATGACTCATTTCTTAACTTGTCTAAATTTTAGGTTATTAAATAATTTTTTTTTTTAATAACCTAAAATTTAGTCAATGCAACAAATGTATGTATATCCTAATGTGCGACTGAGTGCGCGGGGACCATATAATAATGATACATGTTTAAACTTGACTTGCCTTTATATTTACACATATGCATGTATATATTTACCTCCATTTACGGTGCACCCCAACGTGATACTTGGAATGCCTTCGTCGATTACAATCACATTTCCCGGTTCCTTTTGGTAATTTTCAATATCTTGTCCAAACGCGTTTGTGCGTTTTAAAGTGATTATTGGTTTATCCGGAGCAACTGTAATAATTTAAACGCGTATTATATTTAAATTTGAAAGAATTATCAGTTTATATGAAAGGAAAAATAAATTCTTCCGATGCCGTATCGATGGGATACATTGAACAAATATTTTCTATGCGATTTTCCGAATAGACGAACCAACCAAAACCTGACCTGATCTGACCTATTAATTAGTTGTAAAGTCGTCATACTTAAAAAATACAATTTCGCGTAAATTATAATCAGACGGTTGGGGTTTATGTTAAGTGCAAATGTTTACAGAGGGTTTACTTTGAGTTTAAACACCGTCATTAGTAAATAGATTTCAAATAATTATAACATCATTTAATATAATGTAAAACCTACTGCGTTAAAAGTGATAACAAATGATGGGCTACTACACACTGCAGTAAACGACCAAAGTCTGTCGATATTGAATATTTTGATTAATTATCGGTTAACGAACGCGATAATAATGCTCCACATATTATGTGCGTTATTGTTTATAGGCAATAACCTTTCGGTTCGGAACAAACTTGTTATTTATCTATACTACACACGAAGTAGGTGTATTAACTTTCACCTTTTGTTTGAAACTATGATTTATGAACAATTTGTTGGTATGTATTTAAAAATTCAGTAATTAGCGCGTTTAATGACTTGTGAACTTGTAAAGTATCTGGCCGGGACTTCAGCCCTCTAAAGCTCCGTATGATGTATGTCAATGACAGAAATTTCCGTTAAAACTTTAGTGTACCTATTATAAACGACCCATCGTGAAAAGTATAAGGGCTCTTAAAATTAAGTAATTATTCTCATTGTAAAAGAGTTCAAGTACAAATAACTATTTTGTTTTTGTTCATATCATTGTTAATTTTTATACATTTAATGCATTTACCGAATAGAAGAAGATGAAGCATACTGATACGGATTTATTGACCACATTTATTATTGATGAACTCCAATCAGTGGTATAGTAATTTTAAATAAGCGTTTTCTGTTCAAATTATTATGTTAAATACTTGAATTAAAAAATAAAAAAAAGAATAATAATAAAATAAAACATATAATAAGTTCAATAACAACTGTATGTGTAACGTGTGTAACGATACGAATAAAAGGAACGGCAAATGAAAATTAGTTAAGGTCTATACTTGTGAAAAAGTTTTGTAGAAACAAATACGAACATACGGTAAATTATTTTAAATACTATCGTATCTTAGTTTTATACTGTTGGAAATATAATTTGTATAATTAAAACTAACATTTTGGAACGCAAGTCTTCTTGTATTTTAATTAGTAAGTTTAATCCAAACTAAGTATAAGTTTGAAATTACATCTAAATCGTGTTTTTATCCCTTCCCCCTAATAACATACAAGAATTTACACGTGTTATTATTATATTATTATCATGATGTTTATACAGTGTTCTTATATATTATTTACATCATGGCACATTCGTAAACAGTTAAATTCATAGGTATACAACAAACAATTATTATTATAATTTTGTGTTTCGGTGAATTACTATCATATACAAACAATTATATAAACGAGAGATTAAAAATGTAATGGTTTTAGCATTATATGAATGGAAATTTATTTAAACGTAATAGATAGACAAATAAATAAATATAACTAACGACAAAAAAAAAAAAAAAAATATGTTATCAATAAACAAAAATTAAAAACAAACGTTGACTGAAAAGTATTGACCGTATTATCGCATAAATTCGATCACTTTGAACTACTGACCGTATACGCTGCAATAAAACTAATAATCGAATTGACCACATGATGGTAACATTTTGTTTTGCCAACAAATAACAGTTAAATAATAATCTTTCGGTTAAATGAAGTGTACCGAAAATGTATATTCACTTCAAAAACTATAAATATTATGCGCTTAAAAAAGTATATAAAAAGATAAGTATAACTATGTAAATATTATCAAGAATTTCGTTAACTACTCGGCGACCGATATAAATTCAAGTGTTTATAATTATTTTAATGTTAGCGTTTTATTGAGAAAAAAAAAAATGTAAAAACAACGCGAGTATAATTTCAACAGAAAACGATTGTAACATCTTATCAATGTTGTATTGTTAAAAATAAAAATGCACTTTTGCAATAATATTAAATAAAAATATAGAAATGTATTTTGTATAAAATAAATTAAAAAGTCCACAATTTCCAAATCGGATATAATACGCCTATACCTACTTACTGATTTTCCTTCGAAAACCGCGTATCGCGGAGTGGTGCACTTTGTTTTCATCATTATTATTTTATAGTGTGTACAAAAAAAAAATAAAATGTATCGACCGATGGTGATATCACGTACCTATGACGGTTAGGTTCACGAGGCTGTTTCGGGTGGGAGCTTTTAGAAAGTCCACCCTGCATCTGTAAATCCCGGTGTCCGTAGCCATCGCTCTGTCCACCGTCAAATTGTCGACTAGGTTTCGGTCGTTCTGCGGTTCTCCGGTATCCGCGTGAAAGTACGCACGATCATCAAATCCAACGGGTGATGACCACCATTTGGGATTTTCCTTGACTTTTAAATGCGGCTGTTGTCGTATGTCATACCTATGTGCAAAACGAAAACAAAATAGACGATTATTTATTTAACAGCGTTATACTCCGTAAACCGTAGATTATCGAAAGCAAGATATCAAGGAAAATTACGTATCCTTGCGTGGATATAAAAACAGTTGACTGAGAATCTGAGAAAAATAAATTATTTGAATCCGTGATACAACAGACAAAACATTCATGGAGGTAAGGTATTATATAGCTGATTGAACTAGTCAATCCGTAGATCCTGAGAGTGAACGACTGGATTAGGACATAGACTTCTGCACATTTAAGTACAAAAGTCTGTAAATATAATATATTGGTTAATCATCAATAGGGCTTTTATGAGTTTATGGAAAACAAATTGTTTTTTTTTTTTTTTTTAATGATTAATTTTTTTATGTTTGACTTTAAAACGGTTTTATTTTTTTAAATTGTAATTTATATAGTGGGTATTGTTATTTTTTGTAGAATCCATGAACGTTTTTTTACAGACAAATAAAGTATATTATGCGTATGGATAAAAATGTGCAAATCAAAAAATGCTTTATTCAACTCAGAACGATCCGAATCGTAGATATTAATTGCAACCAATTAATTTAGAATACGAGAAAACAAATAAACACGCAGCAGCTTAGAAATCCTAGCCCTAATCATCATAAACCAGGTTTCGTGATAATTTGAATAAACCTATCTATGGACATTATTATCACTTGGATTTTTTTTACCGGATACTGTTCGGACGGGCTGCAGCCGTACCTCCGGGCTCCGAGGGCTTTTCAATGGAGCAAAATAGTATTATTTTCTTACCACTTTCATACCCTTCCGAAAACAGACTAAAACAATCGCGTAAATTGTATACTATTTGACTATATAAATATATTATTATACTATGCGAAATAAATAAACCTATATTATACAATGTTGTATTAAGATACATTTTAAAATATCTCAATTCAGATATGAAAAAATTTAAAAAAAATACAATTATCTAGATGAACAAAAAAAAATTCATAACAAATCAATTAGCTAGACAAAAAGAAACAATCAAAAGAGACCGTTAAAAAATGACTGTTATAAATAACGTATTTCGACGAAATAAAACACCGCCTGTATTCATATCCGAACATCATAATAACGTATAAAGGCACAATAGTACCAATAGTTGCATTGGTTTTATGTTCAGACTTTTCGTAGTGCACACATTTGAGTTTGATAACACATGCAGGCCAAATTAAATGCAAGTTAAATATTTTAATAACAAAATCGATTTTAAATAATACGTTGTTTCGTATATTTGGAATTTAAGGTAGGTTGTTAGATAAAAAGGGGGACAGTGGTTTCATCCCCAAAAACAAGAATAATGAAAAATATCGGCAACGTAACATTTTAGAATTATTCGTTTTATAAGTTGTTTTTAAAAAAAAAAAAAAAATAATAATAATAATAATATACAGTTTTTTCATTATATCTGCGGAACCCTGTGGCTCGTCAATAGTAAAAACGCAGGTGACAGGTGCACGTTTAAATTTTTCGTATTGCACATTTGAGATTTTGCAGTACGCACAAAAATAGTAACGGCGTGGTTTTAATAAATTACTGTGGCCCGGAATTATATGCACGAAATACAAATGGATTCACGCACTGATTATCATTAATATTTGCAAACTAAAATGCGTGTTGATTAAATTTATTTAGTTTAAAAATGTATAAAATTCATGAAAACAATTAATATGGAACAAAAAAATGTATTAACTATCTAGTTGAAATAATTGAACTGAAATAACTTGTATTGAACTGTACACGTTGAGTTTTGAAACATTTTGAACGTTAAATATTCGACTATATTATGGTGCAATGAAAAATCGTAAAATACAAAAATATGCAGCAGCAGGTGCACATCGGAAAATTTACAAAATATGCAAGATAAAACTTTATATTTCTATTTACTATAACGTACAAACTTGTAGGTTATCCAGCTACTTTTTGGATTGTTAAAAAAAAAAAAAAAAAAAAAACATCCGGGCCCTAAACATGACTATGCTCAATACACCCATAATGTCAATATAATATTAAGTACACGAATGAATTAATGAATATTTATTTTTCGCGTAGTGTATAATATTATAAAATTATTATCGTTCCGCCGTATAATATTATTATTGTCTAGTGGCGAAGGTTAAGTCGAAAATTAAATGCGATCATAACAACAAAAGGTTGCTCGTGGTGCGCGGAGCTTTATACCCGCGTCGCGTGGATTGCGGACTATACGACTGGTGCACATTTACGCTCCCCTTTCCGGTGCCGCTGCCAAGAGCCGCTTACACGTAAAATATGCCCTATATAATAATTATCATCAGCCGTGTGGTATTTATGCAAAAATTTGTAACCGATAATTACGACGGAAATAAAAAAAATCAACTCAAACATTCGCACAAACGGTGTTTTTTTTTTTTTTTTTCGTTTCGTATCGTTATTTTTCCCGAACAATTGCGGCGCGTCTCGCGTGTACAGCGCGTTCCAAACCGACCGGCGAAATATTTTCTTGGCTTTCGAAAAACGATCGTTCGACATTTTTAAAGACCGTAAACCGAAAACATAGTATTATTAATAATTTTACAAAAAAAAAAACACAATAATATCATATTCGTGTTCACCTTTATGCGCAACAATGTGAAATTCGATCTGTAAAACCGACGAGCATGCAGGTTCCGGTGAAAACTCGTGAACTCATCAAACCTTTACTTGATATATACAACCGTATATAAAACACGAACAATCCTGCATAATTTCATTTATTAAACTGTTCTTTTTCGCGTGAATATGTTTTTGAATAAATAATTATTTCTCGAGGAGTACATAATAATTCGTCAGCTGTTATTGAAAGAGGCTCTATCTATTTATTTTCCAGAAAATCACTTTTCAACATACATAGATAAGTATATAGCAACAAATTACCTATTTCTTAAGGTAACTATGAATTTTTATCGTAATTTTGTCATCGGGATACTCAAAATGAGACGGTTCTAAATAAAGAAAACAAATATATAGAGTGTTTCACAAATACCCGTTTGCAACATCTCTGGAAGTAATAAAGATAATCAAATTGTTTTTATTTTTATACTACTCACAGAGAAAAGTGCTACGAATATTTATATTTTAGTTAACGTTTTGTATTTTAGTAAAAAAAATGAATAGCTTTTTATTTTATTCTTATGAAAATTTTGAAGTATCAACTTTTTATTTTCATTACATTACATTCAATCCATGACAACAGTGTATTGTCATAATAATTATTCATCATAATTGGAGTGAATGTGATTACAGCCTGCTAAATAATTATAAGTGCATTTCTCTAAACGTAAAAAAATTATTGAAAATCACGAATTTAATTTAAATAAATAGTCAACGTTTTCCGAAGAATAAACTATAAAACGGCAAATTCTTAAAAATATTAAAATAAAACGTTATTTTTTAAAAAACATTTTCCCAAAAAATAAAAATTGAATTCAAATATGTTTAGTCCATATCCCTGCGAGTAATATATTAGAAAAACAAAAAAAAACAGAATTTGATCATCATTTTTATCTCAAAAAATATTGAAATGTGTATAACTTCGAGAGATACACTGTATATATTTTCATTAAAACAAACAAAACAGAACCTATTTAAAGTAAATTGTTAATTGACAGAGAAAAGGTTCTATATTAATAGTTGTACGATAAAATTACTGATACAATAATAAGAACAAATCACTGAATGGAAAAAAAAGATTATCTCTACACTGTTTACTTTGGTGTTTTTATTTTATTTATCGATATAAACTATAATTTTTAAACCAATATTAACCAATATATTGGTTTAATTTACGGTCTCAAAAATCTATTTAAATAAAACAGCACAAGTTTGTCCATTCAACTTTATCAGACTTTAAACTATATAATAGCATTTCGATGTCAAATATGGATTTTAAACTTTTAAATGCATCTCTTGAACAATTTCAAAACAGCGACCAAGAACCTTATCTTTCTCAAGTGGCGAATCATTAACCAAACTTGTGATAATGACACCGCAAAACTACTATAAATATGTAGGTACTAATTTAAAAATGAATTCGAATATTTCGAGTTATTAAAACTATAAACTTTAAAAATTACGTACATATCTATGTATGCATTCCATGAGCGCACGTTTAATGAGTTTATAACTTAACGTATTTTAATTATAATTCCGAATATTTTAAAACAAATTTCAATCAATAAATGAAAAATGGCAAAATAATTTTTCGGGGGTTGATTTTGGTTGAGAGTTTAATATTTTTACATGTTAGGACAGCATATTATTTAGAGAGCGCCTTAACGTGAGCTCTGCTCGGTCCGGTCCAGTCCGGTGTTTTTTATTTTATTATACCGCATTTAGTATCGAGTTAATTTTGATTTCTTTTAATTTAAAGATTTATCACAATATAAATATACTCTCTACTGTAGAACAGTATAATTAAGAACATATGTTTTTTGTATAGCTATATACTTTTGTTTTGTTTTAACTATTTGCTTTGATAAAGCGGGGGGGGGGGTTACTAAATCTATAATTTATTTGAGTGCATAGCCCTCTGTGTTCAATATTAGTCATTTTTATTATTTCTTTTTTTAAATTCTAAGTAATAAATGTATTTATTTTCACTGTGAAAATAATAACTATCGGAAAAAATGAACTTAATTTAAGTTAATAAGTTAACCTTTTAAATTAACTAGACCAGCCTTGATTATAACACACGTTTTATTTCATTATTTAATTGGGCATTGCATCCAAAATCGTTCGACACGTTTTTTTTTTTTATTTTCATAATATTTAGACCACCCTATATAAAAGACAAAATGGTATATTGCGGTTTCCACAATTAAAAAAAAAAAACCGCGCGAGAAATAATATGTGTTATTGTTGCCACTATAATAACATTGTAACAGACCAAAATAATGATTCGACATTTTGAGTGACCTTTCAACAACAAAGCCTAAAACATAAAGTTTGCCAATGTGCTTTTTTAATACTAAACATATCAATCGATAACGGATATCGCAATAGTTAATGAATATTAGTTAATAAGTAAACAATTAAATGATAAATGTTTAGTGTTCAATTAAACTTTTACAGATTCAATTTTTCGCTGCACAGTTTTATAAACTACTATAACACACTA